TGGATGGGCATGGCAAGACGTTTCAGCGGACGAGATTGGTTGTTGGCTAGGGATGGTGGTGTATATAGGTGTGCATTGTTCGCCAACGGTTGCCGACTATTGGAAGCAAGACCGTTTTAGTCCCAAACATCGCATTGCCGAGTGGATGAGCCAATACCGATTCGAGCAGATTACGAGACATTTCCATGTCTGTTCGCCAAGTGTTGAGCTTTCGACTAACTCGGGAAGATGCCTATGGCATGCGGAAGTCGATCCGTTTCTCAAACAGTTGAGAGCAGGTGCGCAGGCGTACAGACTACCATCGAGCAATATTGCAGTTGGCCAAGCCATGATTCTCTGTACTGGAAGGACACCGGATACCTACACGATGCCGGGCGAGCCTATGGAGCACGGATTTAAGTTCCATTGTCTTGCAGACCAGGGTTAAATTTGGGATTTCCTTCCGACCTCGAACCAAGCAGGACCCGACCCCGTCCAGCCTATCGAAGACCTTACTGCGACTGAGGAGGTTGCTTTCCATCTTCTAAAGACGCTTCCACGTTCGCGATACTGGATTGTCCATCTCGATAACTATTATGCGACAATTCCCTTGCTTGGAAGGTTACGTCATGACCTCCAGATGGGCGGTTGCGGTACCGTGCGTCCCAGCTCCGCTAGCTTCCCCGCCGAACTTAAAATCCCGAAGCAAGACGTTGCGAAGTACGACTATGACTCCTCGAACCCGTAGTTGTTTCCGATCCAACCTTCGGAGAGCAGGTTGGTGCTTTGGTCTGGTTCGACCAAGGTCCTGCCACGCTCTTGACCACCGCGCACCATCTCGACGCCGAGACCGTTCGTAATCTCAAGCGACCTGGAGAGAAGAGCACCAATGATAAGAAGGCACCGGAAGAATTTAGCGATGACGACGATCAAGAGGAGGAGCTGCCGATGCCTGCTTGTTTTGAGGACTACAGCGATCATATGGCTGGTTTTGATATTGCCGACCAGCAGCGAGGTCGCTACAACACCGAGCTCACATCGTTTCGTACTTGGTCGCCTATGTTTCTTTGGGCGCTCGATGCGATGCTCACCAATGCATACCTCATCTATTCCGACATCGAAGGTACTCCTGATATCAGCCACAAAGAGTTGCGTATGTAGTGTGCATGGAAGCTGATATCCGCGTTCTCGTCAAAAAATAAAACGCCGAAACCGACCGGAAAAAAGTCTGTTAGAGTAACGTAGGACTCGACTCTGCCTCCGGACCTTCACTGTGGCTGCGATTATACCCCAATACACCTGGATACGCGGCAGACTAGTTGGTTGTGCCGCTGGAAACACCGAGGACGGGGTGTATCCGATAACTTACCCAAAACTCACTGGGCCTGTAAAGGCTGTTACAAGCCACCCTGTCTTAGCGATAAGCGAAACTGTTTTAAAAAACTTCATGCCTCTAGAATTTGGTGGTTTTAGAAAGAGAGGTGCTTGCATGCGGGTGAAATGTTGTAGTTGTTGGTGGAATGGCTTGGGAACGGGCCTTTTTTTTCCTTCTTTTGGGTTGATATCATGATCGTTGTATTTATCCCTCATTATATAAAAATTATAAAACTGAAGAGAATTGACTCTGCCCTGCCCATGTAGTCGTGGGCGCGGCCAGAAATAAGCATTTCGCTGGTTCCATCTGCCTCACAGCCGGCTACAATCCGGGGGATACCCACTCTTCCAAATCTTGTATACAGTCCAGTTGGTTGGCTCAATTTACCAACCTACTTACCGCTACCGCTGCCTGGTAACAGGAAAAGATTCCCAGAGCACCAAGGAAAGCACACGATAATGACTAGCTCAACTGCCATTGATGGTTTGTTTGCTTCATTATTCAGTATTCGGTCGTGTTCGGCCACAGCAGTTTTACGTGCACACTTCGTTTCGCAACCCACCACGCACCAAAGTGCCCGGCCTGAGGGGGATTTTCTCCAACTATTTGCTAGCATATAAATGCACTCAACTATTCTCATCTTGGCCCTCATTGTCTTCTCCAGCCATGGTCCTACCAACGCCTGTGCTTATCAGAGAGTTCGGCGCAATCTGCGAGGCCGGGAAACCGCCCGAACCGAGCCGAGATCCTCCATCGCTCCTACAGAGCTCGTAGCTGTTGCATAATATCAAGACAAGCCGATACCGTACTGAGTCGTGGTAAAATCCGGACCAGTCTCGGAATTTGGTCGAGTGCTACTTCGTGAGTCACGGGATTGTGTCTGTGTCTACCGAGGCGCACAGCGAGTTATCCTCCGGTTCCAGGAGCTGACTGAGAAACTGAGGCAGGTCATACCAGACAGGAGGGCAAGAGGGAGGTGATGGGCTGTCAACGTGTGTCTGAGGGATAACCTTCTGTGTTCGTGGGGATGCCTACCAATATATAATGTAGATACCTACTGAAGTTGATGCCCAGATACCAACGTTGATGCCCGCCAACGTTGATGCCCACCAGCCTTTATGCCCATCAGCCTTGATGTCTACTATCGTTAATGCTTACTATTGATTGCATTCGTTTCTCCCGCCGACACGAGCCCTCCTTCACTTCCTCCTCTCGCCGACAGCTCCTCCATCACTCCATCACGTAGTATCCACTGCAACAAGAGCGTGATATCCACGGCGGGGCAATCAGATTATCCACAGCGAGAACAGCGGGCTCTTCGAACATGGCGTGGACAATGTGGTATCCGCGGCGAGGCAGGCCTGATAGTACCTAATGTAGGACGGCACAGGACAACGATGCGTACCGGCTGTAGTAGGAAGACCAGAGAATGTCAGAGAGCAAAGGACAGCGAGGCTAGCGGGTTATCCATGGGGAGGACAGTGTGGTAGAGACAGTTGTATTTTGTGGCGTTACCGCAATCAGTGAATTACAATTGTAGCGCGATTAATATCAAAACCGCATTCAGTGACATCCGCAAGTATTGCCATTTACCGCAATTATTGACACCTCCGCATTGATTATGCCGCATTTAGTGTCGTTGCCGCAATTAGTGAATCAGAATTATACTGCAATTAATGCTATGACCGCATTTAGTGACATCCGCAAGTATTGCTATTTGCCGCAATTATCGACACCTCCGCGTTTATTGCCGCATCTAATGCCACATTTAGGCTATCTACCTATCCACCGCATTTAAGGAGTGACGTTTTTAAGCTAAATGCGTAACTGCCGCATTCCATGTACGTCGATGGGTACTTGGTTATGAGGCCTCGCGGATTGTTTCACGGAGCTCGGAGCACGTAGACGGTGGAACCGGCGTTCAACTGAACTGGCCAGAAGTCCGCGGTGAGTATGCGATGGCCCGTCGAGCTCGATAGTTATCATGGACGGAGCGGAAGTGCGTGTCTCTACTACTACATATAGGCATGCCGAGCTCGAGCTTCAATGTTGAAACTGAGAGAAGAACTTGGCTTGATTCATGTAATGATACGAGAAAAATGGGAAAGAGACTGCGTATAAGGGAAACGGGCTCGTGTAGACGACGAGATGAGGCCGGCGAAGCCAGGCCTCAGACAGAGGATGCGAGGATAGCCGTCGCCGGACTTGGCTGGGGACTTGAAGGCTGAAGGTTGAAGGCTGAAGGTTGAAGGCTGAAGGTTGAAGGCTGAAGGTTAAAGAGGCTGACTCTGGTGAGAAGCCAGGGACAATGCTAAGCAGCCACGAAGGCCATGAAGGCTGTATGCGCGCGACGATGCAAAAGGACATAGGAAAGTAGCAGTGGCATCGGAACAGGCAATAAGACGCGAAATATCAATACTCAACGCGCGAAGCGCCGAAGCTCTTGGCTGTCGTGTGTATTCTCGCGTATTTTTTTTTCAGCTTTTGTCTCCGCTTGCAGGAGTGAAACTTCTCTCCTGTTCGATGGTATGGCGTGATATACCTAGATATACGATAGAAGGTTCTCTCGTTCGGATTTCTTGAGCTCGGGCAGTTGAAGCTTCGCCGGTCGGGGTTTTCTACTAGTGGCTCTCGTAGGAACCCGAACCCTGCCTCTCCGCGTGAATGACAAACCCGCTCCACAAACTCCGACGCAAGCGCACAGCCAAACGCCGTGTTTCGACGGGATTGATAATCGACATATCGGGGGCTTACATACATACAGTAAACCAAGTCTATTTTACCTAGAACTCTATCTGAAGCAAGAAGACCGGCTCTATTCCACTTAAGGTTCTGACCCTGGATCCGTCGGGGAACACCATGTAACTCTACCCTACAGAGGAGCGCATTTCAAGGGGCTCGTCAAAAAAATGATGTTTTCTAGGAGTGGAAGAAAGAGCTGTTCCCTTGATGTTGGTAAGAAAAGCCGGTGCTTCTTCCGTTCATATGTTGAGTCCTACATACCGGCAGTTGGCCCCCAGAGGTCCAGATCCATAAAATCTTCCCGGATTTCAACTAGGTATTCTAGGTACCAAGAACTCATGAATCCGTATGATGCCGTAGTGTCCTGTGCTGCAGCCCCTACCGCCGAATACTCTTTGTGCTCCTCACCTCCATCGTTATGTGATTGGCTCGGCTGCCGGAAGGCGCCGCATCGAAACTAAGGGGGCCACTGATCATCCGGCTGCGGTCCGACGAACCAGGTCGAAATATGGCAACCTCCGGTGCGCATATACGCTAGGTATCCGCTCTACCCCGATACCTACGCCCATAAGCAACCCGCGGGGCCCCTAGTCTCCGCCAAATTGCGATCTTCTTTTCGGCGTGAAAATTGTAAGGCTTATAAACCTCTACCGCGATGCTGAGAAACGCAAAACCCAAAGCGCGGAGGTCCGCCAAGGTGAGTCGTCGTCACCCCGCTTGCACGCATAGGGAGTAGCAGAGACGTCCGATGGGTACCTGGATGTGAATACCACTGCTGGTGAGCTCGGTTTCCCGCGCCCGGTTGGAACTTGGCGTTGGCTAACTTGATTTCATGCGGTAGCCAGGTACCGGGCGTGATGCACTTTTGCATTTTAGTATCTCTTGGGCATCAATAGGGAGAGGCCAAGGATCCTCTCGGCGCCGTCATGGTAGGTATGTGCTCTGGTACTGAGTAGATAAACTCGGCCTTGCGGCCCCGAATCCTCAAGCATTCTTTTCTTCGAGCGTCCAGCATTCCGACAATTCATACATCCTCACCCCGCCTTCCCCTCAATCACTCGTCGCAATCAAGCACGTATCCCAACAATGCAGTTCTGGAAAACTCCTGCAGTCCTGGCTTGCGTCCTCTCGCTAGCCCTACCAACACTCGCCGCGCCCAAAGCTCGTGATACCGGAGTCGAAACCCGCAGCATCGACGAGATCTACTCCGCAGCCTTAGCGGAGTCCAAGGGCAAGACACTCCAGGTGGCCTGGGGTGGTGACGGTACTTTACATATCGCTCCGTGACGGCGCTGGCGTGCTCTTCCGCTGACACAATACCCAGAGAAATCCAATGCCACCGCTCTGGCATTCATGCAAGCCTTCCCTGGCATCGCGATCAACCTGACGGTGGACGTGTCCAAATATCACGACAGCCACACGGACCGTGCCTTCATTGAGACCGGTAAAGATATATACGATATTGCGTTCCTGCAGACGTTGCACGACTTCCCGCGGTGGAAGGAACAAGGCCGCCTGATGTCGTACAAGGCGAAGCCATGGGAGAGCATCTACAATGAGGTCAAGGACAGCGAGGGATACTATTATGCTGGCTTTTTCAGTGCGTTACCTATTCTCCCCCTGTCGCCCGTGAGCGAGTAGCTAACAGGAGCAAAGTCTCGTTCGGCAACATTGTCTTCAACTCCGACAAGCGCCCGTTGAACACCACGATCCCGACGACGTACACCGACTTCCTGCTGCCCGCATGGAAGGACAAGATCGTCCTCACGTACCCGAACGACGACGACGCGATCGCGTACCTCTTCGCGCTGATCATTGAGAAGTACGGCTGGGGCTGGTTCACGTCGCTGATGGCGCAGAACGTGACGTGGGTTCGCGGCAGCACGACCCCCGGCACAATGCTCGCCAACCCCGCCTCGCCCGTGTCCATCACCTTCTGCTCGTTCGGAACCGGCGAGGAGAACATTCACACGGTGGAGCCGGCGGACCGCTACATGTCGTGGGCGCAGACCGGCGCCATCTTTGCCAGCACTGAGATGCCCGAGACTGCGAAGCTGTTCGTCAGCTGGATCATGAGCGACGAGTACCAGACCGCCTCGGGATCGTCGACGAGGAGGGAGCTGGCCGCTGAGGATCCGTTCTCGAAGCAGTGGACTGAGCCCCTGGGCTTCGCCAAGTGGATGGGAAACCGTCAGGACGTCGAGTGGTACAAGCTGCAGTTTGAGAGCTTGCTGGGCACTGCGCAGGGTGAGAGCCCGCTGGAGGATGACTTGTGATCGACTTGTAATCCCTGGATTCCGATGGGAGGAGCGCGCTATATTTGATTCGCTGGATAGAAGATTATACTTGTAGCTGGAAAGTTTATAATATTATATAGGCAGATCGTTAATATATGCTTAATTTCTGTATATTGTCTATCCCAGTGGGCAGAATTAGCCATCTTTATTGTTTATACTTGTACATGGTACATAATGTATGCTGGGGTTGTTGCATCCACCACGGCGGATCACAAGTCATGATTCGCTTGATTCAATCTCAATTCGCTCCTCTAATCAACCCACACACCGAGCATTTTCTGCTCCGGCTCCTCTATCTCCTCCTTCTCCTCCTGCACTTCCTGCCCCTCCTTGGGGACATCGTACATCTCCTCGAGGAAAATACAGCGGCCGAGGGCCCAATGCAGCTGTTTCTGGTGCTCCTTTAGTTCGGTACGCAGTTTATCGTTCTCGGCAACGTTGATGCGGTCGGCGATCTCACAGTTGTGCACGAGCGACTCAATCTTCCGCCGCGCACGTATCGACTTGGCGGTGGGAGAATACCGACGCTCGGGGAGCAGGTCACGCGTGGTGGCCTGGGTGGTCTTGGTGGCCGCCATGGTGGCGGCGGGAGTCCTCTCCTTCTTGGTCTTTGTCTTCTTGACGATGCCCGAGGGCTGCAAAAGCTTGGGTGGCGAGGGGGGCGCGGTCTTGGTGGGGGGCTGCAGCGAAATGGGTTATTGTTATTTTTGTCGTCGTCGTCGTTGTCGTTGTTGTTGATCGCTTGTGTGAAGATGAAGAGTTGTTGGTGAAGTGTTCTGTGGATGGATGGATGGTGGATGGATGGTGGGAAGGGAAGGGAAGGAGAGGGAAAACGAGTGATGTGCCATGGTCGGCAGTACTACGACATCGCGGCAAAGGTGGGTTTTGGTGACAATGGCTTCAATCTTGCGAGAGTGGGAGGTTTCGCTACTATGGAGTAGTCTGAAGCAAGCTCTTCGGCCTGTGAATAGAGATTGTATGTATTCCCGGCGGATATCGAAGACAATAAGGACACATCAAAATGTGGGAAGGACTGGTGGAGGTGATTCACTAGAATGATCTACATGGAGAGAGATAAAGTGGTATGCTTAGGTTTAGAAGCTACCGGTACAAGAGAGAGAGAGAGAGAGAGAGAGAGAGAAAACCGAACATGGACCCCCTGGGCAGCGTAAGCGTCAAGCCTTGTCACGTGATACTACCGAGTGATATCTAACTAGTGCTCCCTCCGTCACGCCAAAAACAAAAACCGTCACCACCCACGGCGGTGGGTAGCTTGGAAACCCCAAGAGCTGAATACACAGGTCTTTTACCCGGGTTGAACCGGGAACCTTCCATCAGCTGCCCTCGCCGATTGCGTGGCCTAGACCATTAGACCACGCGGGGGTTTTTTCCGTGCTGGAGATATGAATTCGATGTCTATAAAGTGGTGCGTGCGGCTCCAGCACAACAACGCTGCCTGCGTTGAAAGAGCTCTTGAAAGCCATATATTATCAACGCCAGTTGAGCAATTGTGCCCTTTTAGAGCCTCTGCGCCTTTGGGATCTGCGTGCGTGTTTTACTGGTAACTAAGCTCGCTCGTCGCCGTCGGTATCCTCGTCACGTTCGATGTACATATGTACATTGACAGACATGATACATCATACATGAAGCACAGTATTTGATTCTGGAATCGGGATGGTAACATGAGATTATGTACTGTATAGCAGATCTAGAAGCCTCAGATTGTCTACGCCGCTTTTTCTCACGGCCTCAGTCCCGTTTCACTCCCTTGAAAGTTGACTGGTATATCCATCGGCCACTTACCTATCTCCTTTTGACGGGTAGAATATTCGGTCTCGAGCTCCACTGCAATCATGCGCCACTGCAAAAACAGTCAACACTCCGAAGTCTTCGAGATCTTTAAGAGCTGCGAGAAGGGCCAGACTATTCGGAATTCTTATGGAGTTAGTCATTGGTAAGCATGTATCGCACAATGGGGTAGTTTCGATGCGCAATAACTAGTAACTGAACCCAGTCTCCGTTCCCGCTGCAACCGCCGATCTCAATGGTGAGTGAGCATGAAGTGCACATATGCGGGGCATCACAGCACCTGACTCGCTTACTAGATGCTCGAAAAAAACAGTATTGGTCGCGGTTAATTAGTGTGAGAGACTTTTAGACAGGTGTGAGGAAGGGATAGAATCCCCCGAATCCCACACCATCTAACTAAAGAGGACGTATTGAAGTGTCTAGGAATTTCGACCTTGGGGGCTCATTTCAGCGATCCAGATTCTCTCTCGAGGACAGTCGCCAAGTTAGATACACGCCCCGTTTTCCGCGCGGGTCTCCATATGAAGCCCGCCAGACCGCCGCCATATGGGCCCAATGTACCGGATTTCCTTTGGTGGAGCGGTTGTTAGCCAACTTGAAACGGCACCATCAATTGGCAAAAATCGCAAGCCCGCCACAGTTCATGCCCGCCACAGTCCAAGCCCGCCAGACCGCCACTATATGGTCCAAAGTACAGGATTTCCTTTGGCCGATGACCTGTTGGCCAAGCCTAGAAACGCTTTAAGCTTCGTCTGGATAGGTCTGGATAGAGTAAAATTGGGTATAAAGGACGAGCTTATCCTCCTGGTTTCTAGATCCTCATCCAGCCAGCAATCCGCCTTCAAGACCATTACAAACCACTCACAACACTTTCCTCGCTGTCCTAGCTCAGTCAATTATCAAAATGCAGCCATCCATCCAAATCGTCTCCACTGCTGCTGCCTCCGAGGAATCCAACACTCCCGTTAACAATGAAAACCCCAAGGCCCACTGTTAGTTACCTCTCATCCCTCCCTCCCTCAATAGTCCCGATCAAATTTCAATAGTAGCTGACGACCGATACTCTAATAGACCACATGTGCACCATCTGCTAAGTGCTCGCCGGACCCTTAGTATCTATGATAGTGCGCCGGATCAGATTCCATCTTCGACCTTCCTTCTCCACAATCATTCTGTACGATTACCACTTTTCTTTTCGGGTTTCCAATGACTTTTTCTCGGAGTAGTGGGGCAGGAGGTTTTGTCTTTGGGCTATTCGAGCAAGTGGCGGGGATCATGGATGTGCCTGTCTGAGGGTTTTATATGTTGAAGGGTTGTGTGAGACGGAATAACGTACTTTGTTTTTGCTTTATGTCACGGTTATGTGTTGTCAGCTCAGCAATAATAGAATTATAATCACCTCTTGATCTTTCCGACCTTCGTCGAGCGGCGTGTGGCGTGACAGGAATAATCACTCAGTGCGGCGTTATGGTGGGCAATGGGCAATGGGTTTGTCGCCAAGCCCTGTACAGGAGCCCACCATTGAGACCAGATGGTGTCCGGTACACAAAAGGGTTCCCGGGAACGAAAAGGCCGACGAATGGACCAAACTGGCAGCTGGCAACCCCATCGCTCACGGAGTGGAAGGCACCAGACCGCTACCACCTCCGTAACTCGCATACCTGAGGCGAGGCATCACGTAAAGCAAGTGGAAAGAAGCCAAAGCATTGGCCGGCGCCCGAGTCACCAACAAGAAGTACCGGTTCGGCAGAAAATGTAGCTAGAGACCGGACCCGTTCCTGGCCATCATGGCCTCTAAGCGGCTGGATTCGAGGTTCTACCAGATGAAGCAGAACAGTGTCTCACCGGCCAGTACCTCCAGTGGACGACGAGTCAACCAGACGTGTACCCTGGGGATCAAACTAACAACACTTCCTCGCCACCTCCCCTGATCATAGTCTGCGCGTTTGGGATCTACGCGCGTCGTTTGCTGATACTCTCACTCGTCGGTGCTCACGTGTTCTACATAACCACTGAGGAAAGGGAACTGGGACTTGGCAAGGGGCCGACGGCCCCCTACTCTGTGTTCGATTGGGTTCGAGGTTTCTGCATTTTTTGCATATGGAGGCATTGGAGGGCGGCGGCGGGTTCGACGGGAACCATTGTCTTGTCTTGCTCGGAGGGGAGCGGGTAGAGTTCAGCGGACCATGCAGAAGGGAGAGATATCAAAAAATTTCAGTCAGGTTCTGGAAAAATCGAAAATACACACGTTAAGCGCATCTAGATTCCAGAACCCCGTCCATCCGCCCGTCCGTCCGCAACGTATGCCGGCTCATGAAGACCATATGTAGAGTATTGACCGGTACTTGAATCATTTTTTACTTTCATTTTTCTTTTTCGGTGGGGGGGTTTGATCATGCTCGTACCTACTCTATTCGGCCCTATGGAAGACTGACGGCGTGTATATGTACTTTTTTCCCATCCACAGTCCTGCCACGACACATGAACCGCCCGATGACAAGCTCACGGAAGACCCCCATCTCCCATGCCCCCTCCGACTGGGTTCGAAATAGTTTTCGTTTTTACTACTAGTCGTGGGCGGCGGATCTCCCCGACCTTCTCGCGTGATACCCCATGATCCAACCGGCCGGACTGGTGATTCGCGGTGCACCCTTTCCACCGCCGCGGCCCATCCCGAAGCAAAAAACAAAAACAAAAAAAGCACAAGCTGCGTTTCTTTTTTGAGCGGTTCACTTGCTTCGACTCCGTTATCTGGACATGTTCGTTCGGTACCGTGGGATCGGGGTTACTCTACTAGGTAGTAGCGTGCGTGGGATGGCATATACCTATTCCCACGGTGCCGGCGATCATCCCCAAAGTTATCTCTCATGGTTCACAAAAGGGGAATCCTCCCCTGTGCAGCTCGCTCGCGGACGAGTGCTGCGTTTTTTTTTGGCGTTTTAAAGGGTTTGTTTTTTCCGCATTGGGCTGTGTCTATAATAGAGTCGATATAGTTCGCGGAGCTCACACTTAAATCCAGTAGAGCAGCTTCCGGGATTTAGAGGCCGGCCGTGCGGCCGCGTTGGATGGACGAGTGATGATGCCTGGCGGATAACTGTATGCATGGGATATGTAATCAGCCCGCCGGACGAGGAGGCTTGCGAAGTTCGAACGCAATGCAACCGGAGGTTGGATCCGATGTTTCTCTTGGCAGCGGACGTCACGATAGATTTCTCGAACGGATTGACCATCGAACCTGCCGTCGTCTCAAGAGCCAGCTCTTGATACGCGGCAAGATTGAATGCTTTTTCCCTTCTTGGGGAATTGGCTGGAGGCTGACTCCAACAATCTGGTTTGCCTGCACTAGGTACTAACTAGTAGAGTAGAGTAGTCGAGCTTTAGTTGCACCCTGCATGGCCGACCGGCCGGCTTTTCCCCACGAAAACGTGCATCTGTTCTACGTGGGGAATCCGGGATTCACATATGATGTATGTACTGTACATACTGGTACATACAGCCTCGCGCTCCGTCCTGAGTTTGTTTCGGCCCCTCGGACGGAACCACGCGGAAAGCCCGAGAACTCTGCCAGGAATTCGGTAGCAGAGAGCCTGGGCCATCACGATTCACGGGGCTATATGTGTATAGTACGTACGTACCGGTACCTGCCGCCTATCTACCTAGATATGAAGAGCGAATTAGACCAGAACTACGGAAGTACTTATGTGCATATCATACATAGTATCGGAATGGTGGCCGACGCCGGTAATGACGATGTCATCCTGGATCGCCGCCGGTGAAGTGGTGAGAATTCTGATACGATATGATACGACGTTGTGAGGTCGCAATCCGAAAGATGGAACGATATCAGAGGAAAGCAAGCAAGTATGCCCGGTTCCCTCTGTGTGCATACCTACGTAAATATGGTCTCGCCCGTATCATATTTCCCACTGCACTCTGCTTTGAGGGCTTCGATCTCCTCCTTCTCCTTCTTCCCCTCCTTCTGCTTCTTCTCCTTCTTCTCCTCTTTCTTCTTATTCTTCTTCTGCTTCTTCTTCCACTGTGTGAGCTGCAATGCATAATGCGGTTCTGTTGCTAGTGCCACTGGTTGTTCTGTTCGGCGAAGTCGGAGGTGCGTGGCTTGGCTGCGAGTCCGCAGCTGGAATAGGTATGTAGATTATAGATAGGTACTTGGTTAGCTGTTCGTTATGTAGACATCACGGCTCATTCGCGTTGGCTGGCTGGCTGGCCTGGCTGTCGGAGGGGAGTCGTCGGTTGTATGTAGAAGAGAGATGGAATGTTCGCAATAGGTGGTTATCGATCGATATGGGATCCAAACAACTCGCTTCAGTCATGCACGTCGAAGAGATATCTTCTGGGGGGGACGTCGCAGTTAATGTATGATAATTATCGCTAGGAACCGTATTTCCTCGGAGAAAGGGAAGATGCCGTAAACAACCTTCGCGCCACGCGCCACGCGACACGGCTGTCCACTGTCCATACCCCAAAGCGCCTCGTCATTCATCGTTAAGTCAGCAGTCGCACACTCCCACCTCCCACAGCAGGTTTCAAAGCTTCTCTTCTTCTTTTCGACTGCGCCCCAACTCTTCACCTTCACCCAAATCTCCACCGTAGGACGTCGCCGACTACTAGTAGAGTAGTAGGCGAACTCGGCCGCCTTAGTTACTGGTTCTGGGTGGCGACACAGAGATAAGCAAGTAAGCAAGCGAGCGAGCAACCCTCCATGGCCGTCCTCAGGGTTCGTGCTTGTATGTGTGTATCTACTCTACTCTTACCCCACGCTTTCCCGGCCCAACTCCCCCCACCCCCCAGCAATCTATTGAGAAAGACTTTTGACAAACTGAATTTAGAGACTCTACTTACCGAGTATACCGTACTATCTACTATATACCGAAATACGAGAACGGACATTCTCGAATGCCTATATACGCAGAGCACATACATACGGTCCTCGAGGACGGTACGGTATCTACCGGTACATGGGCCCCCCGCCCGCCCGCGACTCCTGGCTGCTCTGGTTTCTGCCTGGTACGCGCCCATCCAAACTGCCGTTTTCCTACCGCCGTGGTGGCCCGTTAGTTACCAGGTTTGCCTACCTACCATTCACTGCCTGGGAAAATGGAGCATGAACCACGATATGGTTCGGATGAATCGGAATCAAATCGGAGCCAATCGCCAGCTTCGGTTTCCCCTATCACCGGGCACCCAGGCTCGTCGATCGCAGTCTGGCTGCCTACCTATACTGTGTCCATATTGTGGGGGGGGCTCCAGATGCCAATACCGCCGTGTAAACATAGTCGGCTGAGCTGGTGTGGGGGGAGGGGGATCTAAGGGGGGCATCTGAGGGGGGACACCGAATTCCCGGGATTACGGTCACTCAAAGCCCTCTTGGCGGGGGAATCGACGGAACCTTATTGGGGGAGGGGAGGCCCGTACTGTGCTCTACGCGGGTGAGATGCGATGTGATGGCTGATGACTCGCAGTGAAATGGCAAGCTGAAGTCTGGACACAACGAAACCGGCCATTGCGTTAGTGAGCCGTTCCTACTTGCATACCCCTCATTCCCCAGGGTCTCAGCATATCAAAAAGAAAACAAAAACAAAGCAATCGCATTCGGGGCTCTACTTTATTCTACTATGGGATTCCGGTCGTGATAGGCTCGTGTTGGGAACCGGAAGTGGAAGGGGCTGTGATGGTCAGTGTACTTGTCAACCTATCAGCTTCAGTAAATACTCCAAACTCCAGAGTTCGAAATAATACTCCATCCCTGTAACCCCGTCCGTAACCATAGAGTAGGTATCCAGCCTGTTGTATTGGCGCTCTGACAGGAACGTTCTTATCGCGGATCACCGCACAACACATGTACGGAATCCGTCAGGCATGTGCCCGGCGGGCTAGTAGGTGGTTCTATGCTCTGCCAAATATCAACCGTCGGCCGGCCTCTGCACGGAGGATTGAGTCCGTGCTTTTTACTACATACCCCGTATATTCTGGACTGTCTGCTGCTGCTGCTTCCCTTCTTCTGGTTTGCACAATCGAAGCATCAATCACAGACGATTCACCTCGCTCATCAACCTCACTTTCAATACGAACCAGCCGAAGACGCCCCCTCCCTCGCGTCATCCATTCCTCGGCTCAAGAGGTGAGCCGCAAGATAGGGCTGCACATCTTTCCGGGATCTACTAACACCACTACTACCAGAGGACTATCAGCACTTGTTGAATGACCACTCCGGTTTCGGAGACCTAGCCGGCGACCATCCCTTGTAAACCGTCATCTACGGATATTTATCGGCGTGGCGCTTGTGTTCAAGCGCGTGACGGATCCACCCGATAGATAGATATCAATATCTACGCAGGCAGTGTCCTTATTATTATAACAGCCCGGCCCTCACGAGTCACGACCCTGGCCCCCCCGCCCTCCCCCACTTCCTCATCCTACATCGAAACCCTATGGCACAGCTTGGGAACATCGACACTCAGAGATACGATTTGTTTTCAGCAATGTATGGCGGATACACGGGAAACTCGGGGCTACCCCAGCCGGTGGTGTTGACGTCCACTTTCTGGGACGACGAGAAGATCGCCACAACAGTAACACACGGTTACATCCGTCGGCAGATACCCGACTCCTCCCTACGGAAACGACTGGATGACCAGTTGAAATTTGGCGAAGGATTGACCGAATGCACCTACGGAGAGTGGATCGTCAAGAAGACGAAGAAACTGTTCTTGTTACTTGGAGAAATCGGCTGTCCGGAGAAGATCTTCGACCTGATCGATGGGTCCTGGGATGACGACGATCTGCCGCTTTCTCAGGAGAGTCTAGCACAGCTAACACTGGGACCCGGGATGGAAAAAAAGTTCTCCAAGAAACAGCAGTTGTTTATGGTCCGGGACCTCGAGCCGGGAACGCATGTGGATTACAGCGAGGACGAGATTGTCCCCTTGGAAGTCATCTTCAACCGCATCCCAGCTGCGAGGTCGCAGTCGGCAATCGAAAAGGTTTACCTCCCACGGCGGCGAGACATCTACTACTCCCGGCGGCGAGTACCCATCGCTGAGGAAGCATCCTCCACTCACATCTCGATCGAGGCATTCATGGACGAGATCCGAGCCATGAGTTCCATAACACATCCTCACATCGGCGCCATCTATGCAACCTACACCCAGCACGACCTTGGCTACATCATCCTCTCTCCGACGGTCGACCAGAGCCTTAAAGCGTTTATTCAGTACCCTCCGAGCACGTACAAGTCGCTTTCCAAAGACCGCCGGAAACTGCTTCTGATTGACTGGATGCACTGCCTCTCGGAAGCCCTTGCCTACCTTCACGAAGAAGGGCTTGCCCACGGGGACATCAAACCTTCCGGGATCATTGTCGACGGTTCAAACAAGATCTATCTTGCCGATATCGGCAATTCCAAGTCGTTCGATCCTAAAGCTTCCCAGGCCGTCACGGACGTTGAACGCTACGAGTATGGCGCGCCCGAGCTCTGGAAGCGGAAGATGTCATGCCACGAAACAACACAGTCCCAAGGTGTTACCATCTCCGGGAGGAATCGAGTGCGTTACCGTCCAACCGACCGCCGTCCATCCGATTCGTCGCAGGAATCGCCGCCCTCCTCCCCGGTCTTCGAGAAATCGGTTCACGTCGGAACATGGAGGAGCCCCACAAAAGTCGACTACTGGAACAGCGACGTATTCTCTCTGGCATGCATCCACGTTGAAATCCTCACATTTTATATCAAGCGCAAGAGCTCGGCCTTTGCCTCGCACCGCTCGTGCAAGAACCGACGACCCAGGGAATCGGCGCCTCCGGATGCGAGTTTCCACGCCAACATGGGCCAGGTCGACAGCTGGCTCGACAGCATCGAGAAGCGGGCGAAAGACAAACACGACAACGTGCTCCTGGGCTGTCTCAACGTCTGCCGGGATATGCTACAGCGGGATCCCGTACTTAGGCCCACTGCGCGGCGCATCGAGAAGGAATTGTACAAGCTCGTGCTGGGGATAACCGACGAGGAACTCCCGCATTGCGGCATGCACACCGTCGTCGTGGAGGGCGAAGAGAACTTTCCGGGATGGACAGAGGAATATTTCGGACAGAGCTCGCCTGTGAGCGAGGACGCTTTGGGCTTGAGCTTTGCGGAGGTGAAGCCTGGGAGCTTGGAGGAGAAGCTGCGGAAGCTTAGCTATTCAAGTGGCTTGAAGAGTAAGAGGAGTACTGGGAGTGGTTCGAGGCGGTTCAGCATTACCTCCTCATCCCACTGATTAGATACTGTTGTTGGGCATTGTGTTTTGTTTCGGTGGGTGGGCTTAGCAGATTGGGGGAGCTTTGGAGTAAATGTTTTTCTTCTTTCTTTCCCCGGCAGGGATATTTTTTCGCATCTACTTATTTTCTACATCTTGCTTCTACAGCGGCGAGAGGTTTCTTTTGTACATGGAGCGTTCGGAATGGGGTCATCTGTAGGGGTGTCTGGAGTACTTTGTTTTCTATATAGTTGTAGCTAAGAATGGTTAGAATGTCTTCACAATCGATCACTTTGGCCAAGACCAACTATGACGTTACCCCGCTGTTGAAACTCCGACCCCGGACCTTTATCACCATAACCACAGCTTAGCTACCGGAGTTCCACAATCTCTCTTCGATTCCCCCCATGATCCGCCGACTCCTCACAACCACCTCATCCCTACTATTCACCAGCACAAAAATGTCGACGGCACCGCCCAACCCTCTCTTGAAGCCAGTCAAGCTGGCCCTGATCCAGCTCAAAACGGGTAACCTTTCATCCCATTCCATGTCTCCCCACACTCGGCTCTAACCCGGCAATGCAAGAACCCTAGGCAGCGACAAAACCGCGAACCTCACTCGTGCCTCGGAAAAAGTCGCCCAGGCCGCAAAGGCGGGCGCCAACATCGTGGTCCTGCCGGAATGCTTCAACTCGCCGTACGGTTGCGAGCACTTCCCCAAGTACGCCGAGGCACTGCCATCACTCGAGACGGCGGCGAGCGCGAGCGCACGGAGCGAATCGCAGAGCTACAACCACCTCTCGGCGCTGTCGAAGGAGCACTCGATCCACCTGATCGCGGGCTCGATCCCCGAGCTGGAGCCGGCGACCGAGAAGCTGTACAACACCTCGCTGATCTTCTCCCCAACCGGCGCGCTGCTCGCAAAGCACAGGAAGGTCCACCTATTCGATATCGACATCCCGGGCAAAATCACTTTCCGCGAGTCGGAGGTGCTGACCGCGGGCGACGCGCTGACGCTCGTCGAAACCCCCTACGGAAAGGTCGGTGTTGGCATCTGCTACGACGTGCGCTTTCCCGAGATGGCAATGATCGCGGCGAGGAGGGGCGCGTTCGCCATGGTTTACCCCGGCGCGTTCAATATGACCACCGGGCCGCTGCATTGGGAGTTATTGGCTAGGGCGAGGGCCGTCGATAATCAGGTGTGGGTTGCGATGTGCTCGCCGGCCAGGGAGCTGGAAGGAACGGGATATGTGGCGTGGGGCGAGAGTATGGTTGTTGACCCGAACGGATTGGTCATGGAGAAGGCGGGGCCCGGGGAGGAGACGGTGATGGTCGAGTTGATGCCCGAGAGGATCGCGGAGGTGAGGAGCGGGATCCCGGTCGGGACGCAGAGGAGGTTCGATGTTTACACGGACGTTTCGGGGATGGCGAACAAGGCCGTGTAGAACAAGATATCATGGATGAGGAATTTAATCTGCGTGTTGAGATATTCAACCCAAATTCCTGACTATTGGCCCAAAACTAGCCTTTCATCCAATCCTCTGTGTCTGTATTTCTTGCGCATCCAGGATCGTGGTCAGAGGCTTCATTGAACCGACTGCCAAAGTCCCAAGTGCTTTCGAAAACACAAGCGCTGGAAATGACCACGTCCGAATGCCATCTCCTCAGGTGATCTTAAGCGACTGACCTCGCCGAATAATGAATCAACGCAATGCCCAAGTAAGTTGATTGAGAGGTGGAGTGGGAGTGTGACGAATTGGACTCCACACAGCAAATATACAGAAAGAAGCCTGGGCGGCAAGCACAAACCGGGCAGTTGGGCAGTTCAAGAATCGCGCAGGCGGTGGCTGCGATACCGGCACGTCATTGTGATTCCCTCCGAGTGGACGCTGGAGTAGAGTAGGTGCTCTGCTTGGCCGTTTGTAAGGCGAGAGGTTCAATTATGATCTGCTCAGTGCAAGCAAAGCACTTGCAAAGGCGGGGCACCCACTACCTTATAAACATCAAATTCATGTTTCCGGCACGGAAAAAAACCCGCGTGGCCTAAACCATTAGACCACGCAATCGGCGAGGGGAGCTGATGGAAGGTTCTGGGTTCAACCCAGGTGAAAGATCTTTGTATTCAGCTCTTGGGGTTTCCAAGCCACCCACCGCCGTGGGTGGTGACGGTTTTTGTTTTTGGCGTGACGGAGGGAGCACTAGGTAGATATCACTCGGTAGTATTAATGCGAATCACGTGATACGCCTCAATTGCGTTGCCGGCTGTGGAGCTGAGGACCCCTACATACATACGATGAACTTCATCGTCGAGGGAGGGGAGGAATAAAGACGTGTGTGATGAGTGTGGGTCCACCAGCCGTTCAGAGGACCGGTGGTAGGTGCTCGGAACATTCGGTGCGGTAGCGGGTCCAAGTTCGGTTTTCTTTCTCTCTCTCTATTTCTTGTACCAGTAGCTCCTGGACCCAAATTTGCCACTTCAACTGCGCCGGAGAACGTACCGAGTGATGATTTATGGTTAGCAGTAATCCGACAATCGCGGCAAAGGTGGATTTTGGCGATAATTTCTTCACGCTAGCGCGGGAGGAGGTATCCCACTTTCGCAAGACTGAAATGCTTTAATCGCTCCACCAGCCCTCAGAGCTCATCTTTTCTACCAACCAACCCACCAAGCCACAGCTCCCGTCTTTCCTTTCCTTCCCTTCCCACCATCCATCCAGCGAACACATTACCAACAACAACTCTTCACACAAGCGACAATAATAACAATAACGACAACAGAAATACCAATAAACCATGTCGCCCTAGCCCCCCACCAAGACCGCGCCCCTCGACCCCCTCGCCACCCAAACTTCTGCAGCCCTCGGGCATGACCAAGAAGCCGCAGCCGAAGGCGGAGAAGACACCCAGCACCACCGCGGCTACCAGCGCCACCCAGGCTAATATGGCCAGCACGCGCGCCCCGCTCCCAGAGCGTCCGCCGTCCGCCCCCGCCAAGTCGCTACGAGCGCGGCGCCTGATCGAGTCCCTGCTGCACAACTCCGAGATCGCCGACCGCATCAGCATCGCCGAGAACGAGAAGTTGCGCGCCGAGCTCAAGGAGCGCCAGAAGCAGCTGCGCTGGGCCCTCGGCCGCTGCATACACCTCGGGGAGAAGTACGGTGGCCCCGAGGAGGACAAGAGCCTCCGGCTCGATCCGTTGAAGAACGAAGGGGGATATGCGCCCAGCCGTGCGGCCGAGAGCATCTGGGTCAAAGTAGGTGCTGGAGGAGAGGAGGAGGTGGAGGAGGAGCAGGAGGAGCAGGAGGAACCGGAGCATAAAATGCCCGGTCTGTGGGTAGATTAGAGGAGTGAATTGAAGATTGAATTAAGCGAGTCATGACTTTTGATCCACCGTGGTGGATGTAAAGACCCCAGCATACATACCTTGTACAAGTATGGGCAATAAAGATGGCTAATTCTGCCCACTGGGATGGAACAGAGGCCTGCGTTACATGAAACCCAAGTTTCCTCTCAGGTGTACGAAGCTGATGTCATAGGTAAAGGATCAAACATCGATGTACTGGGCAACAGCCTGCACTACTCCACTCCGCAAGTTGCATCGAGCTTCCTATCGAGTGATAATTGAAGATCTTCGCAGACCTACACTGCCCATATCCTTGATGCCTACCGCTGTGAACTACCAGCGTGCCAGCAGGATAATCGCTCAGTGCGGCGTTGTGGCAGGCAATGGGCTTATCACCAAGCTCAGTACAGTATACTACCAAGTAACTCGGGAACTGTATGGCACTATATCTCATGTTTTCTTTCTATATAAACCGGCCATGTTGCCCACTCTTTCATATCTCTGTCACACAAGACAGTCAGTACAATCTCCTGTTCTGAATCTCTCTCTCTCCTTCTCTCCCGCATCTTCTGTCCATACAATCTCCGAACTTCCCCATTGCCCAAACGACAACCCGTGCACCAAGTCAATGTCGTTGTCTCGCACAGCGGCCAGAGCAGCAAAATTTTGGCCAATGGACGTGCATGCCTCTCATACGTGGCCGGACGAAAGACCTTTCAACTTTAAAAGGAAGAAGACCTCCGCGTATAACGTGGGGGGTTAGTAAACTAGGTTATACGCGTATAACTTAGGGGGGGGGAACAGTAGCCCAAGTTATACTTCTTTAGTTTTTTTATTTGCTCGTCCGAAACCGTCTGTCCCCGGGTTTCGGAGAGGTGGCCTTGGCCATGCTTGCCTCTCACACATGCATAACCAGGAGGAAAGACCTTTGCTGTCACAGACTCACAGCAAAGGAAGAAAACCTCCGCATATAACTTGGGGGGATAGTAAACCAAGTTATACTTCTTATTTTTTTCTTCCCCGTCAGGGGCCATCCAACGCGAGCAAGTTGGCAAGTCGAGTCTTGACCGACTTGGACCCCCGGAGGAAGGGGGAAAGAACTTCTGCCGGCAGCACAAGAGAAAATCCCGTCCTTGGATGTTTTCTGCTCAGCCTCGAGGGTTGGATCCGTCTCTGACTACAACAGTCTACTATGTAAACTAGTTGCACGGATCCCTCAGTTCCTCGCTGCTACGGCTGAGCAGGACAGCTCTGTAAGGTTATCCTGGAAATACAAAGTTGGGGGGGGAGAGAAAGAACGACACACCTCGAGGTATGAGCTCGGGCTCCAGTGGAAGAAAGGAAGGGGTAGTATTCGGCGGAAGACCTAAGCCCTGTTGATGAATAAAGAAGACAAGTAAGTATCAAGCTGCGACGAGGTGGAGGAAAGAGAGAGGACTTACTGAGTAGTTGAAAAACCTGATGTTGACTAAACTAATCCTAGGTCAGTACCGTGAATCAACAATTAGTGCCCGATGAGAAATAAGGAGAAGAATTTAATGAGTGGAGGAGAGAGGAGAAAGGGAGGAAGAGTTAGGAGGAAAGGAGGGTTTTATAAGTGAAGTGGGTGGATTCCAAGCAATCACTTCTAGCGCACTAGCCGCGACTCAAAAGTTTGCCTTTTAGCAAACACCGCTACATTCCAAGATTTGTTTTTATTTAACCAGTAATTGTTTGCGACCTAGGTCATGGCAATATGCTACATTCCAAGGTGTCAACACTTGTTTAACATCACACACAGTCATTCGAGCTCCGAGTGAGTAATCATGAACACGTTCCCATAGCGTGGAATAGCGACAAACGCGCCAGAAATTACTGATTAAACAAAAAAAAAGAATAGCGATGAACGTGAGATGGTGGCGACCAAGTTTGTTACTTTCATACGAAGCCCACCCACGAGCAGGCGTGTGCAATTTGATGCTGCAACAGCAGCCAACCTAAGGAGATACGCCGAAACGAGAGAGGATGATGTTGCAGTCAATCCCGCCCGGCTCAACACCTGGGCGATGAGCTACTATAATCGGTTCCTCTACCGGGAAGTCTCATCGTGGACGAATATCAACATCACCGCGACTCACTTTTGCAATGAACCACAGCTGCAACGAAATGATAAATCCCTACATATGTACCTCCAGTGTTCGACATAGTCCGGTCAGGACTGCAGTCCGGACTGGACGGTCTGACAAGATCTGTTCCGGTCCGGCCCATCACTAGAAAGATCAAGATACCTCCACGCCTACCGATCCGATGGCGAGGGGAGGGAAAGCGAGACGATGAGGAAACTCGAGAGACCTAGGAACAGCTTAGGTAGCCGACAGGCGTTTCCAAGCGGGAAATTCTCGAGATACCTAGATTGCCAACCTTCCCTCTTTTTTGCGGGCGAGGTCGTAGCGATTTCCATGCCACCGGGGATTTCTCGTCTACGCGCCAGAGTGAATCGGACGTTGCCAAGACTCGTGCAGAGTGAGTGGACGGAAGAGTGAATGGGACGTTGCAGACCATTGGTGAGCGAACGTGAGAGTAAGTGGCACTTTGCAGACACTCGTGCTGTGTGAGTGATCGTGAGAGTGAATGGGACGTTGCAGACGATTGATGAGTGGATTTTGCAGAGACTCGTACTGTGTGAGTGGTCGTGAGAGTGAATGGGTGTTTATTCCTGTCATGCCACTCGCTCGACGAAGATCGGAAAGATGAAGAGGTGGTCATAATTCTATCATTGCTGAGCTGACAACACATAACAGTGACATAACGAAAACAGACAAAGTACGTTATTTCGTCTCACATAACCCTTCAACATAAAACCATCAGACCGGTACATCCATGATCCCCGCCACTTGCTCGAATAATCCCAAAGACAAAACCTCCTGCCTCACTACAGTCTACCCCGCGAAAGTCGTTGGAAACCCGAAAAGAAAAGCGTTAATCGTACAGAATGATTGTGGAGAAGGAAAAGTCGAAGATGGAATCTGATCGGGCGCACTGTAGGTACTAAGGATCCAGCGAGCACTTAGCAGATGGTGCACATGTGGTCTAGGTATTATCGGTCGTCAGTTACTATTGAAATTTGATCGGGACTATTGAGGGAGGGAGGGATGAGAGGTAACTAACAGTGGGCCTTGGGGTTTCCATTGTTAACGGGAGTGTTGGATTCCTCGGAGGCAGCAGTGGAGACGATTTGGATGGATGGCTGCATTTTGATAATTGACTGAGGTAGGATAGCGACTGAGGTAGGATAGCGAGGAAAGTGTTGTGAGTGTGAGTGGATTGTATTGGTCTTGAAGACGGATGATTGCTGGCTGGATGAGGATCTAGAAACCAGGAGGATAGACTCGTCCTTTATACACAATTTTCCTCTTTCCAGACGAACCTTCAGCGTTTCTAGAATCTAGGCTTTGCCAACAGCCGCTCGGCCAAAGGAAATCCGGTACTTTGGACCATATGGCGGCGGTCTGGCGGTCTTGGACTGTGGTAGGCATGAACTGTGGCGGGCTTGCGATTGTTGTCCAATTGATGGTGCCGTTTCAAGTCTGTGCTAGAATATTGGTCGTGTCCGTCATGTCATACACGACCTCCGCTTCCCTCCCAGTCGCGGACTCGCGGTTAAAAAGAACAATAGCAAGACTTTCTATAAGCGGGATGTGCATAAGTAAGACGACAGTCCTACGAGTTGTCGGCAACCAACAACTAATAATAGCTAAGGTTAAGCGGGCTTCATATGGAGACACGCGCGGTTCTACCCCTTCCTCACACCCTTCTAAAAGCCTTTCACACTAATTAACCGCGACCAATACTGTTTTTTTTGAGCATCTAGTAACCGAGTCAAATGCTGTGATGCACCGCTTATGTGCACTTCATGCTCACTCACCATTGAGATCGGCGGTTGCAGCGGGAATGGCAACAGGCTTGAGTTCTTGCGGTGGCTCATGTCTGCAGTGGAGCGCAAGACCGGGCTTCCTCCTGTCCTCGTCGAAAGGAGAATCAAGATAAATGGTCGATGGATATGCCAGTCAAGGGAGTGAAACTTGGAAACGCGACTGAAGCCGCGAGAAGGTGCGGCGTAGGTAATCTGAGGCTTCTAGAACTATCATCTGCTACATACTCGCATATTGCCATCCCGAATCAAATACTGTGCTTCATGTATGATGTCCGGCGATCACGGTTGTTCCTGAGCCGCCTCAAGCTCGGCAGTGCGGCGACCCCGGGGTAGGGGGGGCTTTCGCTCACTGGAAGTCTGGAGCTCGGCCACTTATGGCCGGGGCAGAGACACGAGTACATACACTCAAGCCTGCGAGTCAACGTGATGTATGTAACAACTCTGAGGTTGCAGCAGAGTCAGTATGATAGGTACCTAGCGGAGTCAAGGGTGTGGAATCACTCTCAGACATGTATGATCATATGTAAAATGTATGTACCTCCGCCCTGGCTTGCCCTGATGGGTTTCTACGCGATACCTATCACTAAAACGCCGGGGTGTATCGATAGATCCAATCGATATCCATTGATTAGGCAGATAGAATATAAGCTAGGAGTTGCTGTCTATCAAGCTCTAAATTAATGTCCGATCTAAGACACTGCTCCTTGGAGGCCTGAAGGGGCGTACATACTCGGGTGTTTAGTGGCTACTGTATAATCAAGGTGGGGTAGGATACAGTATCGATATGGTACCTGATCCACGCATGGTCGATTGTTTCTACAACATAGTGGATGGTGGATAAGCATTTTGGCCGCGATGGTGATGTAAAAACAGAGCGCTACCGAAGCACCTCTCCAGTAGGTATTTTCCAAGAAATACGACCGTTTTCAGTGCCATATCGCCACCACAGATCCTGCCCCCTTTGATTGATCGTATACACAGTAGGCAAATACGATACAAGACAGAATACTCAAATCTGTACATACCTGGTATGTAGTACATACGTCGGCAAGCAAGTACGCCGTTGAGTAACTATTCGGTAACAAGACAAAAGGTGTGTAGCAGAAAGAAAGAAAGAGGGAGGAGGAAGGGTATGGTTTGACGTCGGCGCGCGGAGGTCGGGACCTAGGTCTAAGTATGGCCGGGGTCGGGACTTATGCCTTGGTAACTATGGCCAGGGTCGGAGTCGGCGGCCGGAACATCTTCAACCGCCGATTCCACGTGGGACGGAATTAGTCCGACAATATAGCATGTAGACGTTTGGGGTAGACGTTTGGGGTTGGGGCTGAAAACGAAGGGCCGAGGCCAGAAAGTCTGGGCTGAGTGAGCCGCCATGCGAAAAGGCCCGACCCCATTAGTAGTAGTCTACCTAGTATGTATGCGTCGGACACACTCTATTCGTGAACCTGGTTGGGGACCGCCGCGGCGGGCGATCGTCCGCGTCACGGATCGCGTGGATGTGGATATGTATGGATCCGGCAACAGCCTTTGGAAGTGGGACATGCGGGGAAGCGAGCTAGACGTGTGGAGAAGCACTATGCAAATACATACATATACTCTACTCCACTCTAGATGCGATGCGATGCTCGCGCGTTGGCCGTTCCGCATGACGCCGGCCGCACTCACAGCATGCAACATGGATGTGATGCCGTGATGCCTCCGACGTACAAGAATCCACCAATAGCAGCACGGTGCTGGTCAGTCAGTCTCTGGCCGTCTTGCTGGTCTCCGCGACCTCGGCCAAAGCACGCGCCTCGACAAGGAAGCCCCAACCCCTACACACGTCCAGAGCACATATCGGACATATCTACTTACATACAGCAGTGTCTCAAATCTTACCGCCTCTGGCTTTGGCATTCGGCCTCAACGGCCGCAGCTCCCCACCTCCACGGCACCTTCCTACGCAGTAATCTGGCAGCAAAGATGTAAATACCCATCACCCCCACATCCGGACCTGTGGAGCAAGCTGGATCTGCGGCACGTTGCGACCATGTTGTTCCATACCGATTCTCGACCGGAAGCTACGATAACGGGAGGCAAGCAGGAGGAGGGGGAGGAGGGGGAGGCGGAAAAATCACCTGCCAGCCATACATCATGTACAGCCAACGTGCACGACGAAGTGCAATTCCGGATTCCGAGCAATAGTCCCTTCGCGGCCGCAATCGAACTCGGCCGTCCGATTACCGAGAGAAGTCCGGCGCCGCCCGCCACCAACGCGAATACCCGACCTACCCTGCCCGTCATCGCTCCCGGAATCACCTGCGGCATCTGCGGAGATACGTTCGGTCGCCAAGAGGCATGCTGCCCCGCTTTCCTCCTTTCCAGTCCTTTGAGAATAACTGTTGCCGATGTGATCGGCTGGGCTTCGGTTTAGCATCTCACCCGACACATACGCTGCCACACCGCCGAGAAACCATTCGCCTGCCCTCACTGCGGGAAGAGATTCTCTCGAAGGTATGTACCATACCATGCCATGCCACACCAACCCAATCCCTTCGATACCTCTCCATACATCGCCTACAGATGGCAACGGCAGAATGTCTTGCACGGTGCATCTTAATGGTTAACCCATCTTCCACAGCGACACCCTCAATAGGCATCTCACCATCCACCCGGGCCCTAATCATGAAGGCGGTGGCACCAAGAAGGCCAAGCAGAGAAGCAATGCCGCACGGGTTCAGCAAGCATGTCACAATTGTTTCAGAAGTAAGGTATAACAATGAGAAAGCTACACCCCCGGTCAAAAAAAAACCTTCTAGCGGGTCCGTGTAGCTGACTGGGATCGATAGGTTCGCTGCGACGGAAGAACTCCGTGTTTCCGATGCAAAGACCGGAAAGTAGGCTGTGAGTACCACGAACGTCTACCGAGACGCCGCCGCTCAAACCCGGGCAACGCTTCCATGTATTCCCCTGGAGGGGTACCAGCCGCGGCTGGCTCTGGTTCTGGCTTTGGCTCCCAGTACTATGGCAACATGAGAATCACCCCGGACCGTATCCTCCGAACCGTGAATCCTAACGACAGGCTGGTATCACGACTAGAAAACAATAATGGAAACACCATGGACGAACTTGGAGGCGCGGTAAATCCGGACATGATGCTGCAGAATCCTGGAAGAGTTAACGACAGTGAGCACGAGAGCGACAATTCCGATCATGGAATGAGAAGCGCCCAACTAGGGCTTATCCTTCCACGGGCAATCGACCAGCAGATGCATGATGCGCCGCCGTTATCCGAACTGGAGCAGCTATTCGAGCCGTATCCCAATCAGCAGCATAACAGCTTGGCTACTAGTTTCACTCCCGGAAGTGGCATGACGGATTCTTCGTTCGCCGACTTAGAAGCACTATTCCAGGAGGAGTTGGAACCGTTGGACTTTCTTCTAGATTGGACTACGGTGGGTGGGGACACAACGATGAGCGACGATATTCTGCGGGCATCTGTGGATACCCACGATCTCCTCCATGCGGACAACTCGATGGGAAGCATAGGGTTCTACGTTCCAACCCCCGGGGCTGAGGGCACGCTGTCAAATCTGACGCCTCGGAGTTTGCCTCCTCCCACCTTCGAAGAACCAATGCAGGCGCACCAGCCCCAGCCGCCGGCGCATCAGCAACACCATAGTCACTATCACCACCACCACCAAAAAAGCGAGCAGAATCAGAGCTCGTCGGTTTCGAGCACCGAGGGCGGGTCGAGATATTCAACCGGGCCAGAAAGTGATGATATGGTTGAGAGGACGAATCTTCCGGCTTCACCGAGTCCTTCTATCGCATTCTCCCGAGCAGCATCTCCCGCTACCGAAGCATCGAGGATGTGCAGTACCGACTGGTCCGAGCCCAGACTTTCCGATGGACATATTTCCTTCCCTCTGATGCCGCCAGACGTCGACGAGCTCTTCAACGAGGAGGAAGACCTTGCACACGTACCACCGGTCGGTCAGGGGTTCCGTGATCAGTTGGAGAAGGCGTTGAAGATCACACAATCTTCATATACCTGGACACCCATCTCGGATGCAGTCATACCACCGCTCAACGTGTTGAACGCTTTCATTCAGCTTTATTGGGAATATTTCCACCCACTCCTTCCGTTCTTACACAAGCCAACTTTCGATCCGACTGCAGATTCCACACACTGGATCTTGGTGCTAGCTGTGGCGTCGGTTGGGGCAAGATATTCCCGTGTGGAGGGTGCGGTGGCATGTGGAATTGCGCTTCAGGAACTGTTGAGACGGAGTATACAGTTGACGGTACATAAGCTTGCCCGTGACGCCGTGGTGTGTTTTGTACTAACGGCTATTTTGCAGTTGGAACACGATTCCTGCGTTGTCCGCAAGCTGTGGCTGGTGCAGACCTTCACGTTGGATCACTTCAACATGGTTTATTCCGGGAGCAAGAAGCACGTCGAGGTCGGGCAGACAAGTCGAAACGCGCCAGTAACGGTGGGACGTCGGAAACGATGCTTCAAGGATACCATCAATGTCGAGGAACTCACGGCGGATATGACGTTGGAAAAGAAGTGGCGGATATGGGTCATGGACGAACAACGGCGGCGTGCGGGATATGCGATATGGTTACTCGACTGCGAATACGCCCTGCATTCGGATGTCCAACCGCTGCTGAATATGGTAGAGATGCAGAGTCGACTTCCGTCAGATGAACCGCTCTGGGATGCCCCGACTGCGTCCGCGTGGAGAAATCTCTTTGTGCCCTCACGAGGAAAAGGTATACCTCTATTATCTCCGTATGAGCCCATACTAAGTTATCCCAGGACCCCCACCTGCACCGACCTTCAAAGAGGCTCTGACCTCCCTTTATGCTGGTAACGATACGGGAATACGTCGCAGTGGTGAATTTGTCAAGTCTGTGCTAGTCCATGCCGTCTTCCGCACCGCGTGGGACGCAAAGCAGTATCATACCCACGCATATAGGCGACCACCACCGACGGCGAACGGCAACCAACTCTGGCGCCTGGAAGCCGACGCATGTCTCACGATTCTCAGCCAATGCTTTTCCCTGCAAGTCGACTCATCTCTATCGGTACACAATGCAGTCTCAATCTCCATGACGCACATATTCCTCTACACCCCGCTTCGCACACTCTACACGTCCGCCGGCCTCCACGCCACCTCCTCAGCACTCATAGAAGCACGGCGGGAACTGGCGAAATGGATACAGAGTCCCGAGACATGTCGCGATGCGCGGGTCGCCGTAATCCACGCTGGCCGGGTATTCCAGCTGATCCGCCGCTATCCCGGGCGTGGCTTCCACGAGTCGATCCTGCTGCTGTACGCCGCGCTGATCCTCTGGGCATATGGAAAGTATACCGGCGGGGGCGAGGGAGCGAGCGAAACCTCGTCGGTGTCGAACCTGGAGGGCCTTGAGGGGGGAGTGGGCGAGGGCGGGACGCTGAGACTCGATATCGATCTGGACGAGGACGCGGCGCAGTGGATTGAGAGTGGCGGCGATAGGAGGATCGTCCTGGCGGGGGTCGGGAATATCTGTACGTGTCCTGAGAGAGTATTGAAGGCGGCGACGGAGACGATGAGGGAAATTAGTAGAGTCTGGAGGATGGGGGAGGGCTTGGGTATTGTGCTGGAGAGTCTGAGGACAGCAAAGGCGGCGATCTGATTCGATGAGTTCATGATTTTTGGTGTTATAACTGTTGTTTTTGGTGGGTTTCTTTATCATGGGCGAAGGAGATCACGGAATACATAGACTACAACTAGTCAATTTATGTTCTGTTTCGACTTGCGGTTCTACTCACTCCTCCCAAACTTGTCCGCTGCGAGAACCAATGAATTCACGTGATAGCGCTAATCCATATGTGCCAAGCAGAGTGAGCTCGCATGACGCCGTGGAGAAATCTCTGCCCGTCTCCCAGGCGCCGGTGACCACCGTGAGGAGCTCGAAAGAAATGTTTCGGCTTCCTTGAAGCGCTCGCCACAGCCGACTACCTAGTATGTAGAGAGGCAGCTTGCGAAATAAAATTGACGACCCCCTCACCGCCCCGCCGGGCCCCCTCTCGGGATCGACAGCAACCACCACTATGTATAGGTACTGATAGGTGGAACAATATGTTCACTCCTCCGCTCCATGGAGGTGGTGGAGATGGTGAAGGGGTGGAGGGGTGGAGGGGAGGAGAATGTTGAGGGGTGGGTATGTATTCGCTATGTATTTAGGTACATACCCGTTGCACCCGCTGTGGCACAATCGCGATGACGGAGGAGGAGTTCAGATGCGGATTCGGATTCGGAATCGGACTCGGACCCCCTGACTCGCCGGACTATCGGATACTCGGACTTTCGGACACCCGGACACTCGGAAATAGTAGACGACGTATGTGTCTGAGAGCACTATAATCTAGCGGTTCTTTCTCTGCGATTGCACGGACCACTTCTGCGTCGGACTTCTTTGGTAGCTGGATCTCCACCCTCCGTCTGATGTGTACTAGCATCGACGTTGTCGTTTTGAACAACATCCCCCGCCCTCTTCATCCCCCTCCGGTGTGACGATGATCTCTGAGGCATTATGAATACTTGCGTTCTTGCTGGCTACCTATGGGCTATGGGCTGCTGGCACCGGTGTTTGAAGAGTGTGCACAGGGACCTCCAAATAGGTAACAGAGCGTGCATACACAACCATATATCCCAGCCACTAGGCTCGTGATGTGATCATTTTTGGTTTATACATAAAGGTATGGCCGTGCTCCGGCCCCACGTTGCGTACATAATGTACGGTATTGCAGCCTTGTTCCGGCCCCACCTGCACCGGCACCGCCATTCGCACCACAGCCTCGCCCCGACGCACCTTTCGCGATGTACTGTAGCCTTGCTCCGGCTCCACATTGCGTACCACAGCCTCGTTCCGGCCCCACCTTTAGGATTTCGCATCATAGCCTCTCAACTTTTCATCTCGTCTTCACAACGAACTTTTCGCCCGCCGCTTGGTAACGAGCTGTACTCTTCGCTCCTGCTTTACACCGAGCCTTCGACAGTTTTGGCGCACTGCAGGTCTGGGAAAGATGCAGGAATCAGAATTGAATTGAAGCCCCGCAGCAGCAGATCTACACCTCCAGCAGGACTCGATCTCGCTCCTAGGTCCTCAGAACCTTGAAGGCCTAGAGAAAGACAGACAGAGGGCCGGCAAACCCCCGGCTATGTATGTATTGCAGCACGCACCATGGCCGGATGGATACGCTAGCTCCAAGTGAGCGGTTACTCCGAGCGGCATGATGTATCTCACATGGTACCGGTGACCGCACCGATTCCAGAGGCGTTTCCGTGGCTTGAACGTGCGTACTCATGTTTCTGCCCTACACCGTCCTTCGGGGTCCCGCACTGCCGAGCTTGAGGCGGCTCAGGAACAACCGCGATCGTCGGACATCATACATGAAGCACAGTATTTGATTCGATTCGGGATGGCAACATGCGAGTATGTATGTAGCAGATGATGGATCCAGAAGCCTCAGATTACATACCTACAAGGCTCTTTCCCGTCTGCGGTCCTGTTTCACTCCCTTAAGAGTTGACTGGCAGATCCATCTATCCTTTATCTATCTCCTTTCGACTAGGACAGTAGGAAACCCGGTCTTGGGCTCCACTACAAACATGCGCCACCGCAAGAACAGTCACCATTGCTCCGAGATCTGGGAGAAGAGTGAGGCTATTCCTGTCGAGTTGGTCATCGATGAGCATTTTCACAGCATCATCACGTGATTCTATGCGCAGTAGTAACTGAAAACCGTCCCGGTTCCCGCTGCAACCGCCGATCTCAATGGTGAGTGAGCATGAAGTGCACATAAGCGGGGCATCACAGCATCTGACTCGCTTACTAGATTCTCTCGAGGGGACAATCGCCAAGTTACACGCCCCGTTTTCCGCGCGGGTCTCCATATGAAGCCCACTTAGCCTCAACTATTATTAGTTGTTGGTGGCCGACAGCTCGTAAGACTGTCACCTTACTTATGCACATCCCGCATGGAAAGTCTTGCGATTGTTCTTTTTACACGCCAGTCCGCAACTAGGAAGGAAGCGGAGATCGCGTCTGACATGACGGACGCGACCAATATTCTAGAACAAACGTGAAACGGCACCATCAGTTGACAACGATCGCAAGCCCGCCACAGTTCATGTCCGCCACAGTCCAAGCCCGCCAGACCGCCACCATGTGGCCCAAAGTACCGGATTTCGTTTGGCGGAGCGGCTGTTAGCCAAGCCTACTAGAAACGCTTGAAGCTTCGTCTGCATACAGGAAAATTGTGTATAAAGGACGAGCCTATCCTCCTGATTTCTATCTAGATCCTCATCCAGCCAGCAATCCGCCTTCAAGACCAATACAAACCATCAACTCACAACAGTTTCCTCGCTATCCTACCTACCCCAGTCAATATGCAGCCATCCATCCAAATCGTCTCCACTGCTACCTCCGAGGAAGGCAACACTCCCGCTGCTCCCGGTCACAATGGACAACCCCCGGGCCACTGTTAATTACCTCTCATCCCTCCCTCCCTCAATAGTCCCGATCAAATTTCAATAGTAGCTGACGACCGATACTCTAATAGACCACATGTGCACCATCTGCTAAGTGCTCGCCGGACCCTTAGTATCTATGATAGTGCGCCGGATCAGATTCCATCTTCGACCTTCCTTCTCCACAATCATTCTGTACGATTACCACTTTTCTTTTCGGGTTTCCAATGACTTTTTCTCGGAGTAGTGGGGCAGGAGGTTTTGTCTTTGGGCTATTCGAGCAAGTGGCGGGGATCATGGATGTGCCTGTCTGAGGGTTTTATATGTTGAAGGGTTGTGTGAGACGGAATAACGTACTTTGTTTTTGCTTTATGTCACGGTTATGTGTTGTCAGCTCAGCAATAATAGAATTATAATCACCTCTTGATCTTTCCGACCTTCGTCGAGCGGCGTGTGGCGTGACAAGAATAATCACTCGGTGCGGCGTTATGGTTCCTAGGCAATGGGTTTGTCGCCAAGCTCGGTACAGGAAATCACCATCGATATCAGGTGGTGTCCGGTACACAAAAGGGTTCTCCGGGAACGAAAAGGCCGACGAATGGGAACTTGGGACTTAGCAAGTGGCTGACGGCCAGGCTCCAACCCATGCTCCGGGTTCGATTGGATTCGAGGTTTCTGCATTTTATGCATATGGAGGGCGGTGGTGGCGGGTTCGACGGCGACCATTGTGTTGTTTTGCTAAGAGGGGAGCTCTATAGTAGCAGATTCGATCATGGAAAACGGAAGGCTTTCCTAGCATAAATCCGAACCACAGTTTATCACAAATCCTCACTCGCGAGAGAAAATAATCCTTCGTCGACATGTCTAATTTCATGATGGCAGCTATGGTGGGTGCAGCAGCTGTACATAGTCATCCTTACGAAGCTCAGCCAGTATGAGTACGCACGCATGTGTCGAGATCATATGCTTAATAATGGCAGTTATGGAGAGCGCAGTAGCTGTATACACGATATGAAGTTCGTCGATAAGGTAGTGGGTAATAACACTCCTGCTGAGTCGCTGGGTTAGAACATAGCAGAGCCCAGACGGGTTCATAAGCGCGCGTAGTAAGTTTACAGCACGGAAAAAACCCGCGTGGCCTAGCGGTCACGCACCCGGCGGAGTTAACAAGGACACCGCTCCTACTATCGGGGTTTCCAAGCCACCCACCGGGGGTGGTGAAGGTTTTTGGTTCGAGCCCGGTTTGGCACGGGGTTATCACACGCCGCTGTTATTTTTGGATTAATCATCGTGAGATTCGGCCGAGTAGATCATGGCAGATTAAAGATAGGTTTCCACCCGACTATTACATACCGACCGGCGACCGCTGGCCACGAGCTCGATACCGGTTCCCTATTGCTCTCCGCCCATCCCTCCACTCGAGTCAAACCTTCCTGCTCACCACTTAACCCTCCCCGCATGGAAGACGAAACGCTTCTACATACAGACTAAATCCGAGCCCCACTTCATCACATGTTCTCACTCGCAAGAGACAATTATGCTTCGTGGACAACTTTTATTGTAATGGTTTAATTCGATGATGATGGCAACTATGGAGAGCACGGTAGATATATAAACGACTTGAAGTTCGACAATAAGTTTCAGTATGCATAGGTACGAAGAACCATCCACCCGTCAGCAACGGCGATCGTCAGCCCACGTCTACCTACCTGGCATGTATGTAGTAGAAGGCCCGATAAGCCCTACGACTCAGCGTGCAGAAGCGACCAGAATCTCACCTGGAAGTTGGCCTGTGGAAAATGAAAAATTCACCCTCAACAGGTAAGCGAGGCCGAAGCGAGCAAAGACGCGAGGCGAGGCGGGGATTGCGAGTATTGTGCGAGTATGTTGCAAGTATGTAATCACAGTCGGGCTTCCGGGATAACCACTCTACACGTAACGTAACGTCGTTAGTAACACCTACAGCCTGGCCAGTTTCGTTTCGCCCCAGCTACCGTGAGCTATGCGATTCGCATGGTTGAAGGCTAGTTAATTCCCTCCCTTGTCAGTGTAGAGCACCTACTCTAGAGTACCTAGAGTAGAGTGCGGCGGTTGCGGAGTATCCGGAGTATAGTGACACGGCATGGCACCGCTTCGACGTCGAGTTGTAATCAACCTTCTCGGTTAGTTATCATGGCAAGGATTCACGCCAGCAAACATTGAATGGCCACGAGCACAATAGCACTTGCGGATCAGCTGTGGTGGCCACTTGCCTGACCGAATACCGGCCCTACGACAATGATTGCCGGCGTATTTGGATCTTCGGGCGATCTCGCTACATAAGCGGCGCAATTATTTATCCACGTTTGCCGGGGTCCCTTCGTGTTGCTGAGGTAATGCACAGGAGGCCCCAACAGTCATGCGGTGTTTTCGTTAGTGAAAGTGAGACAAATCTCCAGTATGTAGAGGGTTTCTGTAGGCCTAGCCGTATTCCTGCCTTCGCATATCTTCTGGATGCATAAATACATCCTCACGGATTCTCACTCGCAACATCGAATTCTCATCTAATTCGCCAATGATAGGTAGCCACGCCATTTTGCCAGGCCCAGGCGAATGGTGGACGGCGAGGCTATCACTGCCGTCCCGAGCCAGTGATTTGGACTGCGCATACGTGGCCGCCATAATCTCTACAGGTTCACTGCGAGTATGAATCATGGTCAAACAAAAAAAGCCCACGCCATTTCACACCACTAGTATAAACCCCATCGATCAGATCAGAATTATCATCAGATGCCTCGGTGTCTGGTCGATTTAGGAAGCGGAGTATGTACTTAAAGCTTTCATGGCCGAACACGGCCGGATACAGAATTATGAAACGCTCCCTCCAAAAAAAAGCCACGCCACTTCCTTGCGGCCATCATAATCTTAGACACCACACGCACTGTAAATCACCATGTTTACCAGCTAGTTACACTACTTCTACCCCCGCACTCCAATCTTGGTGGTTGCCTAATCCAATTGCCTAGTGTTAGGTAAGACACCACCGGCACCGGTGTCATCACTGTCATCACAGTCATCATCATCGGAGCCGGGGCCGGGGCCGGAGGATCTCACGCAGGAAACGCCGACCCGCAGGTCGCAGGTCGTATCACAGTTTACCTCGCAAACTGCAGCTTCCAGCATGCTCCAGGCTCCAGGCTCCAGCAATCTCACATCAAGGACAGTCACGACTCACGTTCAGTGAGCTCGAAATTTGAATGAAGTGCCGGTATTGATCGTATACCTACCTAGTACAGCACGGCTGGCATTCGTTCAGCGGGGCGATCATCGTATGGAGTAAGTTAGTATCCTACTATCCTTGGCCTCAGCGGGCCGCCTGGTAGAGACCTCAGACAATTACTGTCGTGTGCAATGCCATTGGCTAAGTTCCAATGGCCATTACCGGACACTTCAGGTGGGATGTATATATGATTACCCACCTACTCATGCAACGGGCATGTAATATAAGAAAACCTGCTTGATAGCTGGATCAGGGAGCAACAGCAACAGCAAATCATTCATCCCCGACGACGATCCAAGTGCGTTATCGATAACTGGGATGATTCCAACTTCCGAGTCTATGACCTAATTCTCGTGACAGTCCAAAACGTGCACTTGCTGGGTCTCGATAGGACTAATATGCTACCCTCTCGAGACGGAGAGACGGAGACCCACGGAGTTCAGCCTCAGGGGGGGCTGAGACAGAATTCGTTGTATGTAAGCGTGTGGAAATAGTCATTGTGAATTTGGGAGTGCTGGAGGGGCTGAATAGGTGTACGGTTGAAAGTGCTGAACCGTCGCTGGGCAGTGTGGCGCAGCTTAGAGGCTGACGATTTCGATTCAGCCCCCGTTCTTCTGGCCCAGCTGTTAGCTGTTCGCTTTTTAGAATCTCAATACGCATGCAATACACGATGTCTACGGATGTCTACATCGCTTACTTGCACGCGGTCGTAGAATATTTCCGCCAATTTGACTATCTCTCGAGTGACATATCATGATTCAGTCCGCGTGACCTCCCATGGGCCATCACCTGACTTCTCGATGACTTGCTACGCCCTCCAAGCCCAAAGTGCGGCAACGTGAGGATCTCCAATGACAAAGCGATCCTGGGGGTGGCGTGAACGCTACATCAATGACCCATTCAGACATACACATCACTGAATACCCTTCCCAACCTCTGAATCTTGAATCTTGAATCCTGATACGTATACTCCGCACCAGCGCCGTCGAGAATCGAGATTGTCACCGGATGCGAGTCGGCCCAGAATCGGCGATGGAGGCAAGGCGAACCCCTGCGCGTATCGGCATCATGATTCATGCCTTTTGCGCAAACCGGGCAAGGCAGCTGGAGCAAGCAAGCAAGCACTCAGCAGACAGGGTACGGTTAGGATCGCTTTTCATGATTGGTTGAACCGGTTTGCACGGGAGTGAGGTTAGTAACCGTGTAGGTATACCCTCGATGATAATCTCTACCTTATGCGCGTACCATGACTTGAATGCTGAGTGAGTCGGCATTCTGTCACCCAGAGGACTGAGGTGTCAGCAAAGTACTCACCTACCTAGGTTCTTGCCCCAAAATAACAAAACTCCTCGAGAAATTACACACCACGGAAAAGTAGTAGTATAAACCATTGCGTATCAACCGGCAACCCTGGGGGTGTCCGTCTGTCACCAGCAGTTCCTCTCCCCAAATTCCTGACATCACAGAACTCGAAATCTCGTCCCCCCCCCCTCCCCCCCATCACCACGATCGACCAGCCAACGCATCCTTGCCCAACTTACTCCATGTCTGCCACGCACATATGTATGTAGGCAGCCGATTATGGCCTGCTGCCGATGATTAGTGAGCTTCCTGTGCAAGCAGGGGTAGTTGACGCCTTGATTACTGATGCTCGTTCTTGCAGACCCATCATCGGAAGCTAACCTATTGGTCGAGCGCCATATGAGCTCACGGCAGGTTCCGGCGAGCGATCTTCCAGCGGGCGTTTCTGGACAAACATGAAACAAGTGAGCGCTCGCCTGGCATAAACATTGCTTGCATGCGGGGGCCACATGCGCGGTGAAGAACTTGGGTCGACGAGGATATGGGCTTTGATCATTCGTTGGCCGCTTCCGGGTGGAGATGGGGGGGCATCGGCATCGCCCGCCCGCACGCTGTTGGTCACTGATATGACTCCGTGCGGAGACTTTACGGCTCAGGATGCATGTCGCCGCGGATATATGGACCACTCGGGAAGACATTGGGCAGCGGGTTGTGCAGCGCAACCATCTGCCGTGATTGCCGTCTCCATCGTGCTCTAGTGGCGATGATTATTCCGCATGCAGGTAGATAGAAAACTCGGGTTTAGTTCGAACCAGGCGTGTACTAACGTTCAGCACAACACGGCCATGGCTGCACTACCACCACCACCATCACCACCACCCGCCAGATGCTAGCTTGGTGGTCCGTATATATATGCGCTTATGCAAATCTCGTCCTGAACCGAATGGCGGGTTGAGACTCGCGGGAGGGAGGCAGCGAGCCACCAGACGGCCCGCCTCGAAAACGGTTGCGGCCTGACAGGTGTTGCATGGTACAACCCGGTGTGAACGTTCCTCGAGCAACTGGGAATCCGAATGGATGGATGGTTGCCTTGGGGCCCGAACCACTTTGGTCAGCACACGGCAGTGCGGCTCTCAGAGCGAGTGAGAGCCAATGAAATAGAACTGACAGAGAGGTATCACACTCTTCATGATCGAGAACTCAGCCAATAGGGATCGAAAGCCCCCAATCTCCCGTACGGGGTGAACCAGCTAGCTCCCATTCTGGTGGGCGCAGGGTTATGGGGCCACCAGACCATGGCCCGTAAGCTTGTGTGAGTTCACCCGACCTTGTTTCCATTAGCGAATCGAATGCGAAGGGGACTTTCTTCTTCTTCTCCACGTTAAGCGAACAGTCAGCATGCACAGAGTGACCTAATACGCATCCCTTCAATCTGGCAGGATATCCATGTGCTCCAAGCATAAGACGGACCATCGAAGCCCAGTGGTTTTTGGTTTTCGTAACCGGGTCCGTCACGATGACTCGACCGAAGTGACACAACCAGGAATCGAATCCGCCGAACGTTTTGCGGACGGTGTCAGAACCGTGTTTCGGCGATGTAAGGTACCAACGGCTCACCGAACAGAGGGAGACGGTGCCACCAGCCAGCGCGGTCGGTGCACTAAGCATCGCAGTGCTGTCCGCAGAGTGATTACGAGGTGCGATACGGCCAAGCGTACGATGAGGCAAGCACTCTGTATTGGAGGGTGTAGTTCTGTAGGGCTGAGAATCGAGGCGGAGTAGTAATCAAGGGGGTGACACGCGTACGGCATTGCCGCCACTTGCGTCGGCTCCCGTTGCCATCTTCCGAGCGGGGAGAGGGGGCGCGCACACACATGCCAAAGCATTCGAACTAACACACGAACACGACCGAGCCTCGCTCTAGCTGGAGAGAACACGCCGCGCTCGCAATCGCACACTCGGCCGGCCACGACTGTCGGGTGACTGAAGGCCGGATGACTAGGCTGGTGGCGGCGGACAGCAGCGGGGGATGTCATCGCTGGCGCGGCTTTTGTAAGCGCAGAGTTGCGTTACCTAACCCCTTTTCCAAAAGGAGCTTCGACCCGTAGTGCAGATAGTTACCGGAATGTGTGCAGCCCTAACACCGCATGCGCATGCATCGTGCTGCAACGACTGGGGAGGCAGGGTGGGATGGCGAGAGTCCGGCGGAGAGTGCGAGGATGACATGGAGAGTATGATAGAGTGGCTGGCACCATTAATCTGCGGGGAAGGGTAGGATATGGGCGAGGAGGTACTTTACTCTATGTGTGCTTCCTTTTCGAGGCCGATGGATGCTGGCTGACGAAGCGGTGGATGCGACGGAGGAGGCGAAGGAGTAGAGGCGAGGCTCATGACGAACTCTGGCGCAAGCTGAGTGGCGGTGGTGATGGCGATGGTGGTGATAGTAGTACAGAGTAGTAGTACGGTATTCTAGTAAATAGTATTGGTGGTGGGGTTGTCGCAGTGGCGCTGGAAAGTACCGAATGCACCAAGCAACTGCTGCAAGGCCCTGCGGACTTCCGTGCTTCTAGTTGCCGCCGTCGTGCTTATATTCCGAGGCTCCTGCCCCGCCCGGGGCCCAACAATCGTTCCGGCCAGCGCCATCACCTTCTCGAAGTTCTCGTTCTTCCTCTCCTGCCGTCTTTGCCAACCGGCTAGCAAATCCCAGCACTCTGGGTGTTCCGTTTAGCGCGGATTGGTCCCCACCCCCCGGTCCGCATCTCCTTCTTCCTCCTCCTCCTCTTCATCAGCAAAGCCGCATCATCACCACCACCACCACTACGCCGTGCTATTGAAAACTCACTGAGATAATCAAAACCACTTCACTCCACACGTGCTCTTCTCCGCCGATCCTCACTGCGTTATCCTGCCCTCCCATCTGTCGCTTTACATACTTAAGTAAGACGCCCTTCGCTGCTTTGCCCGCCCCAGCCGCTCCGAATCGTTATCTCCGTGGTTCTCCCGCTGTGGCGTCGTCTCTCGGCCACTCGAATCAACCCCACCCTCCGTCCCGCCCTTATAACCGCCTTATATCTATATACCTCGCCCCCCAGTGTATATAGATTCTTCTTCGGCGTGACGGTACAAATCTATCAGTGTCCACCTCCTCCGGCTTGTCGCAAAAAAGGTGCTAGGTGCCTGTATCCATAATCTAATTATCTACAGCGGCACCACCACCACCAGCCACGGCCGCTCGGAGTATGCCAACTCCTCATCGAATATGGGAGACACCGCCGCGCATGACCGGGCGTCGCGCGCCTTCATCTTCTCCACGGCCTCCACCTCCTCCTCCACCACCGCCGCCGCCTCCCCCGCCTTCGGTCTATGCTGGACTCTCTCCTCCGGGCTCCTATGACTACACCCACTCTTCGCCGACAACCCTCGCGCCGCTCCGCAACGCAAACAACAAGCGTCCTCACGCCGACTCAGTATCGGACCTCCCACCGCCTCCGATCCCGACACCACCGTCAATACCGTCGCACTCCGTGACGGCGGCGGCACCACCGTATCCCACGCAGCCGCAGCGCACGCACTACCAACGCCGCCTCGCATACCCGACCGCCTACAGCCTCTCGGGCATCGTCAGCCAAATCTACAATGTAGTGCAAGACCTCAGCAACCACCTCGACGCCACGGCCCCGCCGCAACAACACTCCCCGTCCAAACCTGCCACATCAAAGATGTCCATGCCCGAGTTCCCGACTCTGGACGATATCGGCGCGTGTCTCGAGGCCGTGTACACCACGCTGCACACCCGGGTCGAGGTATTATCGCGGCACCCGCCCTCGCACGGCACCCCCGGTGCCGCCGCCGTTGACGCCACCCGACCGCCGCTAGCGCAGACCCCAGGCCTGACAAACGGCGGGGGGAGCAGCAGCACAGTGACGTTGAAGCTCACGCACGAGACACTAAAAAAAGACGCGACGCAGCTGTCAGCGGCGCTCCTGCGCTCACAGAAACGTGCCGAGACCCTTGAGAAGAAGATGCTGGCGTTCGAGAACGAGAACGAGCAGAACGCGCTGGACCGCGAGCGCCTGGTGGCAAATATCGAAATGCTCGAGGAGACCGTCGAGGAGCTGCGAAGGGAGCGCGATGAGGCCCGGGTGGAGCTGCATGCTAGCGGCGGGCAGTGGTGTCGTATTGTCGGCAATGCCGCGAGGATTGAGAAGGGGCTGTGGTTGGAGCTGAAGAAACGCAGGGGGAGTGAGGGGGATAGGGGTGAGGGTGAGGGTGAGGGTGAGGGTGAGGGGGTGGGAGATGGAGATAAGCCCCAGGCTAGGTGCGAGCATTGCGCCGGCAGTGTGGATAGACTGCTGGATGCGAATCGCACGCTGAAGAGGCGGGTGGACGCGCTCGAATGCTCGGTTGAGCGGATGAGGTGCGGGGGTAAGGAGATGGCGGAGTTGTTGCAACGACTGGGGGCGCTGGGTTGCCAGTTGGAAGGCGAGGTTACGAGGGTCATGGCTGTGAACACGAGCAATTGCGGCGGCGGAGGAAGCGCGGGAGGGGGAGGAGGCGCGGGTGGTATATGATCTGCATTCTTCCATTCACATTCGCATTCATCATTTCCTATGTCGGGGTCGGCGTTACAACTGTGTCTTGCTTATATCATCTACATCTGAACTGGCGCATTGGCTTGTTGGCGTTTCTGTTGCTCTGCATATAAAAGGGGATGGAGTGGGGGTGGTGTGTGGGGCGGGCATGATCTGGGTATGCAACTTGTATGTAGGCACTTATTTATATCAATTCGAAGAATCGAAGAAAAAAAGAGCTCTACGATTCAATACTATGCTTCTGGACATTGCGACATTGTGACATTGTAACATCGTTCCGTGGATTCCTTAAACGGCGTGGACTAGTGGGCCGTGATGGGCTTCATCCCTATTAGGCACAGTCATCCACAATATCTCACTCGTCTCTTGCCGGCCTGACGAACTTGAGTCTTCCGAACTCTGCTCGTCCATCCTTTGGATCTTGGCCGAAATTGGTCTGATCGACAGTATCTTGCTTTACTCCTCACGTAAGTAAGTCTCCTAGCAAAAAAAGACTATAAAAAAAGTCGTCCGAGCGAGACCACTTAAAACTTTTAGTAGGGCAGACACTTCGATCACCTTCCAGTCCTTGGTGCATACGACTCCCGAACTCTACTATAGTCTTAGATGACGCGGTCTGTAAAAGTCTTGACTAGGGCATCTCGAACTTTGAGCATGTACGCAGGTCCATACGAGGCCTCGGCGCGGAGCTTGTGCAGTGCGCACCAATGTGAAGCGCATACGGTACTCCTTGGAAGGTCACCAGAAAAAATGGCCGAATAATCTCACACAAGTAACAAATTCGTGAATTATGTCCTCAATTAATCGACGGTAAACAGAGGACTCACAAATCGAGCCCTCATCAGACAAACTGCAAAGAAAAGAACAAAGAGACAAAGCCCATTCGTTTCCCTCTCTGACTCTTAGCTGAGTACCATCAAAATCCCCCATTGAAAACCTCAAAAAACTGCAAGTTGCAACACGCAAATTCCTGATCCATCATCCTGAGCATGTGTGCTCATCACAAATCAACCAAATTAGAGGCTAGGATACAAGATTGTCGCACTTGAACATCATTAAAGAGAGTAAAAAAAAACTCGAAACAATAATGCCCAAAGGCAGAAAATAATAGGTAAAACCAGGCGGGGAGAGTCGAAGGAAAATCGTAAATCGTAAAGCCACGGGTGAGGAAGCTGGCGATGCAACTCTTCAGTCATTCCCGTAAGCACTCGTCAACGTCAAGTGGTAAGTTCGGAATCCTTCGCGGCCTTGCCATCCTCGGAGGAACTCTCGTTCTTGGCATCCTCGCAGTAAATCGTGCTCTTCGCATCCTCAGAGGAACTCTGGCTCTTCGCGTCCTCGGAGGAACTCTCGCTCTCGTCGGTCGTCTCCCCGGATGACTCTGGAGGGCTCTTAGTAACCCCAGAGGAAGTGGATTGACTGTCATCGCTTCCATTCTTTTTTCTGCGCATATCGGCGAGTGCCTTTACACGCGCAGGAGATCTCACGGCTGGACCGAGGGGACGGCGAGGAGTGGGCGAGTGTACAATCAATGGGCCCGACCAATCTTCCACTGCTTCGGGAACAGTCGTTTTTGATGCTACCGGCGAGGTGTTCTGGGCATCTTGTCCACCGCTCACGCCTTCCGACGGTGCTACCGGCGAGGTGTTCTGGGCATCCTGCCCGCCGTTCACGCCTTCCGATGGTGTATCCGGGCGCAGACCATTCGGGACGGGATACTGGAGACCTGTGGACTGGGCATTGTGACAGACCATGTTCGGAGTGGGATACTGGGAGGGATACTGGTTGCCTCCAGGCTGTGTAGTGAAGGGTATGAAGTTCGGGACCGGGTACTGCTGAATGCCGGGCTGTACATCGCGATAAGAGGGCCCGGCAGTGGGATACTGCTGATAGGTCGTGATTGGGGGACTCGGATAGTACTGCGGCACTCCATAGTATCCTGTAGGTCCCCTAGCAATATTGGCTGAACTTGCTTGTAAAGGTCGACTATTAACGTGGTAAGGACGTGGATTGAACATGGCAGTTGAATTATGGCCATAGATTCTCGCACTGAGGGTCGTATTCATTCCATTGGTGAACGACTGCTTGAGCCCTGGGTATTCATAGTACTCCTCGCCAAGATGTCCGAAGTTACATCTCCGACCATACCGACAATTGTCAACTCCTCTGCCGTTGTCATCTGGGGGTACCGTCCAGCGACACTGGGTCTGCCAAATCTGTGGCATTTTGCGCTTCGGAGTAAAAGAAGCCGCCACCGGATTCAAATTGTCAACACGCTGAGGAGCAGGAATTTGCTCGCCACGAATGGGGTAGGCCCCATCCGAAGGGGTCTCCATCGTTATGGCTTGACTAGCAGTGGATGTTGAGGCATCGACGGTGGGCGCTTCTGAGGTGGACGCTTCGTCGACAGTTGCATCGTCAACCTTCAAATCGGACTCGGAGGTAACAGAAATGTTCGAAGCACCCATGTGGTTCACTTCTTCGCCCGTGAATCTGTCCCGCAAGGCCGAGTCTTTTGGCGCAATCGCCACATCGGTCCAGTCATCTTACCAGTATATTCAGCAACCCCGCGCATAATATTCAGAATTCAGTAGCACTCACTGCTTGCAGCCTCAAGGCGTAGAATCCTCGATGGCGAAGAGGTATCTGGAAAGACCGGATGGCCCGTAAGAGAGGTTTCCGAAACTGCAGCCATAATTTAGTCCTGCTCAGTCGTGGTTGTGGACAGTGGAATAATTGGGGGACAGTGGAATAATTGAGGGACAGGTAGCGAAGAGGAAGGAGACAATCCCATCTTTATTACCTCGAGCTGTAATAAAGTTAGGGCGAGCTTGTGTAAGTTTTGGTTGAGGCCCAACGCTGCTGTTCGTGATTTTCAAAGTCAATCCTCGATACGAGTCATAGAGTATATGAGGTATGTAGGTAAGTAAGGTATGTAGGTAAGTCAGGTATGTACTCACGCTATCATTTTTGACGTTACCGCATCGACCGCGAGCCCGCCCACCGCCCGGCCAGCCCTGGGGATGTCGAATGGTATGAATGACCTGTATCCCTCAGCCTGGAAAGCCGATGCTTCGGCATTGCCCAAACCGAGCAAGTCCCAGTACCGGTCCATCTTCAACGATGTCCCATTATCAAATCCCCTCTGTTCAATGTTCCCTAGAGACGACCGAAGGACTCCGTCTGTACTATCTTCAGAGGACGGAGCTGCTACGCCCTGGATCGCGGACAAAGACCAATTTCTGCGAGGTAGACCAGCACTACCACTAGGAGGTGTTGGTGAAAATATCCGCGATTTCTTTTGCTCACTGTATCTTGGCTGCATATCGGGTCAACCGCGTTCATAGTTACTTGGCTTGCACTCAGGATACTTACTGCTCGGGCCTTTCTCGGCGCTCGTGGGCAATCCAACGGTGACTCTACTGCCCGTCTTGGAGTCTTCAATAGGTTTAGGGAAGTATTAGGGATAACAGTCGGCGGAGCACTCGATGGAGGTGCAAGTGGGACCCTCCGATGGGTCCAGGCAGGAGAATTGGGTGGAGGTGAAGAAGCCATTGACGGCCTTCTTGGTGCTTCCGAGGGGGTTCGCAGCCTGTAGTACCTAGTGTCAACTGATAGGTGTCACTTCGCTAGTACGTTATGGCATAGCTACCAGCAGCATGCTGCGGGGCGTGAGGGAGGGCAAGCTAAGATCAACAGGTGGGAAAGGAAGTGAAACATACGGTAGAGTGGCCAGCGAACGGTCCGTTTAGCTCCTCCAGAGTCCAGAATGACTGTCTCACGAGTGCGAATTGGATATCAGGTAGATCGAAAAGAGACTGTCTCACGAGTGCGGATTGGATATCAAGTAGATTGAGAAGATGCAAGAACGAGATGGGGATGATGATTGTATGGTCGCAGGAGGAGGAGGGAGAAGGGGAGGATCTTTATCGCACGCAATGCACTTGTTTACCTATTCCCTCTTGAGTGGTGCAGCACCTGCATGCTGCTCTGCTTTTGGCCAAAGAGTGATCGTTCTACTGTTTGCGATGTCGGACAGCCCACGATGGCATTACTCATCGTGAAATGCGCGCTGTGCGAAGCGGCCAGGCCGATATGGGTAGCACGGCGGTCCGCATTCGACCGAATAAGAATCATAGGACTGCACCTGGAGCCCAAAGAGAGCCCATCAGAGCACTGCTTCCATGCTTTCTATCATAAATCCCCTCCCCTTCTCCTCCAGATTCGTCTCCTATCATCATTCCATCCATCTCGTCTTCATCCGCTCATACCTCCCTATACCAGTTCGTAATCTTCCGCTTTAGTCGTCTTTTTACTAGCCCACGTCCACCACACCAAACCCGACCAACATACATAGCTTTACTCACCTAGTGATCACGGACTCGCCCCAATCGACAAATATCACTACACACACAGCACCGTAGGCACCGCTCCAGCACCCAGTCAAGAACCTCTTCCGATCAGTACGCAATACACCCTACGTTTCGGGAAACTATCCGCTGATGCCATTTCTTCCCTGTACATCAGCCGACAATATGGATTGCAGAACTGTGGCTGAACGCCCAGAGTCTCCGGCTTTCCGGCGCTTTGCTGTCAACTATGGTGCTGCTTTTAGTCTCGAAGGACCTCTAGAGCCTGTTGCATCGTCATTGGGACTTCTGACTGGCAATCTCGCCGAACTGGACCAGCATGAGAAAATCTGTAAGCCATTGTCCACCAAGTCCTGATCAATCGCTTTCTAATACCAATAAGTCTGGGCTTGTGATAGCTGTGGGCATAAGTTTCGGACGCTGAAAGCTCGGGAGCTCCACGGTCGACTCTGCGATGGCGGGTACGAGGCGAAATCTCGGGCTGCTGCTCCTCCTTTCCAGGTGTATCTGGAGTCCATTCAGATTTGCGTGGTTCCGGGCCGTAACCACGACTGGTTGGTCCAGTTGACATGGCTCCTAGCAGTCGCTGACGATGCCAGAGTCCAGAGAGTGATCATCTCCTCCAGTGTAGATTGCAGTAGCCATCTGGATTCTGGAGTACGGTGTCAATGAGGCGGAAAACTACAAGATCGACACGGGAAGATACCTTCTCCACATGGTATGCGACGTGCTCGAGTCGCCCGTGGTTCCGCAGAACGTCCTTTTCTGCGGGGTGTGTATCGATTCCTAAGTCCTACGAGAAAAACCCCCTGATGGAAATATAGGGAAATGTTTTCGACTACCTAGGAGAGGATTACACACCGGCAGATCTAGTTTACGATGCTCTTCGGTCGGATTGTGGGAGGCTGCACCTTTTCAGGACTTCTGAACGCTGGTACTTCACGGATCGACACCACATTGCGTACCCTCCTGTCAGTAAAGAGGGCCTCAATACGTACGGAGAGGTTTGGGATGAGCTTTTTGGGGTCTTCGGGATCCGCAATAAGGAAATCCTCGCCCATCCCGGTGGAAATATCTTCGCCCTTTGTGCAACTGACATCTGGAGCAAAAATCTGGTGCGTGGTTTCCCTTCCTTCCGCTACAGTTCGGTCGGCTAACTCCTACAAAGGACAACGCGCTAGGAAGAATGTGGAACTTGTACCAGAGTTTCCTCTCGCAAGAGTTCTATCAGACTTATCCATGGGTCAAGGATGTGCTCGCACTGTAAGTCATGCTCTTCCAACGTCGTTCCACTGAGCTGTTTCTGACGTTTTACAGTTGCTGGGGAAGAGTCTTTGACCGGGGGTTCTCGACCATTTCTGATAGCCCTAAAGCAAAGCATTGTGCAGGAATTTATGGCTTCAGATTCAAGCTTGAACTTGGACTGGCTATGATTTTTCCCGCCATGGCCGAGAGCGGCTCGCCAGATTTCGGCATTGTAGTCGCTACAAAGTACGACTACCCGGAGATCTCGAACTACTCCATGCCCCATGGATTCAATTGCTCGCATCTTAAAAAGCTGCTGTTCAAGAAGGCTCCTGTTGTGATCAACACGGAGATGAAGGGGCACTTGTCCGACGGCACGTGTCTTTGCTTTCTACAATACATCATCCACAATTACGAACGTCTACCAAAGATGAGTCTTTCCGTCGAAGTTTGTTTGTCGTTCTTAATCTTATTAACATCAAAGCTGATGCTAGTTACAGGAACAAGCAGGCAAAGAGCTTGAACCATCACCAGCCCAGTTTAATTGGCTTCTGAACAACAAGGAGTGTGCTTCTGACCAGAAGGTGGTGAAATTTCTTCCCAAAACCCAACTCCAGCGGTCGAGTTCCAGAGCTGGCCCAAGTGTGCGGAGGAGCCATATACGGCCACAATGTAGAGTACCAGACGACGTTTAGTGTCCCCAGCCATGCGGTTCGGCGTCACGCAAAAGTATAAAGCTAAATCCAAAGCCTGGCCCAACCTTCAAAGTTCCTGGACTGACGACAGCAATACACTATCTACATAGGAAGTTTTGATCACATTCCACCGCATCGCCGTCGAGCTCGATATACGTACGTCCTTCGTTCCGCGCCCTGGCAAACCGGTAAGTGACTGACTGCTGGTGTCTTCCGTACCTTATACCTTATACCTTATGTAGTCAAAGCTAATTCCATTCAAGCTTTTAGGCAGTGATTCTTAATCCGGAAGGTTTCTTCCTTCGCGAGGACCCCACTTATGTACGAGAAGCCTCCTCATGATAACACAACAGTCTAGGTACATACCCGCCGGCGGCATGTCCACGTACCTTGTAGTCGAGGTCAGTGCTGTAAAGGGTAGGTATACATCTTGATGCTCCCTTAGGATGTGTGAAGAGATTTGGATGGGATTTTCGGGGTTACTTTTGTCTCTTGTCTTTTTTCGCACATGCACCCAGCCTATTGTTCTAAACAGTTGGTATGTGTTTACCTGTCTACTTCTGAGATACCCAAGCGTGGATTGAAACGAGTGTTTTTTTTTGCCTGAGTGGGGTGGAGTGGAGCGGTCTTGTCGGGTTTCGATTTTGAATGACTCGAATTTAGAACGATTAACTACCTAGGAGGTACATAATCTGAGCGAGTGATAAATAGTGCAGAGCCGTCAATGGTCACCCACGACTGCTTGTCAACCACCATCAACCACCATCTGCATCTGCATCAGCGCCAAATCTACCAAATCTGCCAGAGGTTACCAACCCCCCATGGGCATCGTATCGTATCGGCCCCTGCGTGACGGCCGCACACATGAAGAGAGACCAGCTCTACGTACACCTAATCATTCCATCTCCATTTTGGTGCGTAATTGAAATCCTCCTCCTCCGTTTGATACTAACTAACCAACCAACTAGGGGGTAATACTCTGCATCCACATTGACGGGCACATTTTCTTCCATTGGCAGCAGCAACAATACCATCAATTACAAATTTCCGAATCATGTGTTTTTCTCATCCACGCTCACTCATGTCATCCTGAATGACCCTAAAGGAAACAAACGCGCTCAGCGCCCAGCTCCGAGCGACCGTTTAACTACCTCACAAATTAAATCAAAGAAACCACCAGGTTAAGAATACAGAAGAAGAAAGAAAAAGCCCTTGATTTCGCCTAAGATCGCCCCCAAAAATGCTATGTAGGGTCTTGTGAGAGGAAAAGAAAAATGCCACGAATGAAATGAAATACGCTCACCGAAAACCATCTACCCGATTCTCGCCCCTCTTTTACCTGAACATATTGATATCGTCCGGCATCTTCCACCCGTGAGCTCGGCAGGCGCGCTTGAACGCTTCCACAGCCTCGGAGACGCTGTAGGAGCGAACAGGACCCTGCTCCAGGCGGGCCGGACGCTCCTCGTCCATCAGCGCCATGCGAACCTGCATCAGCACGCTCTCGACGGTGCTGACCGCGCTCCAACCTGTGTTTGTGAGAAGCTCCATGCACATTGCACCTCCGAGCGTGACGTTTCCGCCGCCTCCCTGGTGGAACCCTTTGAAGCGGGGTTGGACGACCCGGACGAAGGGGGGTGACATGGGATATTGCGGGCCAAACCGAATCTCAAAGACGATCGACCGGACAACTGGGGACTTGGAGCGCATGTCCTTAACTAGCGGGATGTTCTCAGGAAACGAATGCATCTCTATGATCCACTGGTATACGTTTTCGACGTATTTGGGGTTGAGGTAGAAACCCAGTTCGTGGAGTGGCGTTGATTCCTGGAGCCGAATCAAACTCCGGATATCGCTGTTGAGGCGTTTGCTTGCCATGGGAGATGCATATGACGGTGGCGCAAGGAATTCAATCATGCTTGTATCGAGTGAGTCGGGGATGAACTCGTCGGGCCGAAATTTCTTCTTCCCTTTGCCCTTCTCCAATTCCGAGTCTTCTTCATCCGAGAGAAGCACCCGAAGATCCTCGTCATCCGTAGCGGTAGAAGCGCTGTCGTCATCTGCCAAATGGTCATCCGTCAAAGGATCATCCACACTCGAACCCCCAGTCAACCTGTTCACAAATTGAAAAATGCCTTTGCCATTCTCCTGCTTCATTTTCCTCTTACGGGGAGTGTGAGGTGGAGGTGCATCAACCATTACAATGTCGTCATCAGAAGGGCTGACCTCCCTTCTCCGACTTGAAGGAGTAGCCGGGATAACTAGCGCCGTGTTGCCATTTCGAGGGGTAAAATTAGGATCCTGTGGATGGATCATGGACCGAGGCAGTACGTTTTGCTTCTTAGATTCTTCGGCTGTGGACTTCGCGGACATCACGGCAGTGATTGTTGTGCCGGATTTCTGGAGCAGCATGGCATTGACCACCGTCTCGGCTTTTGTGAGGGGTTTCTGGACCAGCACGAATAGATAGCGAGTTTGAATCCAGTCGAGCTGTGCTACAACCAAATGAGGGGCCTAGGCAGTCAGTACTGGCCCGTTAATGGAATCATCAAACACTTACTTTCGAGACGAACTCGTTCGGAGAGTTGACTATCTCGTTTAGACTCAGGGCATTGGTGATTTGCAACTCGCTCTGGGGCCAGGTCATGGTTCCGACGCTTAGGGCGGTTGATATGCCACTTCCATGATTCATGTTATTCATAGAATAATTCAGCGAGGTGGTGAGATCCAGACTGTGATAGCAACCATGTCCAAATGCCCTACCGTGCAACGTCTGCTTGAAGTTGAGACCTTCGCGGATGATGGAATGCCAGTTCGCAATCGGCGAGCCGTGGAAAGCAAATAGTGACGGATCTATTCGACTGATTAGCATAGCAATATAATCGCACCAGATTGAGGGGCTCACATTTGGACCCAATCCGTTTCTGAGCCTCCTTGACTGAATTCACAAACCTCTGCTCTTTGTCGGGGGCACCCATCGCAAACCGGAATTGTTTCCATTCCGGGCCCATGCCCTGAACCGGCATAAAGCCGCTGGAAGTGGATTCATCAGAGTCATCTAAAGGAACAATGCAGCTCCTGTTACTGGCAATGATCCAGCGCAACAACCCCATAGCCGAAGGCGAGAGCCTATTCTTGAATTTCCTCAAAGACACTTCACCGCCACTAACGGAGCTCCTCTGCAGCCATGCTTTCATTTCCGACACCGATGGTAAGGTGTTTAGCAGATTTACGATTGCTTTCCGCTTTTCATGTTCATTCACTGAGTCGAAAGCATCGTCATAAATCTTGAACTGCACATCCCTAACATCCGTTGCACCGGGAATGTACGATGGTGGCGGTACATCAGAGCTCGTCTCCGTGGACTGAAGATCTCCCGAATTGACAGTGAGGGCCCTCACGTTTATGGGCGGTGAAATCTTGACGACGGGCCAGTAACACGTTTCGATGATACGGGCATGCCACTCCTCACCTCCAATGCCGGCGACGGTCATGACTATCCAACCCCCATCCTTCAGCAAAGGTCGCAGGTCCACGGGGCCTTTAATAGGGAAACGAAATTCATTCTTTGTCCGGTGGAAGTCGCCGGAGTATTGCGGCGAGGCGGACGAGTAAATCTTTAGGTCCATGCCGTCGGGGAAATTCGCCAGTTTGCCCCCCCTCGCGGAGGCATAGCAGAAATTCACCAAGAGGTCGACGACAGTTGGCTGCGACATGATCTCGTACTCAATGCTAGGACCAAATCCCAGGGACATGTATTGATAGAGACACAGTGGGCTGGAGCAAACGTATGGTTTGAGGGCTTCGAAGTCGGTTAACACCTTGTTGTGGCACACCAAACAGAATTCGGTGCACCGAACCAGGTGCCGCAGAGAGAACTGCATAGCAAGTAATGGGAAGGATGCCGTTGTGAAGCCCGCCGTTGTGGATCCCGCCGGTGTGAAGCTTGCCGAAGCATCAGAGAGTGCATCGGCCATGACTAAAGGGACCAGGGTCTGCTTTGGCGGTTGATCTGTGTAGAACTTTTGATCTATCTCATCCGCGTTGTCAGTATCTTTTCCTCGCTGACCTACTACATGTTAGTTGGAAGTTTCTTTCTTTGGGTCCAGTCGGCTACCGCTCCGGCTGACTTACAGTTGTAGTACAATTCCGCCCCGTCCCATCCAAATGCATATCTCATCCGGCACTTCAGCAGGGGCAACAAAGCAGTATTGAGGAGCTGGTTGAGGGGACCGGAGATGAAAATGCCCTGAAATGCGCCCTCCCGTCCAATATTGTCTCTAAGAACATCGTAATCGGGGTCGGAGCCATCAAGATTTCCAGTATACTGTGTCTTGCCGGCTGTGACCTTTGAAAACGCAGTTATTGCTTCCTGGAGGGTCGGCTTGTAATTCGCACACGTGCCGACGCACAGATCGACATTCTGCCTGGCATGATACATAACCGAGTCCGCAACAAGTTTGTTGGTGTTTTGGTAGTAGTTGGAATAATGGATCAAGACGATGAAGTACTGCATCTTGTCGAGCTTCCAGGCGATCAAAGCTTCATCCGAGATGCCCAACTTTTCGATACGGACACTGATCGAAACGAAAAAGCTTATGCCACCAGCATAATCTCCTAACACACCGACCTTGAACCCTGCGCTCTTTGCCTGCCTCAGATCGTCCCGTAGCTCTTTCAGCAGCTTGCTTCGTTTTGATTTTGTCTCTGACGACATTGACCCGGGGTTGGTCATCGGTGTATGGCCGTCAAGGGCCGTTGTGAGCTCGTCATCCGACCAACCCCCGCCGACAGACCCAAAGTCGGAATCCTCCAGCCCATCTGAGTCGTCCATATCTTCGTGATTACCACCATCGTTGTCCGCAGCGTCAAGAGATTTCAGCAGTTTCTCGGAGATCTTCGCAATCGCCTTCTCCAAGTCATGGAAGTTGACGTCCAGATCCAGCAGCGCATCAGAAGCAAATGTCGGCGGGTCGGGTGAGCCGATGTACATGAACATTTGATGGGAGGACGGGTAATCAGCGAGCTCTGTGTCGCCATACAAAACGTGGTCAGCAAACAGCCGCCCCTCGCAAACCAGCAAGCAAGCAAGTATACCGGGTATGGTTCCGCAAATCTCAACACCTACTACACCTGGTCGGTGCGCATTGAAGATGAACTGGAAAGTTCCATCGTCGTCGCCCCGCTTGACGCCTAAAGTACACGGCTGTCAGACATGTCTCATCTCCGGTGCATTGTGCGCGGAAACCAGCTGACCAGTGATGTGGGGTCCTAGAGCCCCGCTTGCAGAGAGCCGCTGCAGGTCCGCTGTAAAATGTCGACGGGGCATTGTGTACTTGAGTCGTTCTACCCGTCGCTAAAAGCGTGAAGGTGTGAAGAAAGTGTTGAAGAGGGAAGGAGGGTGGAAGAAGGTTGCGGTAGACGCGGAGCCTGTTGTTGGAGGTACTTGTGGTTGCACAAACGCCACGACCCACTGCTAACTGCACGAGATTCAGATAGCAAGAAAGTGCAGCTTAACGAGCGTCTTGAAAAAGCACACCGCCGGAGAGAAGAAGAGAGGGAAATGGAAGGGGAAGAAAAAAGGGCGAAACCCTTCAAGCTAGGTCATGTGGTGGGAAAGCGGGAGCGAGGGTGAGCGTGAGCACGAAGAGCGGAAGCGATTGTGTTGCTTTGCTGCCTTAACTAGCGATGGATGACGGAGAGGATGCTATATAGCAGTAGACGATCAGCGCTGCGTGGCGTGCAGCCGAATCTGTCACAGCCGTACAGCTAAGGCGAAGGAGAGATGATGGCTTTCCTTTATCACTCCGCAGCTGTTTGCTTGACTGTGCTGTGATTCGCCGAGTACACAAGCGATCTAGCTGCACTATCTTTTCCGCTCGTTCAGCTGGATGCGTTCAAAAAAAACCTTCTTTTTGTCCTCGAAATCCTTCACGTGGTCCTCCTTTCCTTTCTTCTATTGTTATCATCAAGCATCATTCATATGACTCGAATTCTCCAAGCTCTTCTCCAGCTCCAAAAGAGCTGTCTAGAAAGATCGACTACCGAAGCTATCGTGATGCGCGGGGGACCAGCTTTGGTAAAGTTAGCAGGGATCATCTTCCCGAAGAGAACGATCCCCTGGCGACCCCTGTGTAACATCCCCCACTACACACTAACACTAGACAGTAGCCTCACGCAACGCCATCGATGACACGTCTCCGCCGTCGCCGCGTCGCATCCCCAGCTCTGAGTCAACCGCAGTGAACAATGACCTCACAAGCCCCCAGCAACGCACACCTGAGCGACCCCTCGCTCCCGCCCTTCCTGGGCTCCACCTTCTCCGTCTCGTCATACCTAAACGGCGTGCTCCCACCCCTTCAGCCGCCAACAACCCTATCGACTCACCGCCCCGCCTCGGCCGTGCCGCTATCCACCCTCTCCTCGCAGACTACAACGCTCCTCTCCACGCTCGACTACCAGACCCAGCGGTTACTCACAACCCTCACCGCGCTCACCGACGAGATCCTACGGCTAGCGCCGCGGCTGGCGTATTCCATCGACCTACTACGCTCTGACGTCGCCTCGCTGGGCGAGGAGCTGCAGGGCCATGCTACGACGGTGGTAGAGGGCGCCGGACAGAAGCCCGGTGGGTTGGAGAGGCTCAAGATGTTGGCTACTGTGCGGGAGCGCGTAGAAGAGGTTGTGAGAGTCTTTGGGGAGGCGATGGATTGGCGGATTGATGGGGATGGTGCGGAGGAGGGAGGGGAAGCGGGGAAGAAGCGTGGCAGCGGTGGGAAGGATCTAGCGGGCGAGGTGGTGTTTCTTCTTGCTTCGGGGGATTTGGAGGCGGCAAGGGAGAAGGTACAGGCTCTGAGAGTATTGGCCGGCGTGTTCGAAGGGACGGTCGAGGGGCCGGCGCGGACCGCGGTGGTGGAGGCGTTAGAGCAGAGGGTTAGGGTGGAGATGGAAAAGAGGGTCGAGAAGGCAACACCCATGCCGGTGGAGAAAAAGGCCGAAGAGAAGAAAGAGACAACGACTGAGGGAGGGTATTATGGGCTGATTGAGCAGCTGAAGGGGTTGCGCGGTATGACTTGAGGCGAATATATCCCTAACAGTTGAAGTGTAATGCAAGCAAGCAAACAGTATTCGATAAACCAATCGCCGTCGCAATCATGTACAGCATGAACATAAACTACATCCATAGACAAGAAGGAAAGAAGTACAAGAAGTATTAGGTTACAAGAGTCAAGGGAATCAAGAGAAACAAAAGAACCCGCCGTACAAACAAAACCCAAAGCAATTGGCAATTCCCACCACTATCGTTACCCCCGCCCCCATCACACCAATCATCCCATAGCATCATTATAAACGTAAGAAGCGGATCACCATCGTAAAAGAACAGTAAACAAAGAAAACAGAAGAAAACACTGTCATACGACCAAAACCACCACTAATAACAAGCCAGCGCATATGGGGTATCAATCAAAACCATCAAAAACCTAACCGCTCAATTGCGGAGCTTCTTCTTCCTTAGCAGTCTATACCACAGAGCTGACGCCACTGACGCTCCTGGCGCCACCGCCAAAATCCAGGTTGAGCGCAGGATACGCCTTTCTAGCAGCAGCGTCATCGTCGCGGTCCTCGCTAGGATTGCGTATGACGCTCCCCTCTTCTTCTTCGCTCTCGAGCTCGGGCTCAGGGTAGTATTCCTCGTCAAATTCCATGTCGTCGTTCGCTGCCGGTGCTGGTTCCAAGATCTCCGGAGCAATCACAGGGTCGGCCTTCCTGCTGGTGGAGTAGAACGTGGTCTTGACGCTCTGACTCCTGCCCAAGGCTCCGGCATTCGAGGAATAATCCCTCTGACCGAGACCGATGCCACCACTATAGCTGGGGCGGACAGCTTTAGATGTAGGACTCTCTATTCCGGCATGGCTCTGCGAGAAGTGTCGACGCTCGAGACCCGCAAGAGACCTAAGTTTGGGGGCCTTCTTCGGCGAGGCTTTCTTCGGCTGTGCGGCCTGCGTCTCAAGGAGTTTCCGCGATCTCTCGAGAACTCCGTCCATCATCCGTTGTTGCAAAGCGGCACTTCGCACCTCCATCATGTCCATCTCCTCGCGTCGAAGCTTCAGTGTAGTCTCAACACCAGCCAGCTCTGCGACAAGCTTCACTTTGCGTGCACTGAGGTCTTTGGTCTCGTTCCGTAGGGTCCCGACCGAAACCTGAAGCTTATCATGCTCATCACGAAGGCGCTCGGTGGCAGCCTCAACAAGCCGTTTGTCGGAGATAGCCTTCTCGAGATCAAATTCGGCTTGACGGGCAGCTTCGACCTTGACAGCGGCTTCATCAAGCGCCTGGGACTTCTGCTGCTCGATCAACTCGGAGATGCTGGCAGAAGTAGCGGAAACCTGCATCTGGATGGTGTCAAGGAGATCGAGCTGCGGGAGATATTTGGCCTGGTTCGCCGTCCCTTCGATCAACTGGTCCAATTTGTCCTGAGCCCTAGAATCGTCGTATGGCGGTGGCAGCTCAACATCAGGTTTCTCGGCCAATGCTCTCTGTGCTTCCTGTGCAGCGAGAAGGAGTTGCTTCATCTCCAGTAGCGCATCGTACAGTGTCGGTTGTTGCTCTTTCCATTCCGCCTGCAGCCCATCGACCAGTCCCAAAACCTCTGCGACCTGCTGCTGTGTCCTCCCATGCGCGGTTTCGTTGGTAGATTGCGATTCTTCGACCAGCTTCTTGATAACAGAAATATCCTCCTTGACTGCGGCTTGAGATGCTCCAACGGTAGTCTCCATGGAAGTAGTCAGAGACACAAAGCTACTCTGAGACTCGGTCATAGAATCATTGACGGCGGTCAAGACCTCAGAGATGACCTCCTTAACATCTTCATGCAAGCTGTCGATCTTTCTGTCGACTCCGGCAATGACTTCCCTGAGCTCAACCTGTGCACCCTCAACTGTCTTATTCACCTCTTCAAACCCATCCTTAGTCTCCTCCCTGACAGAATCCATCACGACTTTAACTTCAGACACCCGGCTCTTAGCATCTGCACGGAAATCAGAGATAGCACTGACAGTCGCAGCAACAGCATCGGCGGTGGTTGTCTGAAGTCCATTCACGACTTCTTTAACATCAGCCATATCATCCCTTGATTCATGCCGATATCCTTCGATGACTTCTTTGACGCCAAAGACTACGCCCTTGAGGTTTGAGATCGTTTCCCTGGTGTCTGAATACGACTCCATGTTGGACTTCGTAAGTCCAGATATGCGGCCGCTGGTCTCGCTGCTCTTCTCTTCGAGCAACGCCTTGACGATAGCTACCTCCACGCGGCATTCGCCGACAGCAGAACTGATATCGGAAACTGCCTCCTTAAGGTCCATGGATTCGGGGGTCGCAGCCGAAGTAGAGGATGGAATAGAATGAGAGACAAGCGGTCTGGTGCTAGACCTCACGACCATCTCCTTCACCTCCTTCCGGAGTTGCTCCAAGGCGTCTTTGACTTCCTTCACCTGGGTGTCACCTGCAGCAGCAGGCTGGCCAGAGGATGCTAGAGAGGCGATCGGCTTTACAAGAAGTGTCTGAAGGTCAACCTTGAGCGCCTCCAAAGCACCAGCAGAGCCCAGTGCGTGGATCGCTGCCGAATGCTTTTCCATCGCGGCCGCAAACTCCCCTTTAAACTCTTCAACGAGGGTTTTCACAACCAAAACATCATTCGCCGTGGATAGATTGCTGGTCGATTCCTCGACAGCTGCCTTGAGTTCCTCGGCGCTCGGATTCAGAACAGTTAAGTCGCTGCTAGTCTTCGGCTGCAATCCTTCGATATGAGACTTCAGAGCTTCGATGGCTTCCTTGAGTTCGGTGTTGTCTGCGGTGGTAACGGGTCTCTTGGAGAGTTTTTCGACCTGGGCCTGCAAACCAGCCATGCTGACCGAAACATCTCCTTCGGCAAGCTTGCTTGCCAACTCCTCCACCTGGATCCTGAGCGCCTCAAGGATGACATTGACTTCATCATCGGCAGGCATGGGCTCCCGGACGATAACTTGGCCATTGATAGCTTTGAGCATATCCTTCAGTTCCGCGTACTCCGCTCCCATAGATTTCTCGAGCAATCCGTGCACCTGAATCTTTAGGATGTCCACCGCTTCCTTGACCTCCACGTTGGTCGATTTCTCCAATAGTTCTCCGAACTGTCCCTTGAGAGCATCGAGACGCTTAACCATGTCCTCCCTATCCTCCGTCTCTCCAATCGCCCTCTTATCGAGCATAGACGAAAGGTCTTGACGAAGAACTTCCATAGCCTCGCGGACCATTCTCGACGACTCATGGTTCGCTTGCTGAGGCAGTGGGACCATCGATTTCTCAAGAGTATCCTTGACGTCCCTCTTCAGCTCCTCGATGGCTTCTTTAACCTTTTCCTCGGAATCGAAAGTGGATTCAGCAATCGCCACTGCTAAACTCTTCTCGAGCATCTCATTCACATCCTCCTTGAGACTCGTAATTGCTTCTTCCACCTTCTTAGCAGCCGTGGGATCGATCGGGAGAACACCGGCGGGAGAAATCATGGATGATGACTTCTGCATCATTTCTTGGACGTCATGACGGAGTTGATCGATAGACTTCTTGGTGTCCTGTGAAGATGCAGAGGAAACGATACTAGTCACATCCTCCTTCATCTCACGGAGGAGCTTCTTGATAGTTTCATCCGAACCGGGGGTCGGAGTAACGATTTGTTTCCCCATACCGTCAATATCGGTCTTCAAGCTCTCGATCAGCTCCTTAATTTCGTCGGAAGAGGAACTAGCCGCCATGGTGGAGATGATAACGTCGGTAATCTTTCCTTCAAGGGCATCCAGAAGCGACTTGTTGTTCGTCCCCGTCTCGCTGGGCGTCACGGTAGCAACAGCCATCGATATGCTCTTGTTCATCATTTCCAGAACCTCTTTCTTCAAATCAGTGATAGAATCTCTGGTTTGCTGGGAAAGGTCGGCGATGCAAGAAACGGCCTTGTCCGAAGTCACCAAGCTCTGTTCGACCTTGGCCAAGACGGTCTCCTTCATATCCTCGAACGCTCCATTGATGCCGTCCTCTACGGCGATGGCAGAGTTGCTTGCTACGGCGGCCGCAATCGAACTACCCATGGCGCCAATATCCTTCCGCAAAGTCTCCACAGTTTCTTTGATCTGCTGGCCCGAATCGCCGCTGGACATGGCCGACTCCGCAACCAAATCGGCAGTTTTCACCATGGCGTCCATGAGCTCCCTCGAAAGGCGCTCAATCCTGATTTTGATCTCATCCGCTTCGGGGTAGTGTACTGGAGCTGCCATAGCTGAGTTCGACTTCTCAATCATATCCAGAATCTCATGTCGAAGTTCACGGATAGGCTCAAGAATCTTCGCAGAGTCGTCTCTGGTAACTGCCTTTGAAAGGGTTTCATTCACTTCCGATCTCAGCTCTGCCAAAGCAGCTGACGTCTTCTCGTCCGCGCTGGCAAGCGCAACGGCAGTGGTCAAGGTGTCTTCCATTTTTGCATCCAGCTCCTCCCTCAGTCTGTCGATCGCAGACGTGATCTCGGTCGATTCCGATATTACAGACTGCTGGATAAGGACAGCCAACTCCGACTTTATGCCAGCAAGAATATCGCCCACGCCCTCACTTCCGGATTTAGCGTCAATCACCTGGCAAATCGCATACGTCTTCTCTGCCATCTCCTTGAATTCGGTCCGGAAATCGGCCAATGCAACAGCTGAATTAGCGGCTTGAATCGCCTCGATGTTTCTATCCGCAGAGGTTTCCGTCGCCTCCTTCAATTGTTGAATGGCGTCTTCGGATTTGTTGAAAGCATCCAAGCTCCTCTGAGCCATAGCTCCAAGGGCGCCCTTGAGCTCCGCAATCAGCATTGCCGGGTTTGAGTTGGCAATAGCTTCGAGAGTTTCTGCAGACGTCGCAGCCATGGTTTCGGTGTTCTTTTCGAAGAGTTCCTCGACCTTCCTGGTGAGCTCGTCGACATCGTCCTTGACACCCAAATCCACTTTCCACAGTGCCTCGTCATCATCCCCCATGATGGATCTCTGGAGATGTTTGTGGAGATGCGTGAGCTCGTCGATCTTTCTAGAAGTGTTGTCTTCGAATTCGGCCAACCGGTCATTCCCACTGCAAACACCCGTACGTACCACTTCCAAGACCTTTCTAACGTCGCCGGTTGCCGCGTTGGCTGTGCCTACTGCTTGTCCGATCTCTTCTAGAAAACGTCCCAGCGTAGCTAACCCTTCCGTGTTATGGTTGTTCGCATGATACGACTCTTTCTGGAAAACCTTGATGAGAGCGTTGATGGATGAGAGCGTGATGTCCGTACGGGTGGTGGTCGAGGCAATATTTGCAAGCGCGGTAATAGCCGCCTCGTTGTCCAAGTCGGGGGGAAGTGGAGGGTTTGTGGTAGTGAGAGCCTGAGATGGAAGGCCGAGCGACCCATGCGAAGGCATCCGAGCCATTGCTGCACGTTGCACAGCTGCAAGCACCTCGATTTGTCCGCCAAGGTCTTTCAAAGCATCGCCAACACTCTTGTCGTGGCCGATCCATATCTCCCTCCAATCTTCAACCAATCTCTTGATTTCCTTGCCCAGTGCTCCTCCGAAGCCCACACCCTCTTGAAGATTCCTCAAAATATCTAGCACCTCGACACTCCCATCAATGGCTATTGGTGTAGGCTCGGATAGACTGGTGCTGCTAGAGATAGCGGTGGTCGTCGGTTGCTTCCCCATATCTTCCGACATGACCTCCAGTTTGGCCCTAACTTCCTCTATCATAGACATCACCTTCTCGTCGGCGTCACGGTCCCGAAGCTCTTCCAGAATAGAAACAGCCTGGTCCAGTCTCTCGTCCGCGTCCCTGCCCTTGATTTCGTCTATAGCCAAGAGAATGCGCGCGTCACTACGCTCCTCGACATCTTTCTCCCGAATTTCCTCAAGAATAGACATGATCCTCTCCTCTCCAGGCTTTTCTTGGTGCAGATCACGTCTCAACTCCTCGAGCATAGCAAGCACTCGTTCGTCGTCGTCGTGTGATCTTGCACCAACCAGCGCCAGTTCTTTTCCTCGAGAACTCTCTCGGTCCCGGATCTCCTCAAGAACAGTTAGAATCTTCGCCTCGGCGTCCCCCTTTCCACCCTCCTGGTCCTGTTGCGCTTTCAAGCTGTCCTGGATGTCCTGGAGAATTTCGAGAGCCCGATCTTGATCCTGCTTGGTGGGCATCTCTCTGAGGATCTTCTCGAGAGTCTGGGTCGAGGCTGCGGCATACTTCTGGTGCATAAGAGCAGCATCGTCCCCGTAATTTGATCCCCTGTCACTTCCGCTAGCCATAGATAAATGCGAATGTCGCCCCTCGAGAAGGCGATCAGTTGCCTCGAAAGAGGTCAACCCACTCTGGAGGTCCCGAAGCGAACGCCTAATATCTTCATCCCGGTTTTTGGCAGCTTCCTTGAGGGCCATCAGATCGGTGGCATTGTCCTTTGACCGGCGCGAAAGGTTGGTCATCTCTCTCTGTAGATTCGTGGCAATTGTCGTGATGCCAGACAGCTGCGAGCTGATGGTGTGGATGTCATGGACGGTAACCTTCCCAGGCGCATCATCGTAGTCCGCCCCCGACCGTGTTACGGCATTCTTTGGTGTGCTCGGTTCGGGAGATGTAGTGTTGTTACGTAGAGGAGTGAGCGCAGGTGCTTTATCGAAGTCCAAGGACTTACGGAACGAGAGAGAAGAGTACTGTTCCCTAGGCTGGAGGATCTCTCTGTCCTTCAGAGGAAACGACGCACTGCTTCCAAACAGGTCTCTCGGTGAAGGCGCTACGCCTCTCGTCGGCGAGGTTTCTGGCTTCTGGCCACTCAGGATCATGTCGCGTATCTCACGGACCGAATTCGATGGCGCGGTTGAATTCGTCCATATGTGGCTGCTGCCGCCAGTTGGAGGCATCACGGCGCGTTTTGGAGACGTCAGGACACCGCCGGCGCCAAATGAGTCTGAACGAGGTCGTCGAACCGGCGAGACTTCTCGAGAGCTATTCGGAGACTCGTAGCCGAGGTCAGGCGCCACGCCGGATGCGCCGCTGCTAGATATGGGAGAGCCGGGGCCGTGCGGTCTGAGCGGGAGGGGTGGAGGATTGCGCGCTGGGTCTGATGAATCCCACCTATGTCGCAGTGCCGAAGCAGAGTCAGCAACGTGCAAAAGCCCTCCAATTCCGGATTACACAGGAGATGGAGGGACGGACATTGGGATCATAGCCTGGGAGGGGGTCTTTTGATGTGAAGAGGAGGATGATGGAGTAAGTGGCGCCATGACTGACTATTCTGATTTGTCTACACTCTTCCTGTCTGGAGCGGCAGCGAGTTGCATATCAGCATTGGCGTGTTTTGAAGCTAGTGAGGGGTTCACAGTTGGTTCAAGGTACCTGAGTGGATGACGATATAGAAGCGATTATTTGCGCTCAATTGCAGCAAACAACAGAAGCAATGGAAGCGGCGGAAGCGCAGGAGGTCAGAGTAGGATTTTCAGTGAATCAGTATTGAGAAGGAGGTACGCGGGAGTGGGGATTAATTGGCGGGTGGGGAGGAGGTTTGGAGCAAAAGGTTGAGATGGATGAATTCGGCTGATGGGGTATGAGAGAGCGGGTAGGTATAGGTAGAACGTAATAGCAGTGGCCACCAGATAGATGGGGGTTGGAAGGTTATGCAGGCAAGGGTGGTGGTAGTTTTGTTTTTGGCGGGGGATGTTGGGCCGTATGCTTGAGGAGGATGGAGATGGAGATGGAGATGATGAGATGGGATGGGGATGGGCCGGATGGCTTGCTCTGGAGGAGGGGTGAGGAATAGGGAGGAGAGGAGAGGGATGGTAGGGAGTCGCCTCTGTTTCTCCTCAAACATCAAACGCTTCACGAGCTATCTACGCGAAGACAGCCTATCAGCGTGTGCTGCTGGTGTTGTTGTGTTGCAACCAAAGCAAGCAAGCGTAAACAACTTCGCTCTGCCGAGTTTCTCGCCTCCACGTTGCTCCCGACAACCACACTAATGCTGACGCGATCGGAACTCCCTAATCTCCCGTAGCGCCCAGCCACCCACCTTGTTCAATCGAGCCACAGCCAAGCTGGCGTCAGCCACATGATGCACAGCCACATACGCCCTCAGCCTCATCAAATAGAGCCGCCAACCACTAAACCGTGCTAACCAGTTGTGGTCGTGGAAAAACGCACAACGGAACCCACCGTCGCCCACGTGATGCTGTGACTGTTCTTGCCTTTCCTGTCCCGCCCACACACCAACCTTTGAGTCTGGCGTTTTGTGTGTCGAACAATTCCCGCCAAATCTCGACGACAGCGACCGCCCGACGACAACACCCAACTAACGACCCCCCGACTACCTCGCAGATCCACCGCCTACCACCCTCGGCAAAATGAAGTGTACGTTACTACCGTCCTTTTCGAAAAAATATTTCGCGGTACCTCCTTGAGTCGATCGGTCGGGTCTCTACGGTCTCTACGGTTGTTGCGCAGTGAAAGGGTTTGAGCTGTGAATCGGAAAAGGAGGGGGCGACTTTGGGAGGGGAGGGGTTACGATGGAATTGGGAGGATATGGCCGGATTGGCGACGAGAGACCAGAACCACCGACAGACCGCGACCGATCGACTGGAGGAGGACCACATGACATTGGGGGGAATGGGGGAATACGATGAAGAGAAGCTGACTGGTTCTCTTTCAGTCCTCAAGAATGGCCGTGTCGCTATCATCACCCGGGGCAGGTACGCCGGAAAGAAGGTCGTTATCGTCAAAGGTTAGCATGTCCCGATCAATCGCAAGAGCTATTGTTCGAAGGATTCTAATTATCCTCCCCCGAACAGTGATGGACGATGGCAGCAAGACCCACCCCTTCGGCCACGCCCTGGTCACCGGTGTCGACCGCTACCCCTCCAAGGTCACTCGCCGCATGAGCAAGACCAGGATGGCCAAGCGCTCCAAGGTCAAGCCTTTCATCAAGGTCATCAACTACAACCACCTCATGCCCACTCGTTACACTTTGGATATGGAGAGCTTGAAGGGTGTCATCACAAACGACACCTTCAAGGAGCCCTCGCAGAGGGAGGAGGCCAAGAAGACCGTGAAGAAGTCCTTCGAGGAGAAGTACACGAGCGGAAAGAACAAGTGGTTCTTCACTCGTATGTCTACTCCCTCCTTGACAATTTGCGTTGGTATATTTACGTGGATGGACCGCTAATGAAACTGTGTGTTATAGCTCTTCGCTTCTAGATGTTGGATACTGGTGTACTTTTCGGGGTGGCGTTCCGCGATGATAATCAAAACTCTGCGAAAATGAGATAGTTATCATACATCACAATTGTAGTCTGCGCGTTGTGACGGCGGGAGGAAGCAGAAGTTGGCATAATACACATTGCCCGGCATCTCAATTCATTTACGTGATTGCAGGACGCGGCAGTCATTAGGCCTTCCGCGACCCACGTTTGAACATAAAACATGCTCCTACCACCACCACCTCCAACTAACCCCCCATAAATCGCCCAATATTCCTCACACACCACCTATGTAAGCACAGACTAAGGAAATCCACGCTTGGGCACAAGTCTTCCAGCTCTGGACGGAAACTCTGCAAGCTCAAGCCCCTTGACACCGACTATCAGTTTGTACACTTCTTCCTTCAACCCGGCGGTGACATCGCAATTATAATGACCCTCCAGATATCCCCGAGTTCCGGTCATCCCTGCGAAGATACGCCAGAGGTGCTCGAGATCATCCAGACGTGCTGTTTCGATCCCTTCTGGGAGAAGTCCCGCCTTCGTGAATCGCCGTCTGAGCAGTGTGTACTGGAAAGTATCGCATACCTCTTGGGCATCTGTTTCGCCGCCATATTTACAGTGGAGTGGAAGCTCCGTCTCCGATTCCCCCGCCAATTGCTCCAGCAGTCTCCCGCATACCTGGAACACCGAATCAAATGCGGCGTCACGCTGAATTGAGATAGCACCTAACAAGTCATTAGATCAGACAGATTCTGAAGTATCCAACAATCCGGCCCACTCACGAGACACACTGTCGGGGACAATAATCCCAGTTCCAAAGCTTAAATAACTGTCCTCATCGATGACGGCCTTGTGGATCAGGACTTCCGACACCTTATTGAAGATGGTCTCCTCGCCGAACACCCACGACACCAGAAGCCAATTATCATATGCCCAGTCAAGGCTATCGATACATTCTTCCACTTTGCCATCCACGTCTCCCCAACGAACCGCAGCGCCACTCCGAGGTCGTACTTGTCAGTCACCACGGCCGCTTGCACAAGCTCTTCGAAGCTGATCGTATTCGGAACCGCAAGGTTCTGAAGGTGAAGACACAGCAAGATGTGCCTGAGCACTTTCAAGTTGTCGTCTTCAAGGGGGATCTCGTAGAGCTTGTCTGCACCTCCGTAGTTCCGTAGATCCTGCGCCTCCTTGAACTTGCTGGTGGGTCCCAGCATTGCGCGGAATACACTCGATGCTGTGCAGAGCGTCTGGGAGGAGACTTTGAATCGATGGTTCTTGCCGGATGTCGTGCAAGAGATGATCATGTCACCGCTAGGGCATATGATTTCTAATTCTCCTGATGGGGTGACTGGTGCGGGCACGTGTCGCGACATAATAAATGGTGTCTTCGTGGGGATGTTTCGTGGGGTTGTATTGCTAGTTGTGAGAGAGCTCAAGCTAATTGACAGACTTTATAATAATAAAAAACAAGCTTCTATAACACAAAACGGCGACCGAACGTGACAGCCCGCAGAAGTCATTTCTGTCTGGTCACATCAGTCTGCGGTTGTCATTCCGACCATTCTAGTGAAATCACTGGGCCATTCTATCTGGAGCCAGAATCCCGGATCGGCACACAACTTGTAGTCACACGGCCCAGAGAGAACATCAACTGATTGTCGCATACATTCTACTGCTTTTTTTAGACTACCGGTATAGCAATCCGCATTACCGACCTTTCTTGCCAGTCCTGCGGGGGACAGAGATGAAGTCTCGTCACCGGAAGGTTCGTTGCTACACCGCTGCCTACCAAGCAGGAACACGGCCTACAGTCTACAGATGGTGCCCCGTCTCCAAATGGGTTAAACCCGAGTGCTCACTTGTGAACGATGAAGTACTCTACTTACCTTGCGTAGCGCCTTGGCATCAGCGAAGCTCTGTCGTCGTTGCTGAGCGCCGCAATACCTCCAACACCCCACCCAACCCATCACGCATCAATCAACCCCCATCCATCCAACACGCATCCATCTTCAACACTCCCGTCCTCGTCTCCATCAATTTCCACACCTACATATAAATCCCCAACATGGGCCGGCTAGAAGACGCAATGACCGTCCAGAAGACCAACCCGGTAGAGGCAGAGACCCAATACAAGGCGATACTTTCCGTACGACCCGAGACCAACGATGCGGCGCTCAAAGAATACGAACAGGCCTTGATGGCCCTTGGAGAGCTTTACAGAGATGGAGGGTGTGTGCTTCTACCCGGTGGGGGATGGCAGAGGAGTTGTTGCGATAGATGGGATGGAAGTAGCTAACTAACCCCGCCTCGACTGTGAAAAGACGGACAGGAGAGCTTGCTGAGCTGGTGAAGGAGACTCTAACCGTGCTTAATGCGTTTGCGAAGTCGAAGACATCCAAGCTGGGTACGTTTTTCAACTCGCATCCGATGTCTTCCCAGTGTGGCCATGCCAGCCGTTCTAACCCAAAAGCATGAAACAGTCCGACAGATGATCGACCTCTTCACAACCATCCCCGGAACCCTCGATATCCAGATCAACATCACAAAATCGTGCATAGAGTGGGCCATCAACGAGCGTCGTTCCTTCCTCCGCCAGAGTTTAGAAGCCCGTCTCGTTGCGCTTTACCTTGAGAAGAACGCTTACCGGGATGCCATCGCCCTCATCGACACGCTCCTCAAGGAGCTCAAGCGCGTGGATGACAAAATGATGCTCGTTGAAGTGCAGCTCCTCGAATCCCGCGCCTACCACGCCCTCCGAAACATAGCCAAATCTCGCGCTTCCCTCTCCTCCGCTCGCACCTCCGCCAATGCTGTCTACTGTCCTCCGCTCACCCAGGCGGGACTTGACATGCAGTCGGGAATGCTGCACGCCGAGGAGAAAGACTTCAATACGGCGTACTCGTACTTCATCGAGGCGATGGAAGGATACCACTCGCAGGAGGAGACGAAGAAGGCGGTCGATGCGTTGAAGTACATGCTGCTCTGCAAGATCATGGAGAACCACACCGACGAGGTCAACTTGATCCTCCAGGGCAAGCACGCGGTCCAGTATGCCGGACGGGATCTGGAAGCGATGAAGGCGATTGCCACTGCGCATTCGAACCGCTCGCTCGCCGAGTTCGAGCAGGCCCTCAACAACTACAAGACGGAGCTCACCAGCGATCGGTTTATCCGCTCGCACTCGACTGATCTCTACGACAACATGCTCGAACACAACTTGTCGCGTGTGATTGAGCCGTTCTCGAGAGTGGAAATCAGCCATGTGGCGAAGCTGGTGGGACTGGATACCCAACAGGTCGAGACAAAGCTGTCGCGCATGATATTGGACAAGAAGTTGAGCGGTGTTCTGGATCAGGGCGAGGGCTGCTTGATCGTCTTTGAAGAGCAAGGCTCCGACATCTCGTATGACGCAGCGCTGAAGACGATCAAGAAGCTGAGTGATGTCGTGGAAGTGTTGTATACCAACCAAGCCTCGCTGCTGGATTAGAGGCGCGCAAGGCTGAATTTGTGTGGTCACTTTCTTTTTCTTCCGCGATGCTCATGATTTGTATTCTAGTCACTTGTGGGTCGTGTTTATAGAAGCAAATCTGTCCCTCGGTGGTGTTCACGACCTGAACTCCCATCCTATTCTCCCCCGCACCACCAACTCCAAATGGTATAGCTCAAGACAAATGACAAAATCGTAGAATGACTGAACAACAATGCATGCCCACATTACGCATGAAAATCGGTCCCAGAATCACTCCTCCTTCTTCGCAGTCCCCCTGAACCCCTCCATCGCCTTATCCATCCCACTCCACGCTCTAAGCAACTTTCTCAAGCTCGCTGGCAAAACCCAGTAAACCGCCGCCCACCTCGAAAACAAAGGCATAGCAATCTCTCCACCCCTGCCCTGATCAATCGCCGCAATCACCTCCTTAGCCACATCCACCGGCTCCAACTCCGGTGCGAAAAAGCCATTCGGCGTGCGCACGCCGTTGAACAGCGGCGTACTCATCTGTCCCGGCGTAACCAGCAACGTCTTGATGAACGGGTACTCCTCGAACTCGGCCGTCAGGGCATGGTGCAGCGCCGTGGCCGCCGCCTTCGTCGGCGCATACAGCGAGCACATCTTTGGCGGGAGCGTAGCGAGCACACTAGAAACGGTGATGACGCTTCCCTTGCCCTCCTTAATCATGCCGGGGAGGAACAGCCTGAGGGTGTTATAGTGCGCCATGATATTCGTGCGGAAGCTCGTCTCGACATCCTCGGCGGACATCTGCAGCAGCGGCTTCCCATGGACGACAGCGGCATTATTGATGAGCACGGTAACGGTTCCGAGCTCCTCCTCAACGCGCTTTTTGGCGGCCTCGACGGCCGCGAGATCCCCCACGTCGCACCGGTAGAAGTACACGTTCCGCGCCTCGCTCTCGCCCTCGTCCGCCACGTTCTTGTCGAGCACCGCGACGGTCACGCCGCGCATCCCGTACACCTCCGCGATCAGCAGGCCGAGCCCAGACCCGCCGCCCGTGATCAGCACTACCTCCTCCGTCCAGTCGAATTCGCGCGCTGGCCCGAATGCCAGCTGCGTGTTGAAGTAGTTTAACAGCCAGAGCGTCGTGATGATCGCCGCGTAGAGTGCAGAGAGGTATAAAGGCGGGTGGTGGTACTGGAACGTCTGCGCCCGGAACGCGAGCGGGACGAACCAGACTAGGACTGGGTTGAGAAGCGTCTGCTGCAGCACGCGGTGCAGCATGTCGATTGACAGCGGCGACGTGCCGGAGCTGCGGGATCTGGAGCTCATGGTGGTGGTGGTGGTGGTGGGTCAGGGATTAGGAATTAGTGGTGATGATGGGTGATGGTGGGGGTTCAGTCGATGGGCCGGCGATCGACTGTGGATTTTCGTTTTGTGGTGGGAATGGGAAGAGGAGGACTGTGGTGGTGGTGGTGGTGGTGGTGGTGGTGATATGGGATGGGATGGGGAACTAGCGAGTTTGCATAGGTATGCTGTCCAAAGTCGGCGGCAATGTAGGCGCCGTACTTGGCCGAAACGGGCATGAAACAGGGGATCACCACCACAAGCTCGAGAACAGACGACATCGCATGATCTGATACGTCTGCGAACACTTTAGATCTAATTGGTCAAGAAATCTTACTACTAGCAAAGATTATCATTATCATTACATGGATGAGAGCCCGCGTACAATACAACCCTGAAAGCACTATTGACGAGCACTGGATATCACTCTCAGTCAGAATCGATAGCCATATCCTCGTCAGCTTCAGGCTTGAGCTTGTTACCCCCGCTCGCCTCTCGTCTTCAGAAATGCAGTCACAATCCGCCAAGCCCAAGTCGACACATCTTTAACAGACATCCTCCTGGGCTTCATCGTCGGTATGCTCTTCCAGCCCTGCCTCTTCTTTTCATCCTGCCAATCCTTTTCCACATCGACCTCCTGCTGCCTGTAGATTTGCTGGATCCGGTAGTGGATTTCCCAATGCAACTGAATCTCGTCGTCTTGCGCCAATATCGCATCCATCCGCTGCATCTTCGGACCCAGTAGCAGTAACCAAGCCCCGCAATCATCGAGAACACTCTCATCCGTCGGATTCCTCGCCTTCTCGACCTCGAGTCTGCAGGCTTCCCTAGCCTCCGCCCAATTTTTGGGTTGATGTCGAGCGATCACCCAGCCCCAGTCCTTCAAGACCTCGTCAAGATCCCGCCAGTACGCCACCGTCTTCTTGATGTCGTCGAAGCTTTCGGTGATGGTGCCACCCAGGGCACACAGCTCGGAAAGCTTCAGCATGTTCCGCTGCAAGCTGATGCTGGAGCGCTTGATGGTGCGCTCGATCGTGTAGCACAGCTCGAGGTGCGCGCTGGTAACGTGGTACACATCGGTCTCGGCGCACGGGCGGCAGGAGATGCCGCAGGGAGTGCTATTCGTTCCGTTTTTATACATGCGGGGGTTGCGGGGAGCAAAGCAGCTGAACGGGATTCCGGGCGGTGTTGGTCTGGGCGGTCTGTATTCCGTCGCCTCGCACCTGGGGAACGGACAGTCCTCGCAGGAGCGGAGCATATTCGGACATGGGGCACACATGTCCATGGCTGACAGGATGGGGCCTTCGCAGAAGCCGGTCTGCCAGGGGCTGTGTTCAGCTTGCTTTGCCCGGCGGCGACGTCGGGGCTTGACGGGTGTCCGCTCGTACTCGCCGGCGCGCGTCATCTCGACCCGCGTCATGACCTCGCCCTGCAGGAACTCCCGCAGGTGTTGCGCGATGATCTCGTATTCTTCCTTGGCGGAGAGGGAGACGGAGTCGGCGACGGCGCTGGGCTTCTTGCGCCACCTTGCCAGCAGTAACGGCTCCGGATCGCTATCTTCATCGCCCGTGCTGCTGTCTCCCTCTTTGTCGTTCGCTCTTTCGTACGCTGGATCACACTTTCCGTCACTCGCGGCAGAGATTTCGATCTTGGCTACTCCCTTCTTCGCTGCCCACTTCTTGAGATCAAACGGCTTCCGGAATTCCTCAATGTGGCATCTCGGGCACCGAGTCCCCCCCTTCCAGTATTCATAACGAGACACAGGGCAAGAGACAAGTTGGCGTCTCCTTCTCTGCCCACACGCATCAACGAGAGCGGCTACTCTCGCGGATACCGCCTCCGCGGCTTCACAGATGGCATTCAGGTTCATCCGAGCTTCCTGAACGTGAGCTCTGCTGAACCCATCCTTGACGGAATCCGGGGGCAGCTCCGTGGTGGTGGCGGTGGTGGTGTCGGAGGGAAACCCGGCGGCGGCGGGAGCGGATGAGGCGAGCTTCAACTTGAGGGCTTCGCCGTCGGCGCTTCGCTTTCGTTTCCTGGGACCGAACCGCTGGCGGAAGGAAGAAATCCTAGTCGGAGAAGATTTCGGGCTCGAATCGGGGACGGACTTAGAGTTCGGCGGGTCTTCTTCGGCCAGGAACGCTCTGCTGCGCTGGCCGTGGGGTCGCGGGATTGGGACTGGCTGCGTGCGTGCATGTCCGCTGTCCATGGCTTGATGCCAGTCGGCGAGAGAGGACGCAAGAAGATCGGGATCGGGCCCGTGCTCGGATCTCGATAGGTGTGAAGAGGGGGGTTTCGAAACAACGGCCATTATTCTTCTCGAGTGAAAAAGATTAGATGTCGGTGAAAAAGATGTCAGGGTTGATGTGGGGAAAGGAGGGAATTACGAGGGGGATAAGAGGGGGTTTTGAAGGCTGGTAATTATGATGAGATTACCGTTCGACCAGTTGGATATGGCCGGCTCCTGGACCCTGTTGTGGTATTTGACTTCTTGGTGGACAATACTTTCCAGTAGGCCCACACCTTGAGTCTGTCGGAGGGATGGCGTAACTTTGATTGTGCTATTCCAGAGGGTGGTGGGGCGCATTATGGTCTGGTTACGTGTGGGGAGCAGAAGGGAGCTTGGAAGGGTCGACGCAATGTCCAAAACAGAGTAGGAGAACGAATGGGCCAACCCAGCTGTCGAATGAATAGCGAACTGAGGGGTCATCTGCGTATGAATCGATTCGCATATTCCCTTCATTGCGTAGCTAACAGCAACGAGGACATCCCATACCGTAATGACGCTTCGAGCGTCAATTGACACTCAGAAGTCTACCGTAGGGTTAGTTACTCGATTGCCAGAATGTGGGGCTTCGGTCCGACTGGCTTCAATGGCTGTTGCACCCCTCGTCATTAACTTTGAATGAGGCGTCAAGAGCAGATTAGAGTTGACAGCACTCGGTCGGTCCTAACCGGCGATTACTGCGTCATCCGCTGTGGTCCCGGAGCCTCCTCCCCCCTCCTCTCGGCTGCGATGATGTGTTGGATACGAGCACTGTCGACTCGATCCGACTCACTCGGTGCCAGCCTTCGGCGGAGTATGACATGCACTGAGTTTCAACTTTCTAGCAGACGGTAGTAAAAGACGTACTCTAAAGCCGACGAAACCTCCTCTTTCACCCACTTATGGGCTACATTGCGCGTCACACTTACACGTCCGTTATGCCATCTAAGAGGTAGGCTTCGGGAAGACAGGAGCGCCGGCCAGAGGGTGGAAAGTATATCTCATGCTATGTAGGTACCTACCTGGTATTCTCAACCTTCGCCAGCATGCATATTGAAGCACTAGGGACGAGATGACCCTCAGGCAACTTTGATAAGAAGATAGACGACCGATTGTATTTGACTAGAAAGAGAGACGACACTGGAAGAAGAGAGTCACCTATGTTCGTCAGGTGATGAACCTCAAGTAGGTACCCCGAACGTTGAATGGCGAGATGAGGATGAACAATGATGATGATTATGAGGGGTGATAAGGTCTATGATGGTTGTGTGTGTTTACCAACCGACCAAACGAACACAAAAAGTAACATCATCTCAACGTTGGACCGACCGAGTCCCACAATACCAATCTCACCAGGCTAACTGAGGCAGTGGTCGAACGCGGCCGTACAGACGGCCGGGTTACTGGGTAACAGTTTAATACCTGCCGTATACGAGTGGACGCCCATCGTCGACGTCGTCATTGGGCTCGCCGCAATGTACATACTTTGACCAGTGCGTACACAAGAAAGAATACGTCCACAGGTGGATGGAACATACCGGTATATACAGCCAATTCGTATGCCTGATGACGAAATTGCAACTCTCATTCCGCCTCTACAGCCACGCTCTCGTCTCCATGTCCGCTAGTAAAGCCGTGAACATTGTACATACAAGCACTTTGCTTAGATACTGAGAGACCTGCAACGGGTACGGGCAACTGGGGGTGACCAATTTAATTGACTAGAAACCAACAAGAAAAGAAAAGAAAAGCAGCCTGTCTTCTTCAGTCCGAACAACATCGAAGTATCTCCGCAATGTTAAACTAATGCCTGATGGTGGTGATAAGGTCTATGTCTCGTGCCTTGTGACTGAACATGAAAGTAGCAACAGAGAACACCTCAATGTTGAGGCGACCGAATCTGGTCTGCCCCCCCCCCGAGTCCCACAACCTAGATTGACGATTGCGTTCGGCTTTTGTGTTCGGACGATGGAATCGAACATACCGTTACCTGGTATGAATCCCAAGCTGCACGTCCCAACGTCTGGATACTCGTCGTCATAGAAATAGAACACTTCGGTTCAACCTCTCAAACAAGCAGACGCACCGCTAAAGAAAGCCCTGCCGACCGGTATCGGTCTACCAAGCGGCCTGCTAAATATGCCGCATATGCGTCGCCGCCGGGAACTTATCCCAGTGGATTTCCCACCCCTCGACGCCGTGCGAGAAGTGGAGCAGTAAAGTCATATTCAGCACTGCCAGGAGCCACACCGACAGTACGAAGAGGCGGAGGACGAGGAATGACTGTACGTGTTCGTTCTGTCAGATATGTGGTTAAACATCACAAGCAGCAGGCAGGAGTGCATATCATAGAGCAACGTACGTTAGACCTACCACTCGGCGGGCGAATCTCGTGCCAGAGGATCATGAAAACCCATGGTCTTCTATAGGGGTATCGAAAACGCGGTGCCTGGAAAAAATGTTTCCTTTGCGCCCGCAAAATAACCGCGCAGACGTCGCAAAGATAGCGGAGGATAAGGGAGCTCAGGCATAAGGCCAGTATGAGCTCGAGGCCAACAAGGGTTTCGTAGGTGTTTATCGGCATGGTGTGATCGTAATGTTAGTTGCGTTAGCGAGACTCAGGAACGGTGGGATGTGCCCACTCCTCCCTGGATATAGACGCGCGAGCTATGGTTGAATGATCTGCTCGGTATAGGTTTTTGTACTGCTTGACGGTTCAATTGCGGTTCAAGAAGAATGGTGCTCTTTCAATGGTACCTGGTGAGGCCCAATCCAGTTGACCGGTTTTTGGCATCAATCAGCTGTCAAAATTCCCCACGGTCCGCCCGTCCTGTTTTGAGGCGAGGACGGCGGATGCCATTTGATAGGGATATGTAAATTGAATGTTCTTGATCTTGGTGATACTCGAGAGGCAAAAGGTCATCATCGCCATAAAGGTGGGATGAGATGGGAAGAATACAACCGCAACTTCGCAAAGAAGGGTGTATAGAATCGAATTATACGCTGTTCGAGTTGCCCAAGTTCCAACCCAAGGCGTCCCGAAAGAGCAGATACATTGAGGTTAGCTATCAATATTTCATCACGCCTGAAGACTATTACTTGCTCATCTTCTGCTTCTCCTGTTTCAAATGCTATGTTTGATTATTCTTGCTCGTTTTTGATCGGTCGTTTACGCCGAGTGACATCGTGTGAGCACGTCTAGAACAGGGCCGGTCCACGATCCGCACTCTGTGGTACTAAGTGCGCCATCCCCACATTACGATGCGCCGGCTTGAGCTCCGCAGGTGATCTCTTCTCTTCCCTAAATTCCATCAGTCCTCTAAACGAGCCGATAACCGCTTTTCCATCCCGTCGATACTCTACTATCGATCCCTTGCGCCACAGAAATTGTCATGACGAAATAAAGCTCTCCCAATTCCTTTGGACCTCCTTCTATTTCATTATTCTTGTCGCCACGACAAGATCGGGCCTCACCCGTCCTCCCCGCTAACTGGCTGATGGGCCCAGGGTCTCTTCACCCGTTTCACCCGGGCCGGGCGCGCCAGCGCTCCGTGCTCCGTGCTCGGGGCGCAGCCCAGATGCTCTCGCCGCTGGAAACTACTGGTGCTGCATAGGTGCACCTGAGTGGGTGGGGTGGACGAGTTGGCTATGTATATGAATTCGTTGCCCCTTTGCGGCGATTGATATCCCATGAGTGACTGCTGACTGGGAGGATAACTACTTGTCAATACTCTATGTGGCGATCGGTCGCTCAGGTTGCAGTTGCAGTAACTAGTGGGAATTCGGAGCGTTACCGGGTGGCCCTTGCTTTCTTTTCTTCTTTTTCCCTGCCTGCTTCACCTTTCGCGTTCACGGTTCACGTTCGCCAAAGCACGACAGGCGACTTGTTTACAAGCTGTCTGTCTGTCAGCCGTAGATTGCGTGCAAGGTTACTCTACAAGCAAGGTATCTACCTACCGGTACGTAGAGCAGAGTGTATCAACATCGGTTGCGACGCCTGTTATCGACGACGACAGCGCGGCGCATTTCGCATTTCGCCATTCAAGAATCAACAGGGCCCGAGCAGGACAAAGCAGGAACAAAACTGCTGCTGCTGGAGCCGGCTTGCAGTTGAACCCTTGCTATAACCACCGTATCTACTCTACATATAACCGCGTTCGCAGTTCGCAGAGAGAGAAAAAACCTGCGTATGTACCACATACATGAATGAGTAAGGTATCTACATGTAACTAACGAGACGTGTGCCTGTCGGCGTCACCATCCCGTGGGGGGGTTCGAAAGAGAATCCGATGCTCGGCGAAGCTGCAACACTGCGACACTGCGACAGTGGGAGTTCGTTCTGCATGGTGGGAGACTGGGAGTTCGCTCCGGGCGGGTGTCGGTAGTCTAGGTATGTATGCAACTACATACAGGACTATGTACGATACGGCATTACGGCCGACGATCAGCGATGCATGGACCGCCTCTTGTCTCAACCCGTATGTATTGTTTCTGTTGGCTTGCCCCCGAACCAACACGCCCAACCACTGGCCGAAACGTCGTCTGTTGCCGCCCGCCGCCCACCGCCCAAAGCTTTTACCGCCGCCTCCCCCTCCGCACGCACGCACGAAGCTGACGAACGAACGAATGCCGTGCGACCAACCTGTAGAGTACGGTACCGCACCGTCGAACAAACAAACTCAGCTGCCGAAGTGCAGCACGGCGGCGGTTACGGCATCTACTACTAGTATGTAGGTGCAGCACACTGCACACTGCGCACACCGAGGAGGTGGGAGGTGGGAGGTGGGAGGTGGGAGGTGGGACACACGGCTTGTGCAGTCGAGCAGTCGCGGAGTCGTGCAGTCGTGCAGTCGCGGACCCCACGGAGGCAAAGCTTGGCCTGAGGCCTCGGGACCGTCGCAGTGCATCCCCCTGTCCTGTCCTGTTCGTGTGGGGTCACGATGCGGAAGGGCAAGTGAGTGGGTAAGTGGGTAAGTGGTTATCCAGATCTTGGGCTCGATGGGTTGCAGTTGCGGTGGAGGTGGTCACTCACCTCCTCGGGCACTTCCCTCCCTCCCTCCCTCCCTCCCGCGGATGACGCTCGTGAGGTTGTTGCAAGTTGCAAGTTGCACGAGTCCAGAGTCCAGAGTACAGACTGCACGCACCCTTCCTCGCACCCCTCCACAAACGCCATGTTGCAGGAGAGTCCATGCGCCCTCCCTCCCTCCCTCGCTCCCTCCCGTACTCCAGAGTAGGACGCTTCGGTCGAGATTCGAGACTCGAGAGCCGCACGGTGCACCCGAAAAGACTCGCCGACTTCTTCTTCTTCTTCTTCTTCGGCATTGGCCCTTAGACCGATGAGTCGATGACTCCGGGGGACCGGGGACGGGGACGGGGGGCTGCCTGATCAGTAATCGGCTCCTTCTTCTTCGCTGTCAATATTCCATAGTCATCATCGGCCAGCCAGTCAATCCCCTCGACGCCCGACGACTCGACGGCTCGCGAGTGCTCGGAGCTTTGATTGGCGGCGGCGGCGGATCCGATGCCGCGGCTACGGCTCCCGAGTCTACTCTAGCTACCACGGTATAGCGCGAGCATCCAAGCGGAGCCTATGCCATGTATACGGGATGTGTTCTGAGTTCGAGTTCGGGGTCCCGACTCTTGACGCGTCACTCCCGACCCATCGCTCCTGGAGTTTCTCAAGTTTCTCCCGGAGTTTCTCCCGGCTTGGTATTAGTATCGGTGCGAAGTCGGTGCGAAGCTTGGGCCTTGCTTGGGGCCTTGGGGGGCCGGGGCGAATATTTGTTGCACATTGCACATTGCACATTGCGCATTTTCATGCTGTGTGAGCTTTGGAGGGAGACGACAGTCAATCCAATCAATCCAATCAATCCAATCAATCCAATCAATCCAATCAATCCAGTCAATGCAACGCAATGCAATGATGAGTATGCGGAGAGTAAGAGGTAGGTGACTACCAGGTATGTACTCTACCTGCTCTATAGATACCACAGTTAAGGCACACTGTCAGTCTGCCAGTCTGGTACGCGCATAGAGTACCCATCTATGTCGAATTCTTCACGTTGTGTGACCCCCAACAGCGACACATTCAATATACCAGGTAGGTGTCAGCTATATGCTATCTATGGGATTGTACCGGTATGTACGGTACTCTACGCAATCAACTGCGACTCCCCCTCCCCCGCAGTGTGCCGCAGTGTGCCGCAATGTATGTACTCTAAACGAGGTCGATATGATATGATACTACCACTGGAGGCAGTACATTTGGTAGGTAGCAACACTTTGAGAGTATGTAGTGTACGCGTTTCAAGCTTCCCGATCCGCCATCCACCGCCATCCACCGTCAGCCCTACCTACCCTACCCAGGTATACCCAAAAGCGGGCGATAGTTATCCGAGCAACTCCACTCTTTCAATATAATAATCCCCAGCCTGCAGCAATTATCCAATCCCTCTGTGGTGTAGTTGGTATCACACCGGACTGTAATAGTAAAGTTGTCATCCGTTGGTCACCAGTTCGACTCTGGTCGGAGGGACTATGTTTTTTGCCCGGCCACCAGACTGAGTCTGGGTTCCCTAGCTCCTGGAGTGCTGGTCTCGCGTGCGCCGCTACGGCAGGTGTCGGCGAGAACGGCAAGCAAGTAACCAACCACATGGAATACATGCCGGTAATGATGACACTCTACGCACAATAGTGGCCCTTGAATTCGAAGTTTTGGCATCAGGAGTGACACATACTTTTATTTTTACTGTAGAGTATGGTAGAGTACGGTGAAATAGACACGCTTGGCATCAGAAACTCCACGGGGACGAGTGGAATTGAGAGAATAGGAGAAAGGAAGGAAGGAAGGAAGGGCGGACTCAATCCGGCTAACTCGATAACTAAGGGATGTTTCTTCCGGGGAAAAGGCCGACGGATTGATTTCGATCGCACGTCGGGACTCGGGAGTGACAGCTTTGTGCGGAAACGGAAAAAACGATCAGCACTTTCCGAGGCTGGGGCCGGAACGAACGACGAACGACGAACGAACTGCAGACTGCTGCAGTTGATACTGCGGTTGATAATTAAAAAGGGCAGATCCAAATAGTTTCTCCTGCCAAGTTATAGATATACCTACCCGAAAGAACGTTAGTTAACGTGCTTTTGCCTGCCAACAAAGCGAATTCTTTCTCGCCGTTGGTTAGCGCTAGGTGGGTGGATGGGTGGGAGGGTGGAGGGTGGGGGGGGGGAGGGCAAAAGGCTCACCGATTTCGGCTAGGTTCGGTGGGTAGCTGTTGTTTTGGGGATTTCGGGCAATTTGGGGGGGCGCAGGCGGAGGCGGACGAGAAAGGAGGAGGGAGGATCGGATGCTAGGACCCCGTGGGTTATGTAGTGGGTTATCCTTGGTACATAGAAATCGATGAATCGTAGACGGTTTCATGCCTCGGTGGGTAGTTCCGCATATCTATGTGGAGTCGATGCCGTGAATTGGTGGATACTGGATACCCTACTGGACAGGAAAGTGCAGGATTCGGGGGGGGGGGGGGTTTCTTCGGCCCTCGGCTTGTCTGGATGCTGGAACGAGCCCCCGAGATGAGTGTATTCGGCAATCCCTCGAAACTCCCGGCCAACAAATAGAGTAGCAGCTAGAGCTGCATCCCGGGCTCGGTGGTCGTGAGATTCAATCGGTGTAGCATCCCGGCAAAGGGTGGTGGTTGCTTTTGTTCTGGCAAACGAACTTGAAAGCCCCGTGCATACCTGGTAGTTATGCGCAGACATAGACATCAAAGATGCACCAAATCCAACCTTTCGAATGTTCCGCTCGGCGCCGCCAGAGTGATCGTGGGCACAAACATGGAGAAGGTGTGTGTTTCCGGGTGGATTCGCGGCTCCCGACAGTCCATCCTTCATCCAGTCGGTAGCGAAACGACTCAACGATCTAGAATTCAGACGTTAGACGTTCCTGAATATAATTAGTGCTCTAATTTGTCCGGGTCGGCACGTTCGGCCTTCTCCGTGTTTATGAATCCATTCGTTATTGGTGGGGGGTTTAGTTCCGGCCGCGAAACCTCTAGTTGGAGAGAGGGAGAGAGTGAAATGCACACATCCTTGATGCACACATTGATCAGGGCTGGAGGTCAACGGAAAACTGCGTTCGGCGAGGAACCCTGGGCTTCTCTCCCTTTGTATCTCCCTCGAAGGTCGATGTTCGGTGAGGACTAATGGAAGTCTGTAATGAGCCGCCGGAGCCCCACCCTGGGAAAATTAGGATCTGTCAGTACAACATACCTGGATACTTGGTACCTACCGATGCATCTCCGGCGCACGGCTAGATTCGAGGAGTTAAAACCTCGCCTCCTTACTACTGTAGATTCCTGCAACGGTGGGGATTCTTGCTGCATTGGCGTCATTGGCACGCCTTCGAGACGGGGTTTTCCTATGCATATCTACATGGAGTAGATATATACACCTTGTGTGTGCATATGCACCTATTGGAGATGGGCTGGCGTCCCGCTTCCGGGCCGCGTTTCTGCTGTTTTTCGTGGAGACTGTGGCGACCGTGGGGCGGTTGTGCCGAAATTATTTGCCCAGCGAATCTGCTCGTGGGGACCGTGGATGGATGGATGGATGGACGCTGGAGGTTCTCAGGGAAGCGCGTGTTCGATATCCTTGCGTACAGCGGGCGGAACTTACTCCAAGCTTCCCTGACGTATTCAGGACTGGCTAGAGTCTCATAGGTTGTATACCTAGCACATAGAACCGAGCAAGCACTGCACCAACCCGTCGGTCTATAGTCGGATTCTATAGCATGCACCATATTTACATGGTAAATATCTCACCATCAACAATCATCCACGGCCGACTTCGGACATCGAGCACGAAGCCCATTACTCTAGATGCCTACCTATCTGGAGTATTCCCGCTTACTCTGCGTATGTGTGTACGTCTTCATTAATTTTGAGGCAGACCATATCATACCGAACACTGCGTTCCCCTTTCTGTAGCTTCCTCACTCACTCACTGCAGCATCCCCGTCGGTAACTGACAATATGCTCATGTCACTACTAGAGTGGTTACTGTAGTATCCATCGCCTAAGGGATGCCTGCCACTGCTCTGCCACTCTGCGCTGCCACCCTGCCTCCTCTCATCCTCCTCCTCGTCCCCGTCCCCGTCCTCCTCACCAACCACTTTACCGCGATTAGGCCGTGCACGTGCGCAGGCCTCCCCCGCTCGCCCAGGTTCTTGTCCCGTTTTGTCCCCCTCGAGGTGCCTAGTCGTGTTGGGCTGCGTACCGTCCAATGTTATGGATTTTGCCCCCGGTGATTGGCCGGCGCGGGCAAGGGGGGCCGGCGGGCATGGATCCCCCAGGTCATATATGCATGACCACCGGTAGAGAAATATCAGCTCTTGCGGTGCTGGTACCACTGGGGTGTTTCTCTCGCTGAACCTTCTCACTCCCCCGACTATTCACCACCTCGCCTTCTCTTCCTTCCTCTTCCCGTCCATCCCATACATCCGTTCGCTCGTTCGTCCGTTCGTTGTTCGTAGCGAGAGTGCCTCGTCGCGGAAGAAAAGGAAAAAAAGAAAGAAAGCTGGACCGTATGCACGACGACGTTCGGAAATGCAGAAGCTGGGCTCAATGTTACCGCTCTCCACCCTCGGTCCGTCATCCCGAGTCCTCGGCACCCTCGACTCCGTCCTGCGACGATGCCTTTTCCTCACCGTTCTGCTCGCCATCTTCGCCGTCGCCTCCGCGGATTCCGATGCAAGTACCACGAAAGCCGAGATCCTCGCCTTCGATCTTCTCCCCATCACCAATTCGACACGGAACGGTATCTTTGAGGTGACGCTCGGCGACGATGGCCAGAAAGTCGCTCTCCTGGCTTCGCTCTACACGAATTCCGATGCTATGATGGAGGTTCCGATCGCTGCGTTGTGCGCCACTAGTCAGGAGGGATGGAATCCAATTTTGCAGCCAACGGCGGGAACTGTGGTCGTGGTTGGAACGTCTAAATCGCAGGAGAGTAGCTTGATTGGGGCCGGACAGGTGGTTGTGAGGTGGAAATTGGGGCCAGCGTCGGATGCAAACGCAGTCGTCAGTCTGACGTTGAGAAAGGGTCGCGGTAGTAATGCCAAAAATGTTACCGTTGTTGAATGTGAGTGATATCGGGAGCATAGGAGCTCGTGCAAGATGGAGCTGACTCGGAAGCCGAACAGCCAAAATGGCCGACGACGGTGAATACCCGTGGAATGCAGCCGAGACCTTCCACGACGAGGGCCTTAAGAACGGAAACGATTACTCTCTGATGCTCTGGAGCGACTCACCTGCGCGACAGTCGATATCGGGATACTTCTCGTTGCAGACAACCACCAGCAGCGGAAGCGGCACCACTATCGAAGTCGAGACCCTCACTCCGGCGGAACTCAAACGACAACAGAAGTGCCTTAACTACCTGGCAAACGATGGAGGATATTATAATCAGTCTCTTGATTTGGATTTCACGAAACAAGAGTACTATCTAGACTCGTACAGAAACAATCGGACTGGATGGGAAATCAGCAACACGGGGGTGGGGACCACCACGTTGACGTTTGAGGGTCAAAGCGAAAAGGGGGCAAAATCGACGATGAACTTCAATGAATCTACCATGGACTTGATATCGAGCTCGACCCTGGGAAGGGGAATGTTTTCCCTCAGTATGCTGCAGGCTGCGAGGAATGCCCCGGTCCAGGAGATGAATGTCATCGCACTGAGTCTTGGAACACCGGGACATGCCGGCTCGGTAGTACTCGGAGGCTACGATGAGGCTTTGGTTGACAATACCCAGAGGGCAGTGTTCGACAAGGGAGATGAATTGCCTCATGCTTTCCATGCGTCCATGATAAAGCTCGCGGTTAAATCCGGCGAAACTTCGACAGCTGTCCTCGACGATCGTACCAATGCGGACTCCCGCACAGATGTGGGTCTTGTGTACGACGACTATGGTCTTCGTCTCTCGGACGACATCCTTGATTCCCTCTTGCCTCTCATTGGCAATCCCAAATTCGACAAGAATATCAATGGCTATGTCTACACTGGCACTCCTAAGACGGATTACAGCTTGAGCTTCACCCTGTACAATGGCTCCGCCGAAGTGATTATCAGTGTACCGGCGTCGTCACTCATCGTCACCGAAACATCGCTTGATAATCCTCTTACTCCCCACAACGAGACTGGCAAGACGTACCTTCGCATATCACCGACCACCGATGGCTCCGAGGAAGGACAATATCTCGGACGGTCTTTCCTACAGCACGCGTACATCATAGATTCACCGTCGACGATTGGAAAGTTCGTCTTGAGCGCACTCCCTTCACCTTACCCCGGCGAGAAGAGTTTGGTAGCCGCTTCGCCGTCGTCGATCGGAATCTTTGATGGCAAATTTTCGACCACGGACAGTGGACCAAATATTGGTCCCATGGTGGGTGGCATCGTGGGCGGTATTGTTTTCCTGGCGTGCATTATTATCGGAATCTTTTGGTATCTCCGTCGCAGAAACCGGCGATTTGGGCCGCATGGAGGTCGTCACAGCATCAACATCACCGATGCTTCTTCCTATGAAGGCGAATCTCCGCTGGGCCATATCGCACACCACCATCGTGGAGGAGAGAAAGGCATGGGCTCGGTTCACACGAATCCCTCTGCTCGGACCACAGCAACTATACCGATCCGTTACGCCCCCTCCTCGGCCCCCTCCTGGACACCTTCCTACGACAAGGAAAGCGTTTCTGCATATCCGTACTCACCACAACCACAATCGCCCGGCACCCCTCGCATCATCACCAGCCAACCGGTTATCAGCTTCTCTTCGACTCCGTCATCGTCTTCGCACAATAGCGTTCGCAGCGGCTCGCGGCGTGGGGATTCAATGCTCTCAGTTTCGCAGTCCGCGAAAATGCGTCGAACCAGCGAAGTATCAACCGTAGCGAGGGAGTACGATGCCATGGCCGAAGAGCCAGAGCCGGATGATTTCGTTGTCATCGCTACCGCCCAACCGATACCACAGCTATACCGATCGGCAACCGTGGGGAAAATGTACAAACCAGGAAGAGCACAGAATCTCGATAAGTTGACGCCACCACAAACCCCAGGAATCGTCAGTATCACTCGGAGCAAGAGCAAGAGCTCAACAGCCAGCGCCCCCGCCAGCAGTGGCGAAAAGCGTGGCCACGCACGAACCGCTAGTTTGGGACGTGTCATGACGCCTACCGAAGGCCCTACAGTCGTCACTGTTGGCCCAAAGAGTCCGAAGAGTCCTAAGGGCAGCGGAGGGATGTTACGCGGCAGTATATCGGGAAGTGGGGGTAGCAGCGGATCCCTCGAAAAGCTGCAGGAGGAAGGCATGGCAATTGAGATGCAAGCACGGCCGCAATCAACCACTCTTGTCGCGGAGTTGGACGGCGAGGATCACAACCGACCATTAACGACGCAAACGCAGTCCAGCGGAGCGCTGCTAACCCCACGATTTCCCACCACTTCGATTAACTCCTCGGGATCCCGCGCTGGAAGCATGATCTTGGACCAGGAAATGACTTTCACGCAAATAATCGATTCAACACAACACTCCCGCTCGGGCTCCTCACACACCGAGGAGGAGTTATCTATCCGAGTACGAAGAAGCAGCGAGGAGGTGTTCGGACTGAACGCGGCCCGGGACGATCAGTTTCCGCCTGGCCTGTCGGACGGTTGGCTCGCGAGTAGCGGTAGCAGCGGGACCAGTGGGGCGGAGAAGCCGGTCCGACAAGAACAATTCCGGAACTCGACAGCAGCAGGGAGCAAACGAAGTTCGAGGCGAAACTCTAAGCACGACGGTTAACTAAATATAATGTCCTATTTTCCTTTTTTTTATCTTACGAATTTTTTGGAGTTGACGGCTTGGCTTGTGTGTGGGAGGGGGTTGCAATGATGGGCCACTTGCAGGCAGGGCTCATGCAAATTTTTACTTATTCTATTCGGTGTACATACTATAGATCATTTTTCACTCACATAAACCCCCTTAGTTCCCCCTCACTTTTTTCTTTTTTTCTTTTTTGATGATAACTAGAGTGGGATCTCTTTTTCGTTCACACTTATGTACTGTCGGTGGAGAGGCTTGCGTTGTATTCTTCCGATGCCGTATATATACCCTGTATCTACGTAGCCTGTCAAAATACCAGCACAAATAACAGAGCTCTAAAGTACCTACACATGTCTGGGCTGTTCACTGTGAATCGTGGATTGATCATGTTTCTCGTGATTCGCTGTATCCACGCACCGTCACTCGCCGTCATGGATGAGATGGCAAATATAACTCCCTCTGGCCAACCAACAAGTTATTGGGAGATACCTCACCCACATCAATGCTCGAACAATCCGAGAATGCGGCAGTGGGAAGACCGATCCCGCCCTACCTGGACCTTCAACCTCGCCACGATCCGGAGGTCCACTTGTGATGGAAGAAGCTTGCAAGGAAGCGTAAAAGGGAAAGGGATGGAAGAAAAAGAATAGTTTCGTTTCGCCTCCACCTAGCAGTAGAGAAGACGAAGCCAGCAAAACAATATCCCTCCGACCAGAGTCGAACTGGTGACCAACGGATGACAACTTTGCAATTACAGTCCGGTGTGATACCAACTACACCACAGAGGGTTATACGCTAGCATTCTGTGCATTACAACCATATTCCGTCGGGGGAGGCGGTGGTGGTGCTGGTGGTGTTGGTGGTGGTGGTGCTGTGGCACGGGTATCACTCGCTCTGTTGGTACCGTAGCTGTTTGGGTTTAATGCGGTGCACCGCCTTTCTTCGAATTCTTATTTAAGTTCATGCAAACGGCGATCAACTGCGGAATTAGAACAAATACGTGTTCCTTGGGTGTCTGTTAAGTGTTGGCTAACGGCTCACGCAAATCGGTGTTGAAGCAGAATACGTGTTGTCAGAAACATGAGGTTCACGCCGGATTTGCTCAAACACTGCAGTCTGCAATTCCAAGCATCCAAGCTTACAAAAGTGGTTGGTAGATCACCTTACTGACACGGAGTGTTGCACGGTAAAGCATCGCCTGGCGAAGCTCCGTTCTCACTAGTAAACTGGCCTAGCTAGCATAGCATGGCAGTCATCCCGCGATGAACCACCTCCGCCTCGAAAAGGTACGGTACACAATCCGCTCATGGAGCAACAATTCAGTTTTCAAATGCATCTAAAACCAATCTATCCACTCCATCCATGGTTCATCACGGTCCATCAATCACCATCATCATCTCAACCCCCCCGCTCTCCTTATGAATCCTGTTCGTTGCAAAGTAAACCCCAGTTATATGTATCCATCCCGTCCCCCATCCGCAGCAGCAGCAGCAGCAGCAGCAGCGTCACTATGTTTCGTAAAATTCCGTGAAATAACAGAGGACGAAAAGAGCAGTGGGTACGAGATACCAGTCGAAGCTAGGTAAGAAACCCGACCCCCCTCTCAAAACGAGAATAACAACGTAGGAAGAGAGAGACAAGGAGACAAGGCTCGAGAGGAAGAAAACTAAACTACAAGAATCGAAAGTCGAAATCGAATAAGATTGAAAGGAAAGGGAAGGAAAAGAGACAACAACAAAAACTAGGGGAATTTTATATACACCAAAATGCCCAACCCAAAGCAAAAACAAAGAAAAGAAAACAAAAAAGAAAGAAAGAAGAAAAAAAGATCCTTATCCACATTGCTCCCCATGACCATGACGACCATTCCCATTTCCTGCATCCACTTCGTATCGTATGTACTACGCATACTACAATACTCATAATTAAGGAATAAGGGACATGTCATCCAAACTCCACTTCCTGAGCCCGTCGAGACATCAACCATCCTCCACTCCCTCCCCCACTCCCTCCCCCTCCCCCACCCCCGCCCCGCCACGGATCCTACGGCCGGAAGGACCTCTTAAGGGAACTTGTACCAAGCACAATCACAACCCGCCCCTTCCTTCCATCCCCACCCAGCCCAACAAAAAACAAAAAAAAAAACGCAAGCACAAAATACAAGCACACAAAAAAATGCATTCAACGCCCCGACCGTGTAAAAATGCTGGTAAACCCCGTAACAATCCTCTCAAAGATCCCCCGGCCTTGTAGTCACCTCTGCCTGTGTCTGTCCCGCTCCGCTCTTTCATCGCCCTCGCCGCGCGTCCGCTGCCGCTGGTGCTCCCGCTCCCGCGGCTGCTCACTGACGAATACCCGCGGTGATATCGGCACCCGTGGCGACCGCGGCGAGGACGGCTCGACGATGGCCCGCTGCCGCTCGATCTCCTGCACAATGTCTACAGCCTCCTGGTCCCTCATCTTCTGTGCCTCCGCCTCCTCCAGCTCTCTCTTGTCCCTTTCCTTCAAGTCCTCGATCTCCCTATCCCTGCAGTGGGGACTTCCCGGTGATGCGTGATCCGCGCTCGGTAGCAACTCCTTGATGGTCATACTAAGTTCCTTGAAGTCGACCGGCTTGGTCACATATCTGCTGAACCCCGCCAGAGTGCATTTATCGGCGACGTCACTCATGACATTTGCCGATAGTGCAACTATGGGCACAGGGTCCAACCCCCTCTCCTTCTCCCACTGCCGTATCTCCGCTGTCGCTTGGAAACCATCTTTCCGGGGCATGTGGAGGTCGCACAAGATCAAGCCGTAGTGGCCCGGCGGGTTCGAGAAGACCTTCTCAACACACTCTTCGCCGTCGCTCGCCGTTTCCACCTGTAGTCCGACTTTATCCAGGAAACGGAGAAGAACTTTCTGGTTGACCCTGTTATCCTCCACCAGTAGAACCTTGTATCCCTTATTTCCAACATCATGCTCCAGCCGGCTAAAGACCCTCTTCTGAGTCTCCACAACCTGCTGGGCCGAGTCCCGGTACCGGTCCATCGAGGCATCCCGTTCCTTTGCTGGATCAAAGACATCCCCAAAACGACTGGGTTTAATCGGCTTGTAGATGAACTGCAGCCGAATTCCCAATTGGTCACACGCCTCCGGCGCATTCTGAAGGATCGCTTGTCTTTGCGTAGGGTTAGTCAGCACCAGAACGGTCGTCTGCGAATGAATCGGATTCTCGAGAAGCCGTGAAATCAAGTTGATTATCTCCGAGTGATCCGGGAGACTGATTACCAGGTGTGTGAACACCACAGGATCGTCGCCGGCTATGAGCTCGCGACATTCCGAAAACTTCTCGACACAGGTGATCTGGTTAGGGATATTCTTCGGCAATGTGACCTTGATGTGGTGCGATATTGCTATGCGACTGAAGGGTTGCTGGGACACTATCAGGATGGAGAACATGGGGGGAATCGCAGCTTTGCCGATCGCCGCATCAACCGAGGCTTGCTTCTCGACCGTATGGGGACGGGAATCCTGCGAGTCGTTGTACTTCTGTTGAGCCTCGCTGGGCAAGGACAGTCGCATCGAAGCAGGATCCGTTGGCGAAGGAATCGCATATTGTCGCAGAGGAGAGTCGTTCGGCATGTCCGGATGCCCCGATGCGATGGACCGAATCGAAGCAGCGGCACTCGACGGCGAAATTGTGGACGGAGTCGATTCTTCCGTGTGCGAAAGGGCTGGCGGCGAGTCGACGAAACGGTCCGACTCCATCACATGCTCGAGAGTGTTCGGGAGAGCTCCACCGGGAGAAGGTGCGCTGATGCTTCCAGGAGTAAGGGTGGTCTCCGAAGGTGCGGTGGGGACCTTGAACTTGGCGCTCCCAACGAAAGTCCTACGAACAGTCAGCCTATATGGTCCAGCCAAAATCCAGCCTTCAGATTTCCACTCACGATCCCTTGCCCTTCTCGCTCCGGGCAGTGAGTTTTCCACCGTGAAGCTCGACCAGCTGTCGCGAAATAACCAAGCCTAAGCCACTACCGCCGTGCGCCCGTGTACTAGAACCGTCGATCTGGCTAAAAGGCTTGAACATGTACTCCTCATCCTTTGTATCAAAGCCCGGGCCAGTATCATGGCATTCGAACTGGAGCATGACTTCGTCTTCCTTGAGGCCCTCCGCCGTCTTGACGACCGAACATCTCGAAAATACTTCGCCTTTGCTGGTGAATTTGATCGCATTCTGTTACGTTGGTTAGAATTACACACCCATTGTCATGTAAGTAAATCCCAAAGAATAAGGAAGCATACCCCTATGATGTTGAGCAACACTTGCCTCAATCTGACCCTATCACCGCACACAACAGGTGGAACATCGGTATCCACGATGAAATTTAACTCCAGATCCTTAGCGATAGCCATTGTGCTGAGAAGTTCATGAGCATCCTCGACCAATGAGTTCATCCGGAACCATTCGGGATTCAACCGCATCATGCCGGCTTCAACCTTGGAAAGATCCAGGATGTCATTGATGACGCTCAATAGACCATCGGAGCTCTGGGAAATGGTGTGGCAATAGTCGAGTTGCTCTCCATTCAGCGGTGTGTCCAGTAAGAAAGTGACCATTCCCGATATGCCGATCAGAGGTGTTCCTGCATTTCCCGGAAAAGTCAACAAACACGGCTCGGTATTTATCTCACAACAGCAACACGCAGTAGAGAGGCCATACGAATTTCGTGGCTCATATTCGCGAGGAACCGAGTCTTGCTGTCCATAGTTCTTTGCGCCGCCTCGTTGGCTTCCTTCAGCTTTTGCTCCAGGAGCTTGTGATCGTTAATGTCCGTGCACGTCCCGAACCAGAGTCCCTCCGCGTTGTCGGCATTCGAATCCACACTGACACATCGAACCAGGTGCCACCGGTAATCACCATGCTTGTCCTTTAGCCGGAGCTCGGTCGAGAATGTCGGCTTGTCATCGTCCATCTCCGTTTTGCCCATCCCTTTGCCCGCCCCACCAGACCATTCATGGCCGTACCTCCTGCCCTGGTCGGGAAATGAAGTTTTGTCACCATCCGAGAAACCGGAAAAGGGAGAACCATTGCCGGGTAAACAACATTTATGTCTGTCGGTTGGATGCACATATTCCATAAACCCGAGTCTGAGGGCTTCCTCCAATGTCTGACCGGAGTATCCGAGCCATTGGGTGTTGGCAAAGGTGATTCCGTCATTGGCCGTGGCGGCAAACACAATCTGGGGACTCGAGTTCGCCAGGCTCCTGTACTTATGCTCACTCTCGGCCATCTCTGCTTGCCTCGCTGCATTGACTTCGGCTAGCCGCTGGTCGTGGATGTCCATATTTGTACCAAACCAGTGAACGATGATCCCTCGCTGATCTCTCAAGGGCACTGCTCGAACCATAAACCACCGGTAATCGCCATCGAACCGTCGTACGCGCATTTGGTGAGAGAAGGGCTCTCCTTTCCGAATAGCGATTCCCCAACGGCGAAGATACTCATCCCTATCCTCCGGGTGCAAAGCATCCCACGGAGCCTTCATGAAATTTTCGGCCGTTGTACCTCTGTACGCTAGCATCCGCGCATTGACCCAAGTGATTACCCCTGTACCTGGGATGGCGGTGAATACATGGACCGGAATGGAGTCAATAATCGTTCGCAGAAGCCGGTTCGATGGAGGGGGCATCTCATGGATGTTCAGGTGGTCCGCCCTTCTGCGGGCCGAACCGCTCCGCCTACCGGAAACAAAAGCAGCAGTGCCCAAAGACTGGAAAGTGGTCGCATAATCGGCGCCGTAAGAATGAAGGTATGAGTGACCGCGACTCGCACCTACTCTCCTTTGCCTCACCGTGTTTCGTGGCTTGCGTTCTGTCGAAGTTTGGGCCTGACCTTGGGCCGGGACTGGAACTGAAGGAGGCACAATGTTGTTGTTTTCAACCTGTTTTCCCTTATCCTGAGACATCTGAGTCGGGGTCGTTTCATCCGAATCGGGGACCGTCATGGGAGGCAGCGGACGTATGAAAGTCGATTTCTTCGGAATGGCGGTGGTGTTGTTTGCGGCGTGGGCGGGTGGTTCAGGAAAGTAACCATTCTCTTTGCCTTTATCGTTCGTCAGCAGCTCTTCATCTCCCCGCATGAGTAATCGGGCTTCGAGACTGGTATATGACTCCGGATCCTCGCCTTTCGGCACCACCGATGGCACTGCTCCGCTGTGTTGGCGACTAAAGATCGGCGGTTGTCTGATTCTGGGAAAATAACCGTCATCACCACCGCCACTGAGAGGACTGAAGGGTGTAACGGACTGGCTGGTCTCGGACTTGCCGGAGGGTCCATGGCTGACGGTGCCGGCAGAAGCGTTGTCCCACATCGGACTGGCAACGTTCGAGATGGTAAAAGCACTGCTGCTGTCCGACGGACTGGTTACACTCCCTCGCAAGGTATCCGGCGATGCGAACCCCCCGGACATGTAGGAGAGCTGTCGCGGAATCCCCGGTCTCCGGGATGTGCGCTTCTTCCTGAACGAATTGAGTTGACTCAGTACACTCGAGTGTGTGCTGGCCAATGAGAAAGCTGTCGCGACTAGTGGGGCAAAATGAGAGAGGGAGTGAATGAGATTGCTTGGGTAAGGAATGACAGGGCTCAGCATCGACAGAATAGCAATCGGCGCCTTCTTCTTCTGTTGCCTGCCGATATCATCCATCGAAATGCTTGTGGCGTTGAACATCCGCCCAGTGGAACCCGCCGCGGCATCTGTCGTATTACCACCCAGGTTGAGGCCTTTGGACTGGCTCGGATGAACGAGCGGTATGTGGATAACCGTCCACGAACTTTCGCAACCTATTGCATTCACGGGTTCTTGGGCGGAATAAACAGGGCTATTGGTGGCTGGATTGAACGTCTCTTCATCGACCTTTGGCGGCGATGCGAAGAAGGGGTTCTCCGAAGAGTCGGGTCGGGGGGCCGGGGAAGGAGCGGGGGACTGGCTCCAAGGAGAAGTGATGGGCTGCTCGTACTCCTCGTAAGAAGACGCTCGATTAGGCGATTGAGCTCGGGATTGGACGTGGTGCAAGTGCTGCTGCGTCGAATAGTACTGCAGCACCGGATTGTGGGCGTAGTTGTCTTTGGACGACGGCTTTCTCCTCCTTCGGCCTCCCTTACCGACGAAGAACAACGGCGTCGGAGGCTGCGAAGGCGCCCGGAAAGGCGAAGTCGGCATGTCGAGCTTCCCCAAACCCATAGTCGCTTGGATACCGGCGGTCGGGGGCGGCATCTTTCCATCGGACGAAGAATTTGACGGTGACGATTTCGTGCTCTCCATGTCCTTCCGCCTCTTCTTCTCCTTCTCCTCGAGATGCGTCTTCACGTCACGGTATTCCCTGCTCAGGACTACCGTCTTTCCACGTTGCAGAACCCTGCTGACCCCCGTCTCATCCAGCAGCGCATCCGCCTCGTAGTTCAATGGCTGGAGCGTGGGAAACACCCTCCCCTTGACCTCGCTCTCATCCGACCAGAATGTCTTATCCTGCTCCGGTGCTTGCGCCGCATCGATCCCCCCCGCCGGAGATTCCGGACCCTCTCTGGGTGACGCACCGCTTGTGACCGATATCCAATCAGAGTTGTTGGTAGCGTCCGGGGGCGAGTCCTGCATATCGACGGTCACCGGTCCGAACGGACCATCCAGACTCGTATCGATCTGTACCGGCTCTGTTGTCGTGTCCAGATCCATCTCTCTCGTGCAGTCCATCGTCATCATCTGTCCACCAGCTTGTTCCACAGACACATTAGGGGGTGGCTCTTCTTCCTTAGGGATTGCCACACCTTGAAATGCATCGTCCTCCTCCGAATAATCCCCACCGTCAGGATCACCTACCCGACCTCGGTCATCTCCCATGTAGGTCAGAGATAGTTTATCGTCCTCTGCCATGTTGAATGTTGCCTTCTGGCCCCAGGGCGTGTTTTCCAGATCCGTCGAATCCGACGGCACCGCCAATGTAACCCTCTCCGCCTTGTAGCACATGGTGGCGATCTTGACCACGTTGCTCCAGAACGCCTCGACGCCGGGCTCCGAGTGCAACAGTAACGTCAGATCGTACATGTTCGGGGTCGGGAAATCCGGATTCTCGTAGGTTGAGGCGGGATTCGAGCCCGGGGGGTGGAACGCCACGGATGCTGGCGTCGGGGCACCCGAAGGCAGCAGTTTGTCTAACGGACCAATACCAGGGGAATTAAACGAGGCACCGATCGTGGAGGAGGATACGCTCCTCATTCGACTCATCTGCGGAAACGGATACGCCGGAGACATCATCGCGGGGGAGGAACTGTTCTGTGTGTACGAGCGAGTCTGCGCGGGGACATCGGCGGTCGAGGAGTATTGGTTTAGCTTCGACGGCTGAGATGACCGTACGGCCGCTGCTGAGGCTGATGGAAGTCTCGACGACGAGGACGGGGATGCCTGCGTTGTGGTGGTTATTGTTGTTGACGTTGCGGCCGACGACGTTGTTGCTGCAGTTGCGGTTGTCGCCGTTGTTGTTGTCGGCTTGGTTGTGTTGTGCAGCAGCTCTTGTGGAGAATTCTCGGCGGTAGATAGTGGCGGCGAGTTGGAGGCGAATGTGGCATGGTGGAGGCGACTACGCTCCCGTGCCCGATTTTGCGATCGCATCACTGCCTTCGGAGTAGTTAGAATCCGAACCGTCCACCTTGCCAGAGCAGCAGCAGTAACGACAGCGAGGACGGACAGAACTAGAAAGTCTACGGCACCGAGGGCAAATACCTCTTTGAGACTCTCTATTGACTGAAGACCATGCGATACAACTCCGTTGACGGGCCCAGGACCAGACCCAGCAGAACTTGAACCTCCGCTGCTGCTGCCACCACTACCACCTATTGACATTCCCGAGCCCAATCCCGCCAGCCGAGAACTGGTTGCAGCCGCCGCCGCTGCCGCTGCTGCCGGGTCTTCAGGGCCGTTACTCGACAACGAGAGGTGGTGTCGCGACAGGGAAGCAAATGTAGCGGAAGAGCCCGAAAGATGGGGCAGATGTGGAGGAGTTTGCACGGCCGATGACGGCGGAGATCCCGACGACCCTGAGCCTATCCGCGATATTGATAGCGCGGTAGAAGGATCGCTGGAGTGTGGGTTATCGGGGCGATTTAGGTGATGGTGGTATTGGTGTTTGACGTTGGGGATGTTGTGACGACTTGTGGAAGAGGAGAATGACGCCCGAGTTGTAGGGGGCGACCTGGGCGGCGAGCTCATGGTATTTTCTTGAGAATTCCAGGGCGGCGACCGGGGCGGAGGCTGGCTACGTCGGTCGGGGGGTGCGGGTGGGGTTGGGGGAGTGTTTGTTTAGGATTTTGTGGAGGGGGGGTGGTAGTAGGATAGTGGGTGGGATTGGGTTGGATATGGGGGGGTATTTTGGGGGGAGGGGGGTTGTTTTTTTGATGGGGGGGGGGGGGGGGGGTGGGTGGGTGTGGTGGGATTAGAATTTAGGAGAGAGTTGAGTTGAGTGGTTAGTCTTTGGAATGGGCTTTCGGTAAGGGCAAGCAGGGAGGCAGGGCACGCCAGACGAGTGGAGAGAGACTGGGGGGTTTGGAGAGGAGAGCTGGGGGAGTTTTTGGGAGTGTGGTCACTACTGTATTTGGCTGGCTGGCACTGGAAGGGAGGATATTGTAGTTGTAGGAACTGGCAAGAGAAGTTGATTAGATTTTTGAGTGTGGCAGTTCGGACTAGATGTGGCAGTGGCGGTGGTGGCAGTGGCAGTGATAGTGGTTGTGAATTGGCGGAGAGGCGACGGGGATTGTTGTCGTTGTTGTTGTCGTTGTTGGTAGTGGTGGTGATGCACAGTCCGCGAAGGTGGTTGTTATTATGACGTCGGCGTCTACCGGCGATTGTGACATCAATACCTATCTGGGGGAGACTGTTCGCTTGTGGCGTTGGACCCTCGGGATTTTGGCGGAGATTGATGATTCAAGAAGACTCTGGGAGGGGGTTGGTTGGTGGGGGGAAAGGCGGGTACCGTAGTGGTGGCTTTCGGCAAGACAAACAAAGACGCGCGCGAGATGTGGATGCAAGGGCGGGAGAGAAAATAAAATAAAAGAATCCGACGAGATACGAGGAGATGGAGTCGTAGAAGAGGACGGGGGGGGAGGGAAGAACGAGAGAGTCAAGAAGAGTTCGAGGGAAGAAGTTGATGACAATTATGATGCTGACGATAATAGGTCACGATGATATGGGGGTTTTTTTTTGGGGAGGGGGGAGGGGGGAGGATCTTTCTTTCATAAAGTCTTGGAGTAACGATTCTGTGCTTACATAGTAGCGAGCGGCAAGGCTTCTACTTGTTGCGTATACAATGTACGTCGTCGTCGGCGGCGGTGAACGAGTGAGAGAAGGGAGGAAGGAGGGAGAGAAACGGATAGAAGATTGAACCGCCGGTGACAGGAGAGCAGCGGCTGCACGGTGAGAGGGCAGGGGGGCAGGCAATTATTCTTACGGGCCTATGACCATTACCATAACCATCACTGGGGGCCATGTCCAGCACCGATTATGGCCGGCCTGATGGTGGTGGTGGTGGTGGTGGTGGTGGTGGTGAAGCTGGTGGTGGTGGTGGACAAACAGATCTTACAGAAGCGGACGGACTCGAGTCGACGACGCGGGCTCATTACGACTCTGACGGCCGTCGAGTCAGACTCAGACATGGGCTGGACAAACCTGCTATATACACCAACGATAACGGCACCGGCATGATTGTCATCGCCGTAACCAGCCACGAAAGGCCTGAAGTGCAACAGAAGGCCGAGCGAGCGATCGAACGAGCGAACGAACAAGGCGGCGGCGGCCGTGATGGGCTGGCTATTGATGTGCAGTCAGGCTCAGTGCCCACTGGAGCTGAGTATGATACTATCATACAGTGCCCTCCACTTCCTCCGGCGATCTTGTCCTCTTCTCGGAATGAACGATGAACGGGCTAATCGACCGATCAAAAAGACGGGACAGGTTACCACCTACTCTGCGCATCCGCTCTGTCCGTTCGATCGCCTTCGGTCTCCATTCTCACCAACACATAGGGACCCGGCACACCAGCATCATCTTGCTCGGCCTCCTCGGCACAGGATCCATTCCACTCCACTCGCCTTCTGCAGCCAGGCGGAGAAAAGGAAAAAAGACCGGCCACTTGATTTCGACGATCAACGAGTGGTCCTCGGGATCCAATCCCTCCTCCCCGTCCAGCTCGCCTCGTCCTCAGCCAGCCACATATATACGGACCCCCGACGGGTGCGCGGCTCGCAGCTCGCAGCCAGGCCTTCCCGGCAGTTCTGCCTACACAAGTACTTGGGTGTAGGTACTACATGGAACACGCTTCACACGGTGGATGCTGGATGGCTGGATGGCAGGATGACTGGATGGACATGGTGGGGAAGGAAGAAGGAGGAGGAGAAGGGAGGAAGGGAGGGCAGAAGGGTACCTTGGTGCCTACTCTACTCTAGAGGCACGGGGTGGTAAACTATCAGTGTGAGACTCTAGAGCAAGGGTGGCTCTCCTCCGTAGTTCGGAACGATCCCGTTCTCGGTTCCCTGTCCAGCATCAAGGAGAGTTAGGCGTCCGTCCGCCCAAGCAACCAGCCGCAACGGACGAGCGAACGGAAGGAAGGAAGCACGATGGAAGGAAGCAAAAGAAAAATCGGTCGAGACGACTGACCGAAAGGAAGGAGCAGAGAAGCAGATGAATTGCTGGTGATGGGATCGTTTTTAGTCAAGTCCCAATCCCACTCCATCTAGGTAGAGTTACGGGACCGGCCTGCCCGCGTGCGCGCGCCGCCGCCGTCGGCTAGAGTAGTGAGTAACGCCAAACAAATTGGCCCCCCCCCGTCTCCCGCTTGACGCTCGACATCATCGGAGGAGAAAAGAAGGAGAAAGATGTCAAAAACCACCACCACACCCCGACGAGAACCACAACACACGAATATAAAAACCAATTTCTCGAGAGAGAACAGCGCAGCACCAGAAGTTAATCGATTAATCTTCTCTCTACGAATTGCTGCACTTCTTTCTCCAACGACAATTTCTGCGCAGAGCAGCACGCTGCTGCGAACAATATCCAACCTTTTCGCAGTGGAGGTGGTGGTGTAGCGTGGTGCGGAGCGGTGAGAAAAAGCAGACACACGCGCGCACTGTGACATCATTATGCAGGGCATTAAGGGTATTCCGTCGACAAGGATGTGGATGCCTCTTTGCAAGACACCCACATATGACGTATGTGCTGCGGTCTCGAAGCCTGTTAAATCCGGACCAAGTTCAACCACCCAGGAAGTGCGATCGTAAGGACCTTCCCCGAACGCCCCCCTTTATTTCGCGCGGACGAGTGAGAGCGCTGGTTCGCACAGCACACCCACCACAGCACAGCAAGAAACAAGCGAAATGGTTTTTTCTGTTCTGGCTTGGCTGGGTTTTTGCTCGTGGCTGCACGTGCGCGGGAGCAGATCGTGCGATGTCGATATGTACATATGTATTCCGCTAGCCGGCAGCAGAAAGGGAACGAGGAAGTACTCGTACAGTCGTACTCTAGCTAGACTTTAGAGGCTCAAGCACTTTGTTTTCCTTCTGCTTCTCAGCCGCGCTCACGGCGAGAGAACGAGTCACCCTGGAGGCTGAAGACACTGGACAGTCAGGAAGAAGCAAGTCATCCCCACCGCGACGATATCGTTCCACCTCCACTTCGTGAAAAAAAAAATCCCGAAAAACCCACAACCGAAAACGACTGCATAAACCTCCGTCTTCTCTCTCCCCTCCTCTCCCCACCACCCTCCTCAATCCCCTCCCACCCCCTCCGCCCCTCCGGAATCCCGACCAGAGACACGCGAGAACCGCGCCGGCGGGGCGGTAGCATCCTCACCGCTCCCTCTCCGGATGGCTAGAATCTTCTCGCATGATTTTTTCCTGCTTCGCTCAGTGTTTGGTACCTACCTTGCTTACCTACCGTATGTTATGTATGCACATCCATAACATAACATAGCAGGCCCATGGTCAGGTCCCAGGTTGCGTATGTCAAGCACGTATGATCTAGGTACCGTACATACACCACACACATACATACACCACATACATACACCACATACATACACCACATACATACACCACATACATACACCACATACATACACCACATACATACACCACATACATACACCACATACATATCGTGGTCCGTAATGCACTTGTGGAGAACACACTACTGCCCGTGGGCCCCCCTCCATCATGGCCCCTTTCACCGATCGAGATCTAGCCAGCAAACATTCAGATCTGGAGTCGAGATGGAAGGGGCACACACCACACACCCACTACTTGCCCCGATCCGGGCAGGTGACTGGGAAACCGGGCCAGGAGGGTTAGGGTACTTGGCTAGCATGTACTGTACTTCCGGGACGTGGAGCGGCGAGCCTACACACTCTCCATCATACTAGTAGCTGTGAGCCTGTGTCAGTACGATATACGCATCATGTGCTGATGGATGGATAGATACAGCCCATGCGAAGTACACTACATACTCTACCTCATACACTCCAATGGTACCTATCGTGCCCGGCATCCTGCTCGATTCTCGTTGAGAGACAAAGAAGAAGAAGGGAAAAAAACAAGACTGTCAACTACACAACGACGAGTAGAAGCAGAGAATCGACTCCATCCCCGCTTCGCGAGCAGACGCACGGAGAAAACTAGAGGACGGTTCTCTAACGGGAGTAGTGTTGTGTTGGGAAAAAACAAAAAGAGGAAAAGAAAGAAAAAAACAAGCAGTTGCTGTGTGCGCTGTTCTCTCCTTCGAGCTCTCTCCACGGACAGAGGGCTTCCACTTCCATGCGTCGTCGTCGACAGTCACACGACCCGGCGACCGGCGTCGAGCACAGTAGGTATGTATGTGCAGTGAGTGGGAATGAGGAGGTCGTGATCTGTGAGGTGTTCCGGGCCCTTCAGCGACGACATTTCCACACCACTCTCACGTCTGCGTTGCAGTTAGTTCCCTATCGTGGCCATTCTTCAGCTGTCTGTGTGTGCGCGCGTCTTCGTGCTGCGCTGTGCAGGCGGACTTGCCCATCTGTCTCACAGTGCTGTGGTGGGGCCGTAGCATCCATACGGACTTGCCGGACGGAGTTACGGGGGGAGACTGAGGAACTGTATGTAAAGTGAAAAGCACTCTACGGCACGCCACAGTAAGTTACGAGGGGAGGGATTTCACACAGATTTGCCACATCCAATCTACCCCCAGGACTTCAATCCCGCCACCGCAGGAGAAACAGCGGAAACGTGGCAGACATGTCCCTGACTGCCTACCTGCTGCTGCTGCTGCCTGACAACTATCTAGCCACCTACTCTAGGTAGAGCACCAGTAATACGCTATCTATCTCACCCCCGCATCCGCCAGCCATTGAAGTAGATATCCCATCCACAAGCTATGGATTCTGGTCGATCCCGAATTGTCTAGAATACCTCCCACCGCTAACCGGTTTCCACCCGGGAGTGGTCCTCTCTTTCTCGCGCTCCAGCAACAGCTGCGTCTTCCGTCTCTCCCGCTCCTCCCGCTCTTCACGCTCTCGTCGGAGTTTAGCAATCCTACCATCGGCGTCATCAGTTGTCGGATATTTAGCTCCCCTGTCGCCATCGTGGTCGCGGTGGCGGTGGCGGCGGTGCCTCTGCCCCTCACGAGATCTAGACCTCCGCGTGCGCGATCTGGATCTCGAGCGGCGTTTCCTCCCGGAGGTATTAGGATGACGATCTTTCTTCGGTGATGCTGAGCGGGACCGCCGACGGCTGTGCCAGTCGCTGTCCCGCCGCCGCCGCCCCTCCGCTGCCACCCCCTCCGCCGCCGTCGCCGCCACCGCCCCGCCAACATCGACCTCCCTACTCCGCCGCCACTCCGCCCGCTCACTCTCCGCATCCCGCAGCTGGCGCACGCCCGAGTTCACAGCTTTCAACGGATCATCCCAATCCTTCCACCTCTCCCTGCCCCTCCCTCCTCCCCTCCCCCTCCCGCTCCCGCCCCCCCTCCCCTCACTCCCCTCACCCCCCCCCTCCACCCCCTCCTCCCCAGGCAGCTTCACATACCAAGGCCTAACCTCATCACACGGCCTACCCAGGGCATTCCGGAACGTATCAGCCTCCCACTTCGCCTCCTTCTCCTTCCTCTCGCGCTCGGCCTCCTCGTTCCTTCCCGCCGCCCCTCCCCCCGCAGGCAACGGGAACAGGTTGATATGCCCGTCTGATCCCACGATCCCCTCCCGGTTCACGCGCCCGTCGAGCTGCCGCTGCGCTGGTGTCTTGGTCGCCGGCTTCGGGCGCTGGGAGTCGGGTGTCGCCGGCTCCTCCGTGACTGGAGCTGGAGCTGGAGCTGTGGTGACCGTGGTTGTGCCCGTGCCGCCCGCGCCCGCCCTCAGCAGCTCGAGCCGCTCCGACGCGGCAGAGGCCTGCGCGGCGTCTGCGGCGAGGGCGGCGGTCACCGCGGCAGCGGCTTCGTCGGAGCGCACGCGCGCGATGTTGGCGGCGTTGTAGACATGGTAGGATTTGTGGTGGAGGAGGTGGAGGGGCATGGTGGGCGGGGTTGTTGTTGGGCAGTTGGTGAGTTGCGGGCTGGGAGTTGAGCTGTGGGTGGTGTGGTCTGGTGGTGGGCGGTGTGGTGTGGTAGACAGGTGCCAAGTGGAAGCGAGAACGAACGAGCTAGGGGGTCATGTGATAGGTACTTTAGAGGCTTTAGTGAGAGGTGGCGGGTGATGTCGTGTGCGATGAATCGTGAATGATGAATCGTGAATTGTGACTCGAGAGATGCGAAATACGTAGAGCACCTACGGTACATCTTGGAATTACGGTACATATTGGAATTACGGTACATCTTGGAATTACGGTACATCTTGGAATTACATACGGTACATGGCATCGAATGGAAACGAAATCACAAGTAGAGTACAAATACACCCGTCGTCATTCATCCGCACATCCCCACACCCGCACATCCTCTGATCTTCATGCTCCCTCAACACAGACAGACAGACACGCCGACCTCCTTCTAACCCAAAACGCAAAATACAAGCTCACACACCACCACAACCTGCACCACACAAGGGGATAATCCATTCGCGACTGGGAGGTGACCACAAATACCAGTATCCCCACGCCTGCCATCGACAATGACAGCTAAACAGGCTAAGCCCTACCATACTGTCCCCAATCCCCATCCCGTTCGCCTCGCCCTTACTCGATCTTGATACTACCGTAAATCTTTCTGACAAAGAAGTAACTCGAAAAGAACCCGATAGAACCTGTACGCACACACCTAGTCAGCCCAGCCCAGCCCAGCCCAGCCCCCATCTCCGAGAAGAAAAACAACGTACCAGTCAGAATAAAGAACATAAACCCAATCAGCGCCGAGTAACCGAGGTACAGGACGTTTCCCGTGAAGCTTCCCAGGCTCAGCTTGCTGATCCAGTAGATGATGGCGTTCAAGAAGATGTAGACCGCGCAGGCGCCCGACGTGCAGAATGCGCGCCACTGCCAGTGGTAGTTTTCGCTGCAGAGCAGGAAGTAGACCATCAGGATGGTCACCATCGAGCAGGTGACGATCTATGTGCGATCACCATCACGTTAGCCTCCCTCGGAAGTAACCAAGAGGTGCGTAAAAAAACACGAAACGGGTGACATACCATGATGCCGTAGCAGACGAAGAGGAAGCCGAACATGTAGTACACTTTGTGGAACCAGATGGAATTCATGATGAAGTACAGCTCGACGAAGATGGCTCCGAACGGCAGAATACCGGCCAGCAGTATCGACGGGATAGGCCTAAGGTACGTCTGCGACGGTGGGATTTGTCTCGGAATCTGGTTTGTCCTGACCGGAGCCTCTGGGATAGGCGCGCGGAACCCGAACCAACTACCACCGAACGAAAGAGGCACCGAGATGATGAACCAGATACAGATGAGCGCGAGCATGGTAGTGAACGGAACGGCGCCAGATGACTGCTGGAAGAACAGGAAGAGGTTGAGGAAGAAAAAGGTGCCGAAGACAATACCGGGGACCATGATGGGTGTGTACACGATGTTCTGCTTCCATGCCTCGCCGCCGAGCGTCTTGTACACCCGCGCGGACACGTAGCCACCGACGAAACCGAGCAATGTGTACAGGAGGATTGCAACGGTACCCAGACTGCCACGGTTGGACGGTGACAGGAAACCTAGCAGCGCGAATACAATAGTAAACCCGGTCATGAAGAACAGCTGCGCACCCGAACCAAGGAAGATGGACAGCAACATGGGATTCTTGGGCGGACGGAAGACATCCCCGTGGACCAACTTCCAGCCGGAATCGTCCTGCACGTCCTCGTTGAGGTCCAGTTGGTTGTAGCGGGTAATATCCTTACGCAAGGCGCGCAGAAGCACCATTCCGACCATGGAAGTAAGGAACACCACTATGATAGCAGAATTCACGAGTGAAAACCAGTGAATATTGGGATCCACGACACCAAGGTACTTGTCCCAGCGGGTTGCCCACGCCGTGTTGGATGGCTTCCAGTAGACAGAGTAAGTGAAGAGGACCTCAGTACCGCCCTCCATATCGAGCGATATCTGCGTAGCGTCGTCACAGTCCGCCCCGAACTCCCTCAAGGGGTCTTCCCGGCTACTGCGCGACTCGGGTTGCACTGTTACTCCAACCACACGGTATCGAGGTTCACCATTGCGAGTCGAGATCTTATGGAACTCGACGATGAAGTTGTAGTGGTTGTTGAAGTAGGCTGTAGGGCGCCTATCGTCCTCGGGCTCCGGAACGTCAACAAAGCCCAGCGGGAAACCTTGAGTGAAATATTCGTTGCCACGCTGATCTTGCGTCTGGGTGGCCGCCGGAAGCCCGTCCACGAGTAGGTTGAGATTAAAGTTCTGCCATATCTTGCGCGTCACGAACTGTGCCATTGGCTTATCGTACTTCTTCGGCTCACATAGTCTTTTGCAGGTCTCATTCTTTGCCATGCGTAGCTCAAACGGCGAAGTTAGGATTCGGTCGCCAAACAGAATGGATCCCAGCGATTCGGAGACTTTTTTGGGCCCGCCTTCTGGTCGGCAGAAACCGAACTGGGGAAGGTAGTAGTCATAGGACCAGACCGAGTGGAGCTGTTGCTGCTCCGGTGTGGCATCGCTCGTGCTGGGCGTCAAATGGTTGACGTAGAGTGGCACCCGGTCATCCTTCTTGTAGTCGGTCGGAGCAACGCCGGGAAGGTAAAAGGCGGAAGCCACGGAGCTCAGAGACAGAGCTCCAAGCACCGAAAGACGCATGGCGGGGGGTCGGGGCGTCGTCGGTGGGCGGAAGTTAGGGGGGCTCTGGAAGCTATCAGAGCTTCGACTCGCGCGGTAGCGAAGTGGGGTGCGACGGTTTCAGGCAGGTGCAGTAATAATTCGGCCGATATGTTCGATGGATTGTTCGCGATGGAGCCCGTGATGGGTGGGATATGTGTAGACGCTGGTCGTGGCACGTTGCCGTCGATGTCGTAGGTTATAAGTTGAAGCTTGCAAGAAGTTTAACTGGCCAAAGTGGCTCTAGCGTCGCGGAGCCTCCTGAGACCACATTCGTGCTCCACAGACCATGGAATCCAAAAGATTTGCCGAGCTTTTTTGGGCGGTAGCACGTCACGGCATGCAGCGGCAAGAAAATAGCAAAAAATAATCCCTCCGACCAGAGTCGAACTGGTGACCAACGGATGACAACTTCACAATTACAGTCCGGTGTGATACCAACTACACCACAGAGGGTATGTATAAACTCTTTTTTAATCAATATATACCACAATCACTAGTGTTTGAAATGAGGCACAAATAACACTTTACATTTGCTGCGATATATCACTCGTCGGACTTCATAGCAGCATCGTGGACGGATCAAGACAACAAAGGGATTAAGTACATAGGGCGTATATACCTAACAGCCCTTGTCTGGAATTGATCGAATGCAGAGATGACGAGACCAAAGACAAAAAAAAAAGCAAAATATGTAGATACCATCGCACTCCCCGCACTTGTCGGGCCCGGGGTTTTTCTCCGCTGTCTAATCCGCATCTTCGTCCAAAAAGCACTTCCCATGGTAGATATCTACCGTCTCCCCCGCAAGGGATAGGAAAGCGTTTATGCGAGAATCTTGGCCTGCAGTGGGTAGGCAGGGCATGTGCAGTTGGCGCTGGGCGCTGGGCAGTCGCTGCAAGGTGGCAAACGGCTTCGGTCTGTACATAACCTGGATATCCAACATCGCAAGGCGTCCTTTCACTGCGCATTAAGAGAAAGATTGACTTCGGTTTTCGACTGCTTATGTTACGTGCGCGGAGGATGCACCGACATCTCCTAGTATGCACATGTAGGTAGGACCAACACAACATGGTGCGCAGTCAACGCTGCATTCCGGCTTGTGACTTGTGCATCGTGCCACTAATTTTGTACATACACGAACTTTGCATTTCTAAGAAAAAGCAAGCAAGAAAAAAACACCATCCAAAAACACCCGCCAATTAAGCATTCCATTACCAAAGTTCTCCTCCCGCCAGAGCCTGGGCCAATCAGTCCCAGGAATCGGCCACTGATACCGGTGATCGCGGACGAGGGGCATTTGACGGTACTTCTGGCCCAGATGACGGAATTACGTCCCCTGGCACCTCTAAAACCGGACGTTTCGGGGTGACAATGCCTGGCGTGTAGCGTTTGCACCAGTAGATAGCCTGTTGAGCTCCGTACAACGCATGTTTCCTTGTTGACACTGAAAACACTCTGTCGAGTTCCTCCAAAGAACGCCCTAAGATTCGTTAGCAAGGTTTCACGTAGGTATGCACAATTTGGTGATAGCAACACGCCTTTGGTCTCTGGTACAAAGCTGTCGAAAGTTAGCGCGGGGAGCCTTTGGTCAGGCCACTGTAGAAGCTCGAGAACATACAATAGCACTAGCAAGAATCCCACCAGATTCCACGTCCCGTAGAATGACAGCATCCCGTCAGGCCCGAGACGGTTTTCTCCCTTCATCGCGGGCAGGGTCATTGTGACGCAAAAGTTGAAAACCCAGGTAACGGCGGTCGCAATGGACATTCCAATCTCTCGAATATAGAGAGGGTAGCTGGGAATATGTTATTACGGCTACACCGAGGGGTCAACGGGGGAGAGGGAATCCTACCATTCCGCGGAATATGTAAAAGGCACAGGCCCTTCGCCTGGGGAATAAGCAACAGCAAAAAGGTATATCCCCAACATGATGATGGCCTCTTTCGTTTTGTCGTTCTCGTCGCTCTTGATGTTGAAAGCCCCAGCAGTTAAGAACAGGAAGACAGACATAAGCGGGAAAGTGATGAGAAGCAATTTTCGACGGCCTGACACGGTGTCGATGATCCTGACCGCCGGCAACGCAAAAACAAAATTAATGAGACCGAATCCCATGGTAAAGAGCATGGAGTTCCGTCCCGTAACCCCAGCATCACTGATGATATCTGTTGAGTACTGGTTGAATCAGCCCAAGTCGACGGAGGTGGTTCGTGCGGATACGGGCTCTTACATGCACCATCGTATTGACCCCACAAAATTGCTGCATGAACATGACGATAAACTACACGAGAATACATCAGTATTGACGTGAAACGAGGGCATGAATCGGTGGAGAGATCTACCGAGGCTTGCAGAGCTCTTCTGTTTCTTGGTCGACTGAAAATCTCAAAGAGTCTGTGATGCCGATTTTGGATCTCTCGCTCCGCATGCAGCAAGCAATGGATGTAGAAGAGGTCTCGAGCGGCTTGCAGACGAGATTCCCGTAGCTGGCAAAGGGAATCGTAGGCGTTCTTGTAGTATTGAGTGCCATGTTTCATGTACCATCTGTTCCGGTTAGGAAGCTGCTCTTGCTCCAACTCCAATACTGGGCCATATATACCGTGGTGACTCCGGAACGAACCACACATGCACACATACGACAAGCGGGAGAACCATAGGACTGCCGATCATCAAACGCCAACGGAGGCTCTGGGTCCGGTGTCAGTGAAGTACTGTAGCAAGATGCAGTGCATGGGCCCATACGCATTCCGTGCTCAAAAGCGTTGCAAACACCTTATTCTTGAGTGCCTCTGTGCAAACCTCGTTGGAATCGACATTTCCCACATCGTAGAATACTCTTCCCATCAGTGTACCCAGAAAGATCCCGAAAGCTGTAAACATTTGCCACTGCATGACCAGTGCTCCTCGGATCGAACTGGGAGCTGTTTCGGCGGCGTAAACCGGCACTGTTGCGCTCTTTGGTCCAATACCCAGGCCTATGTTCTGTCAGATTGGAGCTACAATGGGTGGTTAGTCGGAAGCCATACCGAGCACCAAACGCAGAATGAACATTGACTGCCAGCTCCGCGTAAAGCTCTGGCCCAGGCAGCTCAGAGACGATATGAGGCAGGTGACGAAGATTGTCCCCCGCCGACCCAGAAAGTGGTTCATGGGATTTGTGAGCAGCAGACAGCTAAAGAAGCAGCACAAAAGCGGTGCGCTGCTGACCAGGCCTTGACGGGATGCATGAGTTGTTGGGTACGGCATCAACTAGCGTCGAGTGTGAGACCACAACTCACCGAAAATATCACGTCTATCGTCCAGTCCGAAGGCGGTCTTGAACAGGACATTGGCTTTTTTGTTTTCCCCACGTCAGTTCGGCATTGGGGAGCGGGCGCAGATGTGCAGTCTGCTTACCTCCATTGATTGCGGACCTTGATCCGACGTCGGTTAGTAGTATTCGCAGGGCTGAATGTGGGGAAGTAAAGTTCTCACTGGTCCCAACCCTGCACTGCAGCAGATGTGGCACACACGATGATCAGGGACCATAGCTTTCGAGGCTGGTGCCACCTATGAGTCTTCTCTCGATCAAGTGCGTTTGCGTCCTCGGGAAGGAGTTGAAGGTGTTCGTCTGGTCTCCGCCAGGCCTCGTTGTCCTGGGCCAATATTGCCGCGTCCGCAAACCGAGCCCGCTCGCTCGCAGGAAGCCCGTATCGTGCAGCGAAGGCCTCCCCCAACTCGCGCAATTTCGGGCGGTCCAGATTGAGGAGCGGATTGGAGAGCACTCCGAATTCATTCTGGCTGCAGTTATCCGAGAGAATCCTATCGAGCTCGAAGTCGCGTTCGGGCTCAGACGTGACGGATGGGAGAGGAAACGCTTCCTTGTCGGTGGAGTCCATTTGCGCAAGCGTGTCGTCCGGGCTTTGAGATCATCGCTGATGGAAGGGGGCGCGATGCCCTTTAATATATACGATCAGAACGGGAGGGGGAATCGAGGGGCATTGCTTGTGCTTGCAGTAATAATTATTCTGGCAACCCTTCCGCGGGGGCGGGGGGTGACCAGGAGCGACTCTGGAATTTGGGCTGACAGCGAGCATGCCGCTGCGCACATCGTGCAACTCGGGGGGGCACTCTTCTAACCGCTGCGAGTATGCCGATTTCTTGGGAGGTATCACGGCATGTTGCAGCTGCGAAACCGAACGGCTGCGCACTGGACTTGCGGCAGGCTCGAGAGGAGCCTTGCTCGTTGAACATGAGAATCCCGTGTTCTGGTTTCTCAGCGGTGCGAAATTCGCTCATTGTAACTCTATTCGACTTCCAGGCACCCACTTCGGACCTAGTGCCGCTTTCTCACTGCACACTTCAACTGTGTTTTGTTTTTTATGCTGGGCTATTGCGAATGCAGTTGTGGGATAGAGTTGTGTGGAATGCGTATGTGTGTATATAAGTGGCTAGCATGTAGCATATTCCCCGCTCTCGCTTCGGTCCGCCTTGATTCCATCTGCCTTGATTCCATCTGCCCATGGGGAACCGACTATCCTCTCCGACAGCTGCATATCCTCTCCGACAGCTGCACGACCCCAACCACACGCTCAGCCATCGTGGTGTAGCACAACCTGCATGACTGTCCAAGGCAATTGGCTCCCGCTGCCGGGATGCAGATCCTACCCCACCACTCTTCCCAAACACCGTCTAAGGCAGACTCGGTCATATGTAGAGTAGCTTTTCCCCTCCGACCTGGATCGGTTCCTGCCGCCACTGCATGGTTGACGGCTTCACCCTCTTTGGCGTCCGATAGATCTGCAACGGCCTCAAAAACTCGCCTTTCGGCCTCTACGAGAATCGCTTCCTGAATTTCCCACAAGTACCCCCGGCCCATGCTCGGGGAAGAAATAGTCACAATGGCCATGGGACCCACCGATATCATCGCAATCGTGTCCTTGAGTTGGAAGCTGTATCACGACTGCCTGGTAGGTGAAATCAACCCTCGCATACGAGTCCTCCGCTGATGCGGAAACAAGTTGGTCGCATACGAAGCTCCGGACTCCTTCAGGCAACTCGTAAACGAGCTTCAGTCACTCCAGGGAACTTTGCGGTTGCTCCGGGCAAATGTGGAGGCCGACAATGCTTTCTTGGATAAAGCATCCGCAGAACGCCAAGCGACACTGCAGAGTGGAATCGAAGGTTGTTGGGAAACGCTGAAGTCACTCGAACGGCTCACCGTCGGCTTCTACAATTTCAGGAGAAGTGGCTCTTTGCAACTTATCAAGCGGATAAAGTGGGCATATCACCAGAGCCAGATCGAGGGCTACCGAGCACGCATCATGGCGCATACGTGCACTCTCTCGTTGACCATGTCGGCCATGGGAAAGTCAGTCTCCTTTCCGAGCGACTGCTTCGTATGCTGATCATGTATCGAACAGCGCCACTCTGTTGAACATCCAGCAGAGGCTCGACATAGCCCTGTCACCGCATCGGCTCCAAGACCTCGAACGTGAGCAGATAACATATGAACCGGAAACTCCATCCGCGAGCGACGATGATTCCTCCTCTTCGATGCCATCGCCTCCAGGGCCAAGTCTACCGCGGGGAAGCATAGACACCGATGCAACTTTATTCGACCCAGACAAAAGCCGCAGTCCTAGTTTTGCATCCTCTTCCAAGGCTGGAATTCTAGGTCCAATCTCCCCAGCAGCATCGGATTCGGGTATCAGGAGCACGTTAGCTGGGGGGCACCGGCTCGGGAATGATCCCTCGGACCTAGGCCAAGTTGTAGCCGACGCAAATGCTCTACTGAAATGCATACCCCAAGAGCTGCCGGAGAGCAAGCGGCCGACAACTCCGCCTCTAGTCGATCCTCCATATCCGGAATACGTGGTCGACCAGGAAACAGCTCAGCGGTTTCGGACGGCTGCTTCGTCTCAGAATTCTAGAGCAGTCAGCGTGACTGATTGGCTGCGATGTGCTGGTTGGTGGTTATTGAAGGCATGTCCCCTCCCGTAAGATCAGACTCTGCAATGTATGATGGGGCTCTGACTAGTCTCTTTGTAGAGCAGAACCATGTTTTCGGCATATGAGCGGGATTTTCGTGAAGGGAGCCCTTATTCCTCTCTCCGTGGGGCTAGTATCACACCGGCACCAATAAACCAGGAGAGAAATGAAGTATCTTTATTACTGGCGTTGGACAATATGAGAAAGGTTATCTATTACCGCTATCTATAGTCGCTATCAGATCGCTCACCATATACTCTAGGTTTCATGGATTGTTTACGAGGTCGTGCTGAAGGACGAAGCGATAGCATCATCACTCACAGACCACAACCTCAAGCTCTTCTTAGATCTCATCCATGTATGGAATCCTATTCTGCGCAAATGCGTAGGAGTGCTAAATCCCATTGAAGGCGATACATCACGATTTCCCTACCCTCCTTAGGGCCGAGGCACTGATTGCACAACCGGAGGACATAAGGATGCCACTTCATACGACGATCTGGGAACGTTCTTATGTCATCGATCGCAAAATCGCCAATGGCGTCTTACTAAGACAAGATTGCGGTGATCATTCGCGGTGGACTGCCGTTGAAATCAAGGATACAGGTGCATGTGGCGCAGGGGAACATATGCTCTTCCGAACGTAGGGCACTTCTTCGTCATCCGGAACCATGCTAATGCTGTCTAGATTTGTTAACGCAGCCATTGGAGAAAATGAGTATCGAGTGAGGAGTATGGGTGCACCGTATCTACTCGTTCTCTGGTGCCGAGACGGGGAAAGCGATTTCAAGGTCACTATATGCAGCCAGCAAGGCGTATTGCACTTATCGCGTGACTGTAAGTGAATGTCGTGCGGTCCATGTTCTGCCGACCTCCAATTGATCTGTTCTAGTGACCAGGGAATGCCTTTCGAGGACCGAAACTCGTGGGGTCAGACTGCCGCTGAAGCCGACACTGGAGCTTTTGTTTCCAGGCCCCATGCCCGCTGCGATCGAATTTCTCAACGAAGGAGGTATGTACAAACCCATACTAGCAATCAGCAATGTCAATCCTAAACATGGCCTTTCAACTGACTTCTATGATGTACTAGATTTCGAAGAGTTCTTGAGAATCCCTATACAGTACTTCGAGGCTGTTACGCAGGAACGTGAAGAAAACTCAGACAATGAGAGGTTACTAGAACCTCCTATGTATGTTACACCTTCCCATGCCCTGATAGGCTGTGGCTCATCACAACTCAGTGTGCTCGAATCTATGGCACATGTCACACCCACCGATACTCGAGTCCGAGTGCCCACCCATATGTTCTGCGAAGTGCGCATTCTCGAGACCTCGGAAGGAGGTTGGCGGCGGACCAGACGACTGGTGTTCACAAGCTCGCCCAAAGAACAGCCACCGCAGTGCAAAAGCTACTGTACGTCCAGCCAATTGAACTCAATATCCAGCGCTGATGAAAGCGACAGTTCTTCCGTTGGACCGTGTCTACGTGATGCATGAGACCGGATCCAAAAAACTCATCCTCAAGTACTCCGACTGCAATCAAAGTCGCTTGATAAAGCAGCCGGATAAAACACACAAATGGAACAGAGAATACGACCCGAACGATCCCAATATATGCTTGAGCTTGTCTTTTCTCTCACCGGCCGGTATGAGTTTCATATTTGCAGACTTGAGTATTTAACTAGGCTGGCGACTGATATCAGTGCAGACGCCCACGACTTTAAGCAGAAAGTTCTCAATTACTCCCTAGATCCGTTGTGGCAATCGTAACATCCTCCCACTGTCCTTTTCAATTGACATCGGCCAGCCATATTGACGTTTTCCAGCGGCGACGGCGAACGCCAGGTATACTCCGTCTTCAAAGTAACGGGGATCGGTCAGAAGGACTACAAATGTCGTGCCCTGCAAACGATCTCAACGACTGGCGACGGCTGGACCTTCGCATCCATCTTCTACGGTTCGTCTTATGCGTCCACCCCGGCCGCAAATGACAGGCCCTAACTCCACACAGTCCCCAAGACTATCGATTTTACGCTAGAACCCGGCCGCGGCCTCACTGCGCACTTCGATCCGAAATCAACGTTCGTGACGGATTACATATCCAACCACACGATGCAGTATTGCGACATGAGGGCGCCGCTGGCCGCAAAGTTCCACCACTGCGAGAAGCGGCATCTGGCGCTGGACATATCGTTCAGGGAGTTTTCGGTGGCGCAGCAACTCTTCCAATCGTTGACCTCGGGCTGGCTGCTCAAGTACGCAAGGTCAGTACCCCTCCTCCTCCGTCCCCCTCATCCGTTGACATCCACCCCTAGCAACGTAATCCGTGTTAAATACGAGCCCACCACCCTCCAAAGCCGGTTCAACCGTAAACCCCGCGGTCCCAAAGCCGCCGCGAACATTTCGGTGTGGCAGAAAGACCCGGGGAAGAAGCAGCTTCTTGTGCGCTGGCACGGCGTGAATACGGGAGGGGACCACTGGTTATCCGCCGCATGTACCTACAACCCCTACATCATTCCACTGGCGATATAAACTCACAACTGCATTGTAGTACCCGCATCACCAACAATGAACCAGCCACAAAAACCCGGCTCGGAAAAGGCCGTGGTGCTCAGTATCGACACCGCCCGCGGGACGAGCATAAACCTGGGTGCTATGGCGGCTGTTGAAGCTACTAACACTGGCGGTGGTGGTAAGGAGAAGGAGGGCGCTGAGATCGAGGGGCTGATCACCATTCAGTTCGAGACTTGTAGAGGTAAGGGGGTTGGATGGATACCCGACGAGCGGTGGGGGGAGGGAGAGAGGGGAGGGGGAGGGGGGATGGGGGGATGATAAATTAGAGTGCTGATACGAGTGTGTGGACAGAGAAGGAGAAATTCGCGGAAGCGTCGGGGTTGGTTTGTCCTTGAGTGATGGCCCATAGGGTAGGCGGGCGGGTCTCTGGATGGTCGTGCGTAAGTACTTGTGATTGATATTGAGGTGGTGCGGCGGGAGAGTACTGGAATGGCGTGGGACGCTGGAGTTTGGGGGACTTTAACGATATGGTGGGTGGATGTTTGGCGTTAAAGTTTTGTGGGGTACCTGGTTTTGGGGAATGGGGTGTGAGGATGGAATGTTTTAGGTTGTGGCCCCAATAACCGCGACGTAATATACGGATCACACGATGATATCCAATTTTATGTTCTGCACATTGCACTCAGGCACAGTTTCACGCAAGTGTGTGTGTGACAAGTGTGGAGACTCAAAAAGTTATTGATTATCAGATTACCCAGACAACAAACGCCTTAGCCACTCATTACCAAATACCAACATCACCGTAGTTCCTGGGTATCATTACGCACGTCGTACTCCGTCTTTCGGCAGCCGAGTAATTACACTCCCTTCTGCGGCACCGTCTCGGTGGTAGTCGCGATCCTCCCATCGAGGACATACGAGATCGGCGTGACCTCGCGCACATAGTCCGCCCAGACCTCGTCCATCGTGTCCAGGGTGACAAAGTCGGTCCTGGGGGCCCAGAAGTTGTCGCCGCCGGTGGCCAGGAAGTCGAGCGTGCTGATGGTGTAGGTCTTGGTCAGGTCGATGGGCTGGGCTTTGATCTTCAGCGTGATGAGACGGCTGCCAACGGGGTTCGTCGGGTTGTAGGTGAGCCGGATGCTGCGCGAGACTTGCACCATGCTCGTTACTGCGAGGCCGTTTTCTTGGTTGAGGCGCGAGGCGATCCCCTCGAAGATGGTCCATAGCTGCTCGCCGGTGAAGTCGAGCTCGACGATGCTGCGGCGAAGGTTAGCGGCTGGAACGGAGGAGGTGTGGGGGAACATACCTGTTGCCGAAGGGGAAGCACTCGAGCGCCTGCTGCAGCGTGATTTTTCCGGCGTCAATCTCGGCGCGTATACCGCCGGCGTTGATGATAGCACCGGCCAGGTTCTCGGAAGGGCGGTAGTCCTCCATCGAGTCCGCGGTGAAGTCGCCGAGCGTGCACTCCATCGATTGGCAAGTGGACTGAATGAGATCGAACTCAGTGACCCCGAGTACGGTACCGGAGTATGCTTCGAAGGCAGTGGACCATCCCTTGATCTGCGACTTGAGTCCGACATCCTCCTTGGTGGCATTGGTCAGGTGGAAGGGAGCACCCTCGTAAGCAACGATCTTGCCCTTCGAGTCGTACTCTACGTCGATGTATCCGAGATATTCACCCCAGCGGTAGGCCTGCACGATGAAGACTTCGTCGCCGTCGAGGTTGGTCTCGATGGTGGGGTATTTTCCTTTGGCGGCAGTCTGGTTGCCGAGCAGAGTGTGCGAGTGACCACCAATGATCAGCGAGATATCGGTCGTCGCCTTTGCAAGCTCGATATCCTTGTCATAGCCGATGTGGGTAAGAGCCACAATACGTTTAATATCCCGGTGCTTCTTCTTGATGGCCTTGACAGTACGGATGGCAGCGGCCACAGGATCCTCGAAAGTGGTGCCGTTTCCAGGGTTGGAAATACCGGCAGTAGTCTCGGTGGTCACTGCAAGGACCGCGAGCTTGTGCTTTTTGAAGATCTTGTATGGCAGGAGAGCACTTGCAAGCTCCCTGTTGTCTGTATGGACGTTGCTGGAAATGACAGGGAAAGTCAGGTTGTGCAGGAAACCGGCGAGCAAATCGTCGCCGTCGTCAAACTCGTGGTTTCCTAAAGTCATAGCGTCGAATCCAAGCTGGTTGAGTGTCTCGGCAATCTTCTCGCCCTTGAAGATGGTGTAGAAAAGGGTTCCCTTCAACCCATCAGCGTCGGTTCGACATTTCCACAGCTGTACATGACCGAACTCACCTGGAATTCGTCTCCGGCGTTCAGGAACAGCGAGTTCTTGTGCGTCTTCCTCGTCTGGTCGATAACCGTTTTGACACGGGAGTAACCTCCAACACATCCTATATCGATGTTAGCGGCTAACTAGCACCAGTGCCGATATTGACGATTTCCCCTACCCTTCGACGGATCAATGCAGGACGACCCGCTGGCACGGAATTCATCGAGATGTCTGCGCTTCCATATCAGTTCGGCCATTCTCCCCATCCCCCTCTCCTTCCGAGAATGCTCACGCGTGAACATCATTGATGTGGTAGAACGAGATCTCATAGTTCTTTCCGTTCTTCTGCCGTCCATTCTTCCACTTCCCCGTCGTGTCCTTGCTGCCGCCATTCGAGTACCCGCGATCCCTCCTGCCCAGGCCGCTCCTCCGCGATACCAGCTTATCGACGATGACTTCCGGCTCCGCGTCCGCGAGGACGCCTGCAAACACCGACAGCGCCTCCAAGACCAAGGCGATTCCTGTAAAGAACTTCATACCTACTTATCCAACTCTCAATTCTCGAATCGGTTCGCTGTGCTGAGTGGAAGGCGAGTTGAAGAGGAGGAGGGAAGGCGGGATACCTACTTCGCACTTTATACTACAACACGACTGGGTGTTCTACTTTGTCGCACGAGACGTTCAGGCATAGTACAGCTCCAGAAAAAATACCCACTTAGAGTACTAGTGATTAGCTTATCCACGTGGGGCAGAGATAGATATGTAATCACAACTCTCTCAAGTTTCAACCGCCGCCGCGCCCGCCAGGCCGCCGTCTGCCTGCTTGGCTTCTCAATCTCTTTTCTATCAAGACTTCTGGCGAATCTCCTCCTCGCATGCCCAACCGGGGATTTGATAGAGTACTCCACATAGATATATAGAGAGAGACCGGCCGGCACCGAGCAGCGGGCACACAGGCTGGCATGATTGGCCATCCGTGAACGGGCAGGGACGACGTTAAGCTGCCCTATCCGGATAAGCTCCGGCTCGGCATCGCTGCCTAGTTTATCTCGAGCTGGGATCAGGATTCAGGATGGTTGATATGTAAACATCTCGAATTCCGAAGTCTGCGGTGCCCAGTTGTGGGTGTACACATCACAGACAGACAGATAGAAAGACAGACGCGGCACGCTATTCGCGGTGAGAAGGTGCAAGTGACGAGAAGCTTGGCTCTTGGGTGGAGACTGAGTACCGGTTGATAGGTTGGGTTCGGGCCATATATATCAAGATTCAAGATACGGGCCTTAATTCAACCGTTTGTTCCATTCACAAAGCTTGCTATATCTACTATACATAGCTTTTTTGTCCATGAAACCAGCAACTGCAAAATCCAAATTCCCTGTCTCGCGTATGTACGTACCTTTTCTTTTCTTTGGTCATCAATTGCATGCAGCCTCATAGAGAGAGATCTTCAATTTATTTCGCATGCAGCCTATATACCGGTAGTAGACTGTGGCGAACCGCCACACTCCTTTCCTGCCCAGTGCCCAGTGCCCACTCTGACCGGCCGGGGTGGAGGCCCCGATACGTACCGGCCAGCACGATGTGGCACCGCTGCCTACCAAACAAAAGTTCCGAGCCACAAGTCGTGTTGCAGGAAATCTCTCCACGCCCGGCGAGGATGGATCGAAGCAGCAAGGGTGACGAATATTATGGGGACTTGAGCGTATGTAGGGCGGCAATCATCAGATAAACCCCGGTTCTTCGTATCAATATCAATCATCCCATGACTTCACTGATGATTTTGGTGAGTTATGTATCAATCCGACAGCCAGAATAGGTACGGTATCTATGTGGTTCACAGGAACACGGTTATTGACAGTGATGGACTCGTCGACTTGAGGGGGATTATGGTTTTATGGAAGACTGCTCGAGGTATGAGGTATGTATTCCGGACGAGAAGCTCGCGAGGACTTCCATCCGAGTCCGTGCCTATCATCCCAACTAAACAGGAGTTGTTTATATCATCAATGGAGGCTGGGTACAATGGATTCCATAGTCCAAACTCCGGAGACAAACAAAGAACTATATGCCCATTCCTGCCAAACAACACCTCCGAAACAAAGAAACCCGCTCCCTTCCCAACTCCATTCCCAACCCCATTCCCAACTTCAACTTCAACCTCAACCCTCTCCAACCTCACCATCTGATTCCCGCCTCATATCCAACCTCCAAATCCCAATCCCCAGCTCCATAGCAATGTCGCACACGAGATCAACTCAAGCACCGGGCGAGCAGCTATCCGCAGCGATGCGAGACGTCGTAGCGCGCAGAGCGGAAATAAAAGCTGCCGAGGTGGATAAATTTACATTTACTGCTGCCGTGAGTTCCTGCAGGCTGCGCACTCCCCTCTCCTCCGCTCGCTGAACGGGAGACTAACGGTGGCTAACGGTGGTGGTTGTGGTGGATATAGCTGATCCGTGCTCGGCGTGCAGTCAGTGGCCGCCGCAATGTGTTAGCCGAGGAGTACATGTACCAGAAGACGTTGGTGGCGGTGGTGCAGCAGGAGAAGGAGGAGAAGGGGGAGATCAAAGCCGTGCGGGAGCAGAGGAGGCAGGAGAAGGCGGATGAGGTGTGGGGCCATTCTCTGGTATGATGACCACACGACCGCGACCGAGAAATACAATGTATGTATTCTATCAGGCTGCCAATAGTTTTACACTATTACTACTGGTCCTCCAAGGTCCTCATGTACACACACGCCCCCTCTCTTTTGTTCGATTCCACAGATTCACCTCCAAACACCTGCCCATCCATCCGTCCATCCGTCCATCCGTCCATCCATCCATCCCAAAAATCCGAAGCCACAAGAGAATAAAAGAAGAAAGCAAAGAAAGGAAGAAGAATACAAGATCACGGTTACTTCATATGCTCCTAGATGATGCCCTACTCCTTTTTGCGACACCAACATCCTCCCTCGCCACCGCGTTCCACAACGACCGTAACATCGACACCCTCCACGTTCTGCTTCAGCCAGTCCTCGACGCGCCTTCTGATGGACTCCGCATCGCCCTCGGCAGTGACGTGTACGACGCCGCGGACCATGCCCTCTCCACTCTGCCAGAACCTCGTTGCTTGGTAGCCGCGCACGCCCGGGAGTGCGCTGATACCTGCGATGGCCTCGCGGAGAGTGTACTCGGTTCCGGCATCGACTGTCAAGAGCAGGTTCTTGGCGGCGGAAGTAACCAGCGGGATGGAAGAGGCAAAGATGAGGATGGCGATGAGCATCGACGCCAGCGGGTCGAAGCCGGGCCAGGATGTATAGTGGATCAAAACCGTCGAGATCACAACGCTCAACGAGCCCAGTGCGTCGGCAAGAATGTGCAGAAAGATGCCATGCATGTTGTCGCTTCCGTCTGCGCCGCCACCATGGGAGTGACTGTGGCCGCCGCCGCCATGGGCGTGTGCGTGGTCGAAGGCAAAGATGCCAACCATGTTCACGGCGAGGCCAGCGGTGGAGACGAAGAATAGCTCGCCGAGGCGGGACATCTCCGTTGGCGCTTTGAGACGCTCCAGCGCTTCAAAGACGATCTCAATGGAGATGAGCCTGGGGAAATGTTAATATATCAATTGACGGTGCGGGCGAGGGTAATTACATTAGGAATATGCCGTTGGCAAACCCGGCCAGGGTATCCATCTTTCCCAAACCATAAGGATACCTGCTGCTAGGTGGCCATTTGCTCATGACCGCAGCTGAAACACCGACGGCCAGTGCGAGACAGTCGAAGAACATGTGTACGCTGTCGCTGATGAGGCCCAAGGATCCGGTAAGGAAACCATATGCGGTCTGGACTATCATGAACAAAAAGTTAAGACACATGAAGTACGATATCCTTCGGGAGTCTTTCTCCAGCAGGATCGAGTGGATAAGTGGTGTGCCCTCGAACTTCCGCAGCAGGAACATCGTCATGGCGGAAGGAGGGGTAGCACTGTGGTGGTGATGGTCATCATGGCCATGGTTGTGTTCCTGGGAATGGCCGTGGGAATGGCCATGCGAGTTGTCGTGACCGTGATCATGTCCGTCATGCCCACCTGCGGAAGCTCTACTGTCGAACGAGATCGCTGTGTAATGTCGTGTAAGCGATCACCCGTGAAATGGCAGAGGGACGGTCATACCTGCCAAAGCCAATCCTCCAAGGCCGGCTTCACTCCAGATGTCGTTTCCGGTGATCAGCCCGAACACCCAGCCGCCGGCAATAGCAGCGAATATGCCGGCGCCATACACGGCGTTCTCCTTGACTCCCTCCCCGAATACCGCCGCCGCCGCACCAACAACGCAAGCGAGCAACCCGAGCCCTGGCAGCCCATTCGTCAGCCCCGGATAAGCCGTGGCTTCCACTCCCAAGAGCCAAGCGAGTAATGCCACGGAGCCAGGGACACATGCCGCCACCAACGCAACCCTGTTCACATGTGCGGAGGGCTTTTCTGGTGTCCAGGGACTATGCATCCATACCGTTGCGGCGAATAGCGCGGTGTAGGCAATCAATATCCCCAACACACGCTCTCCGTACTCAACCTCCCGCCAGAGATCCCACGCCGCCGTAACACCGACAGCGCTCATCACGGTCTTCCGCTTGGTCACATATTTCACCCCCATGCTCTCCAGCCCGGAGGCCATGTACACCAGCACCAACGCCGCAGTCCTGACGCCTCCCAGCTCCATAGCCGCAAAGAAACACACCCAGATACCGGTCACGCGCTCGGCCACCTCCCGCACCGATATAGGAAGTGGCTTCCGCCGTGCATATCCGCCGCCTTCATCCACCGAATCCGGAAACTGTAGTTTTACGATGCCAAACAGGAATGTCAAAAAAAGCGTCCCCGACGAGACCGCGGCTGCGGCAGACAGCCGCGCGAGCAGTCCGAAGAATGCTGACGGCTCGGCTAGTACCTGCGCTGTTCCCGCGGTGGGCGAGTGCTCGTGTTTCGGCGAGGTGGGATTGAACGAATGTGAGAGCGACGCGAGCATCAGCGCCGTCGTAACGAACAGCGGAGTGGTAAGGGAGGAGAACGTCAATGCGATCGGGTCCCTAAACAAGTCAATGAGTCTGTCCGGCTCCGGACGTAACGGGGGCAGAGCAGTACTCATTGTTGGAGAACGGCTCGCTCTTTTTTCTGGAATGAGCTGCAGCTGAGTATGCCACCGCCACGGGAGGTCCCGCGATGTCCGGCGCGGGAGACGCGTAGCCATTCTGCAAAGGGGACTGACCCAACGAAGGGCTGTATCGGTGCGTACGTGTCCTTCCCGCCGGAGGTCCCAGCGAAGGGGAGTGTGAATGTGAAAGTTTGGGCGTCGTAGAAGCAGTCGTAATCGTGGGCGACGGCGTAAGTGGGTGTGAGTGGGAATGACCGTGGCCGTTTACCTTGGGTTCGTGGCTGTGGTCGTGTCCGTAGTCATCGTGGTCGTGGCTGTGGTGGGCGTGATCGTGGTCGTGGTCGCGGTCGTGGTCGTGATTGTAGTCGTGATCGGGGTCGTGGTGATTGCTATTGCTGTACATGGCGACGAGGAACCTTGATGGGGAGGGGAAAGGGTGGCCTTGATTCACTGTGCAGACATGTAGGTATCTTCTGTGATCTGGAGGTAGGGATGAAGATGACGGGGGTGCGGGCCGGAGAGGGATGAGCTGGTGATTGATGCACTTCTCAGGAACGGAACCCCTTTGTGAGTGTGTTCTTTGCAGGGGGCAAACTGGAGCGGCGCAGTGGACGGTAAAGATGGTACGAAACTGAGGGGCAAAGGCTATTTGGCTCTTATCGTGGCATTACGAAGGTATCTGGGGAAGTTTGATGCCAGATTGGAGTGAATCGGCTTCCCACGGGCATGCGTGGGTTACTGCGTCTCGAAATGCAAAGCGAACGTTTGAAGACCATAAGCAGCAGGGGTAATAATGTACGATTATCTGCAGGCACCATCGAAACATCGCGATCTCACCGGAGACAAAGCTAATGCCATCCATCTGTCGTGGCGAGGCGACTGACTACCAGCATCTACCGATCATACCGGAGACAAACCTAATCTCATCCATCTGTTAGAGATACCCCGTGGCAAGGCGATCACCAGCATCCACAGACCATACGGGAAGATCTTTGTTTTCGTCCAAAATCAAATCTCAAACATCGAGATCAGGTCGCCGACTTTAACAATGATCCACCGGGCCAGAAATTCAAACTCGATTTTGGGGGATCTGCTGGCGGGACATGTCGCTGCAGTCTTTCGAGAAAGAGGCAGGCCCGAGTGGACGAGACCGCGGTGGTTCGTGAACGGAATCCAGAGGGGACCGATGCATTAACACTGTGCGAAATCGGCGTGTAGATCTTTTGGCCACCATTCGGGCCGAAAGTTTCGTCGCTCTGCGCTCGTGTCCACTGCCCTATCTGCCCGGCAATTGATCACCGGACCTGCAACATATTGTATGCGAACAACTCTTAAAGGCCTCTTCACCGTCGCCGCTCCCATAATTCCGTGAGTGAAGGAGTCGACGAGTGGTGGGAGCTAGCGTTCCGCCATGTCTTGCCTCCAGGTGGCATGGGTTGAGACTGACAGCTCAAGTAAGGGAGGTATCCGGAAACAAAGTCAGATTCGAGAATGCCCCTAGCGAGCCAGATGTGAGCTCCAGCTGGCGTTACCGAATAGGTCCATGTGCAATTCCGAGTCCCAAGTGGCATCTAGCGATGAATCCGCATGGCCGGCCAGATGGCATTCCTCCAGGCTCCAGCTCTTCACTTACTACTCTACCTGCGGGGCGGGAATATTCATAATCAGTGCATCGACTATTCTCCACGCACGACCTGAGAAGAAACATCCCATGCAATTGTGGGGTTGTGGGGTCGAGTACCATAGGTATCCAGTCAGGCCGCCTATGCACACAGTCAGTGCTTATCCATTCTGCGGAACCGTTTAATCGGGAGCCTCATGGGTTTCCACACCGTTTCTTCCAGAAGGGTGCCCAAAGCAGCTGTGCAAGGTTCAATGGGTGGTTGGGCGGCTAAACACGTCGTCACATTCTAATCCTCACCATCCAACGGCCAAACCACCACTACCACCATTACCACCGCCACGTTTCCTTCCGTCAGAATGGCGAACCCATCGGACCCAGTGTACCTCAAGGCTCTCCTCGCAATTCAGCCATGGGCTCTTCATCTCTGTTTCATCTCGATAACAATCACCGGCTTCCTTATTCTGTCGTTGCCGTTCCGGTACACTCCCGCGCCTGATGGCCGGCCGCGAGTTGTCGTTTTGGTCCTTGGCGATATAGGGCGAAGTCCGAGAATGCAGCATCATGCGCTTTCTATTGCACGCAAGGGAGGGAAGGTGGATCTTGTTGGGTACAATGGTATGCTTGGTGCTGGATTGGATGATGGGAGGCAAGGTGGACGCTGACGGAAGCTGGCCAGATACGCCTCCGCGCCAGGAGATCCTTTCGAATCCCTCCATCTACATCCATCCATTGAAACCACCGCCAAAGTTTTTGGACACCTCTACGGCAACGAAATTCGTATTCTTTGCCCCGTTCAAGGCGCTCTACCAGCTTCTTACGCTCCTGGATACGCTCCTTTACACCATCCCCATTACAACGGGATATGTGCTGGTTCAAAACCCTCCCTCTATTCCAACATTGGTTGTGGCCAAGGTTGCCGCAGTTCTGAGGGGCCAGAAGGTGGTTATCGATTGGCACAACTTCGGCTACAGCATCCTGCAGATGAAGTTGAAGGAACACCCGTTGGTCCTGGGCGCGAAGCTGTTTGTCCCCATTTCCCCGCCTGTATTTCGAGAGCTCTTTAGATGACTAATTGATTTAGCTACGAGATAATCCTCGGTCGCATAACAGCTGACGCGAACTTTACCGTTACCGCCTCGATGAACAAGCGCCTCCGCGAATCGTGGGGTTTCAAGTCTCCAATCCACACACTTTACGACCGGCCGCCCTCGCACTTCCAGCCCTTCTCCGACTCCGAGCGCGCCACGTTCCTCAAAGCCAACGCCGACGTTGCCCCATACGCCGACAAGATCCTCTCGGGGCAGACCAAGCTGCTCATTTCCTCGACCTCCTGGACCGCCGACGAAGACTTCTCGCTCCTCCTCGGCGCGCTGTCCGTGTACGACCGGCGCGCCAGCGCCGAGAACTTCCTGCGGCCGAACTCGGTCCCGTCGATTCTCGCGGTGATCACCGGCAAAGGTCCGCTGCGCGATGGATACATGGCGCGCGTGGAATCCCTCGAGTTCCAGTACATCACCGTAAAGAGCGTGTGGCTCGAGGCAGAGGACTACCCGAAGATGATTGCGTGCGCAGACCTGGGCGTGAGCTTGCACACCAGCAGCTCCGGCATGGACCTGCCCATGAAGGTCGTGGATCTGTTCGGCGTGGGCGTGCCAGTCGCAGCGGTAAGGTTCGAAAGTGTCGGTGAGCTCGTGAAGGAGGGCGAGAATGGCGTCACCTTCACCACTGAGGATGAGCTGGCCGGTGTACTGGGAAGACTGTTTGACCCCAGGAGAAAGCAGGAGCTGGAAAAACTCAAGGCGGGCGCGTTGAAGGAGACGGAGAATCGATGGGATCAGAACTGGGACAAGACTGCGGCACCAGTGTTTAGCCTGTAGGCTGTACGAGTAGATCGACGCGCGTGCACTTGGGAATACATTAGGTACATACATTCAATCTTGGGGACACTTTGGCACTTGAATACTTAGGCAGGCCGCTTTTGAATAATACAATATCACATCATCATCGCTCTTGCGGAAGTGTTGAGTTCACCTGTTGCGATTTGCACTTGACAGATGTAGCTCCTCCTAAGCCAAAATCTCCCTCCGTAAGTCAGCAGCCTATGAATGGTGATGACACTCGGGATACCTTGTAGTAGAGTACACCGGCCGTACATCATCCACCCCGAAGCTATACCTACTATATCCCCTCCTCGCCCCTCCCAAGTCCTAAACCTCTACTCGTCAAGGACCTTTTCCTCCGACTCGTTCGGTACATAAACACAGGAGTGACCAGCATCACAACTCAACCTCCAGAACGCCTAGGTATATACTAATAGAGAAAACCAAGTACTTGAAAGGAAAAAGGATTCATAAATGCCAGGGAAAACCCCCGGAAGAAAAAAAACGCTACATATTATCTTCGTCTTCGTCTCCGCCTCTTCCCCCATTACGCCCCGATCTCCCTCACCCCGTTCATCCTGATCACCCCGCCTCCTCCGATCCTCGGCTTCCCGGTGTCTTTCGGTCTCCTGCTCTCGAGGAGCTGGTAGACGTTCGGGAAGGGGTCAGATCCCTTCCCCAAGACAAGCCAGGTGCTCTCGTCCTTCGACTGGCGGACGACGTATCCTCGGATCAGCTTTTGATCCAGCAGGCTCAGGACGATGCCCTCGACCTGGTTACGCGTCAACCGAGTACCGCTGCCGCGGTACCACCACGAGGTGGGATCGGAGGTTTCGGAGGGTGACATCCTGTGGTCGATGTCCTCCGGTTGTCTCTGGTGGAGGGCGGTGGCGCAGGCAACGACATCGTCGATGCGGATGATATGCTGCTTCTGCTCCGGAGAGCAGGTCAGCAGCCATATCTTCCTGATAAGGCTGCGCCAGATCAGGATATCGCCGCGGTCTTCGAGCAGCATGTCGAGGCGCTGCTCCGTCCACCATTCCCGCTTCCACTTTTCGGGGCCCTCGATGCCTAATGCGACCCTGAATGCGCGGAAGTCACCCTTGCGGATGGCCATGCATACAGGCACAAATAGGTCCTGGAGACCGGCGGCCTCGGGTCGCGAAAGGATCTCGAGGGAGGGAAATTTGCCGATCAGCACGTTGCAGGCCAGCAGCGGGATTAGGATCTTCCGTCTGTGACGGGTGAACCGGGGAAGGCAGATGTCGTATGCCGACTGCAGTGACTCACTGGCCCGCAAGAGGGAGTGGTCGCGCATTAACTCGAGCCCGCTGTAATAGTTGTAGGTGCACAACGTCGGGTTCAGGTAGAACGGGTGCTGCATCGGCAAACCGGCGTTGCCAAGGTTTCCATGGACAGTACGTGAGAGTCCGGTTTCAGCGAGCTATCCAGTTAGTTAGCACGGGTACAGGTGAAGAGATGACTGCAAGTCCAGATCCTTGGTGAAACCGACCTTATTGTAAAGCTTGAACAAGTAATTTCCAATGTCAATCGCCACTGACTTCTTCAACATCTGGCCGGGCATCGTGTACGGTGTCCGTTCACCAATCAGTGAAAGGTTGAAGGTCCGGAGGAGGGGATTGAGGAGACTCTGGCAGGCCTTGCGCCTGGGATCATTGTCGATCCTGTCGATATATCTGCCGACTCTAATACACCACTTCGCCGACATCATGGCGGAGTGTGACAATATGGCGCCGTTGGGATGGCTGTATGCTGCATTGAGCGCGCTAATTGCCGTCAGCCAGGTATTCGGTGCGATCTGAATGGTGATCAAGAAATCTCACATCATAAAATCTTTCATCCTCTCAAAGTAAATTTTGCACTCGGCTTCCCATCCTGGTCTCGCCTGGCTCAGAATATTTGGGTTGGCACTCTCGATCATCCAAAGATAGGCGACCATTAAATCGGTGAATCCTTTCCACTCCCAGTCTTCGCCCATTTCTTTCTCGATGACATTCTCAATAACGCCGCGGGTGTGGAGGTTTCGCTGGATCTCGATTCGTAGTGCTGGCATAGGTCTTCGCTTGAACACTCGTGATGTGTTCGTAATCAACATTTCCTGGAGTAGTCGTGGGTCTTTGCGGTCGTAGGCGGTCTTGATGCATCGCACCCATGCAGCGATGGTGCGTGGTGTAGGGGGAACAGCGGACGGCATTATGCGAAGTGTCGTAAATTGAGAGGGCGGCGTGCGGAAACGGAGGGTGTGAGTGGTGACAGTCGCACGGTCGGTGGGTTGAAAGAGGTGAGATGGATGTTACCGAGAAGGGAGGGTGTGAGTGTTGACAGTCGCACAGTCAGTTGAAGGAGGTGACGATGGATGTTACTGAGAAGGATGTTAGGGTGAGGTGGGAAGAGTGAGAAGAAGTTTGGGTGAGGCGGGAAAAGCGAGTAGGTGGTCGAGGATAAGCGGAGTACTCGGCGATCGTAGCCAGCATGAATCGCAACTGAAGGTTGTTGAATGAGACGCGAAGGCAGGGAAGACGCGTCGTGTCAGGAACTTGCGATTCCCGAAGGTAGGGCTAGCGTCTTGGCTAGCTAGTTGCGGCTGGCACGCGAGAATATGGCGGGGTAATAGTTGATCCGTATGTAGCTTGGCATTGGGATTAGGTCATCGAGTGGACAGAAAGCGGGCAGCAAGAGAGAGGGCACACTCCACTCTACTACTTCTTTACTATGGGACCCCAAGTCGACTGTGGTAGTTACAGTCCATCACTCAACATCGTTGGACTCGGCCGAATAATGAACCGTCCCCAACTCCGATCCGATGAATAAGAAAAAAGACTCACAACTCCGAGGCGGATTCGGAGCGGGTAGGGCTGCAGTCAGCACCAGTTGAAATTCGGCTTCGTATGCCGCATCATATCCTTTCTGAGCACATTGCTCCGTGGTGGACAAAGTAATCGACTGATGTTTCAGTCAGCGAGCCTGTAAGCTACCGCCATGTTCTAAGGAAACGGCAAAGATCACCCACGATTGAGCTATTACTGCAGCTCGAATACGAGAAGATATAGCTGACGAGGCCGTATGCAGAAAAAGCAGCCGTATTGATGCATCTCTGACTGTGCCCTTCGGCGGCCGGGAAAGCGATTGAACACCTGTGGAGTATAAAGACACCGACCCGACTCCCCGTGCTCAGCAAAACATCTCAATATGAGCCCAACACTCCACAGCCTCTCCATTTCCCTCATACTTCTTCTCAGTAGTCTCATCATGTCTGCCTGTGCCTCTCCTCGCAATATCTCCATCGGAGTACTGTACCTGGATCACTACCAATACCTCGATGCCGCCGGCCCCATCGACATAATCGGAATGTCGTCTACAGCGTACGCTGGTAGATTCGCACCCGAAGCTATCAAAGCCCTCGCCCCAGAGATAATCTGGCACCACGTTTCCGCTACATACCCGAAGCCAATGCAGGCCTCGTCGGGTCCTCCTTCGCTCCCGTCAACAAACCTCAGCTCCTGTCCCAAGCTCGACTACCTCCTCATTCCAGGCCCATCACCAACGCTGATCCTCACGGAGGAGGAAAAAGAATTCATCATTAGGAAGTCCGAGGAGGTCGAGGCGGTCATGACGATTTGTACGGCTGGCCTGATTTTGTCTCAGACGGGACTGTTGGAGGGGAAGAAGGCGTGTACGAACAAAGTCTCCCTGGCCGCGCGAGCAGCGGCTGGAACGGTACCCAAGGGCGTGCACTGGGTGAGTGATCGCAGATGGGCGGTTGATGGGAAGTTTTGGAGCAGTGCGGGGATCACGGCGGGAATGGATTTGGCTGTGCAGTGGGTTAGGAGGGTTGTGGGCGAGGAGATGCTGCAGTGGGTCAAGGAGGTGGCTGAATATGATCCGATTGAGGCTGGAGGTGATAGGTTTTCGTACTTGTTGACGGGAGCTGAATTGTAAGGGAGGGAGGGACGATGGTGCTATTCAAGCTTATTACTGGTTCTTTCCTATGAGATGGCTAGGCTATAGAATTTATTTATCAATTTTGTCTTTCTCATTGTAATCCCATACTCCTCAAACTCTATCTATTAATCGTCAAACCGCACCTGCCTAATTCCGTTGACACATAAAGATTCCCAGAGCACATGAGACTCTCGTCCGTCGGATACCTCCGTTCAATCTATACCGCATAAACAAAATTTTGAAGAACTTTCTGAACCTAGTTGCAAATCAGTCTGGATCCAATGAGGTTCTTTCAGCAATGCACGGGTGAAGTTGTGAGATGCTGAAGGAAAACTCGCCTTCAGGTGACCAGATATCCCAGCCTCGGTATCACCCTTTAGCCGACATATATGCTTACTTTCTACTCGAATTCAGGCCGTGCGGAGCTAGTCAGTAATTAACCGTGGAGGATTTTTCGACTGACTCCTGGAAAGACGAGCATGAGAGTTACGGAAGTCTCATATTCTTGCAGGAACGAGTCTACCTTGTATGTTTGGCGATATCTTGAATTTGTAACTCGACGACAAGATGGCGAGTGTGGAGTAGAGGGTAGTATCCATGGGCCTTGATAAGAATCATAGGGTCACTACTAGCACTTTTCGTCTGGTCTGCTTGTCTCCACTGGAGGTACCCCTCGGTGAGAGCGTGGCCGGACTTCAATTGGTAAAAGCGGGAATCTGTCCGCTTCTCGGCCTTTGCTGGGGCTGGGTCGGGCTTGCTATTCTTCCGTGCAAGGTAGCCGTTATTTAGCTGCCTTCGTTCACACCAGGATCGGGCTTCTGGCTACTTCCTATCGGATATACACCGCTTGAGGTGGGAAAGATGCTCGGACCAGAAATGGTCTGCGTCTGCCGTGCGTTATCATGGCCTAGTAGCCATTCGGTCCCGGAGTCGTCTAGCTCTCCAGCCGGAATCACCTGTCCGCTATCTCATTGCCGGAAATGCCTTTGTGTGCCGGGCACCCTCCGTCTGGGCAGCAAATTTGAAAGCATACCACGTAAAGTTCTATATGCACATTGTCGGCACCCAATACTCTCCAACCATCTCTCAATCCGCCGGTATGCTTCTACCTCCATCCCCAACTAATACAGGAGCTTCTCGGTAAATAGAGGACGGCTTTAGAAGAAAACAAATTAATCGAGTGATACTTAATGATCCTGCCAGAGATCCTCCGGCAACTAAAAACATTCCTGTATTTTTGCCGTTACCGTATCCAGTTCTTTCTCTCTGAACTCTGCCAAATGCCTCTTCCCTTCATCGTCACGTCATATCCATTCGATCCCCCACCACAACGGCAGTTCTAATCCTGGGAGGGCCTCGAGAGCGGAGGATCCAGTAGCAGATATTCCGGACAGACCAGAGGCAGTATAATGTGACAGACTACAACCGTACAGCCTAAGGTGATGTCGGCCAGTTTCCTTTCCAATAGCTCTAGTGTGCATACCTGGTAGAATGAGAAGAATGAGTCTAGGTCGAAAAACGCACAGCCACGTATGTAGGTGCGGAAGCCCCATGGCCATGAGGGTGTTCGACGCCAGAACCTAGGTTTCAGTGCCGATTTCCGGGCGGGAGCACATATCACTCGGTTTGCTTTAAAATTTTCCATCCAATCAACCCCCTCCTCACTAGAAAAAGTCGCCATAGTCTGTAAAGGACGTATACGACAGTAAATTGAATTTCACTCTTTCCCTCACTAGAAACAATGTGGTAGAACTCATTTTCAGCGCTGAAACTGGGGCGGTTTGGTCCTTTTCTGTATGCATCAGCTACATATCGTATATAGCCGTTCAGTAAGGCGGAGAACAGGGCGACGGGTATACGATAACGATGGCGGGAACGCTATTATAGAACCTGGTCGGTACCTGCGTCACCGAGCGATCCATCCTTGTCGTTTGATCGCAGTCAGTTGCTTGTACACGCACCCCAACTCAATCTACCAGTTCTCGTCCCATCTCCCAGTTCTCGTCCCATCTCGAGACAGCTCCACAGACTCCATACCATCATGCCATGCCTTTCTGTGCTTTCAAAAACCAGCGTACATCCCGGTATTTAATATCAATAGGATACAGCTCCTCTCGGACAACTCCCCGCTAGAATAGTGGCTGTGGTATATAAGCCCGAGATAATGCGATCAAAGTACGACCAAGCTGCCTAACTACCCACGCTTCAACACAGCATCATGAAATTCCACCTCCTAGTCCTCGCTTTTATAAGCTCCTCCTCCTCCGCCACCGCCGCCGCTACGGCCGCCATCGACTTCTCGATCAAAACCCCTTCCGAGCTCGAGGGCAACAAGGCCGCCGTCTACTACCCCGACTCCGATGACGACGCACCACTGCTAATCGGCAACGATGGATCCGCTGGTACCGGAGGATTCCGCTCATGGACTATGGGCAACGCGTTGACCCAGAAGTGGGACAAGCGTACGGGGCGCACAAAGCTCGTTGGCACTGTGTATGACATCGCTGGAAAGGACTGGATTGTGACCCTATCACAGGAGGATTCGAACCTAAGGTTCTTTGATGCCGAGAAAGGGACCGAGCTGAGTGATGCCACCAGGAAGGTGTGGGGCGATTACTCGGCCCTTTGTTCTTGGAGGAATCAAAAGAGCGGGTCGCAGTATCTCTATGTCTTTGGAAAGAAGGAGGTCAAGACTTTGCTTGTGAGGAAAAACGAGAAAACCGATGGTCTGGAGGTTGTCGAGGTAGGATACTGGAGTTCCGAGATGTTTGCCCAGGACTTAATTGCTAACCACAATCAGGTCTCAACGCCCAAAGTTCCGATTGAAGCGCAAACTTGTGTCGTCTCAGCCAGCAAGAAGAAAGTCTACTTCGGAGGGGATGGCGGCAAAGTTTACTCTTTCCCGGCTGTCGAGGCATCCGCTGCCGTGAATACCACCCTTGTTGCTGAGTTAGACGATGAGCTCAAGGGGATGGCCGTTTATCATGGGAAGAAAGACGAGGAGTATATCTTCCTCGCTCAAGCTGAGATTCTCAACATTTACGACAGCAAATTCAAGCTGTTGGGAAATGTGACCTTCACCGGGGCGGAGGACCTAGAGATCAAAGATATTGCAATCTACCAAAACAAGTTCGGCAACTTCAGCAGAGGTGCAATGGCAGCGTTCGTGGAGGGCGATGATGGGAACTACTTTCGAGTAGGTCCTCTCACGGATGTTCTGGAGAAGCTGGACCTCGAAAAGAACACCGATTTTGACCCTAGAGACGATGCCGACTGCGACGACTGTGAACCGGCACAATGCGATAAACTTGACAACTGCTCGAACAACGGTTTCTGCAGCGACGACAGCAAGTTCTGTGACTGCTTTGCGGGCTACACTGGAAATGAATGCAAACAGCTGGAATGCACCAATGACTGCTCCGGTCACGGTGAATGCACGGACAACAACATATGCAAGTGCGAGTCAGCGTGGGATGGACCTGATTGCTCGTTCAAGGTGGTCCATGCCAGCTACGAAACCGAGGCTACTGGGGAGGATGGAGATGACCCCGCAGTATGGATTCACCCTACGAATGCCTCGCTTTCTCGAATTATCACAACCACAAAGAGCACCGTTGGCGCTGGCCTCAACGCCTTCGATCTCGCAGGGAAGAAAATCTCCTCCATCGAGATGGGGGAACCCAACAATGTGGACGTTATATACAGCTTCGCACTAGGAAATAGAACAGTTGATCTGGCATACGCCGCATGCCGAGCAGATAACACTTTGTGTCTCGCCGAGATCACCAGCAACGGGACTCTCATTGAGGTCTCTGGCGGATCCCACCCCACACCCGAAGACTACGAGGTGTACGGCTCTTGCGTTTACGCCTCCAAGTCGTCCGGAAAGCAGTATCTCTTCGTCAACTCCAAGACAGCGGAATACCTCCAATACGAACTTACCAGCTCCAACGGTACTCTCGCCACCACCCTCGTCAGGACCTTCCAAGGCGGCTCGGGCGGACAGGTTGAGGGATGCGTATCCGACGACGAGAATGGCGTTGTCTTTATCGGTGAAGAGCCTTACGGTCTTTGGAGATACGACGCTGAGCCCGATGACTCGAATGAGGGTACGCTCGTTGATTCCGTCGATGGGAACTTCTACGCAGACGTCGAGGGCGTTACCTTGGTCTACGGCAAGAGCAAGGACGATGGATACATCATCGTCTCCTGCCAGGGCGTCAGCGCGTACAACGTCTACAACCGTGCAGCTCCACATGAATTCCAGATGACTTTCACGATCAAGCAGACCGAGGATGGGAAGATCGATGGTGTCACCAATACGGATGGTGTGACGGCGGTCGGGAGAGCATTGAATGCGGACTTCCCCGGAGGTGTGTTGGTGGTCCATGACGATGTGAATCAGGAGCCGGACGGATCGAAGAATCCGTTGGCTGCATTCAAGATTGTGAGCTTGGAAAACGTGCTGGGAGAGCTGCTGGATGGGGTGGATACAGAGTGGGATCCTAGGGCGTAGTGGAATGCGCACCCATAGTGAGTGAGGTGATTGACTGCGCATGGAGAATATTGGTGGAATAGTAAACTGTTGTGCAAAATATAGCATTTGGGTTGAGCAGGTGAACAATAAGCCGAATTCATAGTCAGATGAATGTATCTTCGACCCCCACTGTTTCAAAGAAGTACGTATATTGAGGCGCAGGACTGGGGCTGAGGCAATCAATGCGTTCAACCTTATGAACAACCAATGCACAGCCTGCCAGTGAGATGCTCGCCAGATCTCCGCCAGCCCACAAATATTCTGCTGATCATACATACCTCTGGCGGGCGCGGGCTGTACGATTCTCATTCTGGATGCCTCATGTACGTCTGATTTCCTTCCGAGCAGGTTCCAACTATCTTTGCAAGGTGTCAGTTGTCAGCTCGACTGCTATTTGTTGGATTGGTATCACAATGTGTATAGTACTCTATGTACGTACCTACACGGGTGCAGGGTGGAACAAAAAAGAAATTATACCAGGCATCCATCGAGTTCTTCAGCCCCGGGCCCCTTGAGCGCTTTCTCCAGCTGAGTATTATAGAGCTGTGCAGCTAAAGATTGTCTATCGGGCCCGCTCTATCCTCTTGATCGATAGCCACCGCAACCTCACACATATATGGCGTCGACCGGCTACTTCGCAGTTCCCAGAGACGGAAATGGCGGGTCTACCAGTACCAGTCGACCATCGAACTCCCGCACGCCCAGCTACGACCCAGCATACGTCTTCTCGCCGTCGTTCAGCGACGCGAACATGGAGCTTGCCAACACGCTGCACAACAAGCCGCGCGACGCGGCCCTGGCCCGGGGTCTCAGTATCGGTACTGCGGAGGTGGCGGGGGACGACGAAAGGGCTAGGCTACAATTGCGGTTTCTCGGGTATCGGTTCCGGAGGAGTGGAAGGTTCCGGGGGATTTTTTGGCCGTTGATGGGAAGACTGGCGCTCGATGCGGGACTCTGGGCTGCGTTTATCGTGGCTATCACGTTTACCGAGTCCAGGAGGAGCCTTGATAAGGGCGAGAAGTACCTGTTCAATGCGGTCGGCGTGGGCTTGCCGCTCATGCTAGGCCTGAATATCAATTCGTCGTTCAAGGGTATGGCGGCGGCGGTGAGGTGGAAGATTCTGGCGAGTGGGCCGTTTACGCTCCAAGAGGTCGGTTTCTATGTCTGTGTGCAGTGGTGGGTGGTGGGTAGGTGTGACGCTGACATCCGACAGACTGATCTCATTCTGAGCCTTGATAGTTTCCTGGTCGTGGCAAGGCTGGGCTACCTGTGGTTCCGGGAGGCCATCAAAAGGAACCACCGCTGGGGAAATAAACATCCGAGCAAGGGAATATACATCGCTAGGTCGCTGGCATGCTTCGGCTGGATCATACTCATGTTTGTGCGTTGGATGTTCATATGCCCTCGTATGTCAGCCAGCTAATCTCTGCTGTCAATAGGGCTCACAAGCCGGCGTCGGCCTGTTGGGTTTAACGTTCGACTTCGACGGCCTGGATACGCTGATGGTAGAGGACGGACTGGTCGAGGTGACGAATCTGAACAACTTTGCGAACGAGAACGGCGACACTGTTACGGACGAACCGACGATTATCAATATGGAGCAGTATCGAGCGCATCAGTACGGTGATGGTAGGCTGCATCAGTGCAGTTCCGTAGGTAACTAGTCGGCAGTACTAAACCAGTGCATGCAGTGGCCAATATGACCATCAAAGATCTCATTGTCGACAAAGTCCCCCTCGAGGAGGACAGGGAAAGTGCTGCGGCAAGGAAGATATATCACCTGAAGGGAACGAATGACTGGGTGTACAAGGTACGGATACCAAGTTATTAACCGCTATGCAGAATGTTTACTTGGACAGATCCAAGACTGGACAATAGATGGCAATAGAACCCTCGCCATCGGGACGAACCGCATCATCACCGTCAACACGACTTGTCGTATAGCTTTAAATTGGGAATTCGGTAACAGCACTACCGTTCCGACCGGTGACTGGGCGTGGATGGCCGATATCGACATTCTAGTAGGTCCCTTGAGTACACCCAGATATCACAACTAACATCGTCAGAGCATTCCCGGAGACGCAATGTATCCCACCACCCTCCCATCCCTCGCCAGTCAGTCTCATCACTAAAATCGTTCCAGCACATACGTAAACTTCGACGTCGACGGCCTCCAAGAAAAATACCACTGCGGCCCGCGCTGCAGCATAGTCAACGGCGTGGCCAGACAAGCGAGCAATATCCACGCTTTCACCTGCGAAGTCGCCGTCACAACTGTACAGGGCAGCAACATGCCAGAGCACCAGATGGACGACCGCGCTGCACTCCTCGCCGCAGGCTCCATCGCCCTGGACGGAACTGGCAAACGCAGGACTGAGGGTATCATTCGGTATCAGTACGCACGATACAACACTTTGTATGTACATATATCCACCCCGTTCTTTATGGCAAAACCGCGCTCATGAATTGTAGAACCGGATGGGGTGCCACCCTGACAGACGCCAACCAGCTCGCGCAGCGTGTTGGCAAGTTCGCGGTGGGAACCATCGCGATGCTGGACTCTTACCGTGTGACGACATATCAAGTGCCCGGTCGGAGGGTGATCAATGTGGTTGCCGGCGTGCTGTTGAGGATTAAAACCCCCGAGCTGGTATGTAGGCTCCCTTAGAATTCTGTGGGAATATTTATGACTGATTGTGCGGTGCAGTTCATCGTCATGGGCGTGCTCATCGGAACTCATATCGCACTCATACCGATTGTGCTTTGGCTGGCGTGCTCAGTGAGGCATGTGCCGACGGTGGATCTGTCGGCTTACTTATTATGAGGTGCAAAATGTTTTAGAGGGGGATAGAAAGTACACAACATCGGGGGAACACAGTTGGAAACTGGCCAGCTTGCGGTAGGCCGGCAAAGGTAAACATATAGGTAGGTAGAGCTGTGACGGGGCGGGCTCAGGGCTGTATGAGGGCAAAAAATCAAGTCCCTCCGACCAGAGTCGAACTGGTGACCAACGGATGACAACTTTGAAATTACAGTCCGGTGTGATACCAACTACACCACAGAGGGTTCATGAATGCAGAGCCGAAATCATGCATTTATGAAATGTATTATAGTGACAGCCTGTGCCGTGCAAGTGTTAATCGTCCACAAGCTTCAAAAGGCAGCCCAGTTTCCGCACTAGATGTTCCACTCTACCGGTACTTTCCAGTATGGCATGTGATGGAGCATAGTTGCCACGCCCGATCAACCCGCAGATCCGCACCTTGGCAGCTCCACTACAGCTGCTGGCTCTCCGGGTGAACGGAAAAACGTATGAACATACGATGCCATCATACGCGAGCCGTCAAAGAAGCTGCGCATCGACGGTGGTACCTGGACCTCACCCCCGACAGTAATCCCATCGAGCGAGCGCGCAAACCATCACCAGACGGTTACGTACCTTGCCCACGAAGCTCCAGCTTTCCCCGCAGTCTCGTCGCATCGCAAGTCGCAAGTTGCACGTCGCGCGCCCGCTAGCCATGTACATACATAGCTGGGCGCGGCGGCAGCGCGACAGCGCAGGCCCGGCCGGGCCGTCCTTTCGCCCATGGGGCGCCCATGGGGTTCTCCCTTAGGCCGATGGAAATCGCGGGGTGCGATGGCGTTGCCCCGCAATCACGTGCGCTAGCGAGCGCAACGGGAAAGGATGAGCGTTGGACCTCGGTTCAGAGGGAGGGTCATGCAGGCTGGATGGGATGGCGTCGTTGTTGCTGGGCCGAGACGGTTGTGTGCGATTCATTCCTTGCTTGATTGCAGAGCGGTAATTTCTTTCCTTCCTCCTCGTGTCTTCTTCTGTCCTGTATCCTCCTCCGTCCTCCGTGTGAACATCGTCGCTTTTGGTCCGACTGTTTTTTTTCCTAAGCTCTTGAGATAGCATATCCCGCCTGTGCCTACCTATACTCCTACACCTTCACCTTCACCTTCACCTTCACGTACATCTACACCTACAACACGCCGTGCAATGTCGACTAAGGAGGAGGTCAAGGCCGTCGTCAAGGAGGAGGCAACAGTAGCAAAGTCCGCCCTGGCAACACAGGCACGTTCGTTCGTCGCCGGCGGTGTCGGAGGTGTCTGCGCGGTAGTTACAGGACATCCCTTCGACCTCGTCAAGGTGCGACTACAGACGGCCGAGAAGGGAGTTTACACAGGAGCTCTGGATGTGGTCAAGAGGACGATTGCGCGCGAGGGGTTGGTGCGGGTATGGTCCCTGTTTCTTCTACCCACCCACATTCTGTTCCCTACCTCTGACGCGAGTGTTCTTCGTAGGGTATGTACGCCGGAGTTTCCGCGCCGCTGATCGGAGTAACGCCGATGTTCGCGGTATCATTCTGGGGCTACGGGGTCGGCAAGGACCTTGTGCGGCAGGTGTCGGCCGTGGACGAGAGGACGGGCTTCTCGATCGCGCAGATCTCGGCCGCCGGATTTTTCTCGGCAATCCCGATGACGCTCATCACGGCGCCGTTCGAGCGGGTAAAGATCATGTTGCAGCTGCAGGGACAGCAGAAGGGCCCGCCGAAGTACAAGTCGTCGACCGACGTCGTGCGGCAGCTCTACAAGACCGGAGGTGTTGCGAACGTCTTCCGTGGCGCTGGGGCAACGCTGGCTCGTGACGGACCTGGATCCGCCGCGTACTTCGCCACCTACGAGTACCTCAAGCGACGGCTGAGCCCTGAGAATGGAGAGCTCAGTCTGGGTGCGGTATCGTTCGCCGGTGGTGCCGCCGGTGTCTCCATGTGGCTGCTGGTGTTCCCCGTCGACACGGTTAAGAGCAGACTACAAGGAGCTACGGAGAAGACTAGTGTTGGAAAGGTCGTCAGGGACGTCTATGCCAAGGGCGGAATCAAGGGATTCTTCCCTGGTGTTGGGCCGGCGATGCTGAGGAGTTTCCCGGCAAATGCGGCGACGTTCGTTGGGTTGGAGTTGACGTACAAAGCATGGGATAAGGTTTTCTGAGCGGGCGAGAGGAGGTGGGAGAGATGGGGATAGAGAGAGGGAGAGGAGGGTGGCTTAGAAGGGCACATCGGAGGGAGAAATGCTTTCTGTTCTTTTTGTTATGTACCAGTACTTGCTGCATTGCTTCTTTTGTCGTTTCATATGCTTGAAGGAGAGGAGTTGGATCTTGTATACCCGCTTAAGCAAACTAGATTCCCCAGACGATTGGATAGATCTAGCGAATACAAATGTGTGATGTCGCATGTCTTTGTCCCTGTGAATGAGTTGAGCAATAATTACTCGCCCTGTCTATTCCGACGCTTCGATTCCGCCGTGCCTCTCGGCCTTCGGGATAGAGTGGGAGCCGTCGGGACCGAGCTCCGCCGACTGCGGCCGGCAGCACTCCGAATGTTTGTGGAAGTCTGCTGTTGTGTTTACCTCGCCGTCCATTTCCATCTCAGTACAGTTTTTGTCTCTTTTGTTGTTGTGTTTAATGCGCTAAGCATCAAGTACCCTCTGTGGTGTAGTTGGTATCACACCGGACTGTAATTGCAAAGTTGTCATCCGTTGGTCACCAGTTCGACTCTAGTCGGAGGGACTTTGTTTTGTTGCTTTCAGCCTCAATATCCTTTTTGCCTGGTCGCGTGCGTGTGCGTATATAACCGATCACCAGAAGTGTTCTTATCAAAGTTATCGCCCACCGCCACCTACCACCTCAATAACCGTGACATCATCTCGCCACTAATATTGCCGGCGGCTGATCCGTGGATTATTTTTTCATTGCCTCCTCCAGGCTCCTCTGCCTGTTTGTTCTACGGTGCACAGAAGACCGACGTCGAACACCGGCGATAAAGTTGGTGCCGTAGCTCTGTAAGTGAGAGTTACGAAGCTGACAGGCGCGCGGGCCAGGGAGGTGGTCTAGCCCTCCGGCCGGAGTTAAGGCTGGGTTGACGGATGCACTAGTGATGTATCTGTGGTCCATTTCCTTCGTCAGCGACGTCGGCAAACCCAAATCCCACACTCCCGGCCGAGGAACGAGAGACGGCAGAATCTGGCCTGAAGGGGCCCTTTGATACGTGCATGTGTAAGCTCCACGGTAGAGAACACAGATGGTTACCAGCTGTTGGATCGAGTGGGTGCAATTTAAATCGAGTGGGATAAAAGTAAAGTACCGTCTGTGCGTCGAGAGTGGCAGAGATGCAGGAGGCTGCAGCTTGGAGGGGACAGGGCACGGATGAATGTGAGTTTGGATAGGCATCGTGAGATTCCTACTGGCCCTCACCCAACTCCACCCCACATGCAACAAACACGACGATTGAAATCATGACTAGATGGCGGGGTATGGCTCTGAGGAAGAGGGGGGAGGGACGACGCCCTCTTCCTGCACTCGATTTTGCACTCTGCTGACAACTGTGACAGCAAAAAGCCAACATTCTGCCGGCGTTTCGCCTTGATTTTGTAGAACAACATCCGACGCCGTGGGTGTCGCTTTCTTGTTTAGTGCCGCCAGATGTATGTGTGTGTACCTACCTCTTCCTCGCGGGCACTGGGGCAGGAAAAACAAATCAGTCACACTCCCATCAACCTCATTGTCCTTCTTCCTTCTTCTTCCTCCTCCTCCCTCTCCTGTTGCCGCTTCTTCCAGATTCTTCTTTCCTGCTTTTCCCCACACCTCTCTGCCAAACTGCTCCCTTGATCGGATCGACGCTCTTATATCCGTCCATCTCCAGTCCCAGGTTACGTTTCGCATCGCACTTCCTCCGCGGCCCCCCAGTCCACGTAAAGCATTACATAGACACATACCAGCAGCGTATTACATATACCCGTCATATCAATCTCTCCCGCCGCGTGAGCAACACTGCGGGCCTCGTTCGATCCGCAGCAGTGGATTAGATTGCGACCCGGCCACCGCGACCCTCCTTCCCATTCGCGGGGAACACACGGAAACGGAAGAAAGGCCCTGTTAGAAAAAACGTCTGTATTACACACAGGCCGGCCGGGGTCAGACGTCGGTGGTTTTGGATATTGACGCGAAGTGTGTGTGTGGACCTTCATTCGATCTCTCTCCCCACTCCACTCACGAGTGCAACTTGATCGAAATCTCCCTCCTTCAAGCCACCACACGGAAGGCAACTTTAAAAAACAGACCACCGAGACATACATATAGTCGCACGCTTCCCGCCCGTCTGCTCTGCTCCCCCACCCAGATAGTCCGCATTGCACGCCCCCTTCAAAACTTTGATCTTGCTTTACTGCTAAAGTTCTCTACTTATGCCTGGCACTACTACTCCGTCTACGTCGGCACCCTCCCGTATCTTCGTCATCCGCCATGGTGCCCGTCTCGACCAGGCGGACAAAGACTGGTCCCAGTCCTCGCCGACGCCGTACGACACGCCCTTGGCCTATGGCGGGTGGATACAGGCTCGTAATCTAGGAATCCGCATCGCTTCGCTCCTCCAAGCCGACGAAAAACCCCAATCAGCGACTTCGACGACTCCCCACACGAAAAAGAAGCGAACGCGTATCGTCATCCACAGTTCGCCCTTCTTGCGATGTATACAAACCTCTGTCTCCATTGCCTCGGGGCTAGCGCAGCACCATCATCAGCAACTGACTGAAGCTCAGTGGAGTAGCGACGAGAATGGTCACCTGGTATTCAAGGATTCTCTAGCTGATCCCGAGCGCTTCACGAGACCGGTGCTACGACTTGATGCCTGGCTGGGTGAGTGGATGACGATGGACTACTACACCGATATCGCACCGCCGCCGGCACCGCAGCTCATGGTGGGCACCGCGAGGAACGAATACATGCGTGCCCCCGTGTCAATCCCGCTGAACATCACCAAGTCACCACATCTGACGGCCGCTGATATTTCATTGCCGACATCGCTCACGGGCGGGTTCATACCGCCATCGCCGTCGTATGCGGCTTCTTCCAGTGGACCGATTCCGAGGGGATACGTCTCGCAAGCGAAGGAGTACGTGGAATTCGACTACGCCTGGGACTCGTCGAAATTGGGACAGGGCGCGGAATTGGGCGAGGAGTGGAGTGCGATGCACAAACGGTTCCGCAACGGGTGGAAACGGATGTTGACCTACTACCACAACGAGAAGCCGAGCGTGGCGACTTCCACCACCACTTCACAGCTGAAGAAGCGCGTCGCGATAAAGGACAGAGAGCAGAGAACACACGGCATGCAGTGTGGTAATCCCACACCCCCACTCTCCGACTCCGACTCGGAGGAGAGCGAGGACGATATCGACACGGTTGTGATTATTGTCACCCATGGTGCTGGCTGCAATGCTCTACTGGGGGCGATCACGGATAAACCGGTCCTCATTGATATCGGCATCTGCTCGGTGACGATGGGAGTCCTATCCCCGACACCGCCCCCACCCCAACTTTCACTAAAATCGGATGAGGTGCCGCATCCCCCCTTCACCTACGACCTGAAGCTCGCGGCAAACACGGAACATCTGCGGCCTGTTGGCGGTAGCAACTCCTCGACACCGCCGATATCGCCGTTCCTGAAACCGATATCGCCGTTCCTCAAACCGCGATCCCGCAATCCTTCCGGCCTAGGTGCCTTCGTCCTCTCCAGCAGCGGAGTCTCCGCCGGCTCGATGGGCTGTCTCAAGACCCATCGCAGTGTGAGCCAAGGCACCGGAACGCGGCCGACTGGACTCTGGACCATGCCGCGTCCCGAGGATCGCGCGAGACCCAAGAGTCGTGGGTGGGTCGGAGAGGGTGTTGAAGAGGAAGCCGTGATCGATAGTCTCAAAGCTTTCACGGTCAAGGAGAAGGAGGCCGAGATTGAGGCCCAAATCGAGGCCGAGGCCCACGTTCCCGTCGAGCGGAGTGGTGCGACGCTAGACGGGGGCGCAGAGGTGCCCACTTCTGGTGGGCTCTGGGCCGCTAGGGAGTGGGATCGACCGTGCAAGAGACGGTGGACCGTGGGTCGTGGAGAAGCGTGGAACGGTGGAGGGAACAACTAGGGGGACTGGTTTCGACAGCGAGCGGGGTGCCCTGATTATGGTGGACAAAATGGCGTTGATCTTTTCTCTTGTTTTTGTTTTTTGTTTTTTGCTTTTGCTTGGGCCTGTTTATCACTCTCGACTCTCCATTTTCGCAGCCAGTTTCTTTACTTTTCTTTCTTTCTTTTGCAAGCGGGGATTTGGTTGGCTTCTAGTTGGGCTTCTAGTTTGGCGTTTTTTTCTTTGTTGTTTATCGTACCTACCGTTTCGATTCATCTATCAGTTTGAGGTTGCTGTTTTTCTTCTTTCGGATAAATAGCAGAGTACCTAGGCATACCGTCAGGTGCCAAGTAGGAAGCAATGGAAATATCTAGTTGTTGAATTCTAAATTCTAATGCCGCTGGAGTCTGAGGGTTCGAGATGGTGTTTCATGATTCATTCAGCGACCTGTGCATTGTTGTACGATATTTAGACCAGAATGTCAGTACGTTGAGCCGTGCTTCTGGTGAAACTGTCAAAGGACTGCACGAGCATCCACTATTCACCGTCGACCAGACAGTCCAGACCGCGGAAAGCTGAAATAATGAAGCGCACAGCTACCCAAATATATCCGATATGACACTATAATATTCTCATGCAAACCCTCTGTGGTGTAGTTGGTATCACACCGGACTGTAATCGCAAAGTTGTCATCCGTTGGTCACCAGTTCGACTCTGGTCGGAGGGATTGTCTTTTTCCTCCCAGCCTGAGAGAGGGGAGGTATTGCACTGTAGTGTTGCGATGAGACGCTGCCTTGGTCTCTAGGAGAAGGCATTGCGTTTTGTCCACTGTTAAGTACGACCTACAAAACCATACATACCGGTAGGTAAGTAGGCAATGGACACACACCATTTATCCCGTTTACAGTCCCGTCTGTAGTCTACATCCCGCCCGGCCCAGCTCGACTCCACGCAAGCACCCTCCGTTGGCAGGATCCGCGCTGGCAGGCGTGCGTGGACTTTGGACGGGCCCACCACTCTAGAGTAGGTACTCGAGTAGGTACTCTCCATATTAGACCGAGTCACGAGCTGTGATTGTCCGTACAGCCCGGTACCGCACCGTACCTGCTGTCAAGACGTCCGGTTCGGCGCGGACTCCGGGGTCGTGCCGTTACGGTATCGGCTCGCTTCCGGTATGATACCGGGAGAGGCCCGTACCCTGTCTGTACCTAGCCGGATCATTGGCCGGATCATTGGTCGTGATTTGCCGTGCGGGAGGTACATACCGGTAGTCACCCGAGTCAGGCCTTCGGAACCCCACCCCGTGCCGGCGGCTGCATCTTCGCATATCTTTGTTCCGGGATCTGCAGGGACCGGAATCGGGATCGTGGTGCTGGGCTGCTGGAAGTGTACCACCTAGTGGTCCTGGGATGATTGCCATCCTTGGGTCACTGCATCATTTCGTACGGTCCGCAAAATCTTTACTTCACCATGTATACTCGTAGTGTGCACCGGCTGAGACTCCCCGAGACCCCCCCAGCACGGACGTCCGAGAACCCCCCTCCCCGTCTGTTAATTTAGAAACCCGTATCGACTGGTTGCATCCTGATTCCCGACTCGAGTGACCAATAACCAGCCAGAGTCCGCAGTCCACAGTCCTCATTCCACGGACTCACTTTCAAGTTTCACTTTTCGTCTGTACCGTACCACCGTGTCGGACCAAAGACGGCTTCACACAAAGAAGAACTCTTCCATTCGAGTTGATTCAATCAATCAATCAATCAATACTATTACACCAGTCCCAATATCTATCTATAAATCTGCGCCATAGCCATAGCCAAAAAACAAAATGCCCCCCCCTCCCCCCCCCCACTCCCACCCCCACCACCGTCCAGATGCAATGACAAAAGAAAGATAAAAGAAAAAACAGAGAGAGAGATGTAGAAGGATATAGAGATAGAGATCGGGGGATAGGGGTGGTCAGTCAGTCCGTAGACAGCAAAGCCACAATAAACAAAAGAGATTACCGCACAGTATTTGCAAACATACCGCCGACCCGACCCCACCCCGTCCCAACACCGCCCACAGCCCACTCCAGTAATGAAACATGTAAATGCAGATGCGCCGAACGTAGCTCAGTAACCCGTTCGACAGAGGATTAGGAAAAAAACAATGCAGTAGATGCAGACACGCTCCGAAACATAAAACAAAACAGTCAACTAAAAAAGCAAAAAAAAACCTCTCCAGAGTCCATCATCGTATCATCAACCGTCCCTAGTAATAGGTATGTATGTAGCTTCAATCACAAGAATCCAAAGCTCGACCTAGCCGGGTGTTGGTGGTGCTCATCGTCTTCTTCGTCCTCTCGCTTCCTCCTCGCCTTCTTCTGCTCGTATCCCTCCGCACGCTCCCTCGCCCAGTTTCTGGTCCTCGTCTCCATCTCCAGGTCGATCGTGGACTTGTTCGACCGCGTGTCGCTGACGGGGCTTCTGCCGCGGTCCGAGGGCGAGAGCTGCATCAGCCGTGGCGCGGGCGTTGGAGATAGTCCACCAGCGGCGTACATGGTGTTGAACGAAGACACCGACGAAGGCATTGACGAGATTGAGACTTTGGAGGCCGACGTCGTCCTCCGCAGGTCTTCCCCTCCATCGGCTTCTGGGATCGAGGATCCCAGGTAACTACCGATGCGGGGGCTCCCGGAAAGGGGCGTAGCAGTGGTCTGTGCGGATTTCTTAGGGAACTCGTCCAGGAGAAGGACCGAGCGGCCACTCCACGAGCGCCGTTGCTTCGGCGTAGGCGAAGGTAGCGGCGGTACGTTCTCATTCTCCTCCTCCTCTTCGAGTGTTCCGTGTCTGAACGTCGAGATTGACGACGCTCGGGATGCACGAGATGCCTTGGAATCGTACCGAGTCAGGCCCGTGAAGCCACCGAATGCGGCCGAAAGTGGCGGCACTAGCTTTCTGGTCCTGGTCGAAGAGTTCCTCCGCATATGACTCGAACCGCTGTATGCCGCACTCGATCTCTCACGCCGACTCTCGCGTCTGGCCGGGGCGAACTGTGTTGCTACATGTTCCGAGATACTCTGATCCCTGATGTAGAAGGATGTGGTTTGAATCGACGACCGTGATCCGGAAACCTTCGCCAACGCCGTAATATTAGGGTAAGCTGCGGTCGCGGGAGGCGGAGCCAACTGTGTACCACCGAGGCCGCCAGCACTGTGGGGGGAAAATTGGGACCAAATGGTCGTTGTGGGCGAGATATCCGTGTTGAGATCTGGAAGGGTGGATGGAATGTTGATGTTGAGCTGGGGATAGCTCAGGCCCGAGCTCCCCGAATTAGACCCTTCCCTGGAACCGCTGGGCCGGTCTTCGTACATCCCGTTGGATAGTCGACTGCCGGTCATGCGTTCGATCTTGCTGCTGCCTGGCGGGCTCGTACGGAACGCTGGGTGAATTCCCAGGGACACTTCGGCCACATGAACACTGCCGCCTTTCGCGTCCGAAGGATCATACACGTCCGCCATGTGGCCGATCTCATAACCACGTCCAGTGTTGACCTCCCGATTCGCTCCTCCCAAGGAGCCCCTCTGGAAGCCCTGGCCGACGAGATCCCTCGCATCCCAAGAAGGCGGACGAGGGGATCTCGTTGCGGCCGATTCCGGCTGTCTGATGATGGTGTCGGATCTGCCAGAAAACACCATGCCCTTCATCTGGCGTGAATCTCTGGTCAACCGTCCGTTCCGCACGTAATTATCCCAATTACCCTCGCGCCATACTCCCTCACTATCATCAAAACCGCCTGCCTCCTCATCGCCCCTCGACAGCCGCTGCCCCCGTCGCCGCTGTCGTCTCTTGTGTGCTCGAACGATCGCGTAAACTGCGCCAGCGATTATTATGAGCACCAACACTCCAACGACCGTGACCGCAGGTATAATGACTCTTGGGGAGACTGACTCGGCCGTGGAACGAATAGTGACGGTTTGCTCCGACATGATGATGGTGGTTCTACGACGCGCGCCTCGATCCCCGTGTAATAACCCTGGTTGCTCCCGACGACGCAATCGTCCACGGTCCCCAAGAGCCGGTCGACTTTCGAATGTCGGTTTTGCAGAGGATTCGGCGACGGTGATGGAGGGGGAGGAGTCCCTTGGACTTTTCGGGATCTTAAGGCTCGGGCTGGTACGGATTGCCGTGGGTGGGTCCGAACGGATGCTGCTGGAGTTATTGGCCGGATTGGCTCGGCCCAGAACGACCTATCGGATATTCGGCTGGGTGGTTTCTGTACACAACAATCGAATGGTGATGACGGGGCGGGCGAAGTGGGATAATGGGATCTGAAGTACACGCGGGAAGACGAATATCTGGCAAGCTGCATTCCGTGTCGCGGTGGGAAGGAGGCCGTGCGGCTGGAGTCGATGGAATGATTGAGCTATGTATGAGGGAGGAGAATGAGGAGGGGTAGTGAGAGGAATGTAATATTGAAGTCGAAATGCGAGTTGGATATTAACAGGCCGATGGGCGACACATTGAGAGAGCGACTGGTCCGAATATAGGTACCAAAGGAGGGGTTATGGAGGGTAGGGATGCAAGGGAATATATATGGATGGACGGAGGAAAAGAAAGGAGTGAGGCCGGTGAAGTGGGGGGAAGATGTGCGTGCGGGAGCCTGAGGTCTCTCGAATCTGCAGGCAGCAGAGGGTGGACAATAGCGATTTGAGTGGACAACGGGGACAGCACACGGCGGAGGGGATGATATCTATGGTATGCACGAGGCAGTGAGCTGTAACTATGTACGGGAATGTGACGACGACGAGTAGTAGGACCGGAGTAAGCACTCGGGAACCAGGCCAGAGTTAGCACCGGCAGCGGGGTGTTAATGGGAGCGTTTCAATAGACCAAAAGAAGAAGAAGAAAAAGAAAACAGAGGTGGTGATGAGATGGCGATGCAGAGTGCAGACGGCGTGGAGAACTGGGGGCCGTAGTAATAAAAGAGTGACCGGGGGAGTGGGGGAGGGGGGGGGGTGGACGCGATGGTGTTGAATATTTATGCAGGCTTTAAAAAAGCGGCGTAAGTTATTCCCAGCAGCGCGAGTCACTTGGTCCGAGCTGCGAGAGTAGTTGCCCACCAACTAACCGGATGAATCCGATGTGTGTTGAATTGCTAGCATAACCTCGTGAGGTGGTGGAGTACCGTAGGAAGACACGGAGCTGGGACCTGGGTATGGTATCCGGGTCCTTACCAGAGTAATAGTAGTTGCTTGGGCCGACCCGTGCAGAGTGAAATGGCACTTGGGCAAAGATCTTTCAGGGCTGGTTAGTGCTCAGCTAGCGAACGGAAAATAGTTGCTCATCTGGCTTAAGGAAAGACAGACTTCTGACGAGATGATTGATTGACTGACCGACAGACATCTGATGTGGACGATACGGTCTTTCAATCAGTTCACATTCACATTGGCCCAATCAATGCCCGCCCTTCGTCGCCGCCGCGCCGTCCTCCTGCATTGCAGCGTTGCATCGGACTTCTGCCTGCAGACAGGACTCCCCTTCCCTCCATCCCCTCCCCCGATTCTTCTCGAACCGCAGCCTGCAGACGTCAACAGTTAGATACCGGTAACTACGCCCCATCGATATCTGGAGTGGGAGAGAATCCATGTCGTAGTCGACACTCGCATGTTCGCATTACCGTGGTTCTCTTGTCCCCTTTGCCGCTGGCGACGCTGTTCCTCTTGCGGATAACTGGGATAGTACTCCAAGACTCCAAGTCTCCAAGCCTCCAACTCCACCGTCCTGACTCCTCCCACACCACACACTCACCTGCTCTTCCCGTTCGCATGTGCAGAGAATCCAAAACCAAACCTCCCCACCTCCCCACCTTCCCACCCCCAAGCCCGGTTCACGTCTGAGACTTCTTCCAACAGTCCTGCATCTTGTCTGCTGGTATCCGTCCGAAGGAAGTATGTAACCAAGTATTTACTTATCGAGTGCTTGTGTAGCTGCCGCAAAAGTATGGTGGCCAGTATGTAACGGCAATTAACCAGAAGGCAGAAGCCGTCGATAGTTATCCGTATATCGCTTCTCGCCTGTGGGGTGGGTGTCTGTCGAGGTGTGAAGTGCGAGGTGAGGTGTGAGGTGTGAGATGAGGTGAGATGGACTGCCTACATAACAGAGAGTATGTACTCTACTCTACTCTACTCTATGCCAACCCACCCACCCAGGCTCCCTCCCACACACCACACATTCACACAGCGCGCACAGTGCACACCATGTAAGCCCGTCAGAATCTTCGGACAATAAATCCTGCAGCGCACGAAAAAAAACATCTACTATGTACCTAGTAGCTTCTGTACCTGCAAGGAAGCGGATTCGTACATGGAAGGAAGGCTTTCGATGGTGGATGGTGGAGGGTGGATCATGGATGCCGTTGCGTTTCGCATATATGAGTGTGCACACTTCACACTGCAGACTGCACTGCACGCTGTAGAGTACAAGGTCTGATTTTTGGACTCCCGGACGCAAAGACATCGGTGATGATTGTGTCGATGATTGTGTTGATGGTCGTTTTGCCAGCAGACCGCGGACAGGAAGAGAAAGGAACGGCGGCAACTACGGCTCCGGGCGAATCCGCATGCGGCGAGAGTCGAGAGTCGAGACTTACAACCTCTCGGACAGAGATTTGGACCAACAGGAGGCTGGAGTGGAGTCTGCGAGACAGTTGTAGTCGTCCGGAATCATCATCCAACAACACTCCAAGTCTCTAGAGTCTAACTGCTCATCTCGTCTTGTCTCGGTCTCCGCACTATATCTACCGTAAGTACGGCACACGGCGCACAGCGAAAGTGCAATTGTTCGCCTTGGAAGTTGGCCCTTTGCCCTTCCTATGCGCCGTGCGGTAACATGGCGGTAGTTACTAGTAGAGTAGGGTAGTTACTAGTAGAGTAGAGACCTACTCTACACTGCGCCATGGGAGGTGAGGAGACGTGAAGTGAAGTGAAGTGAAGTGAAGCGCTTGATGCGTGCGTGTGGGATCTATAGAAAGGCTAAAGAGGTGATGGCGATTCGTGATTCGTGATTCATGACTCGGGATCGCCGAGTGGCGGCGGCGCACTGGCAGTGGCCGACTGACGAGTGCGGAGTGCGGAGTGCGGGGAAGACCAGCATCGGTGCCCACCGAATCACCGATACGACGAAGATCAGCAAGAAAAAGGAAAGAAAGAAAGCAAAAAAAAAGTGTAGAAGCGGTGGCTTCTTCGAGACTTTGACATTGACTGCTGCAGCCTACCTAACTCTCCACCTCGCCGCCACTTGGTTACCGGTGCGATGGTCCTCAGCTTCCGCATTCGCTTTTGCCATGTTGCGGCGCAAATTGTCCGAGGCTTTTCGCCATGTTGCGGCACAGACACGATGGGGAAAAGAAAAGGCTTACAAGTTACGGATTCGCGGCGTCGTCGCTGTTCGTTGTTTCACGGTGTACAGTTACATAACCAACAACCAACACGAAGTCATAAGCAGGCTGCACGAAATACGATTATACGATCGGGACTGCGCACACGACCGGCTACGGGCTTGGCTGGCTGGCTGGCTGGCTGGCTGGCTGCAACTGCAACTACAACTGCAATTGCTTTTTCCCATCTCCCTCGTCAAAACCGACATGGAGAATCCTCGTCGCTCATCATCCATCATCTCCACCCCGAGGTGGGCTGGAAAAGGCTGGATCATACTCTACACACCCACCAATCTACCATCCAACGCGTGAAACCGGCGTCAGGCATACGAAACACCGATCCCGTAGCGTTATTTCGCTGCCGAAACCCAACCCCCCTCCAACTCGAGGTCGAATTCAGAGTTCTATGTGTGCTCATGCTGTATCATGAGCCCCCAGCCCAGCCAATTCCGGTTCGATGTTGATATCGATATGGACGGCGATGTATCTGGACGGTGCAGCAACAGCAGTCGGACCCCGACGTGCCCTAGGGCCTGTTGTGCAGGTTGTTTCTCGCACACCCATCACGGACATTGATTCGCATATGTATTCGGGAGGCGGATGGCGGATGGTCGATGGTGGATGGTGGATGGTGGATGGCACTGCTTTTGGACGACGTCTTCCTGCCAAGCAGTCACTGGCGAGTCCGTGCTTCTGCGCTCTACCTGGGTACAGTGTACAACCGGCAGCGGATATCGATGTCGATATATCATATGCTCGAACTTTGCACACCTACAGTTGCACCGCGGAATCACCGCAGTCACCGCAGTCACCGTCAGCACCTTCATTCATTCAAAATCCAATATGTAACATCTTACAGGCTGTCATACATATCATACACATCATACAATCTCACATATATGATATGATATGTATGATATGTACTGCCAGCAAACCTCGACAGCATGCGTATGCGTATGCTGCGTATGCGTATGGTACCGACGATTGGAAAAAATATATCTATGATATATGTACAGCATCCACCCTCCCCCTCCCCCCTTCCGCCGCTTTTGTTGGGCTCGATGGCACCATTGGCATCATTGGCATGGGATCCCCTCCGAATGATCGGTGAGGCTTATGGATGTGTGTACAGCATATACTTCTTGGGTAATACTTGGGTAATATGCATCCATGCGATCCCATCCCATCCATACCAGTAGGTTGTCACTGGTCAGTCACTGGTCAGTCACTGGTCAGTCGCTCCAGTAAAGCAAAGCAAAGCAGAGCAAAATCCATATGTAGATTCCCCTTTACAATCATCCTGAAACCTCCCTGGTAACTAATGGCTAGTGACCAGTCTTGACTTTTCCACGCGGTTCGCCCGCTTCACGAATCACCACCACCACATCACCGAAGCCGGCAGGGAGATTCGAATTTCGGGATCGATCCTTACGGATCCTTACGTGCGTTGGGGGAAATCTTCCGACGGTTCTCTAAGCTCTTCCACCGCTTCCGGCAGTTGAAGACTCGGATGGGATGGGATGGGATGGGATGGGATACGGTAGGTAGAAAGATGTGTGTAAGATGAGTCCAACCAACCAACCTATGTACCGGCCCCCGTCCGTCTGTTGCTTGTTGGCTCTTGGGTTGTTTCGGCTATCTGTCTTTCTGTCCAGACTCCAGACTCCAGAATCCAACCCGTGGGTCGTTACTCTACAACATATCATATGTATCATTCAAGTACAACAGCGAATTCCGGCTACCCGCAGGCAGCAGGCTGCAGAAACGAAATCAACGAAATCTCGATTCTCAATTCCTTCCTTCTTTTTTTCTTTCCTTTTCTTTCCTTTTCCCGGGTTCGTTCGGCGATGATGCATGGACAATGATGGGACGTAGCACGGTGATGGGTAGGTAGGTTCGCTGTCCGCTCCCCCCCGTAGATCACGAAGAAGTTGCTACACACGCTGCCGATTACCGAAGGGTGAAACAAGGCCTGGCTCGGGCTCAGACGGTGGAGTACCTGTGCATTATGTAGGTACACAGAAAGTTACGTAGGGAAACTCTATTTCGTTGAAAGAGTCGGAAAGATGTAGATCGCAGCGTCGTACCTGGCTACCGGTAGTGTTGGTGTTAATGTTGGTGTTGGCTCTGGCTCCGGCTCCAGCTCCAGCTCGAGTTTTGAAGTGGAGCAAGAGAAGGAGGGCGCAGCCTCGCAGGAGGAGGATGAGCATTGAGGAGAAAGTCTCCCGCGGTGCCCGCTTGGACCACGGTACCGTATGTAGTGATGCCAGCACTCTGCACAGTGCACACCGGAGCTTCTTACACACCTACCTACCTCCACAACCCTCCCACCCCCCGGAACGGCTGCAGCTTGTAAGCTGGGGGATCCCCCCGGATCAACCATGCCCCCTCAATCTGGAACACTTGCAAGGCTCCCAAGCTCAACCCCAAGCTCAACGCAGCGGCGCAACCCCCTTGGGCCTTCACGGTTCACCCCCCGCTCGCTTGCCGTGACTTCCAGACGGTTCGATATGGGGCTGGGGACTATCATGATAGGAATAGGTATGTAGTTCCTGCGGGATGACCGAGCTGAGCTGAACGATCGGCCGGCCGGTCTACCGTGGGAATGCCTTATCCGAGTTCCGAGTGCTCATTCGTTGATCCCAGGTCCGAAGTCTCGCATACGGATGATACGGTACTGACGGGCGGACAGAGAGACATCCGGGCGGGAGTCACGTGCATTCGCGTATGCGCCCGGCGCATTCTACCCGTGAACAGCCTCAACGAACGGACGGAGAACTCGAACGCAATCCGGGTATCTGCAAAAATACGTATCTACACATCCGCCCCCGTCCGGACTCCGCACCTAGATGTACACCTAGCTCGCTCGGCCAGAAGATAACCCGGAGCCGGTGCGCGCGCCCTACATACAGACAATACATAGGTAGATACAGCATGCCGCTTGCGATTGTGCGGGAAAGGCAGCTGCTGCAGGCTCGAGATACATACTCTATGTAGATGTTGTATCTACGGTATGTTGGCAGATTGATTTTTTTCAGCCAGCTTCCGAAACGGCAGATACCCATAGTGTTTTGCTAGCGAGCGAGTGAGCGAGCGATCCGGCAAGGGCAGATAGATAAATCCCCCTGAGCTGGAGCCGGAGGTGCTTGCTGCTGTTGTTGTTGTTGTTGTTGTTGTTGCTGTTGTTGTGTTGTCGTTGCGGGCGCAGGGGGAGTTCGCGCTCGGGGGTGAGTACCTACATCATTACTGTGTGGAGTACTTTGTATGTAGAGTCACTGCGCTGTGATCTGCCATGTTGTCGTATGTATAGTACGATACATATCTAGAGGCGACTGTGCCCTACCTACTGTTCTACAATAAAGTAACTGGAAATCATATCAATCCCCGCCCCCACCCGCCCGATCATGTGGTGATCTCGACGCGATTGAGCATTGACCGACTCGACTCGACTGGGAAAGCAGTACCGACTACCTACCGACCGCCGCGAGGTGATGTGAGGTCGAAACGAAATGAGCGCACGCGCGATAGTCGTCCGTGTGCTGGTGCTGCACGATCGCCTTGCACGATAGCCTGCGCGCGCGAAACGTTACAAAGAGTAGGTGGACTTATAGATTACCTCGGCCAATATAATCCCAAGTGGCGTGGCATCATTGGCGAGACGAGGCGAGACGATGCGAGGCGAAACGAGACGAGACGAAGCGAGTACGACTCTGTGATGGTCCGTAGCCGGGAGTCGTGAGGAGTGAGTCGTGACTAACTCGGCGGCTGTTCGCAGGTGAGATGCTGGTGTAATCACTCTAGATACTCTACTCTGCGCTGCTCTACTCACGGCTGATTCCCGAACGCTCCTTCACGACCATCATAGATTCATAGAGAAGTAGTTAGCAGAGAACCACTCTTCGATTATCTAACTGATTTTTTGCGCTCCCGACTCCCGACCTCCGTCTCACGACGCTACTTATATCTCCTAGCGTCGTCCGAAACCCGGGATTCACCTCTCCCAGCGCCCAGCGCCCAGGCACGATATCGATGTGGTCTTTGATCCGTTCCGTTCGGACCGGGTCCACCGTTCAGTCCACCGTCCACTCCTATGTATTACACAACTCCTCTAGTTAACTAGTACCAACGTCGGGAGTCGGGACCACGATGGCCACTGTAGTCTGTCCCGAGCAATTGCACCGCCAACGTCATTGATATCTACACACATATGAGTTAGTTCGTTAGTTCGTTAGTCTCGGGATCGCAGAGCCTTCCGGAACAATACTATTTTAACTCTCTCTCTCTCTCTCTCTCTCTCTCTCTCTCTCGCTCGTTTCATCTCCGGACACGGCGGCGTCGCGGCGGACGGACGGACACGGGCGGGAAATTATCCACGGAGCTCTCTCCCCATCATCTCCATCTCGATACAAATCTCCGCCACTCCGCGCGAGATGAGATGAGATGAGATGAGATGAGATGGGCCGGATGACTACTGCTAGTAGGTAGGAGGTGGTGGTGGCTGGGTAGTAGGTAGATAGGAGGAGGGAACTGCCGGCACGAGCGACGATTCGATGTGCAGTTGGTAGTTAGAGTAGTTTGATAGGTGGATGCTCGAGTTACTAGTAGATGCTCGAGTTAGTGCAGTGATGCGAGCGGGCTTGCGTAGACGGTAGGGCTGTTTAGTCACCTGTCCCCGTGGGCACTCGGTCATCATCATCGTCAGTCAACCAAGTAAACCTCCCCTACCACCCCTGCCGGCTCCACATGGCGTCCGTGTCCGTCCGTTCCAGCTAACACAGCCCACAGCCTACTCCTACTCTAGTGTCTACAGACTACGGTAGTGATGATGACAGCATTGGTAGGACTCGGGATGTCTCCCTTTCCCTTTGCTTCCCCCTTCCCGCAACGAATGCCGGCATGCAGACCTACATACGGACGTAGCCACGTAGTTTTCAAGGGGCTCCGCTCGGGGGTCGGAGGAGGGGGGGAGGGAGAGGGGGGGATTTTTTTCAGCCTCGTACTAGCTGCTTACCTAGTCCCTCGTATCCGTTGTGAAGATTCAAGGGACGTATCCTTCCACCCACCCGCTCAGAAACATAATTATATACGGACGGACCAGAGGAGGGTATCCACAAATCGGCAGGGCATCGTGGGGGCTAGGTGGTTATGCCGTGGTCGTATACGGTACGTGCCAACTAGTTATCTAGTGTGGGCACGGTATGGTGTGCGGCGACCGATTTCGAGAAATATTGAAATACTAGAGTGATGGGTGATGACGACGGGGCGGAGTGCTTTATCTATGTCCCTGAGTTGCGGCCGGCTCGCCGGCGTTATATGTAGCATTGTAGCCATGGAGAAGTGCCGTCGAATAACTGTTGAGTCGTTTGTTCGCATAGTCATGGCCGCGTCGGGATTTATGTGTTCCCCTGTTTCATCATTTCGCATTCGACCCGTACCATGCAGAGGATAATGATGAGCCAGTCTGTCATTTTTTCTTCTTTCGGTTTCATCGATTTCTAAAGGTAGCATTTGGCCTTGGTAAATCATTATCGAGTAATAGGAAGTAACTAAGAGCCGGTCCGTGTGATGATCCGAGGAGCCGGTGGCGGATGATCGAGTGCCGAGTGACGAGTGGCGTACAAAGATCTGGAATTTCCTGGCCGTACACGCGCCTGCCTACCTGCCTCACTACTCAGTCTTCCTTGTTCTAAGTAGGAGGTATGTATCCACTACATGCTCACCGCCCATTCGATTAGGTATCATACTTGCAAGCTCCAACGTAGCGACTTAGATTCCCAGATTCCCAGATTCCTAGATTCCTACCATAGCGTAGGTAGTTGAGTTGATTGAATAGCAGCTTCCCACTGATGCGGTCTCAACACTGGATAGTTCAAGCGGCGAAGTTTGGCTGAGCGGGCGTGCTTCAACTTGGAAGCACATAAAATCGTGCGGTGACCGAGTGACGAGATGCGTCCGGTTCCAAGCACGTGCGTATGTACAATACTCTACCAGGTATACAGCCCACTCTTCTATCCTTCGCTACTCCATGCTGCCTACTACCTAGCTACCAGAGCTACGTACTGCGGAAATACTGTGTTCAAGACGGGTGGAAATATGTTGAGCCAGTGATATAATGTGATCAAGAGCTTGAAGATGCCGTCAGCGCCCCCCCTCCCCCCCCGTCTTTCGAGCTAATTAAGGACGTGGTCGGGGATGGTGCGTATGATGGTTTAGGGACATGGAGGAGCGATAGTGACTCGCATCGGCCACAGCAAAGCGGAAGTTGGTGAAGATCGAAAGTAAATACTGCCTTACAGGCGGGCCAGACTAGTAAAGGCGGGAGATGCATTTTCCATTGGATGAAAGAACCCGTTATATTACAAAGAGGAGAGTTGCAGTTTCATTACTTCATCGTACATATCCCATCACGCAGCCCAACATCCCTAGACCACCGCTCCGTTACATGGCCCAACAAGCAAGCTAATGGATGTATTTCTTCACATACGCCATCTCCTCAGCCTTCAAACAGGAAGTATCAGCACCATTGTCTATCAGACACCTCATAACCCTTCCCTGGTCGAACCAACGCGCCAATCTCAACGGGATATCCATCACCCCCAGACCGACCGACGCATCCATATCCGCGCCATGGTCCACCAGCAGCCTCACCAGATCGACATTCCCATTCGCCACAGCATCGTAAAGCGGTTTCTTCCCGGCAGCGTCGGCCATGTTGACATCCGCGCCTTCAGCGAGGAGTAACCTTGCCAGGCCACACTTTTCGTCACGCACGGCCATTCCCAGTACTGAGAGTCCGCCGCGCTTGACACCGCCGCTGACACTTGGGTTCGCACCTCTCTCGAGGAGGAACCGAACCCACTCGTACCGATGCGTCTCCATGGCGAACGCAAGCAATGGGATGGGTTCCGAGCTGAGTTTGATTTCGATATCTAGGCCGTGCTCGAGGAAGCGGCTTAGTCCCGGCAGTCCGCGGCGGTCGCGAGAGACGAGATGGGTAAGGATGCAGTAGCGCCCGAGCAGCTTGATGGTGTCGAGGGGAGGACCATTGAGTTCGAAGCCAGATCGAATGGCGTAGCGGTAGAGATAGCGGTTGATGTGGTAGAGCCCGCGGCTGGTGCGGGCGAGGGAGGATTTGTCGCGGAAAGTAGTGAGTTTGTCGGCGATGAGGAGATGCACCTCGCGGGGGAGAGAGAGGAGAGTGGCGACCATGAAGGTGATCACTGAAGCCTGTTATCTTTTCCTGGTCTCGATTGCGGGCAAGGGGGATACCTGGGATATCTTCACTGTACTGAAGGCTGGACTCGAGTGGTGATGGTTGAAGGAGGCGGTTGAGGGAGGTGGTTGAGGGAGGTGATTGAGGGAGGTGATTGAGGGAGGTGATTGAGGGAGGTTCCTGAGATATCTTCACTGCACCGAAGGCTGGACCGAGTGGTGATGGCTGAAGGTGGTATCCCTAGAGTGCTTGTGAGTTGGGCGCTCCTGATCTTTCATGGCGAGCATTTCCGCTGTAGATATTGAATGGAGGTGACATCGGTAACGCCTTGAACGAAGATTTCGAAGGTATGCCGTTGCTGTTGCTCCACGGAGACGCCGTAACATGGTGTTGAACGACCTGAAAGTCTAAAACGTGATGCGGAATGACGCAGCGGGGACCACCAGATACACACCGCACGACGTCCATGCGGGTGCCCGCCGAGATCGTGGGCCAAAGCTTCCGGACAGCTGTTTGTCGCCGATCTTCCTTCATTTGATTTACAGACACCTGACATGCACAGTGGCATCAGCGGCATCAGGTTTCGTCGGTACGACCACATGGTCTCGAGACTTCGCAAATCTGCCTGGGGCGTGAGATTCCGTATTGATTGCGAGAAGCAGCTACGGGAGGGGCATTTACATTCTAGAGCTCGAGATCATGTGCATGGCAATGGATAGGAGTCTAAATCTCGTGCGTGTTGGTCACGGATTAGAAGTTGCGGGCGCCTCAGGGACAGTGTGGGTGGTGTCCAGTTGGTTGATGAACGGTTGGCCCCGCAATCGCAACAGGCGTACTTCAACACGGAGGATAGGCTCCGAGGTCATCCTCTTATGCGGCCCGCGGTCGGTCAAGAAGGACGCCGTGTCCATTAGCTCCGTGCACCGAGAAGTATAATATTCCAGTGTAGCAACAGCCGACCCCGCCAAAACACAGCGTTGCCTACCAAACAGACAGACATGCATACATGCAAACCTGCAAGTTCAACACACTTGCAGGTGACTGCGATACACCCGTTCTTTATATCCTCCGCTGCCAACCGGATATCCCACCCGCTACGGCCAACATTCTTTCTCAAACTCGGGGGGCTGCTCTACATTCCTTCCTGGGTATTCCCCTCGGGCAAGGGCTGCTGTTGGGCGCTGCTGCAGAGCTTTGTATTGACAGCCCATACTAAAATCATCCCAATGAAGTTATCTGGCAGAGGGAGAGCATGATGGCTGATATTTACATAAGTACTAAGAATTTACTCGGGAAACATGCCTAGGTAGACAGTCTGAACACTAGGTTTCGGATCGGGAAGCAGCCCTGGCTCTTCTGAGCCCGAACATCCATGGACTCCCATATAAAACTCGTAACTTGATCTCACAGAAGAAGAAGTTTAAACCAGCACCTGACTTTGTGTGTGCAGGTTGCAACCCCAGTACTTGCGATTGGCTGTGTGTCTCTCCCATCATCCGGCGGCGTGGTCTGGCGACTCTGGTTCTGCCGGCCAATCGTTTGCCCTGCAAGTAGTACACAACTAGGCCCAGCCGACACGACGTTGTAGAGTCCCTTTATAGATGTGCAGGCGCCATAGATGAAGCCAAATAACTCGCTGTATAAGTATACTCAATTTCCCCACATGCCTCCGGCGGGTACATACTGCTGACGTGCGTACGGTTTTAAGTACCCTTTAGGCTGAGATCCATCATGCCATGATGGTATAGTTAATGATACGGTAATTCCCTCAGATTCCCATGAAGCCTCGATCGTGATGTTTACTGTGGTGCCTGCTACGATTAAGAAAGACATCTCCGAGAGGTTGAGTGCTGCACACGGGAAGTCCAGCCTATCAAAAACAAAGAAAAAACAGTGTTGTTACTACATACTAGACAAAGGGTAAATGAAGATCACCGACTGCAACACACGCCGATCATGACTCGTATAAACCCGTTCCGTATATGCACCGATCACTGCCGGACAAGTGAGCGATCTGGTAAGCCTTCGGATGCGGTCAGCAGTCAGCAGTCAGCAGTCAGCAGTCAGCAGTAAACACGAGGTTACGACGAGCAGCATGTACGAAGGACCTGAAACGTTTGATTCCCAGTTGGGGACTCCGTGCTTCTCCGAGGTTGGACTGCAATTCTGGCTTCTCTTGAATCCCGCACCGCACCATTAGACTGAGGTTCATACTCTAGTCTATAGCAGATTCCGACTGCGATCGATTGGCATCCCCTTGTTGCTGAGTTCCCTCGGGCCTGAATCCGTTTTGATGCCCATCTGGAAGTTCTTCCTCAGGGTCTGATCCATGGCACTGATACCTAGCCAGCTGCATACACAGGTTCTATATATGCGGTTCGAACGGGTTCTCGAACCAGCTATGTATAATATAGCACCTTTTTCTTTCTTCCCGGGTAGTTGACGTAGGTAGTCACAGTTGTTTAAATGCTGCTGATAGACTCTGGATCGGCGTCCCATATTACAAGGCGGGGTAGTGGTGGATGATGGCAAGTAGAAGTCCGTTGCGGCCTGTAATCGCAACGGGTAATCTCTAGTACATATATCGGACGGTGGACTGCGGACGGGTGGCAACCCACTGATTGACATTAAAGTCAAGAGCACCGACCATTTTTACGTAGTGGATCCGGTGCACTCAAGCCGAATCCCCACACAAAACTCGAGACTTCCTCGCGAAACAGAAATTCCATGAACCCCAGGGGGTAGAGATTTGAAAAGTAGGACCGTCCGTCTACATCACCTGTGCCCTTTCCATTACCTGCATTTCAGGCCTCTTGCCGGTCGAAAGCCAGCCCGTATTCGGAACCTACAAAACGATGGCCTTTCTTAACCGCGGGCACCATGCCATTCGGAAAGGTGTAGGCTATCACGTCCGTAATTGTTATGTACAGGTCGCACACACAGTAGATATTGTAGAAACATCAACGAACCGGAATTTAGAAATAGCACTAGTATCGCTTGTTTCAGTACCTAGTAGTCACTTTGTTTTGTGCGGAAACCATTGTGAGCAGAGGGAGGGGAGTCAAAAGCGGGCATCTACCTACTATATACCCACTGTGCATCCAGGATGTGATCCACGGTCCACCTATTAATAGCGCCATCGTCGAGTAAAAAGCTCTGGCTGCGGGCAAGCCGCGCAAGTCGTGCTTACTGCGCTTTCCTACGGTATCAAGCCTTCCCAGTTTGCTGACATTCTGCATTTTCACCGGAACCAACATGGTGGGAGAGGACGTCAGAGTCTCCACAGCGAGTCACTGAATGGGTACCAACATGGCCAAGGCGGAGGATCGATCGTACCACCTCCGGTTGCGCACATCCCGAACTTGCTGTGGGTATATAACGAACGGGTGGGTCAATAATACCGTGGTCCGGATTCTACGACATCTACGAACGGGTGTGTGCAAACCTTCAGTACATATCGTCCATTTCGCTCTCCTACAAGCCGCCATCCTACCATCCTACCGACTCATGATTTGTTCGTTTCTATATCTCCCTATATTCGTAGCCTGGGTCGGAGTAGCCGGAGTAGTCCTAGCCAGCAAGATGGTATTGCGGACTGCGGCACCGTCGTCCGGGTACACCGATGCACTAGGGAATCCGGTGGTGCCGTCAGAGTGGGAAATGAAGTTGTGGGAGGAGGGAGCTGAAGGAGAAAGCCCGACGTCGGAGCCGCGTGAGTGTCATCTATAGAACCATGTGTGGTAGGAGTATGCTGAAGGTTACGATAGGGCGAACGGAAGGACCGAGAACGTGAAATTCGACGGCGATCGTTTATGCGCATTCCAAGATTTTGATGTGCGGACCACACTGGAAGACTTGCAGATATTGGATTTGTGCTATTTCGGCTTCCGTTGGTGCGCATTTGCTGGGGTGGAGTTGGTCTGGGCCGCTGGGTGGTGACAGTCCTCTGGGGTTTGGAGCCGATGTGGGGTCGGCAATCGGAGTCGGTGGTTGTTTTTTGTTGGTTTTGTTGGTTTTGCTATTGCCATTATTGTTGCTAGCGGGGACCGGGCCGTCATGACCGTGGCCGTGGCCGCATCTGTTGCGGAGTTTAGCCAGACGTGCACATCTAATTGAAGTGAGATCTGTCAGTCAGGATCGGCGAGGGACGCTTGGTGAGACAGCATGGTATGTGCCGACCTGCCATACCTACTCCTGCAGAGCCGCTATGCATTCACTGCCACCAGGTTAACTGACGTGCCTTACGGATGCGGCCGTTAAATGTTCCGAGTATGATATTTTCCGGGGATCTGGCAAAGCGGCAACTATGCCACGCGAGGAAGTGTCCTTCCTTCCACGTGTTCTATGCCATGGGTAGGCACTACCGTATTACCCGTTTACGGCGTGTAGGTGGATGTCCCGGGTGGTGGAGCAACCATCCCTTTGTCCGGCGAGTACATGGAGATTGGAGCAGTGCATTGCGTGAACGGCGCAGTCACTCGGCCTCAGTTAAACGCAAAGAGCTTTATTTGTGACAGCCCAACTGCTGTGGCTGAGTGACTGGGTCGCTTGTACTGATTAACTCCCGCAAGGCTCCACTCTCGAGCACTCGCCGGACAAAGGGGATGGTCTGTTGACCAGCCACCTTGTGGGATATGACGAAGTGGACAGAGCAGCACAACCCTGCATACGATCCGGGACGACTTCGCGTATTCCGAAGCCACATGCACGTCGTCTCGCCAGGGACTTTTCGAATCTGGGGTAATGCAAGAACGATCACTCAATTCCGATATTAACAGCACTATACATCGCACTGTGACGGCCCAAGCCCGTGCGTTAGGGAACCAGATAGATTGCCACAAATTCCTCGGCCGTTATTGCAATCCTGCTCGTGAATATTCCTACTATGGACTGTCTCCAACATTCAGGAGTTCGGAGACCGGAAGTGGCGCTAGACCTTCCGGAGGAGTGAGGGGTGTGGAGAGAGGGGGAGGGCATAATCCATGGCTTTCGACATGTTGCTCAATCAATCCCAAGTTCTCCCATGGCCACAGTTCTGCCATGGTGATGGTGGACTCATCGCACGATTTATGTCGAACGTTTGCAGGGAAAGAGTCATATAAAACCAGTCAATTCCCACCACAAAATGATTCCTCATCAGCATTCACAGCTCTTCCAGAATTCACTCCTTGAATCCCCTTGCAATCATGCAGTTCTCTGCCCTCGCCTTCGTTTCGCTGCTAGCCAGCCTTGTCGTTGCCGCCCCTGCCGCCGTTCCGAACGCTGAGGCCAACAAGCTTGAGACCAGAGCTACCTTCTCGTACGTCGCCCTTGATCGGTCCCCAAGTACCGGAGACTGACAATGCTACAGCTCCTTCGCTGGCACCAATGCCTACTGGCTTCCATTCCTTACCAGCGACGCCGACATCGACACCACTTTCGCGGCTGTCCAGGCCGCTGGCTTGAAGGTCGTGCGCACTTGGGCATTCCAAGACAGCACATCGTGCAGTGGAATCCACTTCCAGTGCTGGTCCTCTTCGACTCCCTCCATCAACACTGGCACCAATGGTCTGCAGAGATTGGATGCCGTTGTCAAGGCGGCCGAGAAGTACGGGATCAAGCTCATCCTTCCTATGGGTGTGTAATCCTCCATCCACCCTCCGCCCTCGGATGGGAATTGACTAAGAAAATAGTCAACAACTGGGGTGACTACGGTGGAATGGACGTTTACGTCTCGAAGCTCGGCTTGGGCTCGCATGCGGCCTTCTACACCGACAGTCGCGCCCAGGCCGCTTACAAGAACTACGTGAATGCCGTCGTCAGCCGCTACAAGAGCTCCAGCGCCATCTTCTCATGGCAGCTTGCGAAGTAACCCTCCCCACTTCCACAGATATATATGTGACCGTTGCTAATCTTCTTTAGCGAGCCCCGCTGCTCTGGTTGTGCCACCTCCGTCATCACCAACTGGGCCACCACCATGTCCCAGTACATCAAGTCCCTCGACAGCAGCCACTACGTCTCTCTCGGTGACGAGGGCTTCTTCAACCGCGGGAGCAGCCTGACATACCCCTACCAAGGAGGCGAGGGTGTCGATTTCGAGGCGAACCTGAAGATCGCGACTTTGGACTTCGGAACGCTCCATCTGTACACCACCGCCTGGGGCCAAACTTACGATTGGGGTAACCAGTGGATCACCGACCACGCCGCGGCTTGTAAAACTGCCGGAAAGGCCTGTGTCATTGAGGAGTACGGTGTTCCCGAGGACGGAGCGGTCCGCGATCAGTGGATCAACTCGTGGCACGCTACCATGAAGAGCTCCGGTCTCACTGCTGTAAGTATCCTCACAGCGTCGTGTCGGTGAGACAGTATTCTAATTGGGTTTTAGGATCTCTACTGGCAGTTTGGCTTGACCTTGAGCGGTGGCCGCACCAGCGACGATACTGTGAGTTACTCCGAATCTTCCCCCAGATGTCCCGGAACCCGACTAATGTCTATCCAGTACACTATCTTCACCGACGACAGCAACTACCAGAGTCTGGTTAAGAACTGGGCTGCAAGCCGTTAAAACGTCGATCGGGATGACAAAACCGGCAGGTTGTGTTTGATCTGGGATTGTGGAAGAGGCCTCTAGGTTATTTGGAGGGAATCATTGGAAAATACTGTGCAGAAGACTGTCTTTACTTGCAGGCAATGAAAGGGACTACGTACTGAGTGTTTTTGGGACCATCGTTCTTCGCGGTGACTTTGATGATCGTCGTGACGGCATTGCGTGCACAGTGCCGGGCCAAAATAACCTACTCTACGGCGATTCACCTTCCCACTGACGTTCGCGGATGCTATTATTATCAAGCCTTTGAGTAAATTTTCTGTCGTCACGTCAAGCGTCATCAGCACCATTAAAGTTCCAAACGCAAAACGTAGCCTCAGGCTCATCCGGATGATGATGATGTTTCCTCGCCCCCTCCCCTCACTGTCCACCATCACAACCGCAGATGTCAGCGATATACGTGACCTTCGTTGGCTACGGCTACTACAGCACCCCGAGCCCGCGCGCGGGCGAGCACTTCCGGGTCCTTCTTACGCCGGCCCTCCTCGGCGCCCTCCAGGTGTACCACATACGGGTGCGGGAGCGCCTCACAAAACTGTCCAAGGTGGCCTTTGACGCTGGCCTCATGGACCGTGCGTTGATCGAGACGCTGCACGAGGGACACATGATAGCAGACTCGCTCTTGTGCGGGATACTCGAGGAGATCGCGGAGGGTATGTTACGCTAGATATCGACTGCTGCTGCTGCTGCTGGGACGACGCTGATGGCGGGACCCGGTAACAGACGAACGGTCCCAGAGGATGCTGAGCTGCAGAGGCCTCTCCGAGATCGATGCCGTGGCGTATATTAGGGATGCTATCCTCCCCGTCTTCAGGCCCGCGCTGCTCTCGTGGAACTCGTATCGCAGGTTCGCCGCAGCCAGGACGATAGAACTGTACTTCCCTGGGTATACCCCTCCCCTCCCCCCTCCCCCCTCCCCCCATCCCTCCAGACCCCCTTATCCCACTCATATATCTAACACCACCACCCTCACCACCTGCAGCCTTCAGGGCGAATACCAATCACGCCCCTACGTGTCCGCGCTCTCGGCGCTTCTCCTGGACGATCTAGTGCGAGACTGGCTCTCCGAGGACCTTTCGCTCGAGGAGTTCCAGCTGCCTGCGGGAGCACACAGCTGGCGGAAGCTCGTGACGCACGATCTCGGCATCTGTTGTCGGTTGGCACTGCGCGGCACGGATTTTATGAGGGTGGGCTTTCTGTGGAGTTTGAGCTCGAAGGGGAGGCTGCATCGGAGGGTGGTTGGAAGGTTGCAGTTGGGACATATACCCAGTGAGAGGTGGGACAATGATACGAGTGAGGAAGAGGGGGACGATGGGGGGAAATAGATGGTTGGCGATGGATGGATTGCGCTTCTGGGAATCTGTGTAGGATGTGTGTACTTATATAGGGCTTCGGGCTACGAGAAGAAAAGGGCGGGACGGTAGCACTGCAGATATCACAGCTGGGAACTTTTTTCCGCCAAAGATAATTATATTATGAAATAAACTAGTAAACATCACTCCTCATCATCATCGAGTCCGCGTCTTCATCCAGTTACATATGAACTAATATCCTACGATGTATCAACACCAAGACGGTGAATCTACACATATCTGCGAGTCGGGGTGGCGGTGGCCGACGTGCAAGGAACACTCTTGTTCTTGGGCTTCTTACCGGCCGAAGCGTAAGGCGTAGCCTTCGGCTTCTTGACGACCGGAACGTAACGGATAGGCTTCGCGGTCGGCTTCGTCAAGCTGCAGCTAGGGCGGGAGAAGGTAGGACTGGCGGGGCCACCACATTCGGGGGCGAGGGTGCAGCCGCCAAAGCCCTGGCCGCACTCATCGACGTGGTCGTAGCAGATGGACTGCATGCAGGCGACTGGCTTGTTCGAACCGGAGGGCGGGCACGGAGGCGCGGTGAAGACTGGGGCGGGGACGCCGGCGCACTTGGGTTCCGGGTAGCATCCGCCGTACATCATGCCGCACTCGTTGACGGCGTCCGAGCAGATTTGAGGGCATCCCTTGCTGACGGTTGGGCACGGAGGTGGGGTGAAGATTGGTTTGGGGACGCCGGCGCATTTGGGGTGCGGGTAGCACCCGCCGTACCTCATGCCGCATTCATTGATGGCGTCCTCGCAGAGGGTGGGACACTTCGAGGGGGCGGGATTAATGTGGTCGGGCAAATGGGTATTGGCAGTGGTAGTTGGGAGAGCCGTGGAAAATCCGAGGCCAATAGCGACAATAAGGATGAATTGAAGCATCGTGGAATGAGTGAGTGATCGAGTGATTAGACGAGTGAGAGTGAATGAGCACTGGTGAGAGTGAATGAGCACTGGTGAGAGTGAATGAGCACTGGTGAGAGTGAATGAGCACTGGTGTGTATATCGATTAATATAAGAGAATGTAGTAAGGGGATGCTGGAAGCGAAAGGAAGATGAGGATGCTAGTGGAAATCAGTGACTGTGATGAGGATGCAGAGACAATATTCCTCGGGAGAAACTCGTCTCTTTATATCCAGTTCAGTCCTTCTCGATACCAGCATTTCGCATTGTACCTCCAACAAGGCCAATGGACTGTCAATGCAGCCAAGCTGAAGTTACCCATAGGGCGTCCGTTACAAAGAGCATCGCAACGTGGTCAGCATTGTACTTTGCCATCATTCGTCGAAGAGTAGGGGCTTGAGCGAAATCACGGGCAGAATGGGGGCTATGGGATTGCTATTCTCAGACTGATTTGCTTTTTTTTTACGTACTGGTATGTGCCTTTCTCAGTTGTCGTACCTGTGGCTTTCAGCCCTACCAACCTCCAGGACACTCCTCTGTTAAGTGTATCACAACCGTCCACGTACTCTAACTGGTTACTGGCCTGAGGCCCTGGGATCATTTCGTACCTATTTCTAGTCCTTTCATTGAATGAGCCACGTCCAGGAGCATATTACTGGTAGCAGTTTCCCCTGGCTCCAGACGAAAGTCGTTCAATATCCAGCGTCCTCTCCCGTGGAGTCGTGGACTTCCTGAACACACTATTCCTAGATGCAGAGTCTGGATTCACGGAAGTGAATGTCCGTTCAGCAAGAGAAGAGTAGGTAGAGTGGAAAAGGAATATAGAAACTTCATGTAAGGACGCATCTGCACACCCGGTACCTTGTATTCCAATCGTTGGTATGTAGTCCTTTGACTTCGGGGCCATGCCACGAAAAGTAAGCAAGGCGATCCTCGCTTCACTCGCTGATATTTCCTGGCATGTAGGTTAAGCTTATGTACTTGGATGCGCAAGCGAAATTCCAACCGGTCCTGTGAGCCATTGCTGAGAAGGGGCTGAGCACTTTACACACGAATTCTGTGGGCCGTCTGCTGCCAAGGCAGCTTTCAGCTGAGACTGACGGGTTTGCGCTCGCTCCTGCCGTATCGCCACAGCGCGGCTACCAGCCTCCGCGGTCCATTCGCATTGAAGCCGCGAGATTAGGGTTGGTCGATTCTGGTCGGACGGGCCAAGTCTGATTCCTGGGATCCAACGTCCGGACGGGTCTGGATTTTGCTTTGTGTGTCCACAGCCCGCAATCGACGAAGACATTCGGCCCGGATATAACTAATACGGTGTAGAATAGAAGCCGCGACGCTGCTCGGCCAAGATTGATAGACATCGGAGTAAAGATGTTCCCCCAAATCGTGAACCGTATTTCCGGGTGCTGATTGGGGTCAAGGTCTAGACGCGAACCGTGGAGCTGGTAGCCTGCCAGATCCGTTCGCTTACCTAAAAACGTCAACTAGCGAGTTGACGGCTCCCGGATATAGAACCCATGTTATATCCGGCGCAAAGCCGAACGCGTAGATTAATATTCCCGTTCCTTGGATAGCGAGCGCCCTACTTAACCATAAAGCCTGCTGCATCTGAGATCTTGATATCATGCCATACCAGCCCATCCAGAAGTTCTAACAGTCGAGAAATCGTTTTTCCGAGCTCGATATTGCCAATGATGTCGCCAGTTGAGGTGCCACGCGACACAGTGCCCCACATTACTCCCACCACACAGCCATATGGCGGCCCAGCGGCTGCCTCGTCAAGTAAAAGGTCGGTCAGCACAACTGAGACGGTGCACGGCGCAGAAGACATGGTCGATGAGAAGCTGGAGAGCGGCACAGCGGTGAAGGGGCCGGCTGTTTTCCGCGGCTTCTGGCACGAGATGCTGTTCATCATGATTGTTACGTCGGCGCAATTGATTACTGTAAGTATCTCACAAGCTCCTTTTATGGTGAGCACGTGAAACTAAGACGTGTTCCGGCAAGTAGCAAGTCAACCTAGGTAATACGATTATACCGATAGCAGCTGTTGCGGAAGGACTGGGAATCCCGAATAAACCGGCAGATCAGAGCTGGTTTGTAGCAAGCTACTCGTTCGTTTCCCCGGATCATTCTCAGAAACCTTTGCTTACATCATCCCAGATGCACAGTCGGCGCTTTTGTCCTGATAACCGGCCGCCTCGGCGATATCTATGGCCGGAAGAATCTATTCCTGATAGGCTGGCTCTGGCTCGCAATCTTCAGTCTCGCAGCCGGCTTTGTTCGAAACCATATCGCCTTCGATGTGCTTAGGGCGCTTTCCGGTATCGGACCTTCGATCATGATGCCAAACGCTGCAGCATTGCTTGCCGGTGCATGGCCAGACACCAGATCCCGACACGACCAATCGCGGAAAATGCTCGCGTTTTGTGTCTTCGGCGCCATTGCGCCTGGTGGATATGTCCTCGGCGGGGCATGGGGAGCTGCAGTGATAGAGACGGGGCTACCATGGGGATGGATATATTGGAGTATAGCCATTGTGTGTATCGGTCTTGCGGTGGCTTCGTGGGCGGTCATTCCGAATACACAAGGACTGAATGGAAGAGGAGAGGGCACCGTGGATTATCTCGGTAGTGTAGTTGGAGTCACGGGCCTAATACTCGTCTTTGTTTCTTTGAAGTATTTCCCCCCATTCATGTCCCACTTTTGTGACCACATAGCTGACCACATCAACAGCGGCGGCCCAACTTTCGGCTGGTCAGCACCACAGACGCCTATATTACTAGTCGTAGGCCTCCTCCTTCTCGGCCTCTTCTGCCACATCGAGAACAAAGTCGCGCACCCAATCCTCCCTATGAGCATCTTCAAATCACCCACCTTCGTAGCCGTCGCCATCTCCCTCTGCGCAGGCTGGATGTCCTTCGGAATGTTCCAGTACTACCAACCACACTTCCTGATGGAATTCCGTGGTGTGAGTCCTTTGCAGACATCATTGCAGCTTCTTCCATGCGCGGTAATCGGTCTCGTCGCTGCCGTGTTGGCCGTAATACTGCTTCCACGGGTGCCTGGATACGTCATCTTCGGCGCCTCGATGATATCATTCTTCATCGGACAGACAATGCTGGCATTCACTCCCGTCGAGCAGACCTATTGGGCTATGACTTTTCCAACCTGTATCATCATCTGTTTCGGACCGGATCTCTCCTTCGCATGCGCCAGTCTCATCGCGAGCGATAAATTGAAACCGGAGGAACAGGGCGTGGCGGGGAGCTTTATCAACACCATCGTCAACTACTCCGTGGCGATTGGGTTGGCGCTGGCAGGGAATGTGGAGGTTAATGTTAATAATGGGGGGAGGGATAAGCTGGCTGGCTATCGGGGCGCCCATTATCTCGGCATGGGGTTGGCCGCCATGGGCATGTTCTTTACGGCAGTGTTTTGGAAGGGGATGGCGAAGCGGCACACCTCAGGGGATTGATTATCCTCATGTAAAGTACTATCTACGACTTAATATAGAGCATCTATTGTAAATGGGATTCACATATCGCAAGGCTCCGGATCAACACCACTCATCACTCACCAGCTCACCGCAATCCACGCGCCCGTTATCGCCGCTCCCACCAGCAAAACCGAAATCCCCAGAATCAACCCCACCAGCACGCCTCCCTCACCCCCACAAACCTTCCACACGCTCGCCGTCATCCCCGCTAGCCCTACAACCACCACCACTGCAGCCGTCAACCTCCACAGACTCCACCCCTCGACGAGCTCGAGCGCCAGTCCGTCGGTACTTCCACCCCGCCCACCACTACGTAGCATCTGAATACTATCGATAACCTCCTTCTCTAGACCCTCCACTCGCTTCGTCGCCATCTTCGGATTCCTAATCCCGCGCAGTAACGACTGGTGCGGAAACTCCATCACCTCTACATGCGCTCTCGGCAGCGTCACAATCCGGATATGCCGGAGGTGCTTGAGCGTCGACCAGCGTCCCCGGTGCGCCGTGTACGTCTGCATCAGATCTCGGAACAGTATTGCGTCTTTGTTTGTTGATGGAAAGGGGACGCGGGCGAGGGTGTTGTCCGGTGGCAGGATGAGGATCAAGTCCGGCCCATTGCCGTGGAGGAGGGGTGAGGCGGCGGGGAGGTTGTTGGCCAGGAAGGGACTGATCAACGCGGTGGGACTAGGATTGCCGCCGGGGATGTTGAGATATGATACTGGCGGAGGTATTCTCAGCCGACTGCCGGTACCAGTATCTCCACTGGCCGCACTCCCAGATCCCCTGGGGAGCTTGACCGGTATTCCCGGGTGTGGCATCCCCAGCACTGCCTTTTGCCTCCCCGTCTGATGCGCCGCTGGTGGTATTGCCGGCATCGCAATCGTTCTTGAGAGCCATTCCTCATTCCCACCCCCGCTCCCATCCTCTCGCAACGTCTCGGTCGAGCACCGTGCCTCAAACCAACTTTCATCTTCTGCCCTCCATTCCACGAAGCCGCGAAACCGTGGCTCATAAATCCACGTGCCCTCTGATGGCTCAGTGCCTTGGATACTCCTGGCGCGGTGGATCCGTGGGAGATCAGGCTCTGGAGAAAGGAGAAATAACTGCGCCGGAGGAATGCCGATGGTTGATGAGGGCTCTACGGGGAAGAGAACTCGCTGGGAGTAGTCGGTGTCGAGGATCGCGTGGCCTCGGTAGCTTTGCGGGTCTATGTCTTCTACTTTTGAGCTCATCGTGGTTTACTCAGCTCCCCCCACGCGTAAAAAAATATAGTGGATGAATGGATGGATGCCTGTCGTCGGTTGAGGGAGTGATGGGGGGAGGGAGATCGAAAACCGACTCGGTGATACGGATTGCCGAAGTTACGGGTGGTGTAGATACTGTGGAAAAGGGATCCAAACCGTCGGGAGTTGTTTCCCCCCCTTCCACCCCCATCCCAGGGCGGTTCCAAACAAAGGATCTGTAAAAAAACGCCACTGCCACCAGCCATGAGAATTTCGGCAATAGGACTTGGCCTCGTGACTCGTGTGCCAGAGCTATTGCTGCGGTATGTACTGGTCCCTCATCTCCTCTGCCTCATCTCTCCCCGCCTGCGGTCCAGAATGTGGGAAGTGTCGTACAGAACGTGGCAAAACGGGGGATCAAATTGAGGGGTCGAACTGCACTTCTAGATTCGTCAAAAGACAACGCGTCCTATGCTAGGACTGATAGGAGTACGAGTACAATGCTGAGACGGAGACAGGGAGAGACAGATAGAGAGAAGCAGCAGTAGAATAGTGTAATCCAACAAGAAGGAGCAGCATGAGAAAGATAAAAAACAAGGCAACCAAAAACTAGTGATAGAGTACAAGTACAGTTCATGTTTTATAATACCCATTCCAACAGTTCCCGCTCCGCTCTTACCATGCAAAAACAAAATGAAAGGACAAAAAGAACCCAAGTGATATAACAGGAAAGCCCTCTTAACCCTACAGCCCAGACACATACAAAAGGGCCCAAAAACGAAGCTACCAGTATCATTCAACACATACAATAAGACGGGTAAGAAAGTAAGTATACACAAGAAGAGAAATGGGGGAAGAAAGAAGAGAAGTCCAGTCTGCTATGACACCACTCCAGCGAAATCGAACCAGAAAGCTCACTGGAGATTCAGGTTAAGGGAAAGCGACTCGAGGAAGCCCGCAAGATCGTCTCGCTTGACCTCAACTACCGTCGATTCGAAGCTGTCGATCCGGATACGTGCCTGGGTGGAAGTGGCCACGTCTTGGAAAGCAATACCGAAACGATTCCTTCCGCCCTTCCGCTCCATTTCATGCTCGTCGTCGCTGTCATCGTCACTGTCGTCCTCTTCCTCCTCCTCTTCGTCGTCAAGACCCTCCTCTTCGAGCTTCCGCCGTGTTTCATCCTTCTCGGCTTGTTTGGCGGCCTCCTCTTTCTTCTTCTGGATTTTGAGGGTATTGGCGACATGCGATCCGAGAGCGGTTCCGACGACGACATAGACGCCCCTCCGCTCGTTCAGCGAGGCAACAACAAGCGGCAAATGCTTCTTCTTCGAAGCTTCACGTTCCTGCTCCAGAATGGCTTCTGATATCCAGAGTGCCAGCTTCGAGAGTGCGTTAGGATGTGTAAACACTGCGAGATCAGGGCCCTCTTTTACGACCGCAAGGCGAAAGGCTTTCAACAAGCGGATTTGACGCTTCTCGATTAGCGCCGTTCCGGTGCGTAAGATGGCTCGATGAAGGTTCATGGCGATGGGAAGGGCTGATTTGAGTTGCTCAACACTATTGGGCACCCGTTAGTGGTGTGGTCGGCGTGTAAGAGTGAGAAAACTTACTTGGTCAAAGAATCGTAGGCATCCCAGAAGTTGGTGATCCACTCCTCAACTTCCTTTTCTTCCTCTAGACGGCCCGCTTCTTCGCTGATTTCTTCATTAGGATCAACCAAGCCACTCTTCTGTCCCGCCTTCTTGCCCTTCCCGACTTCGAGGATTCCGCCAACGACGTACGCAACATCTGCCGCGCTGAGACATCCCCGCCATCCCCAGCAGCGCACGAACCCTTCTTTCACGACACCATCCAGACCGTAGAGCGGTGCGTATCGCTCGAGCTTCTCCTTTAATGTCCGTTTAAGATCCATGTCCATGTGTGTGTAGCTCTGCTTACACTGGCTGAGGCTGAAACCCATCTTTGCCAACAGTTTGTGGAGCCGCTTCCGTCCACTTTCGGACCAGATGTGTAGCTTCGTCCCGAGATACGACGAATGCAACATAGAATCGTATAGCGACCAGTGCCTGATCAGCATGAACCGATATTCCGGGCTGATACGTATGCTCGTGTCGGAAGGTGATCGTGCCGTCGTCTGCAGGGCTGTGACTCCCGAAACACCATTGGCGTTTCCGGAGCCCATAGCTGAAGATCCATTCAGATCAGGTGGGTTCAACCGGCGAACTTCATCCTTCAGAATGCCGCGTATCTGATCCTCACGAGTATCGGCACCCCATCCACCACCGGCAATTCGAGGAGGCCCAGAGTTTATAGTGCGGCCGTATGTTTCACCGGCACACACTCCGACAATGGAGAGCCAAAGGATGTCGTTGTCTTCACGGCCCAAATCGGCAGCGAGGGAGTAAAGAAGACTCGAAACAGGTTCGCCGTACCAGGTTCCCTGTGAATAATATGCCACGATTGTCGACTCATGTTTCCGTCGTAATCGGCGAAGTTTACGGCGGAGAGTTGCAGCTGATACTCCAGGGAGTGGTAGCTGCGGTTCCGATGGGAGATGCTGTGATGGTGAAGTAGGAACGAGATCACTGCCACCGCCTAGTGGTGGGGGCGACGATCCCATGGGGCGAGAGGACGCATGCGAGAGGAGGGTATGTTTGTGAAGTACAGGAGTGGAGGTGCCGGAAGACTATCATGCATCAGTTACCGCCCGCGGAGGAAAAGGAGGAGACAAACAATTACCCCCGCATCGCTGTCTATCCGTGGCCGTCGTGATCTGGCTGCACCATCCTCGTCTTCGCTATCTTCCATCGGATCGTTGGAACTCTTCCGTTTACGGCCGCTATTCTGGCTACTGTGTAGGTCGAGATCGACGCCGCCCTCTCCTTCCTCGCCATCACTAACCACTGTCTCTTCGTTGTCATCGTCGTCGTCCTCGTCGCTGTCGCTGTCATCATCTATCTCCGGCATATCGATCAAGACCTTGAACGCGTCTCGCTCCCGTTGCATCTCCTCCGCAATATCACCGTCGTCAAAGCACTTGATCCCGCCAACACTCTCGCCAACGCCATGACGACCGCCCGTAACCTTTCCACCTCTAGCAGCAACGTCTTCATCGCCCTCCTTCCCACCAGCATAGACATTGTACAAATTCCACGGCCTCCGTCCGTCTATGACCCAGCACTCTAAACCATCTTCTCTCGTAAGTTCCAGAAATGCCGACATATCAACCAATCCCCCCAACCCCAGACACACAATAAACTTCAATTCATCGTTGCCTTTGACCAACTTCTCATTCACCTTCTCGAGGTCTTGATACCCGGCTACCGGCTTGATCTGGTGCAGAATGTAGTCTCGCTTCAGGAGGGATGCGAGGATGCGTGCTGCACATAGGGAATCGGTGTCGAGGGCGCACAGGATCAAAACCGAGGTTGTCGAAGGGTTTGCGTTCTCTTTCAAGTGGGCGTAGGCGGACGAGAAAAGGGAGCGTGGAATGTACATTAGGGAGAAGTAAGGGTGTGGCGTGTATTGCACTGGCTTGACTTCCGCCTATCGAATCCAGAATTGCGAGTATGGATTCTTCTGCTCTGGCGAGTGATGTTTCGCGTTGAACTGTGTTCTTGGATCTAGAGGTGGGTTCGAGGTGGATGGTGGGAACGTTCGGGGGTCTCTAGGGGACGCGTTGGAAATGGGTTCGAATGCGAAGGGCTCGTGTCGACTTGGACTGGTAGGGACAGACGAGAACGGGATTCTTGAGGTACTCGGACAAGTGATGTTTAGGAGGACATTTGACGTTGCGGACGCTTGGGTAATCGTAAGGCGTAAGCTGTTGTTGTTTTGCGTGTTCCTAAGTTTTTGGGTGAGCGCGCGACAACACCCCAACACGCGCCAAGACGGTACGTCGCGTAAATAGAGACACTATCAATGTGGGACTAATTAGTGATCGAGATGAGTGAGATGTAGTGAAGTCAGAAGCAGGTTGCATCCGGAAGCCGTAGTAGCACTGACATACTTGGACACTGTCCGACTTTGGCAATGCTAGCACAGATCCAAGGACGAGGAACAAGTTCGGTCGAACCACGAGGTGTTATGCTCATAAAATGTCACTCTTAGGAGTGAAAATTGAAGTATCCGGCTGAGATTGGTTCATCGCTGCGTAGTATCTGCCGCATCGAACAGGGTCGAATGCAATGATAATTAAATAGAGAATATAAAGGCTCATCACTACGTTGTCGTGATCGGTCACAGTCGAATGCAAAATAATGAAACCAAGAAAACTCCACCGCCGCTATGGGGCCTGCTGTGGCCACCTCACAAACAGAACGAATTCGAATTCACGCACCACCATTGTATGATTTATCAACAGTATTGAACCAGAGTTTGCAAAAGAAGAATGTGCATCTCATTCCACTCTTCGTCCTAAAAGAAGAAAGGCAACCGCTTTATGGATGTACACCAACCGACGACTTTTACAAGCCACACCACGCTCCCGTTCGTACTCACACATGGTCAATCCTTTGTACCACCACCGCAGTTGAACCACCTCCACCATTGCAGATAGCTGCCACTCCAAACTCGCCAGGCTTCAAGGTGTACAACAAACTCGTCAGGATTCGACTTCCGGAGCTTCCCAGAGCATGCCCCAATGCAATCGCACCACCATTAACGTTGACCTTCTCAGCATCCAAGTCCAGAATTTGCCCGATTGCCTTGCTCACCGCCGCAAACGCTTCGTTGATCTCCCATTTGGCGATATCTTTCGTCTCGAGGCCAGCTCTCGAAAGCGCCAGTGGGATGGCAAGAGTAGGTGCAAGCGGGAAATCAATTGGCTTCGTAGCTGCGTCGGCGTAACCCACGATCCGTGCCAAAACTCCGTCTTTGCTGCCACCGTATTCCTGAGCAATATCCTGAGACCCGAGAACGAGGGCGGAGGCACCATCGGAGAAAGTGCTGGAGTTAGCGGCAGTCACGGTGCCCCCCTCCTTCTGGAATGCTGGCTTCAGTGTGGGAATTTTGGAGATATTGACGGCCTCGTACTCCTCGTCGATCTCAACCACGACTTCGCCTTTCCGCGAGGGCACCTTAACTGGGACGATCTCGGCTTTGAACTGGCCCCGTTCCCAGGCAGCCTTTGCACGGCGGTAGGACTCGATGGCGTATGCGTCCTGCGCCTCTCGGCTGATGTTCAGCTTCTTGGCGGTGTTCTCCGCGCAGTTGCCCATGTGGATCTGGTCGTACACGTCCCACAGTCCGTCCTTGATCAAACCATCCTCAAGCTTTTGGTGTCCAAATGGCGGTGCATTCCGGCTCAAGTAGTGTGGAACTCGGCTCATGCTCTCCATTCCTCCCGCCACCATCACGTCCGACAGCCCGAGCTGGATGTTTTGGGCAGCGAACACGACTGCCTTGAGCCCAGATGCGCAAACTTTGTTGATGGTCACGGCTTCTGTGGTCTCTGGCAGTCCAGAGAACATCACAACTTGCCGTGCCGGCGATTGGCCAACGCCACCCTGGAGGACATTGCCGAAGTAGAGGTCGGTCACTCGCTCCGCTGGGACGCCGGAACGTTGTAGCGCCGCCTTTACCACATGGCTACCGAGGACGGGCGCAGGGACGTCTTTGAAGCCGCCGTTGAACTGCAATCTTGTTAGATACCACCACAAAACCATAACAGGCGTGGAGATTAACTTTTCCAGTGGCGGTTCGTGCCGCTGACAGAATGTAGGCATCGTTTGCCCAGCAGGCGGCAGAGGAGCTCAGGCGGCGAGACGGTACTGCGGTAAGGGCGATATTGTTGGCCCGTAAGGCTCTTGAAACGAACGACATGGCTGTTTAGGAGGTTGGGAGTTCGGATGAAGGAGAGATCCAAAGCGGATGTGGAGGAAGGAAGCGTGTTGAAATCCTATTTGTCTCATCATCTCAAGTTCGGAGCTGAGCTGTGGCATGGCATGTGATGCGGGTCCTCCCCGCGGATAGCCGAGGTGGGGGCTGGTGGTGCTCAGCAACGAGCAACACGCCCTTTCGCCCGACATTGTGGCGATATCCAGAAGCTCTGAGAACGGTGAGACTTGGTCTGTTTGAGTTGTTGCTTTTGTGGAAACAGCCCAACAGTTCACCTGTGGCCCTGACTGTGAAACAATCCCATAGGCCAGCACGAGGCGACCCACGCCGACAGCTCTTCGCCATGTACGAACGATCGGTGGACTGCCTGCGATTTTCGGCAGGGCGGGACACTCCTGTCTAAATACTCTAGTTCTGTCGGGAGGTGTCTTCTTACGATGTAGCCAGAAGCACCTGACCCTCAACTATGCTTTCGTGATCCTGATCCCGAGCCCGCTGTCGGGAGGTTCCGGTGGCGTCTTGTCCTCCGTCATCGGCGCCTAGCGCGGTGCTGATTAATCCTCGTACCCCTGCAAACTCTGGAGTGCTTTTGCGCCATACTTGTTCAGCCCCAGCCTTCCCTCCTTCCTTCCCCTCTCGCTGTTAGCCTCCGACAAGCTCACTCCCCTCCGTTATCGTGAAGCGCTCCCCGAACCAAACAGTTGTACCGAACTCACTCCGGCACCTACGCCACTGCTGGCAACGACCCATCGCCATCATGTCTACCTCCGCTCGCCGCCGTCTGATGCGCGACTTCAAGGTTAGTCTTCTCTCTGCGTTCCGTTTCCCCACGCTTTGCGAGCTCCCGGTAGCTCCGAGTGTCACGTGTGGCGTTCAACCTTGTTTACTATGCGAAGCATAACTGACTCTTGTCCTTCCAGCGTATGCAGACCGACCCGCCAGCTGGTGTCAGTGCTTCTCCCATTAGCGACAATGTCATGACATGGTACGATACTCTGTAGGGCCGTCTTTGCCGTTGTACGTTACTAATGGCAACCCGCTTGACTTAGGAACGCTGTCATCATCGGACCTGCCGATACTCCCTTCGAAGATGGTACCTTCCGCTTGGTGATGCACTTTGAAGAGCAGTATCCAAACAAGCCCCCGGGCGTCAAGTTCATCTCGCAGATGTTCCACCCGAACGTTTACGCCACCGGGGAGCTGTGTCTCGATATCCTGCAGAATCGCTGGAGTCCGACTTACGATGTCGCAGCGATTCTGACGAGTATACAGAGGTGAATTAGTGCCTCATCTAATGTCAGGACGGAACCGATGGGCTGACTGGGTGCCAAGTTTGTTGAACGACCCGAACACTGCGAGTCCTGCCAACGTCGAAGCCAGCAATCTTTACAAGGAGAACAGAAGGGAGTATACTAAGAGAGTGAGGGAGACCGTTGAGAAGAGCTGGGAGGGCTAAGTTCACCTAGCGAACGGCGGTTCCACTGAGGCCGGAGGGGATGTAAACCACGACTTCTGATGTGTTGACAAACAATATATTACTCTTTCTGTCTTTCCCCGACGGTTCAACAATTTATTTTCTCTTTGCCTCGCGAAGGGCGAGGCTGTCGGTCAGCATTTGGGATTGGTATGGTTGCTTGTGGGGTCGGTGGCGTACGGCTTTTCGTCCGTGACGTTTCGTCCGAACGCTTTTTCGTTTCTTCTTTGTGTGCGCTCGTTTCGTCTGCCTCTTTCCTCAAGCACCTTACTTGGTTTGGGCATGGATCTTTGTTACCCTTTGTCATTCTCCTTTGCCAGTATGCAACACCTAGAACGATCAATTTTTGATGGCTGTAATATTTATACTTCTTTTGCTTTGATGAGTTGTCAAACAAATCTGAGCCAGAGTAGCGAGCGAGTTTCCAAAGCTGGCCCTTTCGTCAAAAAATAAAGAGCAAACTTGGGTGGGCACCTTTCAGCTGCAGAGTTCGGTATGGAGTAGCTATCAGGGAGCTGCCCAACAAAATTCATCAACATTCCAACCGTCCACAAATCCGATTGGACCGGACCACTTGTTAAGGTTGGTAGAGATAGGTAGAGAAGAGTGCAGAGTGATATTTTGGGAATACCTATCCGGCGGACTTAGAGTGATTACTAACGACAGAGACCCTGTGGACTTGGAAAATTACCCAAGTGGGAACTTGCAGGACCATCGCCAAACAGAGGACACAGCATTTCCGCTTCAGACAACCTCCAAGGGATCTCATTCAACCGAAACCATCACCACCGCCGGACGTGGGCTCCAAGCCACCCCTCCACAGTTCCCACTTCAACGACTTCATCACCGCTCCCAACGCGGCCACACGGAGTTCTCGCGCGCGCCCCACTCCACACTCCCCCCCATCGGACACCGAGCACCACCACCCCTCCCCCGAGTCGAGTCGGTGTCCATACTTGTACCGTCGCGGCTACCCGTCCGATTCCATCTCAACACGGTCTCTACGAAACACTCCGTGCGGTTCACACATCACCGCAGTCCAGCTATCAGGCCCCTCCTCCCCTGACACGGTCACTCCCGAGCGAACCCCCGAGTCCCCTCCGCCGTCCAGTGCCGGCGATAGCGACATCCACACAGACCACCCGCACGTCCGTTTAGTACAGCAGCAATCATGGCGTAAGTATATTGTTAGAATTGCCGTGTGTTTCTCGATGGAATTGAAAGCTGACCGACATGCTAGGAGCGGTGGTGGAACCGGAAGCTACAACACCATCAAGGGTATGTTGCATTGGAGCTTGTTTGCTTTTATGCAAGTTGCCGACGAAACAAATGCTTACCTCAGGTGTTCAACTGTAGTGGTGGCTCGGTTTCGACCGCAGAACTCGATGGAAATACGCGAAGGTGGTGAACCGATTGTTCATTTCATGTCCGATGACACCTGCGAGCTCAAGGTACTATTCCTCTTTGGCGAGTCTTGCATTGCTGCCGCTGCGGATAAGCGTACTGAGTGGGTGGCTTGCCCAGACCAAAGAATCGTCCACCTTCACGTTCGACCGAGTGTTCGATATGAAATCCAAGCAGAAGGACATCTTCGACTTTTCCATCAAGCCCACGGTCGACGATATCTTGAACGGCTACAATGGAACTGTCTTTGCGTACGGTCAAACCGGAGCTGGAAAGTCCTTTACCATGATGGGAGCTGGCGATATCGAGAACGAAGACACGAGGGGTATTATTCCTCGGATAGTTGCACAAATCTTCGAGTCCATCCTACAATCTCCATCGAACATTGAGTACACCGTGAGGGTGTCTTACATGGAAATCTACATGGAGCGCGTCCGCGATCTTCTCAATCCCGCCAATGACAACCTGCCGATCCACGAGGACAAGAACCGGGGTGTGTACGTCAAGGGTCTGCTAGAGATCTATGTCTCGAGTGTAGGTGAGGTGTACGAAGTCATGAGACGGGGAGGTTCGCAGCGAGCAGTGGCAGCCACGAACATGAACCAAGAGTCATCGCGGTCTCACTCGATTTTTGTGGTCACGATCAATCAGAAGAACGTAGAATCTGGGTCCTTGAAGACCGGATCGCTGTACCTTGTCGATCTGGCAGGTTCCGAGAAGGTTGGAAAGACCGGTGCATCCGGACAGACGTTGGAAGAAGCGAAGAAGATCAACAAATCGCTATCAGCTCTAGGAATGGTCATCAACAGTTTAACGGACGGCAAATCAGCATATGTTCCGTACCGTGACTCCAAGCTCACCAGAATTCTTCAGGAGTCGCTTGGAGGTAACTCCCGGACAACGCTCATCATCAATTGCTCTCCCTCGTCATACAACGATGACGAGACGCTCTCGACGTTGCGCTTCGGTATGCGCGCCAAGTCTATCAAGAACAAAGCGAAAGTCAACGCTGAGCTATCACCTGCGGAACTCAAGTCTCTGCTCGGCAAGGCGCAGAAGCAAAATCTCACATATACCCAGTACATTACAAATCTGGAGAGCGAGGTTGTCAGCTGGAGAGCTGGCGACAAGGTGCCAAAGGAGAAGTGGATTCCCTCGTTAAAGCTAGAGACTTCCGGAAAACCCGATGCCAGGCCTAGAAGACCAGACACGCCCTCCCGGATGGTTGCCGAACGAGAGTCACCGACACCATCGCGGCCGGACAGCAGAGCGGAAGGCACCAGAGCACCAACTCCGGTTACGATCGAGAAGGATGAAAGGGACGAGTTCTTGCGAAGGGAAAATGAGTTCCAGGACCAGTTGTCGGACAAGGAGTCACAGCTTGCCGCGGCGGAGAAGGCGTTGAAAGAAGTCCGGGAAGAGTTGGCGTTCCTCCGGGAGCATGACTCGAAGATGGGCAAGGACAACGAGAGACTTTCGACAGACGTCAATGAGCTCAAGATGCAACTCGAGAAGGTTTCGTTCGAGAGCAAGGAGGCGCAAATCACCATGGATGGTTTGAAGGAGGCGAATGCCGAGCTGACTGCGGAGCTGGATGAGATCAAGCAGCAACTGCTAGATGTCAAGATGCAAACTAAAGATGCATCCGCACAACTCGATGAAAAGGAGAAGAAGAAGGCCGAAAAAATGGCCAAGATGATGGCTGGATTCGACCTAGGTGGTGAGGTGTTCTCCGACAATGAGCGGATGATTCGCGAAGTCATAGAGCGACTGGATTACCTTATGGAGCACTCCGGTACTGGCGACGAGATCTCCGCGGACGACCTCAAGGAGCTCCGTGCCAAGCTTTTGGAGACGCAAGGAATCATTCGGCAAGCCGAGCTCTCTCTCAACGAGCGAACCGAGGAGCAGGAGGCGGCTTTCCGGAAGAAGGAGGAGCTTGAGAAGCGACTTCTCGTCTTGGAGAAGGAGTACGCGGCCGTTCTCGAGGGTGCCGTCGGCGAGGCCGGCACTGCCGAGGTTAAGGCCAAGTTAGAGGAGACATACAAGAACAAGAGGGACGTCGAGACTCAGATGCTGGAGGATCTCAAGGCGGAGATCGCGAAGAAGACTGAAGAGAACGAGAAACTGAAGGCCAACGCTGAGGACCTGCAAAGAAGGGCTAAGGCTGGTGCCAATGGAGCGCTGCCCAATGGCAAGACCATTGCTCAGCAAATTGCCGATTTCGACCAGATGAAGAAGAGCTTGATGCGGGATCTGCAGAATCGGTGTGAACGGGTAGGACTTCTTTCTTCTGGAAGCATGAAAACATTTTGCTTACTTTATATACTTGTTAGGTGGTGGAACTGGAGATTTCCCTGGATGAGACGAGGGAACAGTATCACAACGTCTTACGATCGTCGAACAGCCGTGCCCAACAGAAGAAGATGGCTTTCCTGGAGCGGAATCTTGAGCAGCTGACGCACGTTCAGAGGCAATTGGTGGAACAAAACTCTGGACTGAAGAAAGAGGTTGCTATCGCTGAGAGAAAACTCATCGCTCGTAATGAGCGGATCCAAAGCTTGGAGAGTCTCCTTCAGGACTCTCAGGAGAAGTTAACGGCGGCGAACCATCGGTATGCCGCTGCTCTCCTTCGCTGTGTAACTATAAGGCTTCCCCGCTGACAATCCCACAGTTTCGAGACTCAGCTTACTGCTGTCAAGGACCGGCTGGAAGCTGCGAAGATTGGCACCAAGGGGCTCGGCGGACCCGCTCAGTTCAGCTTCCAGGGCAGCCGAATCGCCAAGCCACTACGGGGAGGAGGCGGCGGCGCCACAACCCCCGGCGGCGATGCGGCGACCGTCCCCGTCCTATCAGGGACCGTGGGCAGCTCGGCGCAGCAGGAGGGCCAGCAGAACAAGAGAAGTTCGTGGTTCTTTGACAGAAGTCGGTAGAGCGATTTGTCATTGTTATTTCCTTACTTTCTTCTCTCGGCCTGTTTTTGTTTCCTGGTTTGTTTGATTGGTTGGCTGGATGGCGGTGAGCGGTGTGCAGGTAGTGGCGGCAGCGGCGGCTGGGGAGTAGATAGGTTCATATTTTTTGCCTTGTTTGTGTATGTGTCTTCCTTTTGACGAGGGGAGGTGGAGTCGCTCGGGGGCGGAGTCAGAGAAAGGGGGCGGAGGAATAGGGAGGGAGAATGAGTACGAACAAATATGTTGCTTTTACTACTTCTTACTTTATCTACGACCCTTTTTTTTACTGTTCTTTCCATTCTTTCTATCGGTATTCTTCTGTAACGGCTTCTACTTCTACTTCTTCTACTTCTTCTTCTACTTCTTTACACTTATTGCATATAGGTACTGCGCCGCTGCCATTTTACCCTTATGTACCCTTACCCTTATATTCCCTCCAAAGCGTCTTCCATTGATTGCAATTTGCAGCACTGCAGCACAGTTTCATTTCCTCATTTCCTCATTTCTTCATTCCGTTTTTGTTTCTTCTGGGTGTAGTTAACTACCGTCTACCTATATGGACGCTGGAGGTGGGGAGATACCGGTATCATAGATAGATATGGGAAGTGGGGAACAAGTAAGCTCGCTTCATGTCAGGAATATACATAGCAAGGGCAATCACACGATATCATTCATGATTCTGCCTCTTCCCCTCTGCAGGCTTACTCCCCGCGACTTGGCCGATCACATAGCACATCCGCCGCTGGTTATCACATACCTACCGGCGGAAAGAGGAACTTACACATGTTACATAGGCAGGTTTACCGACCTACCATAGAATGATAGCACGTCCATTGGTTTTCCATCACTTCCTATGACTGCCATGTACATACGGGGAGCATGGCACGAGCATCCAATTTTTCTGGCAAGGACACAGACAGAGCGGGTAGGTAGGTAGCTGCTGACAAAGATTGCATGTAGTCGACCGTATCGACGCATTGTGCACGGTGATGATTCGTGAAATCGGACCTTTTCCGGACTCCGGAAGCGCCACTTCCCGCTGTCAATGCGCCACAAGGGGCGGCCTCCCATCATGCCATGACCTTGCAAAGGAAGGCTTTCCATCCCTCAGGTTTGCACGCTTCCGCCAACCACAATCGTGTTTTGATTTTCTCAGTTTTACGTTTCAGGCATGCACTTCCGACCGTCCGATTTATATACCTACCCACATACCGTATTCCCGTGCGCAGTTCCCCCCTCCCCCAGGGCCCAAGAACCAAGGCCCAATGCCCAGGGCCCAGGTCACACATGCTGCAGCCGCACGATATATCACTCATCCCATCTGCCTGTGATTGCAATTTGCAGGGCTCCATGGGCTATGGGCCATGGCGCATCACTCTGCGCCGCGGCCAGCCATTGTGGCGGCGGCGGTTACAGATGGGAACTTCACTTTCTTCCTTCCTTCCCATCTCCCCATGGCTGCCGCCGCGCTGGTTGCAGATAATCCGTGCATACCTACTCTACACATGTAATGGATGGCAGGGTGCAGCCCGCTCGGCAGTACCATCCTCTTATACCCACCTCGTACATACCTGCGTACCTACTCTACATGGCAGCTGGGTTGGTATGTGGAGCAGATCCATCATCCCCCTGCCTGCGGCGCTACGCGTCCATCTAAAGAATCTATGTGTTCGGACTGGAGTCTAGGAGTCTGGACCAATGGACCCAGACCGCTCGTCGCGCCAGCCTTCAGGCCTTGCTTTTCGAATTCGATAGTTATATCTTCACAACGTCATGGCATTGCATCGGTGAAGCGAGAGCGCGAGAGCGCTCCCGGCAATCCAGTCCAGTTACCAGTACCAGTAGCTGGAAATTAGGATCCGATCGTACGAGCTGAGGTGCTGAGGTGCTGAGGTGCTGAGGTAGAAATAACGCCGGCGCATATGGATAGAGTATATAGTGTTTGAGACTGCTGGGTGCATTGCGTGACGCGAGGGGCCAGAGGCGAGAGCCTCGACTCTCGACTGCGAGACTGCGGGCGGTGGACGTTTCTCCACACCGCATCGCATCACGAGATCTCGCCCGCGCGCCCGCCCTTGCTACTCTAACTCCGACGCGGTCTCAGAACCCAAGTACCTACTCCACTTCATAGCGGCTGCTCTACGTAGGTTATGCTATTCCATTCCTCCGCTCTGCTCCAGATCTCCAGCGCTTCTTCTCTACATAGGTAGTCGTCAACCCCCCCCTCACTGAGTGCACGAATCGACAGGACCGCAGCGGCGTCGAATTGGATTTTGGATTTTGGGGCTTATGCACGATGACGCTGGAATCGAAAGGGTCCACACATTTCGCTGGTTCGTTCGTTCGCTCGTTCGCTCGCGTCGGGGCGGGGTGGGGTCGACTAGAGCAGAGAGGGGGGGGAGGGGGGGACTCTAACGGTTTTCGCGAATGCGGGTGTTGAACTGGAGGTGGCGGGTTTTCGTGGAGAGGAGGAGAGTAGGTGTGTAGGCGGAGAGGGAAACGGGGGACGGGGCGCTGATGTTTCACGGGCCTACTGTACGGTACTCTTCGCTGCTCTGCTGATGCTCTAGGTACCACGGTATATAGTACTTGGGCAGCGCTGCCATCACGACAGACGGCTGCACAGTACTATGAACGTACCTCGATATGTAGAGTAGATGTGCGGGGCCCAGTCGCCGCACCGCTCTGGCCGCCACCGCCTCTGCTCCCCTCTGCTCCCCTCTGCTCCCCTCTGCTCCCCTCTGCTCCCCTCTGCTCCCCTCTCCTCTCCAGGTAGCGCAAGCTGTACGATACATAGCATAAGTGTAGCGTACATATACGAGTGTGACGAAGGATGCAGGGTCACGCCGCCGCGCACACTCACACATCACACATCACACATCCACACCAATACCCACACCCACATGCTCTCTCTCTCTCTCTCCCTCTCTCTCTCTCTCTCTCGAGGAGTCGAGGTTGCAACGGTCAAGATTTTTTATTTCTTTTATCTGATTTCTTTTTTTTTGCGGTGAGGTGAGGTGATGAGTTTATTTTTTTTACTCTGGCTAGCAGAAAGCAAGCAAGCAGGCAGGCAGCGAGTAGCCGGCCGGTGAGTTGTTCGGGCGCGGTGCTGCCTATCATTCGGTCAACGTGCATCGTCTCTGGCAGGCCACCGGACGACGCGGTGGTGGATGAGAAAGAAGAGGAGGAATGGCGTTGCTCCAACGGTCTCCGTATTTTCAGACGAGGACGACGGCGGGAAGGCAGATATCGCAGTCGCTAAGTAGTTCATACGCAGGCCAGGCAGGTGCTTAGATATGCTATGTGAGTAGATAGAGCAGAGCGAGTCACCCTCTGCGGGCGGCGGCGGCAAGACTTGGGGCCGCTCCCATTCGTTATCACAGGGCCCGGGCTTCCTGCAAGAGCGCAGCACGTTCTGTCTCTAGATTCACGTTGCTCTAACTACTTTGGCGTGCAAGTCGTGCTCCGGAAGGTAGGGTTCGGCTCGGAAAGATAAAGGCAATAATGATGATGCTGGTGATGATGAGGCGGAGGGGAGGGAGGGAGAGAGAGGGGGAGGAGGGGAGGAGGGGAGGGCATCTGAAGCCGCTTTCCGTGCGGCGGATCCTCTAATAGCAGTAGAGTATTATATAGTACGGATACTCCACGTAACCAACGGGCGGATGTTTCTCTTGCGTTGCTGTCGTCGGCGGTTCGTTCAGGGTTCGAACAAATCTATTTACCGCGCCATGTTCGACAGACCGACCGACAGCGCGCTCCGCTCCATGCAGGTCGTTGTTTGCATCGAAGCTTCTTCATATGATGTATGCGTGCCCCGTGAAGAACGACAATCATATTGTCGATTTTCTCCGTGTTTAGTTTACATACCTTGCCTGCCTCCTTTCGGAGTTTAGCGCATTCGTTGCCAACGTGCGTGGTCTTGAGATCGTCCGCCAGCCAGTCAACCCGCCCCCCTAGAAAGTGCGAGGGAGGGAGGCAGAGTCGCGAGCGAGGGAAGCGAGCGCTGGACCGGCGACGGAAGAGGACGGACTGAACTGGACTTGGGCTTGGGCTCAGACACGCGTAGACGAGTGATACATCGTACGGCCAGACTCCCGTGAAACCACCGCGGACGGAGCGAAGAAAAGAAAAAGACGGCGATAGAAAGAGAGCAAAACTATTAGCGGAGAGGGAGCGAGAGAGACGATCTTTAAGAGGACGACGGAGGAGAAAAGTGACCGATCGACCGCGCGCGACGTCGAACGCGGAGTTTGGCTTGACTTGACTGCACTGGCCTTGACTTGACTGCACTGGACTTGGCTTGACTCGACGACGAACAGCAGCCAACGTCCGGCGCCAACCAACAACGGCCAAACTCCACCACCACCACCACCACCACCACCACCACCACCACCTTAACGGCCGACCCTACTGTTATTTACTACTGCGCTCCCCACCTCGTGAACAGCTCAGCACCCAACCAACCAGTCGCATCTCACTACCTCGACTCCTCCTCCTGCTCCTACCTCAACTTCTCCTCCCTCACTCCACCTCGTTCCTCCTCAGTTCTTCTTCTCCTACCTCCCACCCTACTCCCTCGCCCTCTTTAACGAAAACATCCCCCAGACCGTTAAAGAGAATAATAATAGCCACGAACGACGGACGGGCAACTCCTGCCTATCGTTCGCCAAACACTCGATACACCCATCGCATTCGATCCCACATCCTCTGTCGTGCGGTTGTCTGACCCGACCCGACCCCCGAAAAAGGCTATCACCAGCCACCAGCCAGCCACCAAGCACTGCTACTCTGACTACTCCTACTCTTACTACCACTACTACTACACCACCACCACCACCACCACCACCACCACCACCACCACCACCACCAACACCACCACCACATATACTATTGCTCCCCACCTCATCCACCTTTCTCCACCTCTAGTACCTACCCGCTCCTGTCAGGCGACAGAAAAACTATTCACAGATGGGGAACTGCGGGTCATCGTGTTCGTCATGCTGCAAAGGTAAGCACGCCGCACGCTACCCCGTCATCCGACGATAACCAACGGGCGCGACCCGTGAAAATGAAAAAGATGAAAAGAAAAAAACTCTAACTTATATCTCTACGTGTAGGCCGGTCGCGCGACGGTGGACTCTATGAACCCGTCTTACAGGACAGTGAGCGAGAAGCGGTGTCGGATCTGCTACAATATCTCGAGAACGCACGTCATCCCACATACCCCCACCCCCCCAATATTTCTCCACCGCGAACGAAAACCTCCTTCGCTTTGTTCGATCGACTCGGCTAACCTTCGTAACAGCGGTCCGAAGTCGACTTCTTCAGCGGGGAGCCTCTACGAGCGCTCAGTACGCTGGTATACTCCGACAATGTCGACCTACAGCGAAGCGCGAGCTTGACTTTCGCCGAGATCACCGAACGAGGTCGGTCCCCTAACCACTCCCGGCTCGACTCATGACGGTTCGGGTCGTATGTTTCATAGTTGCTGACCGATGTGGACGTGTAGATGTTCGGGAGGTCGATCGCGATACGTTGGAGCCCATCTTGTTTCTCCTGCAAAACCCAGATCTCGAGGTGCAGCGGGCCGCTAGTGCAGCGCTCGGCAACCTCGCTGTCAATAGTACGTATTCGAGTCGGAGACGCGCAAGCAGAACTGGGGGGCTAACGAGAAGAAATAGCCGAAAACAAGGTTGCGATTGTACTGTTGGGTGGTTTGGCACCTCTGATCCGTCAGATGATGTCGCCGAACGTCGAGGTGCAGTGCAATGCCGTTGGATGCATCACCAACCTGGCGACCCACGAGGACAACAAGGCGAAGATTGCGAGGTCAGGAGCCCTCGGTCCTCTGACCAGACTGGCGAAATCAAAGGATATGAGGGTCCAGCGTAATGCTACTGGGGCTCTGTTGAATATGACACATTCCGGTACATAGGCATATTCACCCGTACTTTGCAGAGATTTCTCTCACTTTTTTTGTTTGTTTTGGCGACTGCTTGCTGACCGGTTAACCCTGCAGATGACAATCGACAACAGCTCGTCAACGCGGGTGCCATCCCCGTTCTCGTTTCCCTCCTCTCGTCCCACGATGTCGATGTCCAGTACTACTGTACCACCGCCCTCAGCAATATCGCCGTCGACTGTAACAACCGGAAAAAGCTCGTGGCGACTGAGCCAAAACTCGTTTTCTCTCTCGTCCACCTGATGGATTCCTCGAGCCCCAAGGTCCAGTGTCAAGCGGCGTTGGCGCTACGAAACCTGGCGTCGGATGAGAAATACCAGTTGGAGATTGTTCGTGCCAAGGGCCTGCCGCCGCTCCTCCGGCTGCTTCAGTCCACTTTCCTTCCTCTGATCTTGTCCGCCGTCGCCTGCATCCGCAACATCTCAATACACCCCCTCAACGAGTCACCCATAATCGAGGCCGGATTTTTGAGGCCGTTGGTTGATTTGCTCGGGTCGACGGACAACGAGGAGATTCAGTGCCACGCCATCTCGACGCTGCGGAATCTTGCCGCCAGTTCGGACAAGAACAAGGAATTGGTGCTGGAGGCGGGTGCGGTCCAGAAATGCAAGCAGCTGGTTTTGGACGTGCCTCTGAGCGTTCAATCCGAGATGACCGCCGCCATCGCGGTTCTGGCATTGAGCGACGATCTGAAGGCGCATCTACTGAGCCTCGGTGTGTTCGACGTGTTGATTCCTCTGACCGCTTCGGAGAGTATCGAGGTGCAAGGAAACAGCGCTGCTGCCCTTGGAAACCTGTCTTCAAAAGGTGGGCCGACACTCCTCGGCAATCCAACGCCCCGAATTCCGTGCTAATGTGACTGCAGTTGGCGATTACTCGATGTTCGTTCAAGACTGGCAGAAGCCTGCGGGCGGTATTCACGGTTACCTCAAGCGATTCCTCGAGAGCAATGACCCGACATTCCAGCACATCGCCATCTGGACCCTCCTCCAACTGCTCGAATCGGAGGACGCCAAGCTAAAGGCGCTGATCAGTCAGTCCACGGAGATCGTATCGATGATCCGCGAGATCGCGAACAAGGCGGTAGACTCTGACGATGAAGGTGACGATGGCGAGGCAGAGGTGATCTTCCTCGCACGGAGGTCGGCAAATCTGTTAGAAGGCGCGGATGGTTCTGTTGCCATTGCCAAAACGCAGTAAAACCAACGCAGAAATGCGGTAATGTTAATTCGATGGGATACGGAATGGAGAAGGCTATGGGAGATGTTGATGATTTGGCGACGCTGTCTGACGGTTGTTTTGATCGTTTTCGCGGGCTTTGGTGGCACAGCTTTTTTTCCCGTTCTTTTCTCCACATGATACTCGCTTTCGTTCGTTGACGTTCTGCATCCCGCTGTGTCTTTATGGCATTCTTGCTTTTTTTGTTTTGCTTACCTGCTTACCTCTACCTTCTTACCTGCTTTTCTGCCTTTTTTTCTTTTTTCTTCATCGTTTGCACTGCACTGCGTGGGGTTTGTCTGCTGGGTGATGAGCTATTGGGATTGGGTCGGGAAAGCGATTTGACAGGGCTGAAATTTTTCATGTTTCTCATCAATGGTCTACGAGTTTTCTTTTTTCTTTTTTCCTTTTTTCTTGTCCTTTTGATTTCTTCTTCTTTTCACGGTGTTTGGTTCGGTGGATGGATCGATCGATTATCGAAGTTTACTTGGTAGTCCCTTCTATCTCTCTCTCTCTCTCCCTTGTGGCTGGCTGGCAGATGCGGGGGGGGTGGTGATGGATGGTGACGGCTGGTTAAATTGCAACGGAATCGAGAATCGGGACTCGGGAGGGAGGGGAGGTGGGAGGTATGGTATGCGACAGGGCTGGAGGACTGGAGGACTGGGAGGATATATGGGATCCGGTATGGGAATGGGTATGGGAATGGGTATGGCCTCGAGCGAGTATGGGGTATGACGATCGGGAGTGATTCGACCTGCTTGTTTGCTTGGCCTGTGTATGATGAGATGGATGGATGGATGGTTGGTTGGTGCCTTTGAAGTTTGAAATGTATCACGACGGAATTCGGGTTCGGTTCGGAACGGGTGACTGGCTGGTGGGATGGGGTGGAGGGGGGGGGTGGTGGAGCATGCAGTGGCGGAGGGAGGGGGGATTGGGCTGGACTGGGGAATGTGAGAGGGCCACCTACTCTATCGATTCTGTGCCTTCAGGAATCAGGCTTCGTTCTTTCTACTCGATGATTTATTATTATCTACCGTATACCATACCGTGCTCACTGCTCACTACTTGCTCCGTTTGCAACTGCGCAGGTCGGGATTCTGCCTGATATGCTTACTCTAGCTTGTTGTGATATGTGCATTGCGGCATTGCGGCATTGCGGCTTTGACTTTGTTATGGTTATGGGCCTTTGTTGTTGTTATTGTTTTGGTTGTTGTTTTGGTTGTTGTTTTGGTTGTGCTTCTAGAATACCAAGGTAGGTATTCCATGGAGGGTATGGTATGTGAGTAGAATCACTCACGGAAGCACATACTTGATCTGACAATAAGTATCTCAATATTCGTAATCAAGAACGGCTTCATATCTTCAGTATGGAAAGCCTCAATTGCGGCGGCGGGGTGCAGAAGTCTGAATTGACGTACCAGGAGCTGCCAATAAGTGGTGCCTCATCTCCATTACGAATTATAAGCACTAGTCTATATCAGGAGGGCACTATGCCAGATACAATGAAATGAGTGAGTGGTTGTGACTAAGTGGTATGGGGAAAAACGCTAAGTTGTATAGGGGAAAACCTGATGAGGCAGCACTTACGCTTACACCCGAGTACTTCATATAGATATCATGCATCTGGTTACGTACCGCGTACTAGAGTGTGGAGCCAAGCCTGATCTCTCTGCTTTCGTGCATCTTGTGCATCTTGTATAAACCCAGATCTCCGTGGCTTCGTGCTTCTGCGGACGAGCTTGGAAGTTGAGACGAGCTTGGAAGTTGGGACGGTTTTTGCTCTCCCGATCTGTTCTCCCGATCTGCTCTACTCTACATACAGTCTACAGTCGCGAGTGATACACAATGCACTCCACAGTTCCCACTCCACTCGGTTGCCTGGAGTGGGGGGAATCCATACATAGAGTAGCAAGAACTCGTTTCGAGTTTCAGATCCTGCACGTGCAGTCGCGTTAACTACTCCTCGATACTCTACATACCGTATCATACCAGCCTGCAGCTGGGGGGGGGATCTGGAGAAGGCGATTGGCAGAGCGCTCGATTCGGTGTGTTTTGAATTCGCAGTCTTACTGCACGCCGCGCCTGCGGTGTGGTATGTAGAGTACCGTATAGGTATGGTGTATGGGTGGGCATCGCACGCGACGCGATGTGGTAGGTAGACTAGATAGAGAAGTGGGGAAGAGGGGAGGATGGTTGCGCGGTGCTGCGGATGAAGGTGAAGGTGAAGGTGAAGGTGAAGGTGAAGGTGAAGGTGAAGGTGAATTGATGGTGATGATGCTAGGTGGGAGGGACTGCCTCGGACTCCGGAGGCTGACGGACTAGGGAGGAGAGCACTTGAGTCTTGGGTTTAACGGCTGTAAGAATAGCCACGTACGTAGAATCCAATTTCACGGGTTCGTTTGATGAGATTGTTATGATCGGTCTGTGTGGCGGTTAGCTGGAACTGGTCGCTTGGGCTTGGGCTGGGTTAGAGTAGGGTGGGCGGAGGGGGGTGCGAGAAGAGAGACAAGGCTAGCGAAGGCCCGGGGGGAGGAAGGAGTAAGTAGAGTAAGGAAGGGGGTTGTTTTTGTTTACACCTTACACCCTCACACACCACACACGCCCTCACGGCACACACAACACTCTTTCTTCACTACCACCACCACCCACCACTGTCTCCACCACCTACCCGTGTCATTCCTTTAATAAATCAACACTCGCTCGTTTGCCTTCTCTAACACTGCCACCCCCCCTTCAACCCACCACACCTTCTTTTACTAACCCACCACCAATTCCCATTCTATCACTTCCCCTTCCCACCCCCCCATCGCCATCGCCATCACCACACAGCAAACTACGCCAGAAAAACGCCAGTCAAAAAAAAAGAACAAAACCCCGAGGCAAGAAGAATAGCAACGGCTGTGAAATTATTGCATTTTATGACGGCGTTGTTGAGCGTGGTTTTTAAATTCTTGTAATTACAATTTTTTAATCCTTTTTTTTCTTCTTGTCTTGTAAGTTTGTTGTGTGCACACATGAAGAATCCCTATTCCACCGTCTCAGAAAGCGAAAATAAAAAAGCAATTGACTGACCTGTGTGTGTTTCTGTTGTAGGTTTTTATAGTTGTGATACCCCCATACACCTCCTAAATGGAGTCCTCGATACCGCCCCGTTCACGCACATCCCGTCGGTCTCGCCCCTCGCTCGCAGCTTTCACAGACAGCGGATACGAACCCTCACGGCCGTCGACCTTCTCGAAGGGCAAGAGCTCGCTCACACGACCACACTCGACGCGCCATGCGGATGGCTCGGCGCCTGCGCCGCGAAGAGGAAGCCTCTTTGGCGACTTGTTCACCGATCCCGCAGCGGCGAGCAATATGTTCCCTTCCTTCCGAGGAGCGAAGGGTAACACCATGAAGAACCGGACGGCGTACCCGTTTCCGATGGACAGTGCCGAGGCGGCATCCGTGAATGGCGGCGGGACCATAGTTGGCCCGCCCCATGGAACTATCACGGCTGCTGCGCACAGTACTAGTGGTGGAGGTACGAGCGGTTCCGGAACGGTCTCTAAGAGTGGCTCGTCGGCGTATCCGCGCACAAACACTATTTCGCGCAGCGCAACCATCAGCTCCGCCTGGAGCGGCGTCAGCAATCGCTTGTTTATGGAGTCGATCATGGGCACTGGAAACGAACGTGAGGCGAATGAGTTCACCCAGCAGTTTGACAAGTTGGCGAAGAAGCATGGGATTCAGCCGTTTCCGAAAGACTTCAAGGCCGATCCCACGTCCGTGTCCGTGTCCAGTGCGTCGCAGAATGTCAGCTCCGGGGAATCGACGCCGCCGACGATGAGGGGGAATAAGCTGTGGAATAGGTTGCTGCGACGGACGCCGTCGTCGATGGATGTGTCGAAGCTCCATGGAAACATGAAGCTGACCCTTTCGAGGAGGAGAAACAACGAAGTTAGCGACTTGGCGGCGATTGGAAAGGGGAAGCGAGACTCGCTAAAGGGAATGCATCTCGAAGATATGATTCGGCTGGGTGGAGTGGCGATTCTCAATTTGCCGCTTGGACTTTCGCCTGGAGACTTGCTCATTCCTACTTGCATTCATGCGGCAGCGTCTTTTCTGTTGAACAACGGTATGTCCTGAACGTCCGAGTGAGGGGGTGAGTGAGCCAATGAGTGAGTGAGTGAGACTGACGGTGATTTTTCGCTTCGCAAAGGCCTGAGAACTCCTGGTATCTTCAGGATCTCGGGGAATGTGAACACAGTGTACGCGCTGTACGACCACTATCAGAAACAGTTGGAAGAGAATAACAATGGAGCTGTCGTTGCAACTACCGCCCTCGCAAGACTGCCTAGCCACATTAACTACTCGATCCACGATGTCGCGCACCTCTTCAGAAAGCTTCTGCACGGACTGCCTGGCGGACTTCTAGGATCCCCTGCGGTTTTCCAGGCCTTGTACAATATTCACCGCTTCGTTTACCCCGACCCTTCGCTCGGCGATGACATAACTAAAAACGTCAAACCACGCATGGTCGCCCTTGCTATTTCGTCCATCAACCTCCACTTCCGCATCTCGCTCATCTGCGCTGTGTTCGGGCTTTTGCGGGCTATCAGCTTGGCGTCGGATCAAGATGTGGCTTCCAAAGTCAGGGACCCGCATGAGATATTCGCACAATTGAAGGATGATGCCCTGGGCATAGTTTTCGGACCGCTGCTTCTGGGCGACAAGTCGGACCACATCCTTACCGAGGATCTGGAGGATCGCGGTGGTCTCTTGGTGCTTGCGTCTGTCGGACCGAGTGCGAAGAATAGCTCGAGACTAGGAAAGGGCAGCAGTAGGTCCAGAGGGTTTGACCTCGGATATAGCAAGAAACAGCTCGAAAAAACGAAGCGTGCGGCGATGGTTTGCCAGATGCTTATCGACAACTGGGAAGACATCTGCTACCAGATGAAGCGGATCAATACGCTTGGTGCTACAGCACAGGCGTACGATCTTCCGGCCGACGCGCAGTCCCAGGCGGATTTCAAGTACATGTATGAGGACCCGAACAGATCCATCCGCGCAGAATCGAAGCGGTCTCCCCAGGGCTTGGAGCGAAGCCAGAAAGGTACCGTGAGAAGCAGCACCCGGCGAGGCAGTCGCACTTCTTTCCAGGAGCGCACTTCCTTCCATGAGCGCACGTCCTTCCATGAACGCAATTCCTTTCACGAGCAGCCCGGAGTCGAGTACCAAAACCGCCTCAGTGCAGGCCGCATCCCGGATCTCTCGTTCACCACTCCGTACTTTAACGGATCGCAGTCCGCGCTGCCAGATTTGATGCACTTCTCGACTTCTCCCTCCGAGAATGGCGACAATGACGATGCACCGGTTCAAGGCCCCTTCATGGTTGAAAGGACTTTCCGGACCGAGATGCCACCGATAGTTGAGATGCCGCCGGTTCGACCCCTCGATATGACGCCGCTTCGTGCACTGCAGCACCCTACCGAGACGGGATCTCCCGAGGCCTCGCCCAATTGGAGGGTTCTCGACGCTCCCGAGCCCATCCCTACTCCCATCTGCAAGACTCCTACCACCGAGGGAGCGCTCAACTGGAATACTGCCCAGGAAACACCCAACTGGAAAGCTCTCTCAACGACCGAAGAGACACCGAACTGGAAAGCCCTTACGTCACCCGAAGATACGCCTAACTGGAATGCCGTTGCGTCGCCGTCCGGGACACCTAACTGGAAAGCCCTCACTTCGCCCACAGATACGCCTAACTGGAAAGCCTTCGGCACGGATGAGACGCCAAACTGGCAACAGCTTGCCCCCTCCCCACCCGGAACGCCAGTGCAGCGGTATCAAGTCAAGTACAGGGAGCCTGCCATGCACGCAGAGGTATCGCAGCAGTTTCCCGCAGAGCTCCAGCGCTCAGCATCCCAGGTGTCTGGTGGCTCTGTCGGCTCTAGGAGATCGATGTCGTTGGGCTCTCAGGGAGGACACATTGAGTTGTTCGGAGCCGCCACGCCGCCAATGGAAATGACCCCGCAAGCAGCAATTAGACCCTACCACCGCGGGCCGATAGTATTGGCACCCGCATTTGAGGAGTCGCCGCCATCGCCCGCTCCTTCCACTGTGGATGAAGATCAAGATTCGGTAAGCGCGCCAGAAATGCTGGGTCATTTGGACCGCAGGACGACGTTTGGACGTAGAGTGATCTCGCCCGTCCCGGAGATGTCTCCGCCGCAAGATATTATGGCTGGCGTGGTGGAGGAAGACCAGCGTCCCATCACGCCTAAGCCCCTTAGCTTTAAAAAGAAGGCAAGGGGATCCTCATTCTCCATCTTTGAGGATAAGGACAAAACTCCTGACAAGAACCTCAAGGCCCGGACCGGATCGATTGAGAGCCCGGCGTTGACCTTGACCAAGCCCAATTCTCAGGGCGAGATCAAGCTCAACATCAAAGGCGCCAAGCCATTGCCGACTGCACGAGCATCCCCCGATTCCGACTCGCTATCGAGGCCGCTCGGTGTGCCACTGCAACCCTCCACGCCCAACCGAAATCCGCGCGTAACATCCCTCGAAGCAGACTTAGAGGATCGATTCCTATTCGACATCGAAGGCGAGACGCCCTCGCCGCGGAAGCTGCGCGGAAACTCGGCGCTGTATGCGGAGATAAGACGGCTGCAGAAGCTCGTCGACGCCAAGAACGAGGAGGCGCTGCAGACGCGTCGCGAACTCGAGCTCGCAAAGAGTATGGCCAGCGCTAGTACCCTCAGCCAGCTCGTGCGCGAGACACAAGAGGAGTTGAAAGTCTGGCGCAACCGCGCTGAGTGGGCCGAGAAGCAGCTTCGCGAGCGAGGGATGAAGCCTCGGCAGGTCAGCGTTGCCGGCGGGGCTACATCTGGTGGCACGTTTTCTAGGGGCCATGCACACCGGTACAGCATGAGTTGAGCGACGGGTGAAAAAGTAGGCGTTTGTGTGTGTTTTTTTTTTATATTGCGTCTTGATTGATATCGATGGTTTGTTTTTGTGTGCGTTTTTTTCGCGTCGTCATTTTTTTTCCCTACTCTTCCGGCGTCGTCGGGGCCTTTTTGATATCATTATTGCATAGCAGCAGCCAGTCTTCATTCTTATTCATTCATTTTTTTTATCCTTTTATCCTTCTCTTCTTCTTTTACACTTCGATTCTCTCCATTCTTTTGCCTGGTGCGGGGGCGCATTATTTTATTTCCTTTACCACTTTCTTTCCCTTCCTTCCTCTTTATTCTTTTCATCATGACATGCATGAAACGAATTACTTCCTCCATTCCCGCACCCTTACTTACACCTTACCACCTTACACACCTTTATTTCATGAAGCTTACGATTCACTCACTGTTTTTAAGCGCCATTACCACATACCACATACCATTATCATTATAGAGGCGGGGTGTTCTTGTTCTCTTGTTCTCTTGTTCTCTTGTTCTCTTGTTCTGTATCTTTTATTGTTTTTGTAGTCCACATTGAACGTGTGCTGGGTTGCGCTTTATTTTCGACTTTTTTCATCTTTTTTTGGCGGGGTTGCTGGCTGCTGAGGAGGGGATTGGGGATTGCGGATTGGGTTGGGTTGCATTGGGGTTGCTGGGGGTTGGTTTGTTGGGGGTTTCTTTGCGGTTGCAGTGAGAGGAGGGGGATGATGGCGAGGGAGGGTGGGATATTGTATTTTAGTTTTCTGGTTGGGGTGCGTGGTGCGTGGTGAGTAGGAGGCACGGGTAGAGGAGGGTGGAGGAGGTGGAAGGGGTGTCTTGGACTTGGAGAGTGATGAGACGAGGGGGCGGAGGCAGAATTGGAAAAAATGGATGGTGGAATAGCTGGATGGTACTCTAGTGGAGGAATATTCGAATATGATTTTGCATCTTTGGATAACATCATTTCCCTACGATCTACAATGAGTGATTACTGAGCGAGCATGTGGGGGAATTTGTGTTTACTCCCTCCCCCTTCCCTCATTAACTTATGTACTCCCTCTATCCCGCTCCGCTCCAGCCAGACTAAAAGATATCCTGCACCTTCTCCCACCCGCCCTTACCAGTCGAGACCTTATGGCGCATCTCCCAATACTCGTCAGTAAACTGCCAGAACTCCTCACCGGTGATTTCGCAGGTCTTCTTTGCGAACCAGCGAGGCTCATGCGCCACACCATGCTCCTCATTCTGTCTACGCTGCGCGCGCTGCTTCTCCTCGAGCCTGTGCTTCTCCGTAGCGGCAAAATCGTACTCTCCCTCCTCCATGGCGCGCTGGTCGGGGCGCAGCCGGGTATCGGTCGGACACAGGTGGGGGCGCAGCGAGTCCGGGAGTGCGTTGAGCGTGATCGCGAAGGGCGTTAGCGAGAAGGGCAGCGGCGGGCGCGGGTGGTTCTCCCACAGCAGGAATGCGGCGCTGGGGTTGGCCGCGTGCGTCACCGTCGTGGCGGCCGAGGTGTTCGTCGGCGGCGGCGAGATGTTCGCGTCGAAACCGGGCGAGAGCCGCGCATACAGCTTGTCGTTCCATCGCCCGCCGACGGACCACATCTGTGTGCCGTCGCCGTCGACAACGCGGCCCTTAACCTCGTATGCGTTTGCGGCGCGCCAGCCGCGCTGCTTGAAGTCCAGCAGACACTTCACCCCCATAGTCCAGTTGGTTATCTCCATCAGTCCGTAGTTGTCGATTGTGGGCGAGCCGGTGATGATGCCGACTACGGACGTGTTGATCTTCTTCCAGGTGTAGAGTTCCTCGCCACCGGTGACGGGGCGGAGACGAAGGAACCAGGTGCCCAGGGGATTGATGTCGAAAGATTTGCCGTAGAACTTGCTCTTGACCGCGGACTCACCCCAGTAATCCCATTTCTCGGCTTCACCGTAGGCGGCACCGATGGGTGGGTGGTGGGATACTTGCTCAACGAAGAATCGGAAGTTTTTGTCGGGACGGCAGTATTCGAAGGTTTCACCGAGGAGTGGGTTAAAGGGTTTTGCGACTCGGCCGATGGTCGACGAGTATTCGGATGCTGCGAAGGCCGCAACGTAGACCATTCGCTCGGCGGGATCGGGGCGGTCCGCGGCTTGGTCCAAGAGGTCGGTGTATTCCATGTCTTCTGCTACTCTCTGCAGCAAAGATGTGGGCTCGTTGAAGGATACGGGCAGCGTCATCTTGGTCATGTCTTTGCCAATCATTGATTTCAAAATACCCTGGAGAATATCAGCCTTTGATAGTCAATTTGCACCGAAGAGAGGATTCTCACCCAGAGAGAGATCTTGGGTCTATCATCGGCGTCCATGGACAGTTTCTGACGCGGTGGATCTTCATAACCGACATAGCTCCTCTTGACGGCAACCAGCTTCATCTTTCGCGGATCTCCGCCGACGTCCTCAACCTCCCCGATTTCCTCCTCCTCCTCCTCGAGCTCGCCATCACCCCTGGCTGGCACATTGGATGGCATCTCCGAGAACACCTCCATCTCCCCGGAATCTATCGCATCGAAGAATTGATCGTCCTCATCGCTCTCACTCAACGCATCGTCGGAGGATTCCTCGATTCTCCTCGCGGAACCTTGACGGTCAAGCTTTAGCCGCTGCAGCTTCTCGTCAAGCGTTTCAACACCGCCTTCCTCGATGTCATGGATAACCGCACCACCGTGTCCGGTTGTCCTCCCGCTATCCTTCCGCAGTACCCGCTTGAGCGCCCGCTTCGTCTTCTTTCTTCGCTCGCGCTCACCCACAACTTGGCCCTCGAGTGCCTCCTGCTCCTCCGCCAACTTGGTCATGTTTTCCTCCCACAGCCGGCGCAATGACACCTCCTTCTCCATCCGGTATCGCCAATAGGCATCCCGCTCTTTACTCATGCTCAGCAGATCTCCAATAAGCTGCTTCAAACTGTCAACGGCGGATTCGTAGCTTGCCATTGCAGCAATACAAGACGAGTCGCCAAGCTTAAGGTCGGGATTATTCGCGTGTTCGAATTGTAATGCCAAAGCGACCTGCGACAATAGGTCAAGCTGCAACCTGGCAGAATTCGCAGCAAGGTTCAAGGCGTCCGTAGTTGGTGGATCAGCGGGGCCGTGAGACGACGAATCGTCGTTGACGTCGTTCGCATCCTCCTCGTCGTCGCCCAGATCGCCATCTGTATGTGCCGAGTAAGACCTGGGAGGATATGGACCGGCATCGGACTGGTAATTATCGCTAAATCCGGCATATGCGCCGCTACTCGCGCGAACACTTGCCCGTGCGCTCTGCCTAACACTGACACGCTTACTGACCGGAGCGGGGAGATGCTCAGACGCTGCAATGCTTCCTTGCCGTCCGCGTTCTGCGCCGCTAACAGCATCGCTCTCTGCTGCTGATTCTTCTGCATGTACTTGCTCTCTGAGTCTGTCCATCACTTCGTTCTCCTGGCGCTTTCGCCGCTCCTCCAGTCGAGCTTCGTCTTTGGCTTGCTGGATAGCGTTGTTGAGAGTCCAGTACCACCGTTTTGCCTCGACGATGTGATTCGCCTTCAGGTGGTACTTAACACTGCCTTTTCCGTGAATTTCGAAACGCTGTTTGTCCTGCGGATCGATGTGGAGCTTCGCTATCCGCATGTTGATGGCGCCCCGACATGCCGAACCAATGTCCTCTATGTCCCATTAGCACGACACCATCACCGAATTCGTGAAAAAATACCCTGATTCTTGTAATAACTCAAAACGCCATCCTCGAGCACGAACCACCGCAACTTGTAACCGCCGGTATAGTTCGTCCACTTTTTCAGGTACCCTTTCATCTCCCTCGTCTCCTTACTCCCCAGTGTTCCCTCCCCACCAGCACCACCCTGATGTCCGGGCGGCGCATGTTCCGCTGCAGAACCAAGCACAGCCCTCTCCTCAATCCCCCTTGCCGCCGCAACCGCCGCAGGACTTTTCTTAAGGATCCCGCGAGTTTTCTCATCTTTTGTGACATCTTGCGGTAGCTTACCCTTGTGGTCCCTTCGGAACGGGTCAGCGCCGTGCATTAATAGCAGCTGGATAAGCTTTGTATCCTTCCTCTTCGCCGCCTCGTGCAGCAGCGTGGAGCCATGAGCATCCGGCGGCTCGAGGGTATTGAGATCCAGTAGCCCCCGAACGCGGGGGTTATCTAGGAGTTCCTGGAGCTGCTCGTATTGCTGCGTGTTCATGAGGTTGTGTAGTGTGTCGATCTTGTCCTCGAGGTACATACTCCGTGCCAGTTGTAGCATCTGATGTATCTGCGGGTTGCGCGCCATCTCCAAGGGAGTACGGTTCGCGTAGTTGTGAACAGAGTCATTGATGTCGGGTTGTCTGAGGAGGAGGGTTACGACCTCGGCCCGTCCCAGCTGTGCCGCGATGTGGAGAGGCGTGTTGCCATTTGTCAGGTCTCGTCCGTTGATGTCCAGGTACGGCTTGTGCAGGGGAGCGCCAGAACCTTCGGGGTGCGAAGTCGTAGTCGAAAGTATATACTCGATAACGGGCAACTCGGCGCACTGTACCGCCAGGTGTAAGATTGAGGACTTGTTGACGTCCACTCCCCCGCCACCGGACAACGAGCTCATGGAGGTCCGCCGGTTGGGATCATCCACGGTGTTGTCCCGTATGGCCTTCAGTATCGCAGTGGTATCGCCATTTCGCAGCGCTTCATACAACCGGAACGTCCGCACTGTTTCCTCAACCGTCTTCGCCGCACCTACGCCGCCGCCGACAAGAACGCCGGACCCGGTAAGCGAGCTACCCCCACTCTCGTTGCCGTCGATCATGGGCAGTAGGGTGCTACTGATGGTACTAGCACGGGACGGCGGCTTGATATTCACTGTCGAACTCGAAGCGGTGATGGCGGTAGGGTCGTTAAGCTGTTGCTGCGACGAGGTAGAAGAAGGGGCGACGGAGTTTGATCGAGAGTGTATTCGTGACCCGGAGGATGATTTCGACGAGGAGCCCACGGAAAGCAACGAGCTGACCATGGCGGACTTGGAACGACTATGTTTACCATCCTTTTGATGTTTATGTTTGGGGCTGCTGCCATCACTTCGTGTGAGAAGAAGGTAAGGTTAGCCCTTCGTTAAGGGAGGAAGGGAGGGGTCAGAATACCCGACAGATGGTGGTGAGTCTGCCATTTTGTGTTCGGAAACGAGGATAAACGGGAACCTTTTTGCTGTACTGAGAACTAGAACTGGGCGTAAAGTTGGATACTGGGAATATTGAGGATATGGGTGTGTAGGGGAGATAGAGATCTATCTCTCTTTCTCTTGGTGGGGTCTTGGGATGGAGGGTGGCAGTTAGCCAGCCAGCTTGCTTCTCAGTAGTTACTGCGGTACCCTATTACCTGCCTTACTCTATTCCGGTAGCGCCGATAGATGGCGTTGCGCCCAGGCACTTCGCCAACCTATCATGAGAATCGCCAACCCATCATGAGAATCGCGGGCGCTGTTGTGGGCGCTGTTTTGGACTTTAGACATGTGACGGTGCAGGTGGATCGGGAATGGTTAATCAAGACACTTCTTGTCGTGTGACGAGTGTCTGTCACGGGAGTATGTCGCCAAATGCTTATGAAGTCCTAGTACTTAGACAAGTAAGTACCCGTGCTTATGGCTATATGTACCTGCTTTACAGACATGGGTAACATCTCACGCGGCAGAGTATCTTCATACCATCCTCTCCCGACGGATATCCAGCAAAAGCATCATTAAAACGAGGATCACTGTGAAGGCGATCGCTTCGGATGTCCGATGCTCTTCCATCCATGCATCTACCTCGAATACCTAGGGGAACCACAATTGTACGCAATCCGAAACTCCCTAGTTGAAATTTGGACCGAGATAAAACCACGCAACAGAGAAAGAAGAGAAGAAAAACTTGTGCCCCAGAAAACCCCGTTTGAATCCATTGTTCGAGTACAGAAAAAAGAGTTGAGGAAACAGATTGTGATTTGTATCTATTTCCCCATGTGCGCCGCAGCCATTTACTTTTTTATCAACGATTCCAACACGCTTACGCAGCAGTGATGGTCCTCTGCTGGTTCAAGATCCTGGCGCGCTGTCTAGTGGTGATGGGGTGCTTCTTCTCGTCGGTGGCCTTCTTGACAGTCTCATCGGACTCCGACACGATGACCTCGATGTGGCAAGGGTTCGACATGTAGGGGTTGATCTGTGGCTGTTAGTACAGAGCGGAGGGAGAAGGCGAATCGGTGGAACATACACGACCGTGGGCACGGTAGGTTCGTCGCCTCTGCTTGGGAGCCTGGTTGACCTGGATGTGGGAAACAACGAGGTTGGAGCAGTCGAGACCCTTGACTTCGGCATTGGCCTCAGCGTTCTTGAGGAGACCGAGCAAGAACTCAGCCGACTTGATGGGCCAACGGGCACGGGTAACACCGAAGTGCTTTCCTGCAGAGCCAATCCCCATCAGCATCAACCACCCTTATCGTCTGCCCCCCTATCCACCCAAGCGTCCGCCACTCCCTCCACCCATTCCACGATTCCTCCGGGGTTCAAACGTACCCTGCGCGGTCCGTCCAGTTCCACCAGCGTACCTCCTCATGGGAACGGCCTCCTTGTGCTCCTTGACGTTGTCGAGGAAAGTGATGGCGCGGTTGAGCTTCATGCCAGAGACGGCCTGAGCAGCCTCGCGGGTGTTCTTGAAGGAGACACGGAGGAAAGAACCACGGCTCTTGGCCGATTTGGCCTCGTTGCTGGCATTGGCGGCGTAACGGACCTATCGTAAAGAAACCGCACATCAGCGCCCATGTTCCACATCCACGGCTCCAATTCGATTCCATGAAGCTTGGTCGCGATTCTCCCCATCCGCCAATCGATAGATCCATCTCTCCCACAGCTCCCCAATCTCGATATTTCGTGTTCGCTGGAGCTCCGAGTCGGAAACCTCGAGATTTGAGAGCCGTGAAATACAGAATTCGATCATCGTCGGGCGGCCGAGCGAGCGACAGCGGGGAGAGAGGTAAAACTGACCATCGTGTAGGATGTTGTCGGCGATGGATTTGCTGGGGTTCTGAGGCGGTCGTTAGTAGTCGGTCGTCGGTCGTCACTGGATTTGCCGGGTGAATTTTCGCTTGTGCGAATCCAGAATCCCACGCTCGCTCGTTGTGTGTGGGTTGTGGGGTTACGACCAAGACTGCTCTTTCAGCATTTACCGAGGGCTTAGGGTAATGTGAAAAGTGCTGCCAAGCCAGCTTACCCCGCGCTACGCTCATCTTGGTCCCGCCCTCCAAAGATAGTCAGTTACCCTGCAATGCCGAAATCTCTGCCTGGAAAAAAAGTTAGCGACAGGCAACGAAAGAAATTGAGCCAGCCATCTCTTCCTTCCCACCAGGACACCAACGACAACAACAATCCCAAGGCAACTCAACTTCACTGCCTTATCCGCCCTCGCAAACCCAATCGTCAACAGCCTGGTCATTGATCTTACGTTAGGTCGAAACAATGGCTTTTACTCCCAGAGGTGCTCCCAGAGGTGGACGTGGTGGAGGTGACCGTGGCGGACGTGGCGGCTTCACACCGAGGGGCGGCCGTGGTGGCTTCACACCAAGAGGTGGTGATCGTGGTGGACGTGGTTAGTTGTTAACCCTGCGCTGCTCAATTGAGCCCTCAAACTTTGTCTGGTTTTCACAGTTTGCGATCGCTCTCTTGCGCAGATGCGCAGGCGCTCGTATTCTTGACCTCAAAGTGATTGAGGGCCTTGGACAGAAGCGATGATAGTGGAATAAATGGCTAACATCTTGAAGGTGGAGGACGCGGCGGCGCTCGTGGTGGCCCTCGTGGCGGTGCCCGTGGAGGACGCGGCGCTCCCCGGGGCGGTGCGAGGGGAGGTGCGAAGACCCTTGTTGAGAAGCATCGTCACGAGGGAGTGTTCGTTGCCCGCGCCAAGGAGGACATGTTGGTGACCCGCAACTTGACCCCCGGCGAGTCGGTCTACGGCGAGAAGCGCATTGCTGTCGACTCTCCTGCATCCGGCACGGACGAGAACGGCCAGCCCGTCGCAACCAAGATTGAGTACCGTGTCTGGAACCCTTTCCGTTCCAAGATCGCCGCCGGTATCCTTGGTGGTCTGGACAACATCTTCATCAAGCCCGGAGCGAAGGTCCTGTACCTCGGTGCCGCCTCTGGTACTTCGGTCTCTCACGTTGCCGACATCGTCGGTCCCACCGGACAGGTCTACGCCGTCGAGTTCTCGCACCGCTCAGGACGCGACCTGATCAACATGGCCAAGAAGCGGACGAACGTCATCCCCATCATTGAGGATGCCCGTCACCCCATGAAGTACCGCATGCTCGTTGGTATGGTCGATGTTGTTTTCGCCGATGTGGCCCAGCCCGATCAGGCACGTATTGTCGGACTGAACTGCCATCTCTTCCTGAAGGACAAGGGTGGTGTTCTGGTCTCCATCAAGGCCAACTGTATCGATTCTACTGCCCCTGCCGAGGCCGTGTTCGTGAGTGAGGTCAAGAAGATGAGGGATGAGAGGATCAAGCCCAGCGAACAGCTGACCCTGGGTATGTCACGTTATCCCCTTTATGTTGCTTGCAGACTTCTAACATGATTTTACAGAACCTTTCGAGCGTGACCATTGTATTGTGGTTGGAACCTACATCCGCTCACAATCGTAAAGGGTGCGAGAGTAATTGACGATGTTACACATTCGAAACGGGACTTAGGTTGTGACATCATGACTGAACGTTTGGGTGGGTGGGTGCAAAGAACGATGTAATTGTACATAAAGCCACCAGCTGGGTGAGAGTGGGGGCAGAGGTGATTTTTCTTTCATCATTCGACAACAATACCCGCTCCTTACTCATACACGCATTTGTTGGAGATGTCTATTCGTTGGCCGATGATCTGGAGTGGGATGGGTGTTCTTTTTACTCTCTTGTCTGTTTATGCGATCTGTTACGTTTCTTCTACTGTTGTCTCATGGGTAAAATTTCAGAGTTATGGCTTTCACAAGGTGTCACTCGCAATCAAAAGTTCTGCAGCGTCCGAGCACGTTGACAATAACCCTGGCGCCGTGACCAGTGTGTATAGCCATAGCCTACTCCAAATAGGCTGCATGCGATTAACGAAGGAACAAAAAATTAAAATCCTGGTGCGAGATAAGCCTTCCCCATGCGGCCCGCGAAACGTCTGTTTGTTTCGCACTGGCGTCCTGCAACCCTGACTCCTGGGGATTCACAGCCACTAACAGACAACCAGAGGTCCAGAGCGGGGTACTTCGTAGGCTAACTCCACTTCACCGTTCACCGTTCAATCCACGCCTGTCTTATGACAGCACCGGGAGCGGTATTTGTAGGTAGGTAGTCCAGGGTCCTATTCTGCAGCCATAGATCAATGCTGTTGCGATCAGAGCCGCAACTGGACACCCCGGGATTCTGCGTGGATTGCATCTGGAACAAGACGGGTGTCATCTTAGTTTCCACCTGTCGATTGGATAGTATGTTGAAGCCAATGGATGATGTGACCGTGGGATATGAAGCTTAAGCTGATCCCACCACCCAGGTGAATGGGACACCCCGGAGTCCGAAGGAGAGGCAACTCCAGCTTCCCCTTCCAGCAATGGGGCCAGGATCATGATAGTATATCATTCTGTATGCCCCTCATCTCCCCACCATTCACTCGCAACTCATCGCAATGACGCCCGACGAGATTCTCGGCTCCCTTGAAACTTACGGCTACGTGATCATCCCGGACCTCATCCCGCCTCCCCTCCTCGGTCCTCTCCGCGAGGCTTCCTCACGTGTCATTGCCAGGGCTCGCGATGAAAGTGATGCCGGGTGGCCACATGTGTACGTCTCCGCCGACGTGGGAGGCGGTAGGTATACTGATTATGGTGCAGACGGGTGGTAGGAAAACAGTTTCCGCCTTGGCCAAAGGACGTACGGGAGGACGTATGGGGCGTGCAACACATAATGCACCCCGACCTGGGCGAGCGAGTATTTGCGGAGTGGTACGGCTCTCAGCCGGTGCTAGACGCCGTGACCACCATCCTGGGGTGTGGTGCTAAGGAGCTGCAGCTTGGTATACCTACCATCTCTTTGATCGTTATGTCGGATGTGGTGTGCTCATGCGGGATGAAAGAACTCTTCAACCTCCTTGTCAACCCGACCAAAACAGCGTTCTCACTCGCGTGGCACCGCGACTCTATTCCGCCCGAGGCGTCGACGGAGGTCGAGATCCGGCTACTGAAGGCGCCGAGGTATGGGACACAGTGGAACACCGCGCTGTATGATGACTCGTGTCTCCTAGTTGTACCCGGTAGTCACCGACGTCCGCGGACTGACGAGGAACAACGGACGATGGCGGAGGATCCAAGAGCCAAGCTGGAAGGGGAGATTGTGGTCCATCTCAAGACGAGTGATACGGTGTTTTATGACAATAATATCCTGCATCGCGCGGTTTATCCTACGGAACCGGTGAGGCAGACATTGCATGCGAGTATGGGCACTGTTGAGGCGGGGGTGGAGAGGGCGAGGAATATATTGCAACATGATATGGAGTGGGTCAGAGATGTGAGATTTGAGGGAAGGCTGGAGGGGATGATGCAGAATCTGGTCAGGTTGAGGGATGAGACGGGGGGCCAAGAGTTGGGGTACAATCTGGAATGGTGAGGGAGGAGAGAGATAAGATGCATATTCGAGCCGACGAATAGTGTGTACAGAACATAACAGGCAAAGCCAAAGAAGAAAATGTCAATTTACAAAACACCGCTCAAGAAGTCCTGGGTATCCCAGACAAAGGAAACCTACACTCCAGAAAAACATGTCATCCACAGACCGCAGCTCCGCCCATCAACGACACTCCAAGCAGACTCTCCCTTCGCCATTGCTCGCCGAGCATCCGAAATCACACACTACTCTGTGACATCCCACACATCTAGCCTCCTCCTCGTCCTGGAGTCCCAATCCCCTGTCACAGTCTTCACACTTCAGCACCGGCTGCTCCTGCACAATTGTGGGCGCCGCCGTGCCCGCCCACCGAAGCCAGGACCACAAGCCCGCCTTCGGCTGTGGCGGCGGCGGCGGCGGCGGTGTTGGCAGTGTCTGTGTCTGTACCACCGGCTGCAGTTGCTTCCCCGAGGGTGTAGACGTAACCTTCGCAGCAGCAAAGAGTTTCTGGAGCGTGTACTGGTGTATGTGCTCCTCGTTGGGCCGTGCACGCGTGCGCTTTATCGTTCGTCCAGATATAGAGGTGTCGCGCGTACTGTGCGTAGACTCGGAGAAGGCGGTTGACGAGGAGCGTTTGCGCTTTTCTTGTGGTTTACCTGACGTGTTGGTGGAGCTCAGAGGAGCCGGGAAGGAGAAGAAGTGAGACGCCATGGTTTCGTACCCTGCGATTGAGGTTCTTGACAGAGTTGAGTGATAGCGTGGTATTGATTGGAATGTAGAGTGGTGGTATGATGACAGCTGGGTACTCTGTTGTGTTTGAAACGCGAGGCGGTGATGAGCCATGGATGAGAATGCCCAGTCGCGTAAATCAACAACGCGAACTCCAGCCACAGCGCACTAGGCTGTCGCATCCCAGTCCTCCCCGCTAGAGCTCTCCAGCCACCCTGACCCTCGCTCAAATCAAAAAAAAGTTTCCTTCGGTCAACCACGACATCCCACCAAGCGAAAAAGCGGCAAACTTAAAGCAGCAGAAATCGTTCAACGACAATCCCGCAAAACGCAAAAACCACCACGGCTGCGAATACTTCCCCAATACCAACCGGTCATTCGCCGGTGATTCACGCCGTGCGAGCGAACCTGCCACAAATCTACCACTACCACCACTACCACTGCTCGTCATGACCCACGTCTCGCTTCACCGCTGCCGCTTCGTCGACTACCCGCCGAGTAGCATCACCTCAATCGCCTTCTCGCACCCATCAGTCGCGCACAGCGCTCTTCCTCCGCCCAAAACCCTGCGTGTAGCAATCGGCCGCAACAACGGTTCCATCGAGATCTGGAATCCTCTCTCTGGAAAATGGCATCACGAAACCACACTGCAGGGCGGAAAAGACCGCTCGATCGAGGGTCTCGTCTGGATTCAGGACTACGACGCTACCGGGAATGGCCAGCTGCGGCTACTCAGCATCGGATACTCATCTGTTGTCACTGAGTGGGACCTGTCGACTGGACGGCCAGCGAAACATCTGGACTGCAATGGCGGCGCGATCTGGTCTATTGCTGCGCAGCCCCGGAGAAACGCTGCGGATGTGCCCCAGGACGAGCGGGACAACGATGAGGCGCTTGCGCAGAATATTGTGGTGGGTACTGATGACGGGACGCTGAAGCTGTTGAGTACGGCGGGCGGTAAGGGCCAGTTGGCGTTCGTCAAGAATTTGACGAGAGCTGGTACATCGAAGTCACGAGTATTGAGTCTGGTCTGGAAGGACAGATACACGGTTGCTGCTGGTATGGCGGACTCGCAGATCCGTGTGTGGGATATCAGGTCTGGACGTAGCACCGGGAGGATGTCGCTGAACCGAGAGAGGGGGAAGGAGGTGTTGGTATGGGCAGTGAAGGTGACGGCAAATGGTGATATTGTGTCGGGTGATTCGAGGGGTGAGGTACGCTTCTGGGACGGCACAAATTACACACTGAAGCAGAGGATGAAGGCACATGACGCGGATTGTTTAACTCTTGAAGTCGGAGGTCAAAATGGCGACAGTGTGATCAGTGGAGGCGCCGATATGAAGACTGTACTCTTTAGAGTCGTTGGAAAAGGCCGTGGTTGGGCTGAGGTTGCTCGAAGACGTTTCCATAAGCACGACGTGCGCGCTATGGCTGCGTATGAATCTGGTGCATTTAGCGTGGTGGTATCTGGAGGCAGGTTCAATTTCTGGACATCTTTAACCATCTGCTGACATTTGAGAAGGTGTCGATATGACCCCGATCATCATACCCTTCCGTGGCTTCACCACCGAGAACCATCGCACCCTTCCTTTGGTCCCGCAGAACCCGATCGTCACAACTCTTCCCGACCATCGGATACTGATGAGTTTCTGGGAACGCGAAGTTAAGATTTGGAAGGTCGAAGAACTGTCGGAAGTAATGCCTACGGACTTGAACTTGGGCGACGAAGATCAAGGTCGCAAGCTTCTCAGCCGGATCATTCTCGGTGTATGTTCCATATACCCTTAGAGGATATTCATTCGGCTAACATCTTGTAGAACGAAGAGTACATCACCTCTGCAGACCTCGTTCCATTGCCCGGTAATGCTGGGTATCTTCTGGCCGTTTCGACCATCGGTGAGGTCAAGCTGTTCTGTCTGCGCAACCCAAAGCAACCTGGCGCAGAAGTTCTCCGCGTTCAGAGGATCGCCCTTCCAGCTACAATTCCCCTCAAGAACGTCGAGTCGGAGGATGATAGTGAAGACTCTGACGATGAAGAGGAGGTCGAGTTGCCGGAAGAGGGCGCACGGTATTTGCAGTTCACTCCTGACGGAAAGCGGCTCTTGATCATCACCCCCAATTCCCGGATACTCATGGCCAATCTCGAGGTCTCTATCCCGTCTGACCGAAGAGAAAAGCCAGTCATTAGCATATCTTCCCCGGTCTACGAGCTTGACCGTAAACTCCCTCCTACGAAACTGCAGCCCGCCCGCGGAACCCAAACCCCTAACAAAAAGCGGTCCCGGCAGCGACAGGACGAAGGCACCCACTCTACGTACATGCACACTATTGTCAAGTCCGCCTTCTCCAGCACATCCCGTCTCCTCGCTGTCGGTGACCTCGCAGGAAACATTACAACCTTCTCCCTCTCAGATGGAACTTGGTCACGTATCGCCACCTCCATCCCCCGTCTCCCGGCCGCTCCGGTAGTCCTCTCCTTCCGCCCCGCCCCGACCACCCTCCAAATCACCTCTTCCCCCACCAAGGATGCCGAAGACGAAGACTCCGCGCCTGACTCCGAGCTCCTTGTCCTCCCCGCGGACACACACATAATCCACCTCTTCTCCGCGACCTCGGGGCGTCTGACTCAGTGGTCACAACAAAACCCGATGCCGGACTGTCTCCCGGTCGAATTCGCTGCCGTTGGCGACCGCGCGGTAGGCGCGTTCTGGGAGGGTACCGAGCGCGCCTGGTGTTTCGGCGCGTCGTGGGTGTGGATGTTCGACTTCTCGCGCCAGTGGCCCGACCACAAGCTCTCGTTCGACACTATGCAGATCCCGGCCGACGGGAACGGAAAGCGGAAGCGCGGCGGCGGCGGCGCGGTGGCTCCTGTCGCTGTTGGTAGTCTCAGTGGTGCCGGATCCCGCATGTCGCAGCCGATGGGGCTCGTTGGTGTGTTCAAGACGGCGGAGGATAGTGAGGACGAGGAGGATGAGTTTGCGGCGCTGATGGAAAGCGACGACGACGAGGATGAGGGTGATGCCGCGGAACCCATCAGGAAGCAGAAGGGCCAGAAACCGTATTGGGGCTCGTATAGATACCGCAGTTTATTGGGGTTCTTGCCTGTGGGTAGGCGCGAGGTGGTGGAAATGGCGGGTGAGGGCTGGGGCGAGCAGGGCCTGCAGGCGGTGGAGATGGTCATTGTGGAGCGCCCGGCGTGGGATGTCGGCTTGCCGCCGAGGTTCTTTGATGGCAAGAGTTAGACATGCTATATTCTATAGCGTGGACAAAAGTTTGGCCAAGGGTGTATCTACTGGGTGATAAATAATGGCGTTGTGATCTTCTGTTTGGTTTGCACGGTGGTGGTGGTGGTGGTGGTGGTGGTGGGTGATGTCATATGATGCAATAAAGTACCTTTCGATGAACACCTTTATTACAGGAAAAGCGGAACAGAACTACAGCGTGTTCGAGCTTCACAATATTGGCATTGGACAGGACAGGACAGATAACACAAATTCCCCACACTGCGGTTCAACATCGTGGTAGCAAAACTGGTATCCCATGTTACACATATAAAACCATCTTAAACTCCGGCCTAGCCTATACATTGTATTGCATGCGACAAATACAATCATCTGTCTGCTAGTCTCCACCCTTCCTCGGCACCACCGCCTTCAACTCTTCCTCGGGAATCGGCACCGGCCCACCCGGCGAATCCGCCTTCCTCGCGGTCAACACCTCGACGCCATCCTCGGTGACCAACAGCGTATGCTCGAACTGCGCGCTCCTCTGTCCATCCACCGTAGCACTAGTCCACTGATCGGGCCAAGTCTTGTCCCTCCAGGTGCCCAGATTTACCATGGGCTCGATGGAGAAGCACATTCCGGCCTTTGCGGCGCCGACAGCCTTATTCTTCGAGTAGTGGGGCACGTTGGGGGCGCAGTGGAACAGCTCGTTTATTCCGTGGCCGCAGTAGGTGCGCACGATGCTGCACCCGCGGGCTTTGGCGAGGGGCTCGATAACATTGCCGGGATCCCGGAAGAGCATGCCGGGCTTTACCAGGTCGATCGCGGCGTTGAGACAGTCTCGCGCGGTTTCGACGACGCGGATCGACGACGGCGAAGGCGTCCCCACGTAGTACGTCTCGTTCAGGTCGCCGTGGTAGCCTTTGTAGTGCAGCGTTACGTCGATGTTGATGATGTCGCCGTCGACGAGCGGGCGGCTGTCGGGGATGCCGTGGCAGATGATCTCGTTGACGGATGTGCACACGGACTTAGGGAAGTGGTTGTAGTTTAGGGGAGAGGGGTAGCTCTGGTTTGTGTCAGCGAATTTTGGAGGGGGAGTGTCAAGTGGGGAGGGAGAATACATCGCGCTCTATACACGCTTTATGCACAATCTCGTCGATCTCGTCGGTGGTGACGCCGGGGGCGACAGCAGCGGCGGCAATATCGAGCACCTCCCGAGCAAGCCGACACACAGTGCGCATGCCCTCGATCCCCTTTGCATCTAAAATCGTAATTTTCCGCGAGGAGGTGGTGTATTCGCTTCTCGGAATGCCATCGGCAGCGTAGTCGGGACGGGGGATATGCTCAGGCAGTTTTCTAGTCGCCGAGAGAGGGTAGGCGGCCCGGAGGGTTCCGGTATATCTGAAGTCTGGGAACGGATCGAAGCTGCCAGACTCTGGGTCCGTGGGAAGCGGCGTTGGTGAACTGAATGCGTCTTTGAGGGACTGGAGCAAGGTGGGAGTCTTACGGTAGGCGGGCTTGTGCAGGGCTTTGTGTTCACTCTGTTGGCGACCCGCGAAACGCGCAAGCCGGCCGGTTAGCCAGCGGACCAAAATGCGCATGTGGGGGAGAGGGTGCTGGACTAACCCACGAGCGTTTGAAGCAGTCTTGTGAGCAGAAAAAGGCCTTAGCGCTGCCCAACTTGAGGCAGGTGGGGCATTGCAGCGTGCCAGCGGTATTTGCGCAGGCGACTCCGGCGCAAAACTTTTTGGTCAGAGAGGCGGGCTGGTCGGTGGGGGAGACTGTCATCGTAGACATCGTCATGGTTGTTGTATTGAGGCAGTACCTAGGAGTGGGGATGGTGTTTTTGGTGGAGTGACAGATGGGAAGGTTCAGGTGTCTGATGAGGAGGCCCGGTGTACTAAGTACCGTAAGTACCAGGAACGTTCGGTCCCTCTAACGACCGAATTGCTATGGGTTAGGGATATTTGAGGATTTGAGGATCTGATTACATACTCTCCCTCGTATTCTGGCTCATTGCGCGCATACCGTGATTGCCGAGCGTGAAAAGAGTCAGCGCTACTCTATAGATTCACAGCATCCAACTGATGAGTTACCGGTGAGTCTCTGGAGGATATGAGGCGGACGGGAGTAGGAGATGCATAGAATAGTAGAGCTTTAGGAGGGCAGACGAGTTTCCAGCGGCACTGTTACATACTCTAGTCGGCGATGCTGTCGATATGCGCCTGACGAATCAGACCTGCCACCTCTTCAAGCCGACTCGCTGGCGGCGGAAGGACGCAGGACGCCGGTATGTCCCGTCCGTTGCACACACCCACGCGATGGCCATCGCATCATCACTTTTCCGTGCCATTTCTAAGCGGGTTGTCTCGGTAAAACGAGGCATTGGCGGCCCGCGGAAAAACGCGGCCTTTCTTTTCTCGCCTCCACCCACCTGCGGCCGCCTCCATCCTCACACACACGCAGAGATCGAGAACTTCTCGGGATGGCAAATGCTATTCCCTTTTAGCCATGGGCGGTGGCCACTGTCACCGATCGATATGGATGCACACGAACCCCACCCCCGCTGCAGGGCTGGGCCCAGCCAGCCTGAAGTCTTTTGCTCTCGGGTTTTCTTCTTCTTCTCTTCTTTCCCTTCTCTTCATATTCATACTCCTCCTCCTCCTTCTCTTCCTTTTTTGTGACACTTCTCGCACTCGTACAAACAACTCCAGCCGTTTTCAGCACCTTGCATATCTACGTCACTTGATATCACCCTTTGAAAATTACCCTTAAGCCACCCTCTGAAAGCATACCACGTGCCTACCTGCTCTCGCCATACCTCATCTCTACATACAATCTTCCTGGAGTCCAACCCCACAGCTTCAACACGCATAGAAGATGGTATCTCCACATAAGACGCAGACAGTAGCAATTATCGGCGCCGGACCGGTGGGAGCCCTAGCAGGCCTATACTTCTCGCACGCGGGCTGGGACGTGACGGTGTACGAGCTACGTGACGGTATTATGCTTCTCTCCTGCTCTCTGGGTGGCGGTGCTGAACATGCATTCCGTAGACCTACGCTCTCCCGAGAACCGCGCACTAGGCTCCGGGAAATCCATCAACCTTGCGCTCTCCGAACGCGGCATCAACGGCCTACGGAACATTGGCGATGCGGGTGCGGCGCTGCTACACAAGGTGCTCGAGGAGACTATACCCATGCACGGCCGGATGATCCATTCTGGCGAGGTTGGGACGAAGGGTGAAGCCCAGGCTTACGATAGCGTGCATGGGCGGTTTATCCGGAGTGCCGATAGGGCGCTGCTCAATATGCAGCTGCTGGATGCGCTCGAGGAGAGAGATAACGTGCAGTTGTGCTTCAGGCATAAATTGAGGCGACTTAAGCTCGATGGGGAGGACGGCGCCGAGGCGGAGTTTGTGAAGAGGTGAGTCTGGCTGTGGCCCGCTGGTGTGGCTGGTGGCTGGTGGCTGACTGGTGCAGTGATACGGGGGAGACGGTGAAGGTGTATGCGGATTTGGTAGTGGGTGCCGACGGTGCGCATTCCGCGGTGAGGAATCAGCTGCAGCGACACGTCAAGTATGTTTTTCCGGTGTGGCATGCAGGAGAGTGAACTGACCGGCTGCTACCAGGATGTACTACGAGCAGACCTACATCAGCACGATGTGGTGCGAATTCACGATTCCCCCGCACCCGACAACCGGCGATTTCCAGCTCTCGCCCGACCACCTGCACATCTGGCCGAAGCAGACGCAAATGTTCATTGCCATCCCGTCCATCGACAAATCATTCACATCGACATTGTTCATGCCCGAACACCTCTTCAACAGCATCGAATCGCGGTCAGATCTAATCGCCTTCTTCCGCGAGCACTATGCCGATGTCCTCGACATCCTCGGTGAAGACTCCCTCTGTGACCAGTACTTCGCGAACGAGCACTTGCCACTGGTCAGCATCCGCACGGGACCGTACCACTACTCCGATCGCTGCGTGATCATTGGCGATGCTGCGCACGCCATGGTGCCCTTCTATGGCCAGGGAATGAACGCTGGCTTTGAGTCCGTCAACATCCTCTTCAAACACATCCGCGCCAATCCTGAAGACTTGAAGTCCGCGCTGCAGGCGTATACCAATGAGCGGCAGCCAGACGCATGGGCAATCGTGGACTTGGCGATGCGGAACTACGATGAGATGCGAAGCGGCGTGACGAAGCGGGGCTATCTACTGCGCAAATGGGTGGAAGAGGCGTGCGCAAAGTGGGTGCCGTCGTTAGGCGTCAAGACGCTGTATTCGATGGTTAGCTTTGGGAATGACCGGTATTCGGAGGTCCTGCAGAAGGCCGAGAAGCAGATGGCCATCGAGGAGGCCATGTTGGGCGGCGCGATGCTGGTGGTTATGGCGGGTGTCGGCTGGCGGTATGGTGCCTTGAAGGCGCTGGAAGTGGGCTGCAAGGAGGGATGGAAGGCTCTCGTTGGCCGGCGGTGAAGCATTGTGTATTTTTCAGTTTCTTCATTGTCTTCCTGTCACTTGTTTGTCGCGCACTGTAAATTAGTTGGAATGGGGTTGGCGTCACAGAGAGTCACTTAAAGTTTAAGCTTTCCTGGTGTAACGTCAGGAATTACGCCGATGACGTAGTGGGGTATCTACGAGCTCGTCAGCTACCTCATGCAGGAACAAGCTTGAGTCTCTCCCGGTTATCGCGATGACATCGCTATCAGTATCTGTATATCATCCCGTCTCCTATATCATTCCTCCAGCTCCTTCGCACGACATCCACAACACCATCACCATCGTATCTCCCCGATACGCCCACCATGCCCCCCAAGATCCTCCTTGCCGCAGGGCCCTCCGAGAACCGCTCCACGCACACAGCCCTCGCACCGAACCCACCACCGTCCCACCCGCCCACACCCATCTCTTCCACGCTCCGCGTGCGCATCCACATCGCCAGCTGGACCGGCACTCCCGCTCCACCCACTTCGGGCTCGTCATACTTCACGCACCCCCTGCACCGCAGCGACAAGTTCAGCATACAATTTTTTTTCACGCCGCACGAAGACGTGCCGGGCGACGAGCTGGTCATAAGTAATACCTTTGATAAGCCGATACGCGAGAGGCTGCCGGTTTTCTTTGGGGCCGCGTGGGCGGCGCTCAGGTGGGTTGATCCGGGGATTCAGGGGGAGCCGTATGCCGATTGCCCGGAGGTGCATAGTCGCGTGCTGGGGGCGGTGAATTTTTTGGATGTGAGGGGGGAGGTTGCTGGCAGGGAGGAGGGGGTGGGGGTGGAGGAGGGGGCTGGTGAGGGGGAGGAAAGGGAGGAGGAAGCTCCGGTGATAGAGGAACATATGCCCGCCGATATCCCCGGGACTCCGGCTGAGCGGCGGAAGCATTTCCTGTATTACCACCAGAAGGAGTTTACGTTCCGCAAGGGCGTCGAGTACCGGTGGGACTTCTGCAACGGCATGATGGATTTCAGCGGTTTGTTCCGCTCTACCTCTTCCCCCTCCCCGCAGCTCTCCTCGACAAACAGGCGCTGATAAAGTGCGGGCAGATTTCTCCGTCAAGATCCCCGGATTGGGCTTCAAGTTCGAAATGACCAAGTACTGGGACCAGCAGCCGCTACGGTTCGTGCTTAAAAACATCAATACCGGCGAGGTCTACGGCGTGGTCCAGTTTGACTACGATCAGGGCCTGGGACTCAATGATGGTAGCGTCATTGATGGCGTAAGCCTTGAACCTGGAGATGCTGTCGCCGATAATGGTTAGGTGCTGGGTTAGTGATTGAAACGTATTTATACAGGGCAATAGAGTACTGGTAGGCGCAATTTCAGCGAATGATACACAGGATTTGACTCGGCTTTTGGGTCCGTGGTCTGTGATCCGTGAAACCTTATATTCTGTAGCCGAACTGGTTTCCAGGCTCCAGCAGTTGTTTTCTTCTTTCCATAGCGTCATTGCTCGGTACATTCCGGGAAGCGGTATTAATCCATACTTTATAGTGGACAGCAAGCCAACCGTACTATATTAGTAAACTGCAAATATAAACAAGTACCGTAGAACACATGGTATGCAAGAAGATTCGTGAAAATAAACCCAAAACATGGACCCTAACCCAACCCAAAACATGGACGCTGACCCGACCCAACCCAACCCAAAACCGAAAAACAACGACCACTCCACTCCACTCCGCCACATCACCTCACCGGCAGCGCAGCAGACACAAATAATCCGCACTATACGCGGCCATGTCTCATGGGCTCAAACCCAGGCTTCTGGTGGGCACCGTAGGGCTGCATTGGCACGCTCTGGCCGGACTCTTCAGCGTTGTGGCCCATATACGGGCTGGCAACCCTCTCGTAGGTGTGCGGGGTGCGCTCGGCCTTCATGGCGCGCTTCCCCTTCGGCTCGCGGTGGCCCATCACCTTGCTGGTGCGCCCTGAGCAGCAGCACGTCGACATCATCCAGAACACGCTGGCGGCGAGCGCGAATGCCGTGGCCGTCCATGTCGTCGTCTGCCATTGCGAGCCGATCGTGCATGACACGCCGAAGCTGTCGAAGGCTTTGTTGAAGGCACCCTTGAGACTGTAGCTCAGCACCGTGCTACAGATCGAGCCGGCGAGGATGAAGAGGAAGGCCGCCTGTTTCCCGGAGTTAGTCACGTGCGCGAGAATATGGGGCCGGAGGTACTTACGTCCGCGATAACAGTGGTGATACAACTTCCCCACCTACTCAGCAGGCCAAACCATCCGACAATGAAGCAAGCGCCGGTAGCCACAGCGCCCAGCACATAGCAGGCGGCCATGAGCTTCTGGACGATATTGATAGCCTTCTGGACCTTCTTGACGCTGTCGGGGAATTCAATCTCCTTCTTTGCCTCCGCGGCGACGATAGCATCGACATCGAAAGTGTACCCAGACTTCGACGCCGTACACCTCTGGATGTCCCACGAGTTGTCGTTCGTGACGTTGCCCGAACAGTAGTTCCACATGTGCGACGTGTAGAAGTCACTCATGCCGAGCTCTTGGGCGTTTGCCTGTGTGACGCCCGTGCTGACGTTGGCGCTGAGTGAGCCCGGAATCGTGTCGAGAGAGCTTTGGAGGTTGATGCGGCGGACGTCGAGCTGCGGGGTTCAGCCAGCGTCAGTGGATATGTACAACGCAACGACGGGAGTGGGGAACACAACTACGAACCCTGAACTGATACATCGACGGCAGCATCTTCCTGCTCGTCCCGCTGATGAGGAGAAGTACCACTGCCACCAGCGAGGCGAGGGTACAAAGCATGGGCGTGAGGATACACGCGAAGCGGCCGATTTTTCCCATGACGTGTGATTTCTTTCTTTCGTCTTTCGTCTTTTCTGTGTGTCGGTGTCGATGGAAAAGGAATCGATACGAAAGGTAGTGGGGAGAAATGTAAATGTGGGGGAGTGGGAGGGGGGAATCTTTTAAAGCCCTGAGTTGTCCGTCGAAGCTGACAAGACCTTCCAGCTGCCTGCCTGCCTGCCTGCCTGCCTGCCTGCCTGCAGACGCACGCACGCAGTTGGCTGGCTGGCTGGCTGGCTGGCAGTGCACCACACACTTCTTCGCTTTTTTTTGGGGGGGGGCTTTTCCCCGCTACTCTACGGGCGATTACTTGGGGGATCAGCCACGGCTTACCATGCGAGTCCTCGTCCCCTCCCCTCCCCTCCTCTCATCTTTCCCTAGGCCCTTCGACGTCCCACCAGAGCGCAAACAAGTCTCCGTCCCGTCCCGCATCTCAGTCCGTGCCGGGCGGGCACGCTGTCTGGGCAAGGGATGGAGGGAGGCGTTGAGACGGGCGATGCTGAAATCCCAGGTTTGACGGGACGACACCCTTCAATTCCACTGACGTTTCACCACCTCAGCCCCACCAGTGCCACCACCACCACTGACCAGGCCCACCACCACCTGCAGCAACCACTAGTTAATTACATACTCTAGTTAATGTCCGTAAATCCCTCGAATGGGGAAATTCCAGAGTTCAGCTGCGTAAGTATCCAACTAACTAACGCGTGGCGGTGGGTCAGGGATGATAGAGTATGTAGAGTGCGGACATGGTGCGGGAGGGTTACTCTATTCTACATCCATAGACATGTATGTTAGTAAGAAGTACGTACGACATGTACCTAGCAGGGTGGATGTGAACAAGGCTTAGTTAGAGTATGTAGTGGCTTCAGCCCCTCTTAGCACTTACAAGTTACCGTTCAATACTGACTTACATCATGACGAGATGTATAATTGGATATATACAGGGGCGTTGTTTTGTATGTATCCATCCTGACCGGAGAAGACGAGTCCTTGCCGGTTAGCTCTGCGGCTTGTGCGAAACCAGCGACGAGGCCGTGGTGAGACTGTCCCGAAGCTTGCTGTTTTGGCCGTGGCCACTACCGTCCCGGGGTGATTTCAAGCCGAAGCCTGCCGATTCCGGTGGCCAGTGACGTATCGTACCGACAGTGACATCCACTTGTACGAGACAGTATTCACAGTGGAGAAAGCCCGGTTGAGTGAACCATTCATTACAGCATAACTATTATAACACAATCGAGCGTACAGTACACATAACAATACAATCATCACAACGTCCAGTACAATCACAAACATTTCGAAGAACGAGCAGAGCAGAACAGAACGACAAACACGACAGACAGACAACAGAGAGAACAAATCGATCAATCAAACCCCAACACCGATAATCTTATCTTTCGCCTTGTCCAAGAAGTTCTTGTGCTCATGATCCGCGGTCAAGCTATCCCTCTCACGAGTATCATCAACACCCTCCATTTCCGCCTTCTGCTCGTTGTACGCGGGGCTTCCACGCATAGTAGTTCTCAACATTCCGGCTCCGCTGGTATCACGTACCCTCTCCCGCTCCATGCTACTCTCCCTCGCCGCCGCTCCCTCGGTCCTCTCAAACTCCTCGCGCTTGTCCTCCATCATCTTCCGGTCATTAGCAAAACTCCGTGGTGTCGTCGAATCGTTATCATGATATCCAGTTCCAGTAGTCGCAATATTAGATAGCCCCCCCACGCCCGAATCCCTAGTTCTAAATCCACCAGAACTGATGCCAGTTCCAATAACATACCCCCTTTCGTTGCGGCCCTCGCCACCGCTAATGCCGCCTCCGGCGTTCGACGTCTGTCATTCATCGGCAACCAGGTTATCGGCTTCGCGATGACCGCGGGAGTCGGCTGCAGCGTTCTTGTAGTGACGCTCATCATCCAGACTGCGGCGGGCGCGCGGTGCGTGCCGCTCGTCGTCAGTGATGTCTTCGTATTCGTCGTCATCCTCGCGGTTAAGGACTAGGCTGTTACGGCCAGTCACTTTTCGCTCGTGTTCATCGGCCGGAACCCAGCCATCGTCGTGGAGGGGACGGTCTTGGTCCGAGAGATTGATGGGTTGGCGGACGCGGGAGGCACGGCCACCGGTTCGGCGGGGACGGACACCGCGCTGAGATAGGCGGGAGCGCACCATGGCTCGGGATTCGACCCAGTTAGTAAGTGAGTCCTCGCAATCTTGGATAATACTACGGATAGTCAGTAATATACCAGGAATCACCAAATCGATATAAGTACCTCTTGCTATCCTCGTATCCGTCGTAAGCCGGTCTCGTCTCACCGGGAGTAACAGGCGTGTCGTCAATAAGCTCCAGCAAGTGCTTTCCATAGCCTGCAATCATGGCAACTTTCTCGGCATGCTCGCGCATGGCATCAAACTGGTACGTAAACGCCGCCTTGATCTTCTCGCGGGTGATGTTCGATAGCTGGGCCTCGGCAACCAACGACTCGGCCTCAGCACGCACAAGCTCCTGCTCCAGCACCACAATCTTCGGCGAGTTGGGATCTTTGTATTTGAGCTGGGCAATCTGGTCGGTAATCTTCTGCTTGCCTGTTCCCCTCATTAGTCTCACCCTCTCAAGCCTCACTGTATTGGATATACTCACGATCACGGCTCGGTTGTACACTCGCCTCGATATTCCTTATGCTCTTGATGGTGACTCTGTACTGATCGTACCGATCGATGAACTGGTCCTCGAGCTCACCGATCTCGAAAATAAGAACTCCCAGTTTATCCGTAATATCGGAGACGTCCTCGTCGCACTCCTCGCCCCAGATGGAGAGCTGGCGGGCCACCTCGCGGCGCTCGCGACCCACAAGTTCCATCGATCGCATCACGTTCTTCTCCATCTTGACGAGCTGCGAGAGTTTCCGAGCGAGGTCGGGACCGCTACAACCATGGTTAGCAAGTAGCACGGGTGGCCGAGATGGAAACGACTATGAGAACTCACTATGCACCGGCCACCGACTTGCGCAAGTTGTGTCCTGCATTACCTCCATCAGCCAAACCGAGTTAGCCAATTTGACAGGCATATTCATCTCCCCTCCGTGACAAGCAAGAAGCATTCGCTGGAGGGGGGAGAGGAACAAAGGAAAACCAATCGGTAAAAGAAGTAAGCACAAGGAAAGGACAGGCAAACAAACCGAAGCTTCCCCCGCCGAACAATCGCCCGACTTTGGTGGAGCTCGTGGGTGGTGGCGGACGCTCAATCTGCGACTGTGTCGGTGCACGCGACTGACGCATCGAATACGTGCGATGCATCTTGAGGTGTGATGCGTTAATGTATTTTCGTTGAGGTTTGTGATGCACTGTAGGAGAAGGACGACGATGAGCTTGACGAGACGATGAAGATCGCACAGCGGCACCGGGTAGGTTCATATACGTACATCCGGGGAAAGTAGGTAAGTAGGGTTAGGTAGGGATGTTTTTATTGTTTGCTTGCCGATTCGGTGAAGTGGCGAGACGTTGCGGCAGGGTGGTTGTATGGGATGGAAATCGTGTGGGAACCGGATTGGAATATGGAAGGAAGTGGTAGTAAGTAGACAAGAGGACGAGCAGAGGTTTTTGAATGGATATCAGAATCAGGTCCAGACGATAGCCTGATGCGTGGAGATAGACAAAGGTGTCGCACATCAATCGTCGTTGTGGATATCGAGAAGGCGCGGACATCCAAGGGTATTGGGAATGACGCAAGGCCCGAGGGAGCAGGCAGGCGGCCCTGGCAAGGGTGGACGGATGATGTCACAACCCGACAAATCCGCGCGGAGTAAACGAAAGGACGGCATCCGCCGTCACTACTGTCTCATTCGAACTATGATGACTGCCGAGTTTCCACACACGAGCACATACATACCTTCATCAGAGATCACCAGTTCTAAACCTCCGGACACCGAAAGTTCCGCTCCGCTGCACCACCCTCGGATACTCATAGACCTGCATTCGCCTCATCGCGTCAACCAGTTATCTCAAGTCAATCGCAAACTGCTTCACCCTTACGTATTCCACACAAACAAGTACTTTTTCAACTAAAACTCATGCGAAGGTAAATATTTGCGTGATCGTAAACCAAAAGAAAGCTTCCAATTACAATGAACCCCCGCCAAACTAAACCCCGCATCATGAAGGAAAGAACGGAAATGACATCCATAAACCAAAATTGAACTCGACTCCAATAAGCGAAGAAACCGCAAAACAGACAACCGCAAAACAGACAACCGCATGAAAAAGACCGTTCACCCCTTAACACCGACAACAACACCACCTCTTCTTCGACCCTCGATACATTGCGCCACTACGTCCGCCACACCCTCCTTCCACTCGTCGACTGAGTCCGATAGCATCTTCTGCACCACCTTCTGTGCTACCGCTCCGTAGACAACCCGAACGTCGACCGCCTGGTATGTAAGACTCTCCTTCGCAACTGTAAAGGAAATCGCCATCTTGCTCCGCAGCTCGGTCACGACGACTGTCGCTGTGACTTGCAAATCCCCACCCTCGGAGATAGCAATCTCAGTATAATGCCGTGACCGGAGGCGACGAATGTTGTCTATCACACCCAGCACTACCTTCCAGTAACTACCGACGCTTTGGAGTATGACCGGGAGGTCCCGTTTCTTGGAAAGAACCGAGTTGAGACCGTTGATAAAAAAATCCGCCTCGAGAGCTGCAATAGGCTCGGGATCTGTCGCCTTCTGGGCAGCCATCCGGATGTATTTGACCACTGGCGCGACATTACCTGCCGGGTCGCATACGAGCTGGATCTCCCGCAAGTATTCCATCTCCAGAAGTCCGTTCTCGAGGGCTTTCGACATGCGCCATCCGTGTTTCGCTTCGAGGTCGTCGCAGCGCGACTTCCAAGTGTCGACTTCCTTCTCGCTCCAGCCGCGATTCATCTCCTTGATGCGCTCCGCCTCTTCGATAGAGGCGACCAACTCAGCCTTCCGTGCCTCTTTCTTCTTGATCGCCGCGGCAAGGTTCTCCGACTCTTGTCGTTTCTCCGCTGCCTGGACGCGTGCCGTTGCGATGTCTTGGGACATTGAGGAAAGTTGCGATCGAGCAGCCACAAGTTCATCCTGGTCGTCTACTTCAACTCGCCGCTTCACCTCTTCCAGCTTCTGAAGTTCGTATTTCGCTTGTTCCCAGGCTTGCTTGAGCTCCGGTAGGTGAGATGCCACTTCTTGTGAAAGCGCCTTCACTGTTTGTTCATCCGACTTGAGGCCTTCAAGGTTCTCTTTCAGGATAGCCTGGACGCCAGTAAGAAGCACCTGGCGCCACGTATACCACTCCTTCTTGGCCACGAGACGGGCATGGGTTTTGTTGTTCCTGAACTGGATGTCCATGATGTTCTTCACATCAATCGGAGCATTGAGGTAGTCTCGGAGCACCGCAGGTCCATCGTGGATGATATCCTCGATGGTGTTCATGATCTCGTTGCCATCTGCAATGTACTTGTCCAATTCGTGGCAGCCATGTTGATATACGTTGAGCATTGGGAATGTACCGGCGCCCGCCTTGATCCGAGCCGTCAAAGTCGCCTCTTCACCGTACGATCGCTGACTGGTGGGGAAACCGGTATGACGACGCTTTGCGGTGGCTTTGAGGTCGTCCAGGAACGACACACCAATCATCTCGAGGAAGTCATGGAGTGTAAGGTCTTCGGGGATCCAACTATTGTCATTAGGATCCTCCTCTCCCTCCTCGTCATCTTCATCTTTCATGACAACATCGTCACCAAACTTCACCGCATGGACCTGTGGAGGAGGTTGAGAAGGCTTGGTGTGCGCTGTTCGGGTCTTCGAGGGAGTAGTGGACTCGTCCGGTGGAGTCACTGACTTTTTCGGAGTAGCCTTCTTCGGAGTGCGTTTCTTCGCGCTTCCTGGTAACTTGACAAGAGGCTTCTGAAAGTCGATGGGTTCCTTTTGCCCTTCCTCTTCAGCCACGATACCAATTCCATCCATACTCTTTCGTCTCTTTCTATCGCTTTCATCTGTAGTCTCAAAGCGCCTCTTCACAGGACCCAGTGATCCCACGGCAAGACTCATTCTTCCTCCGCGCTTGCTAGGCGTGAGCAATTGAATCTTGCTCATCAGATCCAGCTTCTTCTCTGCCTCTTCCCGGCGCTTGTTCGCTTCTTTCTCCTCGTGTTCTCTCTTCTCGTTATCTTGTCGTGAAAGTGCAAGCAGAGCACTAGGCGTTGCAATAGGCGAAAATGCCAAAGCATCCTCACCGATAGATTTGCGTCGAGACAGCGCTTCGGCAATGGCAGGAGATCCCATACCAGGTTTGTTGATTCCGACGCCCCTGAGAGGTGTCCGGATGGGAGTAATGGTAGTCTGGAGACCGAAACGCATGGGGGTGATGGGAGAGAAGGAGGAACTAGCAGAAGGGATTGACTCTAATTCCGTAGGAGCCTTTGGTGTTTTCAGCAGCGATTTCTCGGTTTTCAAGTCAGGCTGGAGAGCCGTGGGAGTGGAAGCCTTTTTCTTGGAAGCAGTTTTTGGAGTTGACGGCTTCTGTTGGGGCGTCTTCGACTTCCTAGCTGGCCTTGTCTGAGCTAGAGTTGTCTGCTGCTCTGGAGATGGTTCCTCAGGAGTCGGGGCTTGCGCGGGAGAAGACTTGGTTACCGATTCTAGTTGAAGCTCCAACGACTTGCGTTGAGCGCCTCGAGTAACTCTTGGTGTGATGGTGGGGACTGCAGCAGCACCTGTAGACTTCCTCGTAGCCCGTTTGTTGCGAGGCGTCGGTGAATCGACCTGTTTTAACACACGATCGACCGGGGGAACAGAGATGATTTCCTCTTTCTTTTCCGCAGTGGGTTGCTCCTTCGGAATAAGATTCGAAGATGACTTAGCAACTTCTGGCTGGCCTTGCAAGATTCGTCCCACGTTAACCGTCATTTCCATGGGAAAGTCCTCATTGTCGTCAACGTCTTCCTTAACTTCAGGCAGTGTTGGGTATGTAACCGATTCTACGGATTTTTCCGTGGCGGGTGCATCCAGCGTAGGATATGCGAGGGAACCGGATGAGACGTCTTTTGCCTTGCTCGTGGCCGCGGCGGCTGAAAGGATACCCCCAACGGCCATCGTCATATCCATATCGTCTTCCTCTTCCTCTTCCTGCTTGTCATAGGAAAAGTGCTTTTGCGCCTGGTCTTTAGCCCACTGATCTCCACCCATCAGCAAGCCTCCTCGCCGTCCTGTGCCGGTGGAGCTTCTTCTCCGGCCCTTCTCCTTGGGTGCCTGATTGACGATTCCACCAAGAACAGACGTAAATTCCATGGTCATATCTTCGTTCATGTCGACTTCGGAGGTTGGTGATGAGGATCGTGTTCTATCCTGATTACCAGCCTGAACTGCCAAAAGGATACCACCTATCGGTCGGGTCATGTCCATGTCCATTGTCATATCCGCATCGTCCGACTGTTGTTGCTGCTGTTGCTGTTGTTGTGGCTGTTGTTGCGGCCTGCCGAATCCAATACTCTTCCCAAGCCTGCTAGCCATACCACTAATGCCGCTCAAGATCCCACCGATTGGGCGTGTCATATCCATATCCATGGTCATGCCTTCGTCGTCGGCAGCCATGGGTTGTGGCTTTGCAGCAGCCCTGTTGGCAGTGCCCAGGATTCCACCGACAGGTCGAGTGAAGTCCATTCCATCTTCATCATCTTCCTCTTCCTCCTCATTCGGCTGGGATTGCTGGATCGGAGGGCGAGTACCAAGAAGACCGCCGACAGGACGTGTCATCTCCATCGTCATCTCACCGCCCTCGTCGTCCTCATCATCGATCTTCTCAGGCGTTTTCGGTGAGAACGAGAATTTCGGTTTCTCTAGGCTCGAGGTGGAGGTGGAGAGCAGCCCGCCAATGACTCGAGTGACATCCATAGTTTTATCGCCTTCCTCAGTTTCTTCCACAATAACGACCGGAGCCTCTGTCTTGGCAGCTGGCGGTAAGGACAGCACGTTATCGTCGTCTTCAGGTGCACCTTCGAAAGTCCACTGCATTGGCTTCTTGAAAATGGGCTGTCTAACAGTCTCGTCATCATCGTCGAAATCCATGTCACCTTCACCCATTGTTGTGTCTCCAGCATTTGAAACGAAAGTCCTGTCGCCAGGAGCCATATCATCGTCGATGGAATCCGTGCTGTCGCTGTCGCTGTGGCTGCCCTCATCCTCATCCTCGACGAATTCGGTCTCGTCCCCAGCTGTTGACGACAAAGGACTGGATGACATAATTTGCTCATCGGGGTTGGTGAAGTTCGGAGAAGGTGTCTTGGCTACGGACGCGCGACGATTCCGTTTTTGATTCTCCGTGCTCGGTGTTGCCGGTGCATCCTCAGACTGCTGCGGTGTCGAAGGAGTTTCCATTGATGGTGGTGTTGGTGTCGCCTGCACGTCGGCTATCGAACCGCTGCTGCTCCGCCGATTGCTCGCGGGAGTAGAAGCCCTGGATGATCCACCTGCCGATGAACCAGGCGTCGAGCTGCCATCGCCGGGATAGTAATCAACCACGTCCCAAGTGTGCAGGGTAGCCTCTGGCGCAAAGGAGACGCGACGATTGCCCATAGACTGTCGCCGAGCTGCTCGCTGCGCAAGAATTTCGGCCCTGCGCTGTTGTTCCTCCTCCGTGCGTAAAGGAATTGTTGACGCCGCAGGCTGTGTAGGTTGCAATGGTGGAGGTTGGAATATACTACTTGGCTGAGATGTAGCGGGTGTAGGCGGCACGGCAGGTGCACCGCGCAGCTGTGTTCGAGGTCTGTGGGCGGGTATCTCTTTGGGCGGTGAGACTGGTAATGTCGGTTTCAAGATGGACCTGACTGCAGGTGCTATCTACGCAAATTTTAGAATACTCAGGTCATTATCAGGCATAGCAGTTTAGGAGGACCAACAGATTCGCGCCGTCCATTCCCGTTGCCGCTCTTCAGCACGTCTTTCCTGCCCTCCGCAGCGTTGAGCGCGTCCAGTCCTCCAGGACCCAGCGACTTCGAACGCGTCTTTCTTGTGCTTTTCGCTGGTGCCTCTGGTGCCGGAGCGGCAGCACTCTTGTTGCTTCCAGAGGCGTTAGGCTGGAAGGCGATTGATTTGCGGGACCGTCGAGGGCGAGATGGGTCGGACATTGTAGATAGAGTTGCGCGCTTGCCGAGTGCGAGTAAGATGTAGCTTATTGTGAAGACACGACTGGCATCCGAGTGCGCGTAAACGGATAGCTTTCGGAGTGGAGTTGGTTTTGTAGGTACTGTCGGGGTAGTTGTCCTCTAGTGGGGGTGGTTCTGCAGTTAGGGGGAGAGTCGCGCCAGTCGTTGTTGTTTGTTTACGTTTTCGGGAGCCAAGCCAAACCAGCATGGTCGCAATGAACGATGTCACAGGCCCAGATACCTACGCGTGAAGGGCATCTCCCACCTTCACCAAGCTCAGAGTTTCGCAGAATTCTCATCACAACAAATATTTCACAAACATATAGAGAATGGTAAGTGAGCTATTACGAGCATCGTGAACGCGCACATATCTATCACATTCAGCAGGCTCATCCAGAATTCTTTAACTCGAGTAGAGATGTTGTCAGTAGACACCGCCAATGTGCATGGAGAATTCAGCAGCAGCTGTTCATATAGAGAGACGATGCAACTTCTCTCTCTGAAAAAAAAGCCACCGCAAAAGTGGTTTTGAGATCCAGTGTCTTGGCAGAATACTCGAGTGCTTGCTCATGTCAGGCCCGCCCCGCCAAGCTTTTCTCGAGCCCTAACTCTTGAAATTAAGCGAAAAGAGAGCAGTCCCACAACCGATCCCACAATCGCACACTCGCACCATCGCACCGTCGCCCGCAGAGCCGTTAGGTTTAGCAAAAATCAATACGAATCCACGACTGTCAACGCGCGCCAAACGACAAATCCCGTCAGCACCCACGATCGACCCCTAACGACCGACCACCGACGCAGCCATGGCCACCGAGCTTACCGTCCAGTCCGAGCGTGCTTTCCAGAAGCAGCCGCATATCTTCACCGCCCAGAAGGTCCGCTCCGCTAAGCGCAGAGTTGGAAAGGGAGGAAGGAGATGGTACAAGGACGTCGGTCTGGGTTTCAAGACCCCCAAGACCGCCATTGAGGGCACCTTCATTGGTTTGTCCCCGTAGTCTGCTTGTGGAGGGATATTGGGTGGTGGAAGAGCTGGAAGAGCTGGAGATGAAAGAGCTGGGAAGGAGATGGGCAGGAGAGCTCGGGACATCGATTTTTGGTGTCCTATGCAGCGGTGGATTGAAATCCACCAGCTCGAGCCCTCGCCAGATAGCTCAGACCTGGCTAGTCATGCACGGCTTGAACTTGTTGCTAATCTGATCTCACGCACGATAGACAAGAAGTGTCCCTTCACTGGTCTCGTCTCCATCCGTGGACGTATCTTGACCGGTACCGTTGTGTCTACCAAGATGCACCGCACTCTCGTCATCCGTCGGGACTACCTCCACTACGTTCCCAAGTACAACCGTTACGAGAAGAGACACAAGAACATCTCGGCCCACGTTTCGCCGGCTTTCCGTGTTGAGGAGGGTGACCAGGTGACCGTCGGACAGTGCAGGCCGCTGAGCAAGACTGTATGTGCTCTCTGTGCGCACCCGCCCGCAATCTCGAAGCTAATTAGTGATCACAGGTCCGTTTCAACGTTCTCCGTGTCCTTCCCCGCACCGGAAAGGCTGTCAAGTCGTTCAACAAGTTCTAAATTTGTGGTACTTTGGGAGCTGATCATGGAGAATATAAAATAAAATGGGTCTTTTGTTTCTCCAGGTGTTGTCTTTTTAGTCTTTGGTTTTTGCATGAACGATTTCCCAGAAAGCAAGCATTTCGAGCAACACTGCAACTAATCAACCCACTTGAATGTGACGGCACGCTTTCTTTTTCGCCCTTTCTTTCGGCTTATGCAGCTCAGCAATTGGTCCGGGATAATGGACTTGGGAATGGATGGCAATCGATAGTGGCTGTTTCTTGCATCATACAAAAGGCGATCAGAGAAACAAGTCATGTCCGCAGCCCAATTTAGAGATGTGTCAAGTCGATGAGCGTCTTCAAAGGTCGTGGGGGGTGCCAACCGTTCATCTGGAGAGTCCATTGAGCTAGATCACACTAACGAGGATCAGTGGATGGTGGCTGTTGGCTTCGGGATGTTGCTTGTTTCAAAAGCTAGCAGATAGGCGCATAGAGTGTGATATCTGGGACGCTGGACATCCCTTTACTTCAGTCGTCTTGAATTGCTCCCCATAGGCATCATTCAATACTTACTTGCCCATAGGTACTTCCCTAGAGGCCGTCGGAAAGAGCTCTGCAGAAGTACATAATTCATCACTCGTAGTCCCAGGTCTGGGCCCACTTAACGTGCATGAAATGCCGGTGAAGAGAGCGATCTCGATGTATCTCCTCTTTGGCAGTGGCGAAATATGACCGATGGCCTCACGTTGCTCACGGCGATTAATCCAGCTCGGGCTCGGGCTCGGGCTCCGGCTGTGAGGGGGGTCTGTGCTTTGAGATCTTTTCAGCCCTAGGCCACATGATACGGGCTTTCGACTTGGTTTGCCGAGTATTGAGGGGCTTAACGCGTGCCGATATTTGCTTGCCGCGATCCCACCGCCCATCCATGCCTGCTGCATTACGATAGATTTGCGGCTGGTGCTCTGCCTAGTCCCGCAGATAAGTACCTGGTTAAGGAATTTGTTGTTGCTACACCTCTCTCTCGCCCCCCTCCACTATTATACGCCGACATTGAACGAAAGAACGGATCATCGGAGGATAGGAGTTGGCCTGCGCACAGTGATGGTTGCGATATCTGTATGTTGCCTTTTTATGCGTGCGGAGAATGCGATGAATGAATGACAGGCAGCCACTAACCAAATAATTACGCCGCTCTACGCAGTTACTTTCCTAAAACGGCCCATCATCGCAACTGGACAGAGTAGTTTTAGTAGACATGGCGGAAGAGAGCAATCGAGATCAATCTCAGCCGCGGCACGATAGTGGCAAACTGCGAGACAAGGGAGGAGCGGGAAACATCGCGTCGTCCCCGTCCCCCCCCTTCCCCCCACAAACACAACCACCACCGTTGCCGCCGCCGCCGCCGACGCCCACCGCAATGCCAGGCCCAGCAGGAGGACCCCCGCAGTATCTCCGCAGCCGCACAGGTAATCTATCCCCTCTCCGTTTGTTGAGCCATCGCCGTTGACCCGCCCCGGCCCGAGCGATGTAGGATGCTGGACGTGCCGCTTCCGAAAGAAGAAATGCGACGAAGTGCGGCCTGTGTGTAATCAGTGTTGTGCGCTGCGGATACAGTGCGACGAGGCGACTGAGCCCCAACCGGCGTATATGAAGGATCCGGAGAAGGCGCGGCAGAAGAAGGTTGAGATCAAGACACAGATGGGGAAGAGGAAGAGGAGGCGGAGGAGGAAGATGGATATGGCGACGGGCGCGGAGGGGAAGGGGAAGGCGAAAAAGGAGGTGGTGGTGGAAATGGACGATGAGGGCGACAGCGTGGCCACCGCTTCTGCTACAGCAGAGCCGAACGAGGATAAGGGAGAGGGCTGGGACGAGGTGAAGCAGGAGCCGCCTCAGACTTTGGACGAGAATGAGGAGGATGAGGAGGAGGACGGCGCATGGGAGGATGAAGACGACGAGGAGGGTTTCCCGGTACTCGACGCGAGCAGTTCGGAACCTTCCAATCCCGGGACCATTGGACTCGCCAGACGACCGTCGGCAACAAGCTCAACAGTCACCGTCCGCTCACCGTCACCACTAAAGGAAGAGACGCGCAGCGAACGCAGTTTAAGCCGACGCCTATCATCGCCGCCCGAGAACCGACTGATACCCACGCAATCGCTGGATCCGTTCCTGGTCTCCTTCATCCCTTTCAAAAACCGCCGCGAGATCCGACTGTTGAAACACTACATCTATGATGTGTGCGCCTACACGTACCGCGGCATGCCCGAGTCCGAGATTTCCCGACTCATACAGTTTGTTTTGGTCCCGCGCTGCCAGATGAACAGGACATTCCTATATGCGTGCATCAACAGCGGATTGCTACACCTCTCCAACGTAGCGCGGGCTCAGAACTCCAGCCACGAGGTGTTACGATTGCAGACGGAGATCGCGGAGTACAACGTGTTGGTCTTTCAAGGGCTGACCAAAGAGCTCGAGGCCGGACCAACAGGCGATACCCTGGCCAACATCTTGGGCGTTCTAAATTTCGAGGTTCGTCGTTGTCCAAGCGGGTACTTAGCTGTTCAAGTCATTCCCAGCCAGGCCGAGTAGCCGTTTACTGACTGCCATTCTCGTGCTGTACAGATCAACGCTGCTCATCAGTCATGGGAAATACACGTGAGCGCCGCCGCCGAGTTGCTCGTGAAACTAGGTTACATCGAGAACCCCTCACAAACCCCCAGCAGCACGTTCCAAACCAAACGAGTAATCTGGCTGGACATAATGGCAGCCTGCACACGGGGCAGCGCGCCCCGCCTGTGGGCCAACCACCGCCAATTCCTCTCCCGCCCCCCAAAACAGCTGCATGCCCTCCGCCTCCAATCTCTCACTGGAGTCGCAGACGAGGTGCTCTACCTCCTCTCGGAGGCGCTCTGCCTGGAACAGCTCAGCCAATCCCCAGGCCTAAACATGACATGGTGGAACCGGTGGGCAACGGAAGTCGACGAGCGCCTAGTGCGAGCATACCCCGCGCGGTTCCTGCCGACATCGCAACCCCCGCGCACCGGCGCGCGCAGTCCGCCGCCGCCGCCGCCGCCGGCAAAGCCGTCGGCCGCGCTCGCGGTGATATCGTACCCGTCGCCGTCGTGCACGCCCGAGCCGGAGCCGCTGTCGTACGGCGTGCTGCTGCTGCCGCACGAGGCCATCACGGCCGCGTTCGTCCTCGCCACTAGGATACATATCTGGAGTATCAGCCTCGGCTTTCGCCCGCACCTGGAGCTGTTCCGCGGGTTCGTAAGCGAGCTGGTTGCGGTGATAGAGACGATACCGACTGGATCCATAGGCTGCGATCGCTGCATCGTTTGGCCACTGCTCGTGGGCGGGTCGCTCGCCGAGACGAGGGAGCATAGGGACTTCTTTGTGCGCCGGGTCCAGCATCTAGAGCCATATGGCGTCCTGAGCTTTGCCGAGAGGATACTCCGCGAGGTGTGGGACGTCAGGGACCACCTGGATATGCAGTTTGGGAAGGGCGAGAGGGAGGTGCATTGGAGGAAGGCGATGAAGGATTGTGGTTGTCAGGTGCTGATGGGGTAGGGTGGTATGTAATTCTAGCATATCATGTACATAGTGGTGTGGATTGGAATTTGGGAGGCGTTCTTGTTTACTTGTTGTCTGCTTTGGTGATTGGTTCTGTTGCATCGCATCGCACAGGTGAGGGGAGGTTGGAGGGTTGGATATAGTTAATCGAATGCATGCGGGGAGAGGGTGGCTTCATATCTCTACTATAGGACTGTTCTCTGCAGCGGGGGATTATCCTGCCCAGTCTCGGTGGAGACCCAGCTACCTACCGTAAAGTTCCGATTCATTGCGGCGCCACAGCCTACATACTTACTTCTACCAAAACGAAAGAACGATTTTAAGCTATTATACTATACAAGTATCGTCACCGCTCGACACGGTGCACATATGTACATACACGGAATCCCGCTGGATAGTGGACAGTGGAAACGCCTGCTCAGCTCCGGAAGCTCCTCGACTGCTCCTTCCGAACCTCTGCGGCTTTGCCCATAGGATCTTTTCCTGGCTCGTACACTTGGGGTAGTACTTGAGCGGGTGCTCCCGCGTTTGGGTCCGGGTCTGGGTTTGGGTCTTGGAGCGATGCCATTCGCACCGGGCGTCGGGCTTCCGGCGGGTGGCTCTTCGCCATTGGAGGTATGTACTGGCCCGTATGATTCTCTGCAGCGAGAGATAGAGAGAGCATCGATTCTGTCACATATGGCCTGTCTGACTAGGTATGGCAACCACAAACCTGCAGTTCTCTGCCGTGTCCAGCACTGTAGGTACTTCGTTTCGATTCCGTCCTCCCGCGAGTGATCCCACGTGACGATCCGCGCCCCGTCTCTACATCTCTACATCTCTTGCATGTACATACCGTACATTCGCCCGAACACCGAACACCGAATACCGAAGGAAGTTATGGTCCGTGGATCGTAGATCGTAGAATTAAAGTCCGTTTGCATGCGGAACCGATAACGGCACACAGCCACCCGCTGGCGCGCCCGCGCCAGTGTACAGTCGGAGTGCAAGCCCCCGGTACCGGTATGTAGAGTAACTACCATCGCCGTCACGGTCGTCACGTCTGTATGTAGAGTAGGTATGGTGCACATCCATACCACCCGCTGCAGCATCCACTCCCGAGCCTCTCAAGCCCGTGTCTATCCAACCCCGTAACCACCTCCGTAGCCCCGTATGAAGCCACGTCGCTAACACCACCCACCCCTCCCAATCCCCAGCGCAGCCAGCCTCCTCCTGCCATCGCGGTCACCCTCAACTTCGCGCTCAATCTTGACAATGACATGTCCAGGTATCACCACCAGGCCGATGTACCGGCTCTTTAGTTCCGCCGTGCTGCTGCTGCTGCCGCTGACGGTGGAAGGGGAGGCGGAAGTGGTTGTGGGCGCAGTGGGTGTGCGAAACTCGTTCGTCATGTGCAGGATTAGGTTCCGGTCCTGGGGGGTTGTTAGCTGGTGCTTGAGGGCGCTGGTGGGGCGGGGAGGAGGGGGTGGGGTAGGGGGGCGCGGAGGATGGGGAGGGAGGAAAGAGCGCACCCGGTCGGTGCACTTCAGCTCGCCGATGAAGAAGCGGTTGTCGGTGGTTGTTACGCGGAGGGTGCCGTTGATGTGGGATTGCAGGTAGGGGAAGGGTGAGTTGTCTTCCATTGCTGTGGTGTTGTTGTTGTTGTTGTGGGTTGGGTTGTGGGTTGTGGGGTGTAGGTGGGGGGTGGTGGAGGGGTGCTGCAGAGAGGTTGGAGATGCTGGTGAGAGGTGGAGACAGGTGAAGGGAGGTGGAGGGACGGAGGTGCGTACGCCAAGGCGGGAGGGTGGGGTGGCACTCTACCTAACCCTGGGCTGGGCTTGCACATGTGATTTGGAGGGGTTTGGCGTGTCGTGTCCGATGCTCACGGCTTGGCTTAGTTGCGCAACTGACCGACTAACTAACGACTTTGCCTGTTGAATTCCAAGCACAAGAGCACTCGCGACGCGCCATTGTGCCTCACTAAGCCCTCACGGCCCTCCAGTACTGGTTACGTGGAAAACCCGTTCACAGTGAAGGGTTTCATTCAGCGCACCATACAGTCCCGCGAGTTCCGGATCGTCACTTCACTGCGACCGAATACCTATGATATGTACCAACATCAACAGCCAAAGAGCCACCGGTCCTGGTACCGTTGCAGCCCGCCATCCGCTATCGCTACCGACGGAGCCAGACTCCAGAGGCTTGCCTGTACATTGCCGGCCAAACAATCCCCCCGCTCCCCATTGCATTCATATGTGTATCGTCCTCCGTCCAGGATGTCGTCCGGAGGCTAGGTACTCTACTCTACATACCACAGGCAACACTATGTATGACATGTATGTACGTACCTCCGTCCACGAAGGAAACGAAGACCGGCACGGGGAAGCAGGAGAAGAGATGGGAGCTCGCTCGCAGGTGCGGGGTGCAGTAGTGCTGATGCGAGTTAGCGGGATGCGGCGAACTATTTAAGGGCGAGCAGCTGCTGCTCCTCGGGGATGGATGCATGGAAAAGACACAGTCTCTGAATATCGATGGCAGATGCCGCATGGGTCCGCTGGAGATGTTAGATGGGATGGCATGATGAGTTTGCTACACATGTACCGTATGTATGAATCCTGGCCTCCCTCCCTCGGGTAGGACGGGACGAAAGGACCGGGTATTGGCCCCAGGTCCCCAGCATGGATGGATGGTATGTACCGTATGTAACCCTCGGAGCCGCGCAAACTCCGTTGGGTTGGCTGGCTTGTTGCAGATATCACTCGGCCTTCTCGTTTTTTTTGACTCTAGAGTTTGACTGCTCGTCTACACCCCGCGGACGTACATACCCGTTCAATACCCCGCTCCGCAGGGAGCTAATATCCCCACAGGTCCAGGATTCAGGCGAAAAGCACAGAGTCTGTAGAGTACACAGCAGAGCGTCAAGTTGCGTGTTCGTGAGGAATCCCTAGCCCTGGAGTCGAAGAATATGTGCACAGAGCACTTTTGGTGCATACTCTGCCCCGCACCTAGGGATTTTGAGCCGCGACCGCCGACAACGCAGTCGACCGACCACAGACGAAAGAACGGCGAGCCATGTATATATTATTATTATTTCCAGCGAGCAATCTAGAGTAGCGAAGCGCAGAGAACTCGTCCGCTTCCGGTACCGTTTCCGGATCCGTTTCCGGCTCCGATTCCGATTCCGATTCCGTTCCGTGATAGATATGCACGCTTCTTCGATGGGCGGCAGCTAGGTAAGGTAGGTAGACCATAGACGATAGCTGTAGTTAGAGTGGATAAGATAGATCGAGAAGCCTGGAAGCACCACCACCAAGCACCACGCACCGCACACGCACACACGCACACAGCACACGCACACGCCCAGCCCACGCACACACGCAGCTTCCCCGTTGGCTCTCTGCCTGCCTGCCTGCCTCTGGTGTGTGTGTGCACTGTGGGTGGTGGTGTGGGTGGGTGATCTCGCTCCGTCGCCCAACCAGATTAGAATAACCGTTCCTTCCCGAAACGCGGACCGTTAGGATACTTATTTCAGACTGTTCTGCTTCGCAGTTGAGACGGCGGATGCATGCCGAGAAACGAATGAGGCGAATCATATGGGACGTCGAGATGCGCCAACGCGGCGGCGGCGGTGACTCGAATGTTTGGTAGGAGGAGGAGGAGGAGGAGGAGCCCAAGAGGGGGGTCTACAAGGCTCGGTGAGGGCTCCGGAAGAAGTGCGGGCAGAGTGTTTACATATGCGTGGGGGTCTGGGTATGTTCGCCACAAGGCTACGGAGCGTGAGGTGGTCCAGCGAGAGCGGGGACGAGTGCAGGCTCGCTCTCCTGTCCGACGCTGGCACTTCCAGGGGTTGTTTCCTGTGGTGGCGACATCATGGTTCGCTAGTTGATTGTGGTGGTAGTGATGGTCGTGGTGGTGGAGGAGATGGTGGGTGGTGGGGGAGGGGATATCAAGATGGGTTTATGTATCATAGCTCGGTGCTGCTTGCGTTGGTGGCTGGCTGGGCTGGCTGGGCTGGCTGGGCGACTATCGATTGGCCGAAAGGAATGAATGGCACGGCAACTCTAGTAGAGAACACCAGAACACTCGCCCCGAAACTTGACTTGGACCTGTCGCCCTGGCAAGTCCCCTTCTTCCTCCTTCCTCACTTCCCGACAACCCATACTCCCTCCTTCTCCATCTCCCTCCCCCCCTTCCCAACCTTATTCCTCCCCGCTCCCCGCTTCTCCTCCCCCACCTTTCTATCTTCCCCTCCTCCTCCTCCTCCTCCTCCTCCTCCGCCTCCTCCTCCTCCGCCTCCTCCTCCTCCTCCCTCCTCCTCCTCCTCCTCTCCCCTCCCACCACTGCGGAGGCGTCATACACAACTCTCATCCCACGAACTTACATACATACTCCGCCTGCTTGACGACGGCGACCTTTAGCCTGTTGACCCGAGCGAGCTGGATCGAAGCGAACTGCAACGGCGTCCAATAACCATCTGCCGCCACCAGCAACCCACGAACGTCGTCACTCTGCTGCTCCACCCCCCCTTCCCGCGCATCGTCAGGTGAACGAAAGACTTGTCTACTGTATTCTACTCTACCTACCCGGAGAGACACACCCCGGTACGTGGGTTCCCGAGCGAATGTCTTGGTGCTGGATTGGATCCGTCTCGTCTGTCTGTCTCTGTCTCTGTGCCCGTGCCTCTTCTTCCTTACAAGCTTTCCTTCCTTCCTCTTCCAAACCCTCCAACAACACGTTCCCTTTCCCAGCAACAGCAGCAACACAAAGCTCAGTGTGCAACATCACCATCACCACCTCCACCATCACTCCAATCACTGCCAATCACAACTCCGCTGCCTACTCCCCCTCCCCATTCTCACTCCACCCCCCAGTCTAACCGACAGACGCCACAGTCGAGGAATCAAGGAATTAAAAAAAGCTTGCCGTGAATATTTCCCTTCAGGAACATAAAAACTCACCTATGCTGCGACTTGTCATTGATCTCCGACAAAGAAAGAAAAAAACTGACTTGCCTGTTCGCGATTGTAGATAGGCCGAACCATAAGCCCAAGCCAACACCTCCCACGATAACTACCACTCCGCTTTAAATCACCTTCCTTGCCTTCCCTGGCCCGGTACCAAAAGCGTGAGAGAGCAAAGAGAAAGTCGCACCCCAACAATACAACACAACTACCACTGCATCCCTCCATCTCCAACAACCACAACCTCCACCTCTACCACCACTCCCACCACAATCACCTACTACCACTTCCGCTACCCACCTCCTCACCGAACCCCCCTCTCACCTACCCCCACCCCCCGTCTTGTCTTACGACTCGATACCGCTCCTACGACCGCGACGGCTGCTCAATACGGCCGAACACACGAACCTTCTCCCTCCTAACGCACAGCTACCGCCCTTTCCTCGCAGATCCACCGGCGGTCATCACGGCGTGGCTTCCAAAACGTCGCCTGTTCACGAGAGCCAATTTCTCCTTTTCCTAAATTCGCTCTTTGAACCGCCATAACGACTCCTACTTCTCCCTCCCGCTTCCATCTTCCTAAATACTGCCACGAACAGCTTTCCCTCTAGACTGGGTTCTCAGACTCCTTCACACACACACCCCCCCTCCCCCCCAGCACTACATCGACCGCCCCCTTGTTGCGCTAGCCCGTCTACCTACTGCTCACCCTTGGGGCGCCAACCAGAGCTTGCCACCAAGGATTGTTCAGCCGATACACTTAAAAAGTATTCTCGCCTGCCCATCGTCTCATTGCATGCTTGGGGATTTTAAGCAGGCCATCGTTTCACACCCTCCTCCTCCTTCTCCCCTTCTCCCTCTCCTTCCCCACCTACCACTCCTCCACAACCGTCCGGTACAACACCATCACGTAAACCTAATCCGTCAGTTCGAGAATGGGACAGCAGCCGTCCAAAAGATCTGGCAGCGAGAGCGGACAACTCTCGGCTCGAGGTTCCGTGGGCTCGTTGAGCGGGGAGGGTAGTGGCACCTTACCAATCATCAAGTCGGATACTCAAGGATCGTCCAGGTCGCTGAGAGGATCTATTCGCAACAAGATCAAAGACAGGCGGGAAAAGAACAACAATGACGATGCCGGCGAGGGAAATGTGGCGTCATTCCTTGCGGGAGCTGATAAGAAGGACGAAGATGCACTTCCGAGCGGACGACCGCGTAGGGGTTCGGGATCTTTACCATCGATAAATACCGGGACGGGGGAGGGTAGACAGATTGTCTCTGAGTCATCGACTGCTGTCGGTACTCCCTTCGACTCCGAAAATTCCCTCATCCCACCGCCGTCTCCCGTCGTGAGCGGATCCATCGGTAAAGGTCACCACGCGCTGGACAACGGCAACAACCGGGAGGTGGACCAAGTCTCGGACGCGCCGCCAGGAGCTGGCGGTGTCCAGCCCCCCTCCTCACAGATGCCGAAGGAACCCATCTTGATCAAACGACCTGGTGCTCCGAACCCGGTAAACCTCGTGGCTGACGGCAGCGCGCCGGCGACGCCTGGCGGGGATCCAATGCAGATGTCAGCGTTGAAATCGATTGACTTGGACGACATGATCACGCGGCTGCTCGATGCCGGATATGCAGGAAAGGTCACCAAGGCGGTGTGTCTCAAGAATGCTGAGATCCAGGCGATCTGCGCGGCGGCGAGGGAGGTGTTTCTCTCTCAGCCTGCATTGATCGAATTGAGTGCTCCGGTCAAGATCGTCGGTGACGTGCATGGCCAGTACACCGATCTCATCCGCATGTTTGAGATGTGCGGCTTCCCTCCAAACTCGAACTATCTCTTCCTGGGAGATTACGTCGACCGAGGCAAGCAGAGTCTGGAGACGATACTCTTGTTGCTATGCTACAAGCTTAAATTTCCGGAGAACTTCTTTTTGCTGCGAGGGAACCATGAGTGCGCCAATGTCACCAGAGGTATGTTTTAATTCTTATTGTCTCAGCCCGACTCTTCGCTGACGTTGACGTTGCTAGTGTACGGCTTCTACGACGAGTGCAAGCGACGATGCAACATCAAGATCTGGAAAACTTTCGTCGACACGTTCAACACACTGCCCATTGCGTCTATCGTCGCTGGAAAGATCTTCTGCGTGCACGGCGGCCTGTCTCCCAGTCTCCAGCACATGGATGACATTCGCCAGATCGCGAGACCCACCGATGTGCCGGACTATGGACTGCTCAACGACCTGCTCTGGTCCGACCCTGCGGACATGACTGGCGACTGGGAGGAGAATGAGCGGGGTGTGTCGTACTGCTTCGGCAAGAAAGTCATCGTCGACTTCTTGGCGAAGCACGATTTCGACTTGGTGTGCAGGGCACACATGGTGGTCGAGGACGGATACGAGTTCTTCAATGAGCGCACATTGGTTACCGTCTTCTCCGCACCAAACGTATGAGTTTCCCCCCATTCCAACCCGGGAAAGAGTTTGCTGACGATCGTCCACAGTACTGCGGAGAATTCGACAATTGGGGCGCTGTCATGAGTGTGTCGGGCGAATTACTGTGTAGCTTCGAGCTGTTGAAGCCGTTGGACTCGACCGCATTGAAGCAGCAGATGAAGAAGAGCCGTAATAGGCGATCTTCGATGATGCACCAAAGCCCTGTAAGTCCAAAACCCGACTCCATACAAGCACGTCTCCTAACCGGTCAACAGCCTGCACACATGTCCGCTCAGAGTTACTAGCTTACGTTACGTGCCACCTACCAACCTACCCCCCACCAGCTACTTACCACTCATCATCTACTACTGCGTCCATAAATATTAAATATCTCTACCTTTTGATATCTTTTGCAGTGTCCGCTTTACCACTCGGCTCTCTGCCATGTCTTTTTTCAGAGACCTCCATCTTTCCGGTTTCCTTATCTTTTTTTTTTGTTCCCGGCCTGTTGTGCGTATTTGCTCGTTCCTGGGGAGTGTGCGCGGGGTGGTCGTTTTGTTCTACTAGGGCGTCTTTGGCGTGCAACTTGAACATTGCATATCTGTTTGGTTGATATTTCTGTGTGTCGTTACTTTTATTTTTGAATTCCTCGTTCTCGATCTCGTTCCAGGGCTTTTTTCTTTTACGTTTTTCAAGGGTTATGACGTGGTGTATGTGGGGTTGAGTTACGTGGGGTGCCTGGGATGAAGGGATGTGTGATGGTTACTTAAACAGTTGAAACCCCATGTGCAAAGATAAGAAATGTGATGGGACTAACCAGCAGGATTCCTAATGCTTTGCACATTTGAACTGTCTGGCTGTCTGCGTGGCATAGATGTGTTTTTTTTCTTTTTTTTTTCTGTGGCTTTTGGTGTTGCTCCCGGCGATGACGTTCTCTTTTTTCTCTGCGTTGTTCGACGCTTTTTCTCATCTATTCTACTCTAAGAAATGCAAAATCCGCATTCTATTTCTACCATGGGAATTTACTTTTCGCATGAGATTTCGCATGAGATTCGCATGAGAGAGAGTGCCGAATTATGAACCGGACTGTGCCCCTCGTAGGGCTGGCTGTCTGGCGTGGGGTTGTCACGAGACGCGCGGGTGCAGCGGCTGAAGTGGGATGGGATGGATGGATACAGACGCCCGGCGGCCCGATTGATTGGTTGATCCATGCGGTTTAATCGGAAGATCGCGATCGGAGCGGAGCGGGTGCGGGTGCGGGTGCGAGGGACTTGGGCATGGTTTATCACTCGGTGTATCATCTGGCAACGGGGAAATTCCAAGCGGACCTCTCTCTGCATTACAACACCAAAACTACCTCGCGGTGTACCCACCATCGACGGGGACGACCGCGCCAGCCATAAAATCGCTCGCGCCACTCGCAAGGAAGACCACGAGCCCCGCCAGATCCGCCGTCTCGCCCCAGCGGCCCACCGGCGTCCGCCGCATCACCTCCGCATTCTTCTCCGCGTCCTCCTGCAGATCCCGCGTCAAGTCCGTGCGGATATACCCCGGCGCGATGGCGTTGACATTGATCCCCCTTGCGGCCCACTCATTACTGAACGTTTTCGTGACCTGTGCGATGCCACCCTTCGTCGCGGTGTAGGCCGCGAGGCCCGTCCCGCCGGTAAAACTCAGCACGCTGGCAGTATTAATGATCTTCTTTCTCGGGACCCCACTGGCATTCCCCCAGCCCTGCAGGTCCTCAGCGAACCAGTGCGCCGCCACGTCACGGCACAGGATAAACATCGCCCCGAGATTGACCCGCCAGATCCCCTCCAGCTCCGCGTCGCTGTACGTCTCTGCCGGCTTGCGGACGTGCCACCCCGCGCAGTTCACGAGGATGTCGATGCGCTCGCCTGCACTGGTGATACGTGAGATTAACGTGGATACCTCCGGTGTGTTGCCGAGGTCGCACGGGAAGGTCCGGCACCGCCGCCCCAATGACTCGATGCGGGATATGGTCGTGGCGCCGCTGTGCGGCGTGCGGATCGGGAGGATTATGTTCGCGCCGGCGGAGGCGCTGGGCGGAGGTCAGCCCATGCACACACGCGGGGAGGGGGACGGGGGAGGAAGGGGGGGGGGATTACAGAGCTACGGCGATTCCCGCGCCGATCCCGCGGGTGCCGCCGGTCACGACCGCCGTCTTGCCCGCGAGACTGTAGAGCGAATTGATGTACTCGTTTGACTGCGACGGTGGTGGTGCGCCGGAGGCGGTGGGCAGGACGATCTCGCTGGCGCGGCGGGAGGGGGGGGACCACATATTTGGTTTTGCTTTAGTGTTTGCTGCTTGGGCGGGGCGGGGGGCGGGGGCGGTTGAGGGGCGGGAATTGAGGGCGGGAATTGAGGGGGTTCGGGGTTTATATCTCCACCTCGCCCAGCACTGCGGGGAGTGCGGGGTTAACCAGCACCTTTGGTAGTCCACCTATGTACTCTACGCAGTGGTGTGTTGGACAGTTAGGCCAGCTGCAGCTCTGCAGCTCTGCCCCGCGCCTGGCTGCATGCATGATGACGATCAGATCAGATCAGCCCTTTCGTTGTCGGTCGGGCCGAAGCCGGTGAGCATATGCGGGATGGAATACGCGTTTACAAGGCGGGGGCGGGGATGCGGGCCGAGTGATACAGTGTGAGGATGCAGCATGCAAGGCACGCCTGGTTTGATGTATGATATGACCTTACTTACTATATGCCAGTGTGTGCCGGTGTGTGCCGGTGGGAGGGCTCGGTATATAAAAAAAAGAAAGACGGGAGGGAGGGAAGGGAGGTTGCTGGATACCCTGGGTATAGAAAATGCCAAAGTCGGTACTTCGGTGTTTATCTTTCAAGAGCCGAATGGCTGCCGCACAGCCGCTACTAAGCATGTAGAGAGCGACGCTCACGGACACCATCACCAAGTGACAAGTCTGACAGTGAAGACGATTTTAGCTGAAGAAGGTATGCATACCACCGCACTACTAGTAGTTACAGTAGTTACGGCCTACCTACCAGACAATCCGTTTCACGTCCTTGAGGCGGCCCGAGGAAGAAGTGTCGTCACCAGACTACATAGAAATGTCGGCGCTTTAACGAATGATCATAAAGTTATAATAGTACAATTTGATGTTCATCTGGTCGCATGGTGTAGTGGTTATCACATCTCGTTTACAGGAATGTAAATCAAAACCGAGAAGGCCGCAAGTTCAATCCTTGCTGCGATCAATATTCTCTTTTGTCTTTGTTCCCTTCTGGGTTGGATGGAGGGCACTTTTTTACGCTCGGAATATGTGGTGACGTGGTTGATACTCTTGGTGGATATGTTACGATGTGATGTGGTTGACGAATGGGTGCACAACCTTCAACCGCGTAGAATACTACTCCAATGTGCATAGGCTTGGGCTTGGGCTATGTCACGCAGTGTTCTCTAGTCTGGTCCGTACCGAACAGGACCAGTCCCGTCGGTTCCTTTTGTGGGACGGGATAAAAGTAGCCCGTCCTGACCGCCATTTTGCTGGACGGGGTTGGACCGTTGGACTGCAGTCTGGCAGTGACAAAAATGCTCCTCTTTTCAGTACTTCCCCTAGGTATGATACCAAATATGACAGTAAAACGTTTCCCACTAGTTATCGTGTGTGGAATTTCGTCAAGTATCAGCAACCCCGGCGCGGTGGCATCTGAAGACTGCAGTCCATCCCATCCCATCCGAATGTACTAGCGGACTGGACCATCCAACACACACCTCCGGACGGGCCGGATGTATGTAGTCCAGTCCCGTCCATGGGCCCGGACGGACTGGACCGGACTAGGTTTGTAGAACACTGGATATGTGGTTGTTTCGGCAAAACCAAAACAATCACTCGCGAACGATCACTCGTTCCATGTTGTCCACGGCGGTCCAAGTTGCACACCATAAGTTTGAAGTTCCAGTCCATGGGCAGTAGCTGCATCAGCACAACCTGATTGGTTTGTGACCAGCCACATTGGCCGAATAGTTTCTATTCACTATCCTACTACATACTACATAGGTACGCTCCCCCGAATGAATTATTAAGGCATGTCTGCAATGTGTATACGCTCGCTTGCACCACAACCAAAGTATTGAACACAGAGGTGTGGTGGAAGGATGCATTTTGATATACGTCCATTGATCTTCGTGGGTTCGGTTGGTTGATTGGTGTCCGCCGGATAGTCGAGTTGTCTGCTGGTTTGTTGATCCGTCCGTCGTGAGGCCGCCGGGTACGTGATCCCATTTGTTGTCTTCTGTGCAGCCTGCATTACGTCCGCACTTCCTCCCCACAATATTCCCGGAATCCGGCTGGTCCATTGGTATCCGCCGCGTTGTTGTGGTCCAGTTGGTCCCCAGGTTCCCACTGTAGGTTTGCGTCAGCCCACGTCGTCACAGTCAAGGTATTGAAAAACAAAGATGTGACGTGTGGTCGATTGTTGGTGTACGTCTGTCCGATCCGCGCTGGTAGACTGTAGTAGCGTCCTGGTGCTGGTCGGATGGTTCCTTTTTTTGTGGAAAGAATATTACTTGGTGGTGTTGGTGTTGGTGTTGGTGTTGGTGTTGGTAGTGAGGAAGAGAAAGAGGAAGGGAAGGAAGGAAGGTAATCAGAATGTGCGCGGAAGAAGAAGAAGCCCTAGCGTTATCCTTCAAAAGGTGGAAAGAAACCGTCACTAGCCAGCAGAACGGCCCTTCAAAAGGCAAGACCCACGAAGTTCCAAGCCACCCGGCCGCGATAGCTATAAAACCCCTTCTCCCCCCTCTCCTATCATCTTCTCTCTTCAAGCACAGGCATGAGCAAAGCACAACAGCAGTGGCAAGAGTAAAGAGCAAACACATAGCAGTGGCAAGAGCACAGCGGACTGACATAACGCCCCTTACGTGGTTGAGGTTTTTTCCCTTCGGATTTCCTCTAAAAAAACATCACCTTCCTGGCTGCAATGCGAGGAGGCGAGGTTTTTTGTGGTCCATTACTACATAGGCTCCGTGCGAGGAAAGCACATCATGCCTGGTGGTAGTTATGGGGCCGATAGAAACCAGCATTGCTCGCTCGTCTGTTTCCGACTGCGTAGGTTGACCGATGGATTGAGAAAGTAGCAAGGTCCAACATAAGTATAAGACCATTCAACTCGAGTGGCAGATTTGGCGGCAATCCACAGAATCAAGTGCACGGGTAAATATTGTCATGATCTAGATAGGTCGCATGCAATCAATGAACGAACAAAAAAGAACAAAAACTCATAAGTTGAACCCAGCGGCGCAGCAATGGGCCGCGGCGGTAGGAAGAGCTTTCTCTCTGCCCCCATGGAGCTGGCAGGAAAGATCGAGTTTGTGGTCGCCATAGTCTAGTATCAAGGCCGCATACGAAAATTGGTTGATGTTCTCTCTCTCTCCATAAGTTAAACCATCTATGTACGAACTGCTAAGATGCCAACTAGGTACCTACCAACCCATTCACGAGATATCACAGGACGAACAATCGTGGTCACAGACAGCCTCGCACCCCACCACACCATCCGAACATGGTTTAGGAAGAATAGCCAGAAACTATCAGCATGCTGGCAGCCAGCCTTGTCCGTGAATCGTGGAGAACCGGTTCTGCTCCCAACTTCCAAGTAGCATGGTGATTACTCCAGAGTACCTAGTACTCTGTCGGAGTTCCTGATCACCAAGTACCTAGCATGGTGATTATAGCAGAGCAGTACTCCGTCGGAGTTCCTGATCACCCGTTCGCACTCTTCGACCAGGTAGGTAGTGTGCTGACAGAGTCTTGTCCATGACTCGTGGGGCCACGGTTCTGCTCCCAAGTACCCAGCATGGTGATTAGAGTAGACTAGGACTCTGTCGGAGTTCCTGATCACCCGTTCGCACTCTTCGACGCGGGCCGGGACGATCCATCATCAGCATCCGGCATGACGCTGCAAAGTGCCTAGAGTCCTAGACCAGATGGACACTCTACATGGTCACTGTCCTACAGTACACGGATTCTCACTCCGCGAGCCCACGTGCGTGCTGCGTGCCTGCACAGCACTGTGCAGCGGAGCGGGTAGTCTACGCAGCGTACTCGGACCCGGGCCCGCCAGAAGCGGCAGCTACTTACCTAGTACTTACATAGTATTTCGACAATCCGATCACTCGCCTGGAAGGCTCGATGTAGGAGGAGGTATCCGCTCGCAACTAAGTGGGGGTACAGTCTTGCAGTCCTGCAGTCTTTTTTTTTCTCCGTCGCCACTCGCGAAACCCTACATGTACATAGGTACGGTACGGCGTCGAATAACCCGCCCGCCGAAGCTTGGCGGTGTCTCGTGCGTCTCGTCTCGTCTCGTCCGTTGTTCACCGCCAGGAGTTGCCAGAGGACTCCCGATCGTCTCCTGATCTTTGATGTCCGACAGACAGACTGCCAGACTGCCAGACAGACAGACAGGCAGACACCGGAAAAGCGTCGCGCCGGCGCCGGCGCCGGCAGCGGTAGCGGCGGCGGCAGTTGTGGCTTTGCACTAGTTAGCAGTGGTTATCCATGGTGTGGAAAATCGGGTGCTGCAACGATCAGTTGTGTTGCGGAAGGAACCGGCACTGAAAACCGCAAACTGCAAACCGCAAACCGTGGGGATGGATCGATGACGGATCATCAGGCCACGATGTCGATGTGGCAGTGGGGGGTGGCGACGGTAGGTAGACCACAAGTGCGCTTTCGCTCCGGGCCTCCGGCCGTCCAACGTCCCGTCCCGTAGAGTAACTACCGCGACTCCGCGACTCTGCGCGCCCCAGGCGGGTCACAGACAAGCGGCGAGTCAAGTCAAGACGAGGATTGGATGCGAGGAGGAGGATGCGGAGGAGGGGGGGAGGAGGACGGGGAGGAGGGATCGTCCACCTGGATAGATGGGACCAGATATCTCCTAGTTACCTAGTACACAACTCTGCACCTACATACATACATGGACCGATCGCACTCTACTGGCTGTCGCCATGGAGGTTTACTATCCATCCATCTGCACGACATCCCGCATGCACATGTGCGCATCGATATAGGTGCGTATATAGGTGCAGTAACCACTCTATGTACTAGGTATTATAGACTAGACAACCGCTGCCGATGTGGAGGTCCCCTCCAATTTCGCCCGCGGTCGTTACATACATCTGCAGACTGCAGCCGGCCGCTCGGACAAGCCCGCTCGAATCGTGCCGCACCGTACAGTACCGTACCGTACCGCTCGGAACCCGAGAGAGGATAGGGAAGGAAGGAAGAAAAGAAAAGGAAAGAAAGAAAAAGCAGTTGCCCGTCCGTACACAGGCGCACGTTGAGTATGTAGGTAGGCTGTGGGGATCAGGGGAGCATCGAACCAGCACCTTTCGTGTACATACGAGTGCGACTTCTGCATCTACATACAACATACATCTCTACATGCACCGTCGGAGAAAGAGTTCTCGCCCAGCCTCCCCCCTCCCCCGCTGACCTCCACCGGAGAGTACAGTTACCGGATAATCCCACCTCCGAGGAAGACGGATGGCACCTGCTACTCTAGATTGTCCCTAACCGTGTTTCGCCCAATCAATCTGCCTCCCCGTACCGTTCCCCCTTCCAACCCCCCATTGCAGTTTGACACATGTAGAGTATGTAGAGTAGAGTATGTAGAGTGCCGCCGTTTTTGTTTTTCTCCATGGGCGTTGTGCTTTGTGCTTTGTGCTTCGTGACCTGCGTCCACTTGACACTCACTCACTCGAGTCTTGAAGCCGGAACCATTGCACTGTCTGTAGTCTGTAGCAATCTCTGTGGCACTCGGAGACTCGTCGGAGTGTCCGAGGCAGGAATAATCGTCCCAGATTAAACCCAACTCCACGCACCCACGCGACACGATCACGATCACGCGCGTGAAATTATAGTAGAGTATGTATAAGCGGAGATCGATACGATACGATACGATACGAACCGGGGGGGGGGGGGGGGGGGGGGGGGGGGGGGGGCGGGGGGAGAGAGAGAGGGAGAGGGAGAGAGAGACAGAGGGAGGGTCTAGCCCATGTAGAGTAGCCACAGCAGAGCGGCGGGGAAGCGGGCGAGGAAGCGGGCTCGACCGACGACGGGGCATTGGTCGAAATACTAGGTATTGCCTAAATGGGACGATGTTTCGGTTTTTGATTTATTTTCTCGCCAATTGCTTGGAAGTTGACGGAGGCCCTGTATGTATATTGGGAAGGAAAAGAAAATAAAGGAGTATGTATTTAAAGTACACATATTGCGAGAATTGGCAACGGTGTTCGTTTACGGGGGCCCCGGGGAGGAGCGACGCGGGAGGGACGACGGGGGAGGGGGGAAGGATCATGCACAATCGCGAGTTGCAAATGATGCATTGCATTGTACCTGCTGCTGGTGTACCTGCTGCTGTATACGCGATGTAAAAAGGAAGGAGACAGTGCGGGGAGGTGTTTGGTAAAGGCAAGAGGCAAGAGGCAAGAGGCGAGGACTACCTTGTACATATATTACAAGTGGTCATGAGGGCTTGTTGATCTTTCGCCGGATGCCAAATAGATATTTTGGGGGCCTCGTTCTCGCAATCGTTACTTGGGAAAGGAAAGGAGAGAAAAGTTGACATGTGGGAAGTAAGCAAGCAAGCGCGCAGTCAGGCAGCAGCGGCAGCAGCAGCAGTAGTGTCAGCTTCGCTAATCTGGCAAAGCTATTGCAAGTGAGATCCAATGCGACGATCTCCGCCGATGAAGTCGTATTAATCGACGGTTTGGGACGCAAGCAAATACGGACAGGTCCGTGTGTTGAATGGATGTGCTCCACTGAGTCTCAGTAGAGTAGTTGCCCCACTCTCCGGAGTAGAGTACCTAGGAGAGTAGGTATCTACAGTTTTACTATAGTTAGAGGAACGGGTGGGATCTGATCTGGAAATTATAGGAGAACCGTAGTCAATGCTTCTTCTTCCTTTTCCTCCGCGCGAGACAGTACTATAGTTGGACAGGAAACGTCCTAGTTACTCTACATACTCCACATCATAGCTGACGCTTTCCTAAACCACTGGAACACGGAAGGAGCGGGACGGCCGAGTGACCATCTATGACCATCACGACCCCTGAGTCTTGAGTCCTGCGCGCCGCTCCCGCCGCACCCCTTTCTACTATACATAGCGTCGTTCCGGACTGGAACAGGTTCATCCGCACCATGGGAGGAAAATCCATGGACGCCGCAAAGATGCCTCTTGTTTTCGGGCTGCAACCTGAGACACGCAGCGGTGCTGACTCTTGAATGGTCGGGGTCGGTCAAATCCAAGCAAGCGGGAGTCGCCTCCGCCTCCGGCTCGGCGCTGTATGTACTCCATACGTACCGCCAAGGGGGTGGAGGATCTGCATACATACGATACATGGAAACAGTTCACAGTATGCATCTTTAAGTTTCTCTCCTTTTCTTTTCTCTCCTTTTTCCTTTTCTTTTTTTGCTTCGTTGAGAGAGGGATGAAGTTAGTCGCTAGAAACTTAAAAAGTCGCCGCCGGAGCTAACTGGTGTAAGAGAGGAAGGAAAGCCGCGCGCTCTGCTGCTGAAGATTCAAGAAAAGCCCCCGCCCCCGCCCGGCGCCGACGGACACGGAGACGGCCCGGCCGATTGCCTAAAAATGGTTCCTAGCATTGACCATGGTAATGCCGTGCCGCTGACTACTAGCACTAGCTATGGGCCCTGAACTTGAGTCTTGGGCCCCTTGCATAATCGGAACGCTTACGTATTTTCGCAACGCATAAACGGACGGACGGACGAACGGACGAACGGTGGGTGGCGCGCGCGGCTGTCAAATTTCACGTTGTCGAGAGCTAGAGTATGCATCATACGGTACTTGAGTAGGGACATAACTCACAGTTCCAACTGCCCCGATGTATTTGTATGTGAAAAGCTTAGCTCATGCGGACTCGCTCACTTGAGGTGGAGTGGAGTAGAGTACACGGCTGCTATTTGTGTTTCGAACTGGGGTGTGCACTCGGTGTCACTCGCACTGTCCGGTGTGTCCGATGTCCAGTGTCCATGTCGACCGCCGCCGGAGTCCCGATGAAAGTAGGACCTATACTGGTCCGCATGTCTTACTCCAGGTAGGCTCCTCTCTCAATTGTGGAGTCGGCCCGCGCGCACGCACGCACGCACACAAAGTGGCGATGGATGGGATGGGATGTGTCGAGGATAGTACAAAGTTCCCTAGTCAGCCTACATAAAGTAGCATAGGGGCAATTTCACCAAATTAACAAAAAGCAAAAAACATTTAGCACAAAAACAGCTGCATAGGAACCTCCGCGGCATCTGCCACGGCGAGAACCGATATGCTCGTCCCTTTCTCCCCTTCTCCGCATTATACGTGCGTGTGTGTGACACCAATCTTTCGCTCTCTCCCCGGAGTCTCTCTCTGGGTCTCTGGATTGTTCCTCCCCCGACCCCGCTCATCTCATATTCGCACTCGCGTGAAGCTGGGCCGCATCCGCGCTTTAGCGAATGTATGTATGCTATGATGTCTACACACTCAGGTACTATATGCACTGTGGAGCGAGCAGCCCATCCCTCACCATTGTCAGCAGCATCATCGTCATAATCATCACCATCATCACCATCATCACCATCATCACCATCATCACCATCAGCAGCATCATAGGCCACCAATTTGAAACGACTAGTGGACTCGGAACCTAGTTCCCGCGCCTGTCGTGGGATGTTTAGTGCGTCTGTCCCCCCTCCCCGCCAAATGGGGAGTGAATCATAGGCCAACATAGGCAGCATGATGGTGCCTGGGGCTAGCTGGATATATATCCGTACATGACATGAGTACGCGCATATTGCGTCCGGGGGATGGGGGATGGGGTACGGGGGGAGGGTTGTGCGTGTGAAAAGGGCGTCATGTGGTCTTGTGGGGAGATTGGAGAGTTGATTGATCAACCTTAACTTCCTGCGGCGCGCGGTGCCTTGCAGATAACTACTCTAGAGTAACAGCGTCGCCTAGGTACATACGGTATGATGGAGACTTGAGCATGTAGAGCATGTAGAGCACTCTAGAGTAGGCACTTCGTCTCGACTCTCTCAGTTAGCTTGAAGAGTGGGTGCACCAAAAAACCATGGCCCTGCCGGCCGGCTGACCGGCAGCCATTATTTGCAAACGGTCGAGACCACCGGCTTCGACTGACTGACTGACTGGCCAAGCATCGTATGTATGTGGGCCAAGGGTGCCTCCTTCACTCCGCCTCTCGTATGTAGTCGGACCTCGGATTCGGTATGAAGAGCTCCGCGGGCGCGCGCCGGATCCGCCTCCATGAGTGAGTGAAGTGAAGTGAGGTGAGGCGAGGCGAGTGCGACCGACCGGACTCCTTGCCTTGCCTTGCCTGCCTGCCTGCCTTCGCAGTTTCTCGCTCTTGCCTTGTGGCTGCTGCTGGGCCCTAGTCACCCAGTCGCGACTCACCCACTCACCCACTCTCCCAGTTTACATACCGACTCCGGAAACCCGGTCAATACCGATCCTAAATCCACCCATCCATCCCTCCATCCATCCCTCAATCCATCCATGACTATTGCTCGACAAGGCGAACTGCGAACTGCGAACAAAGCCGCGGGTGTCGCAAGTCCGATCTAGCTATGTACCGACCTAGGTACTAGGTAGGTACTTCCCCTCACTCTTGCGACAATAAACGTGGGTGAATCCATAGCTCCATGGGCATTGGGGTCATGGGTGGACGTATGCTTCGTTGATCTGGGGGTGATGAGGGTGGATGGGGGGAGGGTTCATCCCACTGATACGAGAATCCGGCAATGCCGGCCATCATAGACGTATCGCACCGTGCCGGTCATATTTTCCTTCTGCTGTCTTTCAGGTAGTCTTTGGGCTGGTGCGTGCGTGCGTATGATATGGATGTTCCCCTCACTTCCACTTCGCAGCCCACCACCGCGCCCACCACCCCATTCCCCACTCGTCCTCGGTGCAGCGGTGCTGACCGATACTCTTTCGCCTCGTCTCTCGGCGGATTGCTGATCCATCATCAGCGATGTCAACTAGAGCACTCTCTGCCATGCCACCGTTGGGAGGGAGCGGGGGGGGGTGAGGGGGAGGCTTCGCACATGGCTGGTCTGCTCTGGTCTGGGCATTTGGATATTCCAGTGGTTAGTTAGATACCGTAGTGCGTCTTGGTATCATACATACCGTCCGATATCCGTGGGGGGCAGCTGGGGGGCAGCTGGGGGGCATCACGATAACCCGTTACCCACTGCCCACTGCACAGCCGACCTGCCAGTGCCAGTGCAGACAGTACTGTGCAGACTGTGCAGCAGCAATCGGGCACTCTCAGAGGTCTTATCGGGCGTTCTCCACATCTCTCTCGCGCGAAGATACGATAGATACTTCAGATATAGGTGCCTAGATAATTATTACCGGACCAGAGAGACAATCCGTAGAGTAGATAGATGCACAGGCAGACAGACTGGGGGAACGGGGGGGGAAGGAGGGGGAGGGGGGTTTAGAGTTCATCACAAACCATACCATGCCATACCTACCTCCCGGGCAAAAATCTGAGCTGTGGAGTCGGGTCGGGTCCGGTTCCCGAGACAGTGCGGCTGCGATCAGTAGGCGTGGGGTAAAGAAAAAATGTTGTTAGCGAGGGTTTCGAGGGTTTCGAGGCACGGACAGAATGCCGCGCGTGGTCGCAGCCGCATTTCGTCCGCCATCGACCTGCATCACAGTATTACATACAGACGATGCATAATGTATAGATGTAGGTGTGTAGATAATCGTAACGTCGAGAAGCAGGACCGGACCGGACTGGATGGACGGTGGGAAGTAAGTATCCAGCCCTACCTGACCGGCGAAGCGATTGGCAGGCACCCTTAGTTGTGATTTGGCGAGAGGGGGGTAGCGACGGGCGCCAAAGCCCAGCCGCCTCGCCAGCGGCGGCGGTAACCAATGCCAGGTACGGTACCTACACCAGTGCTGAGGCAGGTACCGCCGAGTACCTGCGGTAGGTAAGTATGCTTACGTAGGTACGTAGAGTGCCGCCGCCCCACCGGGCCACCGCAAATGGCAATGCATCCATCCTATGTATGCTCTGTAGTGGGGCCGACGACGGCGACGACCCCTCGACTGCAAGCCGACGACGACGGCGCACTGGCCAGCCCGCCAGTCATGCACTTCACTGTGAGACACCCCCTTCTGGCCGCACCACACGCGCACCGCCGCCGATCGCAAAGGAATTGGCGAACGCAGATCGAGCAAGCGAGCGAGCGAGGAATTCGGTCCTACCGCCGCCTATACCACCGCCTATACCACCGTCTAGGCGTATGGTGGTGGTGGTGGGATGATACGTAGTGGTGGTGCTGTTGGTGGTGCTGGTGGCGATCATCGCGTTTGAACTTTGAACTTTTGAAAAACTGCACAGTTTTAAGTCTTCACCACCCACGAGGCGAAGCATAAAACAAGCATGTAGTTAACTAACCAAGCGGAAGTGGACTGGACACCAACTGTCGCCGTACCGCGAGACGGAAGAGAGAAGAGAGACGAGAGCGCGCGCGCCTCCCGTCGGGCCGCCCCCAATCGCACTCGCCGTACAAGGTAGGTACGCGGGCCAACCGAATCCGGCGAGCGGTGATGGTGCCCCCCGAGAGCTCTCCACATGGCAACCCGTGGAGATCTCCATTAAGTTCCAAGTTCCAACACACCAGTGGTCTGGGACTCTGGGGCCGGCGGTACTAAAGTCGAGTGGCTAGAGTAGGTATGCTCACTCCTCAACGTAGACAGCACCAGTGCCCCACAGACAGACGGAACCAGTCCAGCCCGCGATATCCAGCGTCCGCCGGGTTCCGCACCATTCCCTCATTCCCTCGATCCCGAGTCCCGACCCAGGATCCAGAAATGGGACGGAACCCAAACCAATGCACCCCAATCCAGTCCTACGCACTCAGGTACACACCCAGGTACCCCAAGTTCCACCAAGTTAAGTTCCAACATTCGTACCCACCTACCCACCTACCCAGCACGCTCCGTCCGATCAGCGCACCCGCCACCCAGTTGGGGTATGCGACCCACATTGACCACATTGACCACATTGACCACATTGATTGACACTGGAAAGCGTGCGACGATTGTTGGGCCCCTACCTACCCTACCCAACCCACCCTGGGGTGACACGGCGCGCGAGACGCGCAGGAAAATAGGTAGCAGTGCAGTGCATGTGGCTGCCGGGGAGTCGGGGACACACATACCATACCATAGTTACCGAGCGCTGAGCGCTGAGCAGCAGGTATCATAATACTCTAGTTGGAGCGGTGGTTACTCGGGCGAACTTAGGACATGCTTGGCGCTTGTGTTCACAGCTCAACGCCGATTCCGTGCCTGATCGTACATTGCGGACTCCGCTCTGCTCTGGACATACTGCGCTGTACTGTACTGCGCTGCACTGCACTGCACTGCGCTGCACTGCACACCGAGCATTGGGTACTGAGCACCGAGCATCGAGCAGCGGCTCTCCTCGGATCTGCGTAGGTAGGCTCAGCCTTGTCGTACAGCTGCGTGGCCAGGACAGGCCAGCCAGGACAGCATGGACAGCCAGGACGTCCCTAGCCAGGACAGGCCAGTCAGCCAGACCGTGGCCATTTAGCCATCCATCAGCCCAGCGTGCCTACTATCCACTTCCTTCTATGATAGTCGCAAGTCGTGCGCAATGCTGTGCTGCCTGGCTGGCTGACCAGTGGAGGAACGGATTGCATACTATTGTCACCGGGAATTCAAGGCAAGGAAAGAGAGCGTCTTGTAAGGCAGCACAGAAATATTGTGATGAATTATTAAAATGCGAATATTCCCCAGCCATGATAAACCTCCCCGCCGCCGCAAAAAAAAACAAATACAGAGAATGCTGCAAAACAAGAGCCCAAGCAAGTACGCCCACACCCCTTTATTAACCCCCGTCCAGCCCGCACCCATGACATCGTAGAAAACATAATACACAGCAAACGCCGATGTGTAGTGCGATACACAAAACTAAAAAGGAAAAACTAAAAAAAAAAAAGAAAACAAAGGAAATGAACCCAGTATTAAAAGTTTGTATAACCAGACCATGCAGAGAAGTGCAGCGAAAATGGAATAATAAAATAATAAAATAGGAAACAGAGGAAAGATCCCGAGCCGCGTCCGATGTGAAAGAGCCAGTCCTTGCCGGTGTTCGAAGCACTTTCGTCGACGGTAGGAGATGCGGCGGAGTGGAGTCGAGTCCGTATCGATGGATTCGTTGAACGACGCCGCAGAGAATTGAGTTGAGATGTTATCGAGGTGGTGGTGGTGGGGCAGGAGCGATGGCCCTCACCGCGCATGCTCGAGGGTCGTCGCAGTGACAGCGACGATGCGGAATCGACAGCATGGCGGACAATAGTAGTGGTAGTAGTGATAAGGATACATCGTAGTTCGAAGGCTCTTTGGAAATCGCAACAGAAATCGATCCGAGGGGTAGTGGTGGTGGGGTGGACAGCGCTCGCTCTTTACTTGCCGCCGGCGGAAGTGGGAGTCGGGGGCAGCGGGCGGTTCGGGGGAGGTCCCGGCCGCGGAGGAAGAGTCGAAGTGGCCACAGGACCGTTGAAGTTGTATCCCAGACTGCTCAGGCAGTGGATGTCGTTGGGGTTGTGGAGGGTTTGCGAAGGAGCAGGCATTGTGATGTTTGGTTGTTTGGTTGTTTGGTTGTTTGGTTGTTTGGTTGTGGTGGTGTTTGGGTGTTTGGTAGTCGTTGAGGTGGGTGGAGGGAGGGTTCTTAAGAGGGGATCCTGATGGGTAACTTCGAGGATGCTATAAGCGGATGTGGATGTTCTGTGTTGTAGTGG